GCCGAGGACTTCGTCAAGGAGATTCCCTATCACCTTTGCTATTCAACCTGATGATTGAACCACTGCTCCGTGGACTGCTCCACAATCTTCATGGCTTTCAAGTCCCGCTGACGGAAAAAGTCTCATACCTGGCGTATGCCGATGATATTCTGGTGGTCATCAATGATTTTTGGGAGTTTTCCAAACTCTTAGAGGTTTACAATGATTACGCTGCTGGAAGCAACGCAAAACTCAATGTTAGCAAGACAGAAGGCATATCAATGTATGGATCCAGTGATCCATGGCGGGAACGCTTTCCCACCATCAAATGGTTTGATGAAAAGTCGGACTCATGTCCTATGTACCTGGGATACCCACTTACGACATCCAAGGTGCATATGAAGCAGGCCGTCGGAAAAGTGGTCGACAGCATGCAGAGACACCACCAAGCCAGAAAACGATTTCTTCCATGACCACTTCTAAAAGTTCACATGCGAAAAGTCAGTCTCCTCTTGGAGGACCTGACAACCCCGAGCAACAACAACTACCCACTCCCGCTACCTCTCCTGAGAAGGCACCCTCTGGGCGCCTACCGTATACCAACTCTGTCACCAAAAACCTCTTCAAATCGCCCACCAATACACTGAAAACTGCTATCACCAGCACCGGCTCACTGTTCCGAAGCATCAACTCCGGAGCAGTTGTTTTCGACCTATCGCATCTACCGACCACCCAGGATGTCGTAGAGGACGCCTTATTGGCAATCTTCGAAAAATACACGCCTGCAACCATACGTGGATATCGCTAGATTGGCGCCAAAGGAGCTGCCATTCGAAATCCTTTTCGACCCCAGTGTTGCCTCCGCACTTCGCAAAACAGCGACAGAGCAAGGCATCACTTTCAACAATCATGAACTGAAGGCAATCACAACTGAGACGGATGCAAAATTGTTCACTAAAATGATATCTAACCGACTACGGAATCATTTACCCAGAATGATTACGCAATATCAGACAGGGTTCATCAAGGATCGACTCATATCAGACAACGGATGGACAATAGGTGCCACCATGTGTCGTATGCAAGAAAATGACCCAGAAAACGCAGTGATTGGAGCTTTCATGGACCAAGATAAGGCCTATGACCGAGTACACCCTAGGTACCTCCAAAAAGTTCTCCAAACTTTTGGATTCCCACAACAGATGATCAGTACAATTACCAGTCTTTTCTACGAGACAAAAGTGTCCGTGTCCATCAATGGATGGTTAGGAGAAGCTTTTGAACAAGGTAGAGGCCTTCGACAAGGGGACCACTTATATCCTCTTCAAAGGTTTCACCATGAACACAACCAAAAAAGTTGTTCCCCAACAGTGAACTCGACAGGCAAGGCGCGGATAAAGCCGGCCAACAACAACTACCAACCCTTCACCAACTAAGGCCCTCGCAATGAGAGCCTCATATGCTTCATCTGTTACCAAGAATTTATTCAAAGCTCCAACCAACCCTTTGGCTACTGTGGTCGCCAAAAATGGCTTTATCTACAGAAGCGTCAATCCTGGTGCAATTGTCTTTGACTTTTCCACCATGCCCACCTCCAACAACTCAGTTGAAGATGCCCTCGAAGCCATCTTCAACGCACTTCGAACAAATTTTTAATACTTCCAAACATAGTCCACATTGACCGCCTCCGTATTTCCGTATCTCTGGTAGAACCACAGCTTATACTTGATGGTGCCGTGACCGCCATTGCGTTTCCTGATGATAACAACTACACGGAAAGAAAGAAAAGAAATAAAAAAATTCTAATCGAATGGGTCTTGGTAGTTTACTACAGCCGCGACTACATCCCTAGCTGAATGAAACACATGAAATACTTTGCTTGACAAGTTGACGATTTTGATTTCTTCAGTTATACGGAAAGCGAATTGTGTAGTACGCTTTTGTTCTCAAATGCTTCTTTGGCATTACATGTGGCGGTCTGCCGTTGAGCTGAAGAAGGCAAATTTCAAGCGCAAATGGACTTTTGTTAATTGTTTCAAGGCATTTAAATCGGGTTGACGACCATTGGTGAGATTCGCCTTTGATGGTCCAATAGTGAAAATAGACGATATTGATATCTCATGGGATGCACTTGATTTGCCTATGGTCAGTTGTCTCTACCTCTGCTGAGCTCTGAATGCCACTCGCGTTGAATCTGAAGTAGACAACAATTCGACCAAGCAGTACAACACATTTGGCATCGACTCGAACGTAGGGCAGTAAATAAAATAGCCTCTATTATCCCCGTTTCGCTCACTGATTAAGTATATGAAGGATTGGAGTCATAAAGTGATTTAATATATTTGTAGTACCGAGAAATACCGGCAAGAGGAGATCAATCTAACTATTATTTATGTGGTATATTAGATAAGCTGGAAGGCCAAAGACACTAAATCCTACGGCTCTTGCCATCTTAGCAAAGCCTTCTGTTTCAACCTCATGTTGAAACGTAAACGCAGGAAAATTTGCACCTGCTCGGTGAACTATGGCTTTGACAAGCGTGAAAGTGGCGCCAACACCGTCCAGTGGTATTGTATGAAGTTTATCACCATGTGTAGGGAAGTCAGTGAGGTAAATTCTACGAGTATCAAGTTCTTCATATCCTGCTCGATTACTCAAGTTAGAGAATGCCTTGAAATTGCATATGTAGAAATTAGCTTACCTTCCACAAGCACATCATCTTCATCGAGACTTTTCTGCATATTGATGCTCTCCTCTGTTTCTTGCCAATTATTTTTGTCGTATCCCCAGAAAGAACCATCATCCGTCTTTAAAAGGCAATTGGGAACTACGACGTCAACGTCCAAAGACGTTAAATCATCCAAAACTGTAGCAGGGTACTCTACAACGTCGACATCCAGCCATAGGACCCAAACATGTTCGTTTTTAAGGGCGGCAGTCAAAAGATAGTTGCGAGATCTTGCCATGAACTTTCGCCGTTGAGCTTGAACTTCAAACTGATGTCGATCACCTTCTGGCATTATAAAATTAAAATCTTTTTCATAGATGTTGATGCTATGATAGGGTTGATCCGATTGTGAGCTCGAGTTCGCATACTGCTTCAAATTTTCTATTGTCTTATCTGTTGTATCAGATACTAAAAATGCCATAGATATGAGCTCTTTTGGGTAAGTTAGAGCTCCAATGAGCTCAAAGTATCGTGGCAAATACGGTTCGGCATTCTTCAGAGGGGTCAATATAAGCACATGCTCTCTGTTTTGACGGGCATTTCCAGTGGCCACAATATTGTTGAGATTTGAAAATGTTAGAGGTTGCTGCTTTGTCGAAAAATGCTCGGCAGTCTCATGAATTGGAATGATTGTGTGACATGTGTAATCTCGCCGAGGTGTCAAGATGAAGAGCAAAAGTATAGAAAGTACTGTGGCACTGGCAACGAGTAGAGATTTGTTGTTCCTCAATAGAAACAGCCGAGTTCCCGCGGCCATTGGAACGCTAGGAGGAAACGTTACTTCTGAGAAGCAAAAAGATGGTACTATATTGAAAAGTTGCCGTCCCTGGAACAAGTCATATTGAGGCTTAGAGCGGTGTTTTAAAGGCGGGGACTAGGGTTTTGGACAGCAACAAAACCATCCTATAACGAATTTCTATTGTCTTATAATTACCGTCAGTACAATCTAGTGTATATTTCTGTCAACTTGTTAAACTAAGAAAAGGAAACCACTTTCAAAGGACCATTTTTTAAAAGCTAGTAATATTAGCTCTGGAACAAGTTGATGATAACCTGTAAAACAAGCTCAATGCTATATCCTGCGATCGTTTTACTCTACTAAGAACTTTTCAGATACCATCATTATAGTAGCTCTTGCCTCATTTCATCTCCAAGCTCAAACCGATTAAATGCCACTTGCAGTGCCGCCGATCTACCTTTACTGGTATACGTTTTGCTCTATCTTAAATCATCACACTAACCTGATTCCTCGGTGTCGACTCCAAAGAAAAAAAACGTATTAACCTAACCCTTTTCGAAATATAAGGTACAGGCCTTATGGATACTTCTTGAGCATCTCATTGTATAACTAATATGGTGGATTATATTGTGAAGGTTGTCGTATCTTCGAATGAAACGAGATCGCAATACCTTATGTAAGAAACTGGTAAGCTTGAATTGTTACAGCTGATGAATGGATGGCGATGTCGCGCCGAACCTGATAACAAGCATATCCTATTACTTGGGATAAATCTTATCAACTTATCCATGGACCATTCTCAAGGGAGCTTGGATATATAAGTTCACTTGAACAGCCGACGAGCGAAAGGGTTCCATTTTTGGAAAATGCTTTAAGCAACTGATTTCAGAATGCTATGTAGACTTCCTACCAGTACTTTTTTGCTTTGAAGGTTTCCTTCTGTGCAAAGTGGGATTAAGGTGCTTTTACTTGGTTACTTTCGGTTGTTCTAAGACGATCCATTAAGGGCAGGTGAGCCTGAGGATTACTGAAACATTTCATATCAATGCGATTAAAGAGATTCAGAGTGCTGTCGCTGGCGGCTTAGTGGAAGATACATTTTTTAGAGCGATATGATCAGCAGCAATCATGGGCTGATCTTTAATTACAACGCAGCAACGGACTACAATATTTCACCGCGGAAGGCACGTCGTTTCCAGTAAAGGAACTCTCTCAATAACGATCAAAGTCAAACGACATAATGAACAAAGCTCGTATTGCTTTTTGTCTGAATTTCTCCTTTTTAAAGATGCTTTATCGCTTATTGAACAATTGACTGTGTGTAGCTGTACAGTATGCCCCTTAGGACCGTTCATTACTACAACCTGTTATGAGATGACTATATTTTATTTTATCGCATGAAATGAATTAAAAAATTTAAGAACGTGGCACTTCCCTTCGTACTCCTCAATTTTTTATTTTCTCTACTGCACCTGACATGTCATCAGCAGAACCCGCCATTTACCGCCTGAAGGCACAGACTCAGTCTTACGATTGGGGAAAGCTAGGTGATGTTTCCAAAGTGGCTGAATTCGCCAGAGCAAGCGGAACTACGACTGACAGCTCAACTCCATATGCCGAGGTATGTCATGGTGATTATGTACACTAACCGCGTCAATTGTGTTAGCGTTCTAATCACATCAATCAGTTGTGGATGGGAACTCACCCAAACGCACCGTCTTATACAATGACGAAGGACAACCAAGAATCCAAGGCGTTGAAAGACCTCATATCAGCCGATCAAAATCTAAGTACTCCAGAGGTCTACCAACAATATGAAGGTGATCTACCCTTCTTGTTTAAGATTTTGTCGATAAGAAAAGCCCTTTCGATTCAGGCTCATCCCGACAAAACGCTTGGCGCTAAACTTTTCAAAGAGTTCCCGAACGTTTACAAGGTAACTGGTTATGATTAGTTTGTACCAATGTCCGACAAATGCAGCGTACTGATATATATACAATGTTATATCCAGGATCCCAACCATAAGGTTAACTTTAAGGATAACGTTGTCTCTTTTCTTTTATAACAAATGATGCTGACACGTTTTATCACAGCCTGAGATGGCTATAGCAATCACGCCATTTGAAGCTTTGTGTGGATTCCGTCCATTGGAAGAAATTGCAGGACATTTAGAGCAATTTCCTGAATTTGCCAATATTGTTGGACAGGATGTTGCTTCCAAATTCATTGCAACCGTAAAGCAGTCAAGTCATTCAACTGACGAAAGTAGCGTCACACAGAATAAGGCAGCATTGAAGACTCTTTTCTCTGCCTTAATGAACAAGGAACAGCCGGAGATCACCAAGCAGCTCAACGCACTCGTCGATAGAGTCAAAGGTCAAGACGGCATTTTACCAGAACTCATCACACGACTAGATCAGCAATACCCGGGCGGTGATATTGGCGTATTTTCTGTTCTTATGTTGAACTATATCAAACTTGCGCCTGGCGAGGCTATTTTCTTGGGTGCCAACGAGCCTCACGCCTACTTGTCTGGAGGTTTGTTCTTAAGCGAAGATTGACACTATTTTATTATGTTATGCTAACAAATTTGACACATAGACTGTGTGGAATGCATGGCTGCCAGTGACAATGTGGTCCGAGCTGGATTGACGCCAAAGTTCAAAGACGTTACTGTACTAGTGGATATGCTTACCTATCGCTATGGCTCCGCAAAATCTCAATTGATGACAGGTTCAAACTTTAGCCCTCATTCATTACTCTATGACCCCCCAATTGATGAATTTTCTGTTGTTCTGACTTCCCTCAAAGCGGACGAAACTGAAGTACATCAAGGTGTCAAGGGCCCAAGTATTTTCATTGTTACTGGTGGCGAAGGATCTTTAACAGGCGAGAGCCTCAAGACTGAAAGTGACTTCCCTCTTCGTGCCGGATATGTTTACTTCATTGGTGCTAATGTTCCCGTCAAGTTTAAAGCTGACAGAGATGGTTTGGAGATTTATCGCGCTTTTACTGTTATTGGATAAAATTCAACAATCAATAAATCAAAGAATTGCAGAATGACCTACATTTAAGCGTCTTGCAGGTTTTTTTTTTCTTTCATGTTTCTGGTTTCCCGTTTCAAAGCGGACCTTGTTTTGCTGGAAGGCATTTCACCTGGCGTGACTTGCTTCGGCTGGAAGTACATGCTGGCTTCCAATTGTTCCGACTCAAAAAAATGTATTGCCGGTTGCTCCGAACAATGCATCTCTTTTCGCAACTTATTCTTATACCAAATAACGTACGACTTTATCAATGAGAGTCATCAGCAAAGAACAACAAGAAGAAGCTGGACGATATGCCATGAAGGGTTTCGCAATAGGTGCCGCTCAATGGGGTTGCGTTGGTTTGTTTGCTACTACCCTAGCGTCTGCCTTTTTCCCGGGTTTTAGAAAGACTCCAGTACAAAACAAGGTATGATTACAGCCGGTATCGTGGCAGCTTCAACACTATACTTATCTCTCAATGTATATAGTTTTATATCTGTATGGCTTTTGCGTTAGGTGGCGGTGCCCATCTTTCAGACCGCTACATGGTCCAGTTCGAGAGACGTGGCCGCGCTGCCATGTTAGATGAAACTACTCGGCAGAGATATAATCTCATTTACGGAGACCGGGATGAACAGGAACGTGCAAAGGCCGCCCTCAAGAGCGAGGCGACAGCTTAATATATGGTATCGCCGTCAAAGACTGGCTAGTAAACTTGGAACAAAGCACCTGTATATTCTCAAAAGCGCACAACACGAATGTTAAATGCATTAAATAAAATTTGCAGTTCTTTTTATCAGAACTAATATGAACGAGGTCCTTTCACAGTATAGACTGACTATATGCAATTATGTCCAATGACACGGATTCTGAAGATTCAAAGCAATGTTGACGATATCGTTCAGTTTTTAAACTCAGGTATCGACCAAGTCAGTATATCGCAACTATTCCGGCTTATAGAAAAACGTTACTTATGCATATCTTGTGAAGCAAACCATGACTTTTTGACTACTCTCAATATGCGGTGTAATTGCTTGTGTGCTATGTACAATGCAATGAAATACGAATGACGTCAATAATCTGGCCGGTAGGCTTGGAAATACTCTGACCCTCCAGAACAACCAATGCTTATATTTGAGTTTTTGAAACACTCAATTACCATCTATTCAAAAGGCTACTACTGTTACTTGACGGAATGAGGGCGAGGATGTGGTTATAGGCCCTAGAGCCTTTGTAGACTGGGAGGGTTGAACGTTTCCAACTAAAAATTTTGTGGTTTTATCTGTTCTTGGGAGGGAGGCCACCACATCCTCGTCCCCATTCCGCCAAGTAACAGTAGTAGCTTTTTGAATTCGGTTCAGTGCTTCAAAGCGAACTTTTTATCTTTTCATATACAGCGCCAATTCAATTTCACTGATGGTATCTGAATGGCTGCGTGATAAGCATTGCGACAGACATAAGAAAAAAATGTTAGATACAATGGCAGAAATAAGTAAGCATCGGTAAAAGTAGTTTTTGTCCTCGCTTGCAAGACTTTGCATATGATCGATAGAAATAAACGTGAGAGCCCGCAATATCTATATACCTTGACATAATGCAATGATGGAGCTAGAGCAAGATGAGAATATACGCGTAAAGACCGCGTAAAGACCGCAGTGTCTGTATCCATTATTAAATTTGTTGTAGTCCTCCCTCTTTTGCGAAGGCGTGGACAGTCGTTGCAGAAGCGCTGATACAGACCAGTGTAAGAGCGTCTACTGGCAGTCTCGAATTGCTCAAAAGATAAGCGTAAAGGCATTGTCTCACTGAAAAGAAAAATCTCATAGGCAACTCTGTTACTTGCTGAAGAATAGCCGTTGGTCATGAATAGATTCGTGAAGTCAGGTGTGGTTCTATTTCATAGATATTGTTTTCCGGGTTGGGAAATTGTGAACGTCCAGGCACGCTGGAAAGAGCATTTGTGACCGGCAATTCAACATTTTAATTTTCTACCGAAGGAAGGTAGAGGAATCAAGAACGATAATGGAGGAACCGAATAAGAGGATTCCTGTCACAATTTTGACCGGCTTCCTCGGAAGTGGAAAAGTAATATGCTCAACATCTCGACTAAAAGATTGATAGGAGGTCTAACATATGCTTTTTAGACGACGCTTATAAATTATGTCCTCAAGGCATCACACGGCAAAAGGGTGGCAGTGATAGAGAATGAGTTTGGCGAGATAGCAGTGGACAGCGACCTCATAGTTGACGCAGGAGACGAAATATTCGAGACGCAGAATGGTTGGTATGTATATCTTTCCCACAAATGCTCAAAGGTTCGACTGACCATGCTCACATCATAAAAAGTATTTGCTGCAGGGTAAAGCATCAGCTGATTTTTCTAGCATCGTGCAGTAGTATAGAGAGGACGATGTTAAATTTTTTTTAACAATGTAGGTACGCGGTGATCTTGTGCGCATTCTACACGAATTAGTGGAAAAAAAGCAAGGCAAATTCGACATGATTTTATTAGAAACCACTGGTCTTGCTGATCCTGGCCCCGTCGTTCAGGTAAAGAATGGAACCAGTGATGTTTATATCTTATTCACTTAGGTAACCCTTCTATTCAAGACATTCTTTATGGACAAAACTGTTCAGGATGCATTTCAAATTGACGCTATTGTGACCATGGTCGACTCGAAACATTTTCAGATGCATCTGGACTCAGAAGAATTGCAGAAACAAATTGCGTTCGCAGACCGTCTAGTTCTCAACAAGTTGGATCTCATACCCGATGAACAAGAGCAGAATACTTTACAAGCGAAGCTATCCGCCATTAATCCATCTGCAGAAATCATTAAATCACAGTTTGGAAAAGTACCTTTAGATGAAATTCTAGACGTTCGAGGTTTCGATCTCGAAAAGGTGTTAGAGCGTGAGCCGGACTTTATGCACGATTCAGTGCCCTGTGATGAGCAAGGCTGCGACAATGATGGTCATAATCATGTAAGTACAGGTTTTAAACATAAGCTTGCGGGTCAAATAGCTAAATATAGTCCTTAGAACCACAATCGACATGACGTCTCCGTAACGTCTGTTGGAATTTCCGCTCCGGGAGAATTGGATTTTGATCTTTTAAACAGTTGGGTACAAAGCCTATTGGCTGCTAATGGCCAGAACATTTATCGTATGAAGGGGATTCTCAATGTCAAAGGCGAGCAAGATCGATTTGTGTTTCAAGGTGTTCATATGGTAAATTATATTCGTAGTTTGATTTATCACTGGCAAATATAATAACCGGTTTTCAGATGTTTGATGGTCAGCAAGACAGAGCTTGGAGACCTGACGAGGACAGAACAAACAAGTTAGTCTTCATCGGCAAGCAGCTGGATCGTGAACAACTTACAAACAGTTTCAAAGCTTGCATCGTAGCTTCATAGACAGATGAACTGATCTAAAGCCGCTGCTGACTAGATGACAAAGTTATTTGTATATTTTTATTGTTAGATGCCAATATAGTGTTACCATTCTTTCAATAAGGCTATAAAGGAGGAGTGCTTGATCGGCTTTTCAATCTTCTAGGGCGAGCGTGCATACTGATAGATGGCGGAAAGAGGACAGGGATGTGGTTATAGGCTCTATAGCCACGCTTTTATTCTCAGTAATATAAATAATAATAATAAATATATCTATTGTGTCCTAGATCTCCATGCCACGCTAGCATGTTCGCCTTTGTTGCCTGGGAGGGTTGAACGTTCTCAACTGTGAATTCGAAATTATTTTGCCGTCAGATTGCATATACTTTTTGATGTACTGTTGAAAATGAGAAGTGACCTACCGACTAGTGTAAAAATATCTAAACCTCTCGTAGGAGAGAACTGTATTCGTAGCATTAATGCTGTTGAGGTTCTTAGATGAGGTCGCAGGCTGTCGAAAACTTGCTGTGCGGCCGTCTCCTGTCTATACCGATTGAGCCATCCAGGATAGATTTTTGCTGGCATTCGTAACTCTTTGCCGCAACCTGCTGGCTCAAATCCATACCACTGCTAAAATTAGAGTTTTACAAAGTTTCATAAATCCATATAAAATTCACGAAGGGCTATCATAGCCTGTCACTATATGGCTGTTTGGCTGACGAGTTTAATGCGAACAACATAGAGGTTTAATGGCCTGCCTAACATTTCAAAGGTTCAACTGATTTACATTGGTTAGTCAGTCGGTTTAGGAGCTGCTGTTGATATTAGATTCTCTCTTATACTGACTTTCTATCTTACTTGTGCGTTTATATCGAGAAGTGTGCTCAAACTATTTTCATCGAAGTAAGTTTGCTGACACAGTCAGGAGATCCCTTATTGACTGACCATGATGAGTTGGGTACCTCTTTAGTGGGTAATTTGTGGTGCCGCTAAAGCAAGTAGACTGGATACACTAAACCTGGAAGCTGTCGGTCTCTCTGAGGTAAACAACAATGTAATGTTCGAAGATAGCTCTGATTTACTTCATTTAGCCTCAGATCAGCGTTTGATACGGAGTTTAAATGTTTATCAGAGGCGCAAATAATATTTAAGCACTGTAGGATACAATACTTGGCTGTACTTTGAAATGTGCCAGTTCTGTGGTGTTGATCCCGCTTTCGCCGCTTTTTTCGAAAACACTCAAGGAGTTCCTCAAGACCCCTCTGTCATCTCAACCCAACCTACACCTGCAAAACCCAATTTTTTTCGACTCAAACCTAAATTGTCCAATATGGCATCCGAATCGAAAGACCTCAAAGAATCTCAACTAAGGAGTTTTCAGAATTCACTTTCACAAAATGCTCAGGTTATAACAGAGACAGACGGGAAACTGTATACCGATGCTATCAGAAGATGGTCCAAATGTGCGATAAAGCCTGCTCTGGCCGTTATCAAACCTGGAACCCCTGAGGATGTTTCTAAAATCGCAAGTATTTGTTGAACACATTCATTTGTCAGCATATCATGCTAAAACTTTCTCTTTAATAGATCCTTCTTGCAAAGTCTCACAAGGTCCATTTCACTGTAAAGTGTGGTGGCCATTCTCCGGGAGGTGCTTCGAGCTCTGATGGTGGCATAGTAATTGACCTGGGTCTCATGAACTCAGTCACTGCCAAAGCAGACGAAAAAACCATCATCGCAGGTGGTGGAGCTCTTTGGAGGGACGTCAGCCGAGTTGCAGCGGAATATGGCCTAAGTTGCGGTACGTTTTGCGATTTAGTCCGTTTCATTTGTTGAGATTCTTTAACTGATATCTGTATTTATCACAGTCAGTGGATCGACTAGTCATGTTGGCGTTGGTGGTCTCATCCTTCACGGAGGATATGGGTATCTAGCTGGAGAGTATGGGTAAGTTTCAAGCTCTATCTATGCTTATAGAGCTGCGGATTATTTACTTAACCTTATTCCATTTCGGCTCAGACTCGCTGTTGATAATCTTATTGCAGCACAAATTGTACTTGCTGATGGATCGATTGTATGGGCTAGTGAAGAAGAAAACTCAGACTTGTTCTTTGGTATTCGTGGAGCTGGTAGCCGTCTTGGTGTGGCCATCAAGGTAAGCTTATTTTTGATCATGCCTCGTTGCGTGTGCACGCCCCTCAACTCCATTTCATTGCAGTTTGTCATACGAGCGCATGAGCAACGTAAGAGTATTTGGGGAGGACCACTGAGCTTCCCTGGATTCCAATACGAATCCATTATCAACGCTCTGAACACTTGGTATAATCAGAAAGACCTCAAGGGAGCTGCTGAGCTTGTCCTTGGCAAAGGGGTTGGCGGTGTCGCTGGCATAACCATTATGTGCTTTTACAACGGCACAGAAGAGGAAGCACTTACCAACTTTGCACCGTTACTTCAACTAAGACCTACTATCAATGCGACAGCAGAAATGCCTTACTGGCGTATCAATACCTTGTCTGAAGGCAAGGATGTCTACACTGACGATAACATCCGCTTTGCATCAGGCAATCTTACACCTCCTTTGGATCCTCAGCACATCAGAAAGCTATTGGACTCGTTAGATCATTTGTATGAGACGGTTCCCAGCGCAGCCAAAACTGGTTGCCTGACACTTTGCATTCAACCTGATGGCATTCTCAAAAAGAAGCGAACCGATATGGCATTCTGTTGGCGAGATGCCAACTTTGATGTTGGTATTGGAGCCAATTGGACAGACCCTGCAGCAGAGAGCAAGGTCATCGAGTGGCAGAAGGAATTTCAAAAGCTAGTATCAACAGGAGGTGATGACTACAGACTGTATGGAAACCATGAAGACTTCCGAGGTGGTGCCAGAGAATTTGGCATTAATTATCTGAAGATTATACAACTCAAGAAAAAATATGACCCAGAAAATTTGTTCAGGCGTGTTTGATACACCTAGCCTGAACTTGGACTTAGATCACATATTAGAACATTCGCCACCAGGTAGCAACTTATAGATAATCCCAAGAGAAGCTATAAAGTACAACAAGAAAACAATTATGTAAAGTTGTAATTAAAAAGTGATTGGTGCTTGTAATACCCTTTGAAAGTGAAGATGAAACAAGTTATATTGTGAAAGAAATATTAAGCAAGCGCTTATTATCCGATGTCCAAGAGCTTTAACATTTTCAAAGGTATCTCAAACTTCAAGGTATATAGATTTTTGATTTATAATTTGCTAATTTTCTGATATACATAAGAAAATCGTGACTCCTCACTACTTTAGGGACCTGCCCGTGTAACAGGCACCATTATATGAGAAGAGGATTATCTCGTTTGCTAGGATTCCGCTTCAAAAACAACACCAGCCTCGCGCGCAACTGTACTTTCGATTAATTTTTCCGTAATTTCGACATTGGGGCCAATGATGCCTTCATCTCCTTCCTTGATTCCTTCTTTTCCAAAACTGCTTCGTCTTCGGCGAGTGATAACCCAGACAACCTTTCCAACAAACGTTCTGATCTTGCGAACAATATCTTCTCCATCGTCCTTTTCCCAACCGCCTTCTATATGCACTGCTGGTTCCAAATGTCGGATCATATGTATCTTGCCTTCTTCTGTCTCACAATACAACAATTTGCGACGGTCGATGAACTTGAACATGCCAGAATTGGTCAGCATTTCGTCAATTTGATCCCGTTCCGCCGGTGAATTCATATGTACGATAATGTAAATATGATAGTAGTTGGAAAGGTGCTGTAGTAAGTGTGTGGCTCTTTCCTGAAATGCGTGGTTTGGGCTATCCACATCAGATGATGGATTCCATAATATAGTCTGCGACGACGTCAATGTGTCAACAAAATTTTCAAATATCTAAAAAGGCATCTGCGTGGAACTATTTTGCTCTACACTGACGATGATGTCAAGTTTGGTGTAACTGCTTCACACTTACATTCTTCAAAGAGATGGTCATCACTCTCTTACGTCTCCGCGCGTTATTAGTAGCGTTCATAACACCTCCGAGAAACTTTGATCCTATCGAGCTTAGCGAATTGGCTGTAGCTCCCTGTGGATTGGATGGCGATGACTTTGGAGTAAACAAGGGTATTATAAGGGTCAGTACACTTCCATCTCGCTGCATTCAATTTAAGCCTCCCACAAAACGAATAGTTAATTACATTAATCTCATTCATTTCACTGCTCGTCCGGCGAAGCGAAGTGCCGTTATTATTTGCTCTGCCATCGTCCCTGGGTATTCTCCTTCGGAACTGTCGAAACCACGAGATGACTAGGGCGACAACGGCGACCGAGATCGAGGTGTAACCAATCATGCGAAGAAGCCATATGACTAAACTGCGCCTTGAGCGTACTGGAGTTGCCATTAGATTAAGGAAAGGGAGATGAGTCTGGAGAGATTGTGGAGGTGAAAATTAATAGGAAAGTCAGCCTTTCTGCTTACTGGAATTTCATGGCCAATTTCACATGCAAAAGGAGCGCCAGTCACATGCCTGGCTGCCATTTTTCCAAAGGGATATTTCATTTCTTTGAATTTGCGCTGACTGCTTATTGGTCGACAGCAATTTCAACTTATAGCTTTAACGGCCATGTGACCATACAAGGACTTCAACTGACTCTAGAGGAATTGAGAAAATAACTCCTTTACTCTCAATGCTAATAAGATTTTGTAGTCTAGAATTGATATTTATCCAACAAGAACTTTGTTTTGATTACATATGCTGGAGATAGTCGTCTAAAAGATCAGACTAGGAAAACTAAATACGTGCTCATTTGTGATCCAACCACAACTCGGCCCTCTTAAATAAAATTGACTTGAAGTCGCTCCCCTTCGGAACTCCGAAATTCTTTGCCTCAAATTAACGAGCAAGGATAATCGTGCCCTACCGTTAACCCGGTAGCATTTTCAAACTTTGCCAATTTTTGAATATTCAAATAGGCATGGCCTTGTATATTTGGACGCCTCGGCTGAAAGATGGCTACTTCCCACCTCGATGCTGGCGTCTGTATACATGATTGCTAGCCTCCATTTTATAAAAATGAAACTAAATAAGTTACGATACTTAATTAAACCCAATGCAACTACACCATCGACGCTGTGTCTCTGGATACATTTGCATTTACTTTTTCCCGACCACCAAGATACCTGCCACAATAAATATATAAACTGCTGCACGCTGAAAATGAGATTATATTACAATGATGAATTGAACGAGTTTGCATGGATTCTAATTTTGAGACCAGTTGCCCTCTGGGGAATACTCGAAGTTGCCATTTTTCAATTCCTTCTTGAATTTGCTGATAACATGCTGGCACAAATCGGTAAGGTCATCAAAACCCTTGTTGAGTGCCTCAACAGCATTTGTAGCATCAGTTGTCTGGATATGGACGTTCATCTTTGCTTCTGAAGGGTGAGGAATAGAATAACCGCAATAATCAACAAGAGGGCTATGAAAGCACAAGACGTTAGTTCTCTGATACGGGGGCCTTTCTCATGCCATGCAATAATTCGAAAACGCCAAACCCGCCAGCTCCTTACTTTTTCATAACCATATGTCGCAAAGAATTGCCTAAGGTATGGTCTTCCTCCTTGAAACAAAATGTCATGCAAGTTGGATCAGAACTTCCAGCAACCTATAAATTTGGTTCGTGATTAGTTGACTTCTGGATTGTGAAGAGTTTTAATATGAAAGTTCCCAACTTACAATTTCGATCTTGTCAGCGGGCACCATTGCCTCTTCGGCATCAGCGTCAGCATCCTCAGTATTCTCTTCAGTTTCCATCATATCCTCAGTTCCTTCCAAAGCCATTTCTTCGTCTGCAGAGGAAACATCTTCATCGATGTCTTCGTTGTGAGTTCGTGTCTTGGCTGGCGACATGTTGGGAATACAAAAAGGGATCTTTTTTGGAGATTCGCCAAAAAAAAAAAAAGCTGGTATAAGTTGGTAAGCCACATAAACAGTCACACCGTCCTAAATTTTTTGAGAGCCCACAATTTTGTGCAGTAATGCAAGCCGTGTGCCTGGCAACGCACACTTTGAACCGGACGAAAGGAATTTACAGGCAAGGGCGACCTTTGGCTGTAGCAAACGTCTATAGAATAAAATTTTTGATATGCATGTTGCTTTATGGACATATTGTTCTGGTATTAAACATATTTTACAAAAACTAGAGTAGATTATATTCTATAAATCACTGGCCACCTAAATATGCATTAATTCTATTATCGGTAATGGCCTTGTTATTCAATGGATGATACCCCGGTGCTGGAGTATGAGCCTGAGGAGTCAAAGAAAACCCTCTTTCCTCTATGGGCGGCGTCACGGTATGACTTCTGCCAAATCCATAGCTTCCAGCGCTATCTCGGCGATTCCTTGCAGGTGAATTTCCTGGACTAGATTGTGCTGAACTGTCGAATTCATACGAAAAGTGGCTATCTCGTCTGTCGTACACTGGGGATGATTCACCAGCGGAATCCAATACTTGTCCAAATGTGTTTCCAGAACCCTGGCTCATCCGCCTTCTTTCACGCGCAAAAGGTAATTCCGGAGGAGCAAGAATATCATCATCACCAGCCATCATGGCTTGCCCAGTGTATTGTTTGGGTTGCGCAGTAGCGGGAGGAGGCCGTAAACCGACGGCAGTTGCCCGTTCAATGATGGGTTGAAATGCTGACCTTAGTTCTGAATAGCGTCTGTGGTTTTGCCGTAGTTGCTGAAGCTCGTACTCTGGTGAAGTTTTCTTTTCTGACGTCTCTGGTGAGGGGGGTCTAGCAGAAACATTGGTGTTTATAGCCGGAGCTGGTGGTCTTGGCCTGCGTTGATTTGGTGCTAAGCCTCGCGTGCCAGTCTTATGCGGTTTAAAAGTAGGTTCATCGGTTGTAGCAGTATGTACGGATTCATTATCACGGATGTTGCTAGCTCTTGATTTGTCCTCTATTAACCATTCATCGCCATAGTCTGCTTGGTAGATCCCCTCATTCGTGACAGAATTTCTATTGGCACTTTCGGATGAGCTTTTCTTGATAGTTTTCTCCTTCTTCAACTGCAAAGCTTCCCTTCTTTCCGGATTGAGCTCTATTTGTTGCCTCTTTCTCTTAATGTCATATGCTGGAACGCAGGTCCAGAAAAAGAAGCTGATGGCTGCACATCCCATGGCCACTATCATGAATATGATCTCCAGTTTAATTGAGTATCCCATACAATTGTCTGCTCCAATCTCGTAGCAAGCCTGTGATATCTGTGTAGAGTACTCATGGAACGTCCATCCAAATAGTAGGGTAACAAGAGCTAAGCTGATGAGACTAATCGCTGCACAGATATATATGAATTTGATCGAGATCTGCTGGCTGGCCCATAGGGAGAAACAAAAAGTGATTCCAGTTACAATGCTAGTCAATAGAGCAATCACGACATTGGCGTAACTACCCGAAGTTGTTGCATCGGTTAACTTTGTCGTAGAATTGCCAATGGCGGCAAACAGTGTTTTGTTGGCGTCTAACAAGGTGTGAGAAAAAAACCACCAGGGAGTGTCAGTACAACGGTTTTAGATAGTAACTTATGGTCTAGCGCCTTACCCAGGGCATAAAATAAATTTTGATCAAGGCACCGAAAGGAGTCGATATAGCCAAAGCAATGCTTCCACAAACCGAAGCTGACAGTATCAGGCACAGCCGCATGACTATCGCTGAGGTTCATATGCGAATTGATTTTTACTGTGTACATGGCAATCTCGTTGATAAAAGACGAAGATGAATCATAATGGCCACTCGTTTCGAGCCAAAGTGACAGCAGAATGAATATGGTCGCGAGTAGCAGCATGAGCACACGAATTATAGGGATAAGTTTATGCCTCCAGAAAGAGTATCTTGGCCCGTCATTTTCGCCTTCTCGATGCGACAACATGACTCTTGGTTTGAGGAAGAAAGAAGACCAAAAGAAGTGAGCGTCGGCGTAGGCTTACAAAATAAAAAAATTGGAGGATGCAAATTTTGGTACGACAGTGATGTAAGGTATGGCCACAATTTGACCACGGCCCCCATTTACGCTGTCTCTAGCACCCAAACCATTTGTCACCAAGCCAATGATATCCATTGTTCTTTCGGTCAAACATCTTCGCATACATCCGAAGGTGCAATGTAAATCATTCTTTGCTGATCGGCCACAAACCCTGACTTACAACAGTTCATTCAGATTCTAAAAAAAGATGGGCCGAGGCGCGAATCAGATCCTAATACCCGATCACCGGGGTCAATTATATTTCTGGCGCAATTTGGTCATGTTCCTGGGTCGCCCCTTGATATTCATGTTCATTTTGCGCGGCGCGGCTTCCATCATTAAATTATTCGTTATGCGATTTACTTTCAGGACTGATCCATTTATTACTACATGTAATCCTATGAAACCGTCTATTTGACTAGCCTTTACATTGTGTGAGTGTAAGTGTCTAGCGTATTTTAGTCCCCACAAGTTCGTTACAAAGTAGTTGCCGAACCTCTGTGCATTACAGCCCAAAGTCTCACCTAAACCAAAAAAGTGAAGACTAAAAATTTTCATGACATGCTTGTCCTTCTTTGGCTCCAATTTCAAGGTCTTGATCGTCAGGTTGGCGATGACACCGTTATTTCATATCGCAAAAGCTCAGCAGATAGAAAGGAGGGTTTATTCGACGTCTATAAAAAATCTGGCAAATAGGAAAGTAGCATAATTCCCGATTACAAGTCAGTCCACTTAGGTACATGAGGACCAGCCTCTTGCACGCTATTTTCTCTATCTCTCTCGCTTCAGCTTGTGAAACCATCCTTTCATCTTGAGGAGGCTCTTGCGGTTCTTTTCCTTCTTACGTTTAATGTCAGCACTCGGACCATTATTATTCAGTCGCATCATGGTAAGGTACTCTTCATAGCTGACCATACCGTCGCCATTAGCATCCACGTCCGATATTATTTTCTGTACGTCTTCGTCCGATACTCTATCACCAAGGCTGCGCATCATGCTCTTCAGTTCCGAAGCTGAGATATACCCATTCCCATCCTTGTCAAACGCTTTAAATGCCTCCATAAGCTCTTGGTCCGCCGTTTTTTCCGAGCTTTGTTCATTAAACGTCGGTGACATGATGTTACAGAACACGTCGAATGATGCAGGCTTACCATCAGGGAGCTATTCAAAGTTGAATGATTTGATTAGATTCATTTTTCACTATTCGTGTATCAAATATAAGTTCATCGCATGTACCATAGCATCCAGCTGTTCATTCGTAGGTAGCATATTCATCGACGCAAGTACACTATAAAGCTCCTCTCGACTGATGGTACCGTCGTGATTTCGATCAAAAGATTTAAAAAGGCTTCTTAGCTCATCCACCTGCTCATGGTTCAAAGATGTTTGAGCGTGTGGAATATTGGGACCAGTCATAGAAAGTGGAGAAAGGGATCAGTAGCTCAATAACCGCCAACGCTGAGTATTTTCTGATGAGGTTGCAGCACAGCCACCTGATTGGATGGGCCAATGGATCGGTGGCCCTGAACAGTCCCAAAAAAAAATTGTGGTTGAGGGGGGAACTGACAGTTATTCTGGTTGGCTGGCCACTCAATTAACACTCGAGATTTATTGGAGAAGACTTCTTTGTTGCAAAGAGACTTTTCTTCTCAGGTTGAGAATGAAAAACGATACACATATTACCGCAGTCTGTCGCTGCCAATTTTTTGGGTCTACGTACACAGCCCCTCTTAGCTCGCTTACATAAACACTTCTTTCATTTACCTTATCTCTACCTCAACCACACTATACCGTCGCATATTTGACCTCTCAATATAGATTTATAGTAAACTATTCAATGCATCATTCATATATGTTGTTGCTTACTGTAAAGACGAAGCTTAGCTTGTAAACGAGCCATTGCATTGGCATTATGGTTCAAAAGCTGTGGTTAGCAATAATTCTGCGTAGTACAATGACTGACAAGGCAAGTCATTATCACAGAGGATGAAAATTTTCCCTTCAGTGATGTTTTGCCTTTTGTTAAAGTGCCTCGCTTTGTATTTAATTTTAAATGATTGAAATGATATGGGGTTCTTATGGTTCAAATAACTTGATTTTATCATTCAAGATATGCCATCCAGATTCAAAAGACCACAAAATTTACGTGAGATCGCATAGTCAATGTAGAGCGGTACCAATAGCATTTGCAACTGCGCCGAACGGCATTCATTGCAAACGGACAAATCACGGCTCAGGGACAGTAGTGCAAAAGCATGAACGTGAGGCTTTGATTTGAGTCACTTAACTTAGATTTCCGATTAAGAAACCATAAAAGCAGGCCATGCATGACGACGTTCACGACGCATCGTTGCCGTTTTGCTGATGAAACTTCTCGGTCTATCTCTCTTGGCTCTAGCTTCTCAAGCTGGCCTTTCTGTGGCAGAAAGTTTGGTACGAGAGCCACATTTTTGGTCTCCAAAGAACATTTACATTTCCGTTCTGGTCCCTGGTGCTTCACACACAACGTGGGTCCTGGAAATCGGCCAGAAACTTGCCGCCCGTGGTCATAACGTCACTTTTATTGGTAAAGACGATGGTGCCAAGATTGCTCAAAGTTATCGGGGCATGAACGTCCTGTCTTTGGGTGCACCTAACGAATTCCATTCCGATGAGGACATGAGGCAATTTTCGGATCGTCCGCAATCTGCTCTCGAATCCACCAAGTTATATTTCCAAGCCTTGAATGCCGGATTCCGCAAGGATTACTTGCGGTTTGGTGAACTTATCAAGGCTTCTCGACCTGACTTGATGATATGCGACGTTTTGACGGACAGCTGCATGCGTAGCGCCGATGAACGTGGTATACCTTATGCGATAACGTCCACCGTTGCCGCGTTTCCAGGTAAGGGCATTTATGTTTTCTTGGCTTTTTTAATTTCGCTCTTTACTGACCCTTAATTCAACCACAGATGCCACTGCACCATTTATGAACTCTGTCTTCTCCTCAGAACCAACTACAGAGCGTCAATCGATTTGGACAAGATTCTATAATACCTATGTCGCTGGTATGTTACTCATACCTCACCTGGGTCCAGTCTTTGAAGAATTTACAAGCATACGAGAGGAATTGGGGATCTCGTCCGCTAAGGAAGTCTTTGCTCCTAAAGTTAAGGAATCTGTTAAGCTGATCAATAATTTTTACGGCTTGGAAATAGCAAGAGCTATCGGCCCTTTGATCAAGTTCGTCGGGCCTATCATGCCATCCTCGTACCCAGAAATGGATGCAGCTACGTCGGACTTCCTTACCTTACACCAAAAAATCGTCTATGCTGCATTTGGTCATCACATTATTCCTACGGCTCAAGAATTTGAAAAAGTACTTGTTTCCTTGATTGACTCTGTCGAAGATGGCACAGTAGATGGCTTCTTATGGGCGACTGTGCAAATGTCCGACTTTCCAGAAAAGATCGTCACTTCTAAAGGCACACAACTCAACGTCACGGAAATCCTCCAGAATCCTCAGAAATATCCTCATTACAAGTTCGTTAAATGGGCCCCTCAGTTCGCTATTTTGTCGCATTCTTCAACAGCATTGTTTATGACACATGGTGGTGCAAATTCTATTTTCGAAAGTCTCTACACTGGGCAGAAAATGCTTATACACCCTTATCTCGCTGATCAACCTGCCAACGGACAAATAATGGCAGATGCTGGGGTGGCCCTGGTCAACAATCGCTATAAAGTAGCTTCCAAGGATATTGCTGAAAAAATTCGCACGCTTGTTCAAGATAAGGATGGTTTCTTTGCAGACAATTTGAGACGCATGTCGGCACTTGCTCAATTACAGTCTATTGATGCAGTGGATAGAGCAGCAGCTGCGGTCGAGGAAATACTATTCACGTCCAAAGGCGACTCTCTTCCTCACCTCATCCCACCATCCAGCAAAATGACTTATCTGAAAGCCAACAACATTGATATTCAGATTTTACTTGCTACCTGTGTTGTCTCCGTGGTTGCTCTTGCTCTAGGTTTTGTTTACATGCTGATCAGAGCCGCTTTGACATTATTTGGAAAGGCGAAAAAATCAAAAGTAGAATAGACTATTTAGATTACTATCGGCTGTCAACCAGTATCCCTACTGTATTAAAGACTGCCAATGTTTGTGAGTTATAAACTATGATGGGATAAAAAAAAAGGGTATAGCGGTCATATGGAAATGATATGTTTATTCTCAAAAAGCTGAAAATACTCATTTCATTTACGCCAAGACCTAAGACGTAGAGCTATCATTCATTAGTATTGAAATTTGAACATTTGTGTTTTCAGCATGTATTATAGGGGCATTCAGGGTTATCGAGACGTACGAGGTCAGGTACAAACTGTTCGGTATTAACTTATCGGAATTTGGTCCGGTTCACGGCTATACACCAGCAGTCTGGATAACTAAGCTTTTTTTCAATTTTCCACTATGGATCTTCTTTATTTTCAGAGCCATAACGTTGTTTTTGAGACTATAAATTGCCAAGCTATGTAATATCAGTCGCTACATATTTTACATGTGAATACTATTTAAGCAACATTTAGGGAGAAAGTTTAAAAACATAAAAAAAAATTACAGTGCACATGAGAACCACTGGATGTAATATCAGTATCGTCCGCTTTGCTATCCCATGGTCTATACCGAAGTTCAAACCTCTGTTGAAAATCGGTCATCCTTTGATATTTACCATTTCAACAAGCCGATAATTCAAATTTTTTTCATATAAAAATATTTACATAAATTTTTTTTTCGTCTCTTACGGTTTACCATGAAAAAAATCTACTTCATTTTGATCCTAACTTTACAGAGCATCTTTTCCTCAGCAGAGAGACATTTTCGAACGCCATCCTTTTGGTCACCAAAAAATATTTTTTTCTCCACTCTTATTCATGGCTCCTCCCACACTACATGGGTATTGGAAATTGGACAAGAGCTTGCTGCAAAGGGCCATAATTTCACATTCATTTGTAGGTCATACAGCGAAAGATACCTTCGTGACTACCCCACGGTAAATTTGCTACCTATCATCGGCGAAGACCCAGTAGCCGAATATGACAAATTTGCTGTCGTGTTGCAACAGAAGGAATACAACATTGAATTAATGAGAATACTCTTCTCGTTGGTGCAAAAGACTTTCCGTGAAGACTATTTGCAATACTCGAAATATTTTCAAGAATATAAACCTGATGTGGTTTTATGCGACGCATTCATTCACGCCTGTATTTATGCCGCTGATGAAAACAAGATCCCGGTCATTGTGACCTCCACTATGGCCGTTTCTGAGGGTACGATAAAATCTCAAGTGATTAAATTTACGTATTAAAAATCATAGGACTAATGATCTAAAATTCAGACGCAAGCGCATCATTTGTCAATAATTTATTGATAGGGAATCCAACTACCGAGCATGAATCCTTGTGGACCAGATTTTACAACAAATATATTTTCGGAGTAAAGCTACTTTGGACAATCCAAAAAACATGTAGCGAAAAAATTGCTTTACAACAAGAGCTTGGTATCCCGTCTAATCAAGTGCTACCTCACAAAATGAAAGATTCCGTTAAGCTTGTCAACAATTTTTTTGGTATGGAGCCCGCACGGCCGTTGGGCCCACTGGTCAGATTTGCCGGACCCATTTTATCGTCCAGCTATCCTACATTGGACGAACGCAACGCCGAATTTCTAAACGCACACGAGCGAGTTGCATATATTGCATTTGGACATCATTCTATATCCGCACCTCATGAGCTCCAAAATTTATGGCTAGCATTGATAGATTCCATTGAAACTAATATTTTTGACGGATTTTTTTGGGTAATTCGCGATACCTCTAATTTCCCAGAAATAGTGACAAGCACTCTGGGAACCAAAGTGAATGTTTCTGATATAATCAATAATGGAGGGAAGTATCCACACTACCAATTTTCTGAATGGGCTCCACAATTTGCCATTCTATCACATCCATCCACAGCTCTCTTCATTACTCATGGGGGAGCCAACTCGCTTTTCGAAAGTCTGTACAATAGCAAAATGATGCTATTCCACCCATATTTCGGCGATCAAGGAACCAATGTGAAAATGTTGGAAAAAGCAGGAGTTGGACTCGTATACGACCGCTTTAGTTCTAATGCTAAAGATATGGTTCGCAAGATTAAGCTCATAGTCGAAGATGAAGAAGGTCGATTTGCAAGAAATGTGCGACGAATGTCGGCTTTAGTCCAACTGAAAGCAGCAGAAGCTATTCCTAACGCAATATCCACCATCGAAGAAGTTATTTTTTCGTCCAACGTAGACGAAGTCCCTCACTTATACCCTGCTTCACGAAATATGTCTTACATCAAAGCAAACAATATCGACTTGCAATTTATACTTCTTTGTCTTGCTTCTATTTTATTGTTTTTAACATATTCTACCTGCCGTGTTCTTTACCGTGCTCTATACAATTTTTTCTATCCATTTTTCATACTTTACAGCAAGTTAGTATGAACCAAACATAATATATATTACGCTTTCCCCACACCATGGCGGTTTTTAAAATTAACCTGACCATCTCAATAGAACCGTTGATGGGGGTTTGTTGAAATGTATGCATATATTTTATAGACTAAACTGCTACTTCTGAACATGGAGATACATAATAAAAAAACCCATGATATTTCTGTACCTTATGGCTTTGCGAGAGATTGGGCGTAATGAACGGCCCGTTTGGATCCCCTTTATCAAAGATGGAGTAGACTTTCACATTGCCGGCAGTGGTTATGCTTCTGAAGTTTACTCTCACAAATATCGCTCGAGAGTATCAGGACGTCGGGTTCACTGCTAGGCCTTGGCTGATCCCATTTAACAGTGCCACCACAATATAAGCCATTGCAGTAGGCAGAAGAATCAAAAAAAGCAGAAAAACAAAACTATCAGTACTTTTGATGAGGTAGGCTATCGGACACTTTTTGAAAAAAAAAAGTACAGAAAGCTAAGATTCAGCATGTATCTGAATTTTTTTACATGAAAACTTTCCAAGCATTTCAAAAAAGAATTGCTCACTACAGGGATCGAACCTGTGACCTTGGCGTTATTAGCACCACGCTCTACCGACTAAGCTAAGCGAGCTTCTTGTTGAGGACTGACTATATTGCAATTTTATTCAGAGATGCAACTACGAAATGTTTAAAAGCCAGTTTACTCAGTGGATTATGCAGTTTATCATTTAAAATTTTGTTAGCTGCTTTATATTAGCAATAGCCTTCGTTGATATACTGTTATAGGCAAGAATGCATTTTTTCGAGCCGTATAGTCGTCTTTTTTTAATTTTTGAGACGCCGCTGTCGATCGTCGAAATACTAAACTGCCGATATTGGTGCCTCAGCTCTGCTAAAGGCACCTAAATTAACAATAGTCAGGGAGATACAACTCGCCAATTTTATCTAACTGAAAACACTGCTCTTATTTATCTTTATTAATTAAAAAGAAGAGTAATGTAACATAGTTGAAAATTAGCGGAGCTTCAAGACAAATCTACTAATATAGACAATGAAGAACCGCTCCCATTCAAATAATCCCCAGCCTGCAGGTTCAAGTCCTGCCAACGTAATATTTTATAAAAATTTTCCCACTTCATAGGTGCGCCATTGCGAAATTTAAAATCACAAAGAATTTATCTTGCATAAGCGCAACTGTGTCGCCACTGGCTTAGGTCCTTCCACTTATATACTTTCAAAAACCCTCTTCAGACCCATTTGGAAGTTGGATTGCAACTTTCGTGTAGACTTAGTCTTAAAGCTACACACATCCTCGACATGCTCGGCTGAATAAGTCGGCCCATCTTTTATCGTATGCATTGTCAAGCAGAATTCCAAGCAGCCGATACGCATAATAGCTGATGCATTTTCCGAATCTGATCTGCACAGTAGAAATTCCCGTTTCGCAGTCAATGTCAATAACGATTGCTGTTGCGAAAATTTCTATGCCCCTCTGTCATCAAAGCGATAACCCAAGCTTTTGCGAAGAAAGGCTGGATCTGATGTCTGGGCCACTTTAAAGCAAGACTTTCCAAAATCACCTCAGAGATCATACGAGCAGCTGCCGAAGAAAGCAATCTCTTGCCTTCAGTCCATGATACTTACAGGTACTGGAAAAGGTATGTCTTTTTAAGCATCCTCGCTCTGCAACGGCGACTTCATTTCTTTGAATCGCCCGACCACGCCGATACCCCACCCTTCACTCAACAGAAAACGCCGCCTTTCTCCTCAAAACAGCTATATGCCAGCATGAACACCATTGCAAATCTACTGACTGCGATATCCTCGGCACTTGTCATCGCCAGCTCTTTCTCTTCGCTCAATCCATTTTTCAAACGAAAAACGCTTGCTTTATCGTTTTTTGGCCAGAAGGTTAACTCTCTCAAAACCACATCTAAACTTACCTAACTCCTACTAGCATATTAACCGTCCTGGGAGCTATGGTCAGCCTTATAGTCGGAATCTGTGGTGGTCCAGATACTCGCCTGCAGTGCAACCGCAGCGACGCCGCCTTCAAGCAACTCGACTCCCCCACCTCCTTCGCATATATGGTGTGCATGGCATGCGCCGTACGCAATCATTATAACAGTAATCAGAGCGTTATACCAACTACCACTCGAAAGGAAGTTTTATAGATGACAATGTGCGCTACTAGCTGTGTATACCGATGCCGAATGACAAAAGCCCGGGCCAATATGGGATACCATTCGAGCTATACGCCATTCTGATAGATGATCGAAGAGCATCTGATGTTTTTCTCACCGTCATTAATGACGATATTGTCGCTAGAAAGTATCCTACATCGTGGCGAAACACCAGAATGATTCTGCTTTTGAAAGGGCAATTCAGGACTACTCAACAACTGGCGATCGCTGTTACTGATCAATTTGGACGCAAAGATATTCATGAAGATAGTTGCAGACCGTATGCAGCCACTGCTACAGCGCATCATCAATCATAGTCAGACTGGATTCATCCGAGGAAGACACATTAGTGACAATGATATCCTGATGACAAACGATACAACGAAATAAAATTTGAAGGGACTGGTCATAGCAAAACCACTAATTATGTCGCAAGCAACCACCATCAAAGTCCTGCCATGTCCTGGTGATATTGCGGTGATATCCGACAATCACTGGAATGCTACTGATTGAAAATCCTGCTAGATTTGTAATGCTCTGCCTCAAGCGTCAAGCTAAACGTTGGAAAAATGGAAGTAGTATTTATGTCAGAGAAGCCAAATGACGGGTGGAGACTGATGCACCGTAAGTTGCCGTGTCGACAGTCGCTTAATCACTTCCTATCTCTGAACAATTCCCATCAGCTTTTTGCCCATTCTGCCGAGAACCTGAAGATGATATTCATATCATTGTACGATATACCATTAAATTTTCTGTATGGCGAGTCCTCTTCCTGAGCTCGGAAGGATAAGAACTGACCGTTGACCGGCAGGGCCTTTGGTTGAAAACTGTTGATGATGATGTCAAGTTGGATAAGTCCATCATGTGGATACATTTCAACGCTGGTAAGAGTCATCATTCAGAAAGTTTGGGCTCGACATTGATCATCTGCTTTTGTTGCAGTCCCCTTCAAAGCAGATCAGTGTATAAAATTTTTTGACCAACGCATTCAAGTGATTAAAAATTTTTTCTTTCTATGATAAAGATCAGTTTTTAAGTCAGCGCCAGAAATATTTATTTTAGGTACCAGCACTCAATACAAGAAATTTTATAAGACGTTATTGTCACCAGAGGAGGGTGCGAAGTAAGAAACACGATGGTGATAGAGATGGCTGAGAAGAGTTGGCATGTTAACCTCACGGCGCTATCATGGCAAGTAGTCCGGAAACTTCAACAGACGTAAAGCTTTCGCAACCATCCACCTTATCAAAGGCTACAGAAATAATAGATAATAAATGGTTGAATTGTAGTCCTTTTAAACTTGTTACAATTTTTTTTTTTTTTTTGGTTGTCAGCAAAATTCCCGTAAGAACGAGGAATGGATACAATACCTCTAAGTTAATCTTCGGAAGGGCGTTGAACTTTTCTAAATTTTCGAAAATTTTCGAAAAATGCATCTTGACAGAAATCAAAACTTTTTTTTTTTCCGAATATAAGCGAGAAAAGCTGGACTGCAGTCCGTCTCAAAATGCTACTCCACTGGTCTTTGGGATAATCTTGACAATCTTTTATAAACTGAGAAGGTAAAAAATTACGTGAACATTTACCAAAGAGGTATCTATCATAAGCCTACTATTTTTGAAGTATAATTATCAAATAATGCAATGCAGAAACACTGTTCGACCACGTTAAGGGATAGATGTCATGTAAAGATCACTTATTAAGTATAGTGGTCCAACTTTCAGAAATTGCTTCCGTGGCGCAATTGGCTAGCGCGTCTGACTGTTAATCAGGAGGTTGGAAGTTCGAGCCTTCCCGGGAGCGCAATTTTTTTTTCGTCGTCTCAGACATTTTTTGGCATCAATGTGGTGCTACTTCTTGTCAACCAGCTGCTGGTTTTTGCTGACATGAAACACACAGTTTTCTCACCGTGAGCTCTTCTCACCATGGGACTGTTTAGTTATATAGTGTAGGCAAGCAAGGAGAATGTATAGTGCAATTAAAAAAAGGTACACTCAACCGTTATAGTCGAAGCTACCAATTGCCATCTATTGGTGTGGATTTTTTGAATACTTATGCCTGTTGTTACTTGGCAAACATTTCTTTTTATTGAGAGCAATGTAATTTTTTAAAAAACTCGTAGTGAAAAGATGATCTCACTATGAGCGATGTCCTCCTATTGGAAGGAGCGCCAAGTGAAAAGGACATCGGTATCAGCGGAAGCGGAGTTACAAGGAAACAGTCAGTTCTCAGACCTCAGGTTGTTCGAAGTTGAAATTGTCGAAATTAATCCACCTTCTTCTTTGACAATTTTTTTTTAGTCATGGCGACTACAGAGAACTCTCGAAAGGTTCGATGGGAGGAGGCAGAAAATCAAACACATACATATTATGTTAATGGTTACGAAAGACAGTCAGCAAATGACGGCTCAAGATACCCTGGCATTACATCTGCCAATGGCTACCACAGGATGCTCCGTGAGCGACCTAATCCATCGTACCATGTACCACTCTCAAGTTACGACTCAGATACCGAAGGCAGAGACTCTGATGACGAAGATGACATTCTAAGAAACATTACTCGACATCCTGATAAACTACGAGACGATCCGTCGCAGCAACCAGAGATTAATCATGAACGTTTGGAATGGCAGCAGATGTTACAATCTGTGCTAATGGGCGAAGTCATTAAGTCTGAACGCAAACGTCTAGCTACTGCAGCCAACATCAGAGAACAACACCCCACTATTATCAGAGAAATATGGATAGCTTTGCGAGCAAAGTTAACCGGCCGTACAAGTGTTACTGAAAAGCAGACCTTGGAAGAATTACGCCAAGATATAGACAAAGTACTCAATAGACTTTTAGAATTTAAAGTCCAAGATACTGAATCACCGGCCTTACATCAAGTTGCCGACCTACTCAAGGATATTGATCGCATCGAAGGACTGTACCCTACTCGAGCAGAGCTCAGTATACATTGCCCCAAGTATGCCTCGGAAACTGTTCAAACCCGTGTTGATGCTTTGAACGCTTGGGGTACTATCACCCACAGTTTGAGAATGCAGTTCCAAATTCTCAAAGATTGGACAGGCTCAGATGAACTCCAAATCGCAAGAGACCCTGCTACTGAAGTCCAAAGTCTTTCCCCTGCGGGACACAAAGCCGTCCTTGGCAGTAATTCAAACGTTACCGCCCAAGAAATCGACCCATCTTTCTTGGAGCGTATTTTGAAAGAATCTGCATTGCAAGATACATTCGACAGACGTCTTCTTTCTGCACTCTACTCCCTACTTGTCAAGTCCAAGCAAACTATGGCTTCCAACTCTGAATTGTTCGACGAAATGAACTTACCTCCGTTTATCGTAGAGTTGAAGCGCCTTGCTTCTTTCCCAATATCTCTTGTCGAGGAAGCTCTCAAGTACAAGTTACACTATCAAGATCGCCTTAATAATCCCTCATCGCCCATGATAGATGCTATACTAGAAGATTATCGTGGTCTACTAAAACTCGCATGTAATGTACGACAACAGTATGAAGAATTAGCTACTCCAGCTCCAGGTTGGGAGTTCGAAGAGTGTGAAGCTGTATGCATCAACTATGATAGTATCGTCATGGACGCAGTAAGATTCTACTTTAGGCTTATTGGCTACAAGCTCGACATGGAACGTGAGAACAGTCTGAGAGAGTGCGAAGTCATGGAAAAAGAATGGGACTTTTTGAAGGAAACTATATGTCGATCTATCAAGGGCGGTGATCGCGAATGCGCCGAGCAATTCTGGTAAGTCCTCAGAACATGAGTAATCCTGTATGGTATAGTAGGAGCTTACTTTTTTTTTTACACATGGATTTCATAGCTTACTCACAAATCGATTGTTGATCGCGCTAATGAAGCACTATACTAAATGTCTCAAAAGTCCGGAAGCCCTGAAAGCGACTGGAATGGATAGTGAATATGCCAAAGTATTACAGAGCATGAGAATGCGAGCCAGAAAGCTTTTGCGATTCGCAAAGTAAGTCCCCAATATTACTTTTATTTTTGCTTGCCCTCATTTTGATTTGTACGAAATCACGTATTGACGGTTTTTATTGCTGTAAAGAATGTTCAAGGCACAGTTTGAAAACGCTGCAGAATACGTCGTAGATGGTGCTTCCTTTACCGACTTTATCAACGCTTTGGCAGAAACAGATCATTTCTTGGTGTACACTGGTACTTTTGAAGAGGATGGAGTATATGTCATTGCGTCTCCAGATCTGTTTGGTCGGCCAGATAAAATCAAGACCATAATACATGCTAGCACAACTCAGTCAGACTTAAATCCGCCACCAACACCTGGAGGTGTAAACTATGTCTCGCGCGACCCAGATCAATACGTACTTATTCTCTCGCCTTGGCAAAGCTTCCTGTGGACTGGTGATATTGTTGAATTACCCATCGATCATATCGAGCTGGAAATCAAGGCTGATCGAGTTCGACTTGTGTCTGAATCAGCTGAGCGACTGACGGAGGCGCGCGGCAAGTTCTGGAGTGTCGTCCTCAACTGTGGTGTGGAGTTGAAACAAGAACGACGAGCTCATATTCCAAAGATCAACCGAGAGCTCAACAAAATCAAGAAGAGTGTTTTCAAACTAGCTGAATCCGCTATTACTGGTGTAAAGACCATCCAAGAACAAACCCATAATGTTGACCGCCAAGATCTTGTAGAAGAATGCTTCAGCTTTGCTAGTGATTTTGGAAACTATTCAGCCAAATTTTTGGATCTAATCAGTCGGCGACAACTTGACTTGAAACTCGTTCGCTTAGCCATTGATTGGATCTGCTTTATCACTGATGAATGCGTTCCGACTGATAGGAAGACTTTCCGTTGGGCTGTACTTGCTCTCGATTTTGGTATGGTGATGACTCGCGGAAACAATATCTTGGCTCTGAGTGAAGCTGAATTCATTCGATTGCAATCAAAGGTAGCAAGCTGTATAGCATTGCTCATTTCTCACTTTGACGTATTGGGAACAAAGGTTGTACATGACGATGTCAAGGTTCAAAACCCCAGACGAAGCACCATCTCCAAGAGAGGATCTTATAATATATCCGGTGGTCGGGATGAATCAGCGACAACTACATGTTCGACATTTGGAACCACCAAAGACTCTGCTGCTAATCCCAGTGCTATTACCTATATTCGCGAGCGATGGATGCGTACCATTGCTGAATTGGAAGATAAGCGACAGGAAATTGAGCGTGAACGAAACCTTATCGGCAAAGTTCTGGACAAGCAGCGACCTGAGGATCAATCACTTATGTTCCTTGCACCTTCTTCATCTGATATATCCTTCCGATGGCAACAAGGCAAATTCATCGGTGCAGGTACTTTTGGATCTGTATACTTGGCCATCAATCTGGATACTTCTACTGTCATGGCCGTCAAGGAAATCCGTTTCCCAGATTCTAGCTCTCTTTCTGCACTGCACAAGTCTATCAAGGAAGAAATGAAGGTCATGGAAATGCTTCAGCATCCAAATATTGTTCAGTATTTCGGTATGGAGGTCCATCGTGATAAGGTCAACATCTTTATGGAGTACTGCGAGAATGGCAGTTTAGGTGGCTTGCTTGAGCATGGTGGTAGCATTGAAGATGAAATCTATGTGGTCGACTATGTGTATCAACTCTTGGAAGGTCTCGCCTATCTTCACTCTAACAACGTTGTTCATCGTGATATCAAGCCTGACAGTAAGTAGCCATATATCAATGCTTGGCATTCCTTGTGATACATTCTAACCACCTTTGTGTTTTTCAAATAGATATTTTGATTGACCATCTTGGTAAACTTAAGTTCTCCGATTTCGGTGCGGCCAAGATCCTTGCCAAGGGTCAAAAGACAATGGGTAAAACGACTATGAACGTAAACGTTAATAGCTTGACGGGAACTCCCATGTATATGGTAAGCATTTGTTTACAGCTTGGGTGTCATAAGTTCTTTTTTAAACACACATGACTAATACTCTCACAAGGCTCCTGAAGTCATCACTGGTGGTGAAAAGGGTCGTAAAGGTGCTATGGATATTTGGTCGCTAGGATGCTGTATCGTGGAAATGACAACGGGTCGACGACCATGGTCTAATTTGGATAATGAATGGGCTGTCATGTACCATGTTGCCACTGGGTGTCCTCCACTACCTGAGGCATCGCAGCTTTCTGAAGAAGGAATCGATTTCTTGAAGCAGTGCTTCATTCGATCAGCTCATAAGCGTCCTTCGGCTCAAGAGCTTCTTCAACATCCATGGATCACGAACTACTTGGATTTGTGCGACGAAGAAATGCGATATGAAGATGATGAGGAACATGATGGTATCCACCACCATTTGGCAGCCAAGTCTCCTGAACTGAAGGCGGTTGGCACCTCATCTTCTAGAATCATACGTAGTATTGCAGGCAGTATGCCACTGGAAGGGCATCCTGATCATGTCATTGGCGGTGCACAGGCTCAACAATACTTTAGAGACATCAGTGCCAGTAATCGTCATGAATCCCAATCAAGCAGCGGCAACCAAGTTTCAGACCCTATCACATCCAACAATGATAACGAGGCACACCCAGACTTTATTGCCCCCTCGCCCTCTTTGGTCAATGGCACTGTTCGCTCAGAGTCATCCATGCGCTCAGAGTCATCCTCTATTCAATACAATGAAGTACCATCCATCCCTAACTTACCACGCCATTCAAGCGCTTCTAGCCTGCGTAGCGAAGCTTCAAGTCACAACGAGGCCTAGCATCTAAATTCAAAGTATCGTACAATTTACCTATATCAAACCAAGTCAAACTGACCCACAAAAAAAAAAAAAAACCAAACCACTTGAGTCGTATATCTCGTAAAGTGAGATAATGCTTTACAATTTGTATATATTTATTACGTCCATAAATTACTACTTAGCAAGCGTAAACTTGTCACTCATTTTTCAAATGCATGAACAATAAGTGTGTGATCAACATGGGATTTATAGAAATTTATTACAATTCACTGGGGGGTAAATCGCTAAGTACATGATATGAAACAGGAAGCATAGCATATGTGGGACTGGATCGATTATAAAGAAATGAAAAGAAGGCATGTCAGAAAACCAAAGAAGTTTACATGGATGGTTCTTCTTTTGGGGGGTTTCAACATAACATAAAAATAACGACAAGTTGCATCTATTGACGCTGATTGAGACGGCTGACAGCAAAGGCAGCAATGATAACAATACCGAGTCCAACAATGGCAGCTGGAAGAATAAGGTCGGTCTGGCTTTTCTTATTCGCGTCACGGTTGTGTTTGCGGGGGCTGACATCTACTCGCTCAGCATCGGTGGTATCGGGCTTGGGTACGTTGATAGATTTTACATCCTTTTCTCTGACATATAATCGAACACGATCGTGGCCTTGTTTACGAGCAAGTTGAACGGCGTCCCGTAAGTCAGCATCCGATGTAATCAACACCTTGTCCTTTTCATCATCCTCAAACGATATCGCAAGTTGACTTGGTGAGTCATGATCGTCCTCAAGCTTGTGAAGAATCATCTCATGGAGTACATCGTAACTGTTGTGGGCGGCTGTGAAACGATGGGTCTTGCCATTGAAAGAAAATTTAAAGGCAAAGGTATCATCATTTTGGCTTCCATATTGAGAAGACAGAGTGGATCGCATTTCGTCGTTGTTCACCATGCTGGCACTCTCATTTGGAGTAATTTCAGGGAAGGCTTGAAGAGGCGACGAAGATGATTCCATCGCTGCCATTGAACGTCCACTAGCTGTATGAGAATCCGAAACAGCAGAGTCGCTGTCTGCTCCAAAGCTACTCCAAAACTTGTTCCACATGGGGCCGCCCTCGTTATCAGCGCCCTGAATACTATTGATCTGTTGTAAAAACATACCGTTAAATACCATAAACAACACCAATGTCCCCTCCTACCAAATGATTTGGTTTACCTGTTCCAGGGTAGCGTATGTCAATTTTAGTACATCAACCACTCCAATGATAGGCTGGTTTTCTTCGCGGATTGGGAGGTTGAGATAATGCCCATCTATACGAAGAAGCGGTTTAGTATGAAAGCAAAGAGAGGTCGCTCTCTGAGTCACACTTACCATGCATTTTTCGAAGGGCTTCTAGAATAGTGGTATCAGGTGTGGCGGTATCTGGGTGTGGGGTCATTACTCGAACAACCGATGTTTGTTCAGGGTTCAAACCAGCAGCAATGACACGAAGAACAACGTCCTTGCTTGTGAAGATACCAGCGAGGGAATGCTTGTCCATAACAAGGACAGCAGTGGTATGGTGCGCTTTCATAAGCTGGGCAATCTCCTTGACGTTTGCTCTGAGTTTGACTTCAACGGGAGGCTGGCCATCTAAGACGGAGGCAATGTCGGGACAAGACATTTTCTCTCTAAGCATTTCCATATGTTGAACAATTTGAACAGGGCCGCCATTGGTCCACTCTCGTTCTACACCTTGGAGTGCATCATATAGTTTCTTGGACGATCCGTAAGCACGCTCCATTTTATCCAAAGCTTCGTACAAGCATTTTGTAATATCGAGCAGGCCAAAGATATCTCCCTCTTCGTTGCATACCGGCTAAATGTTGTAACGTGATTAATATTTGGTACCTTAAACAGGCATGTAAGCAATTAACAGATTTGCGCATACCAAATGACGGAAACCTCGGGAAACCATTAAATTAAGTGCGTCAGTTGCAGATGTATCGGCGGTAACGCACATTGGACCTTTGGTCATGATATCAGCAACACTGGTCTCTCTACGTAAATCAAAACGGAAAATGACGTTATGTTAGAACATTATGGTAACCACTATGGTCATTTGCACTTTCAAAAAATTCAAGTACCTGGAATCCAAGGAGTTGGCCACAACACGGTAAGCAAGATCTTTCGCCTATAGATATCGTTGTCAGAAACTGAGGCCAAATGCACTGTAACACTAAAATAAGTATGGCCACTTACCGTAAAAATACCACTCAAGTGCTCGTCTTCGTCGACGACCAGAACGCAATCGCTCCGCTTTGCAGCCATGAGCTGTGCTGCTTCAATGACCAACATGTTCTCCTTGACGGTCAGAGCTTGGGCCGGTCTAAGAGCCGAAACAGTTCCTGCAATTTTTTTGCCAGATTGTCTAACTCTAGCGCTGCCTCCTCTCTTCTTGGAAAGCTCCTGTTCCAGTTTCTTACGAATGGCCTAATTGGAGAAAAACGGTGTCAGTTCTGACGAATGAAGGATGTTCCACTGTACAGGGTGTGCAAGATTGAATACCTCATCTCTCTTATTCTGACGTTGTCTACTTCCAGCAGAAGACGCTGCATCAAGAGCTTCCACTCGTGATGGGATTTTGGATCTCTTTGAGGACACGGTAGACATGAAGGCCAGCTGAACACAGACTTCTCAGACGACCAAAGGCAGAAAATTTATACAAAAACCTCGAGCCAAAAAATTGGACCAGAAAACATCACGCAACTATTCTTTGGCGGGGGAAAAAACATAATTACATTTGCATGATTTATTGCAAGCATTTGGAGTATGTAAGAACAAGTGAAGTGCGTATATGAGTTGATAGATGTAGTGAGTGTTATTGGGGGACAGGATGGCTCTATTTGCGATTTCGATTGTTTGCTCTCTTGGCTTTGCCTGGTCGCTTAGCCTGGCCCTTGAATGGTGCCTTGTTCTTCTTAGGGTTAAATCCACCAACATCGGCAGAAGACTCTGCTGTGTTGGACTTGGCATATCTCTTCTTGCCACCGAAACCATATTTCGAATCTTTCTTATCACGTTTGCTGGGACCACGCTTAGACTTCTTGTTGGATTTATCATCAGCACCCCCATCAAGCTCGATATCGAAATCTTCAGTGGAGAAATCTTCAGCTCCCTTTCGCTCTAAAGAAATAATTCATTGTCAATTATCTGTCCAGACTATCTATTTTTTTTTGAAAAAGGTATTTTTTAACTTACTTCTCTTGAGCATTTTAATTTTCTCCATGTCTTCGGACTTCTTCTTTTGACGTTCTTGAAGCTTCTCAATTTGAACCTTCTTTCCGAACTTCTTGAGGTCACGTTGACGTTTGGCATCCTCTGAAGCTTTCACTCCAGCAGTTTCATCAAGCAAGCGTTGTCGGATCTTGTAGGAAAAAGAAAGTGTTAAGTCAGCCAGCTGTATTGCCTAGTTTACCCAATTTTATCAGCGAAGACGCTTACCTTTTCCATGTGTTCATCACTCTTGACCATTTCAGCAAAATAATCGTCAGGTCTAGTAAAAGGAAGGCCGGCGGCCTTAACCTTTTCACGACCAATATTGGCAGCCTCCAAAGCTTGCTGATAGAAAGCCAATTCTCTCTTCAAATCGTCATGTACATCCTCAAGCTCAATAGGTTCGGTGGAAGTCACAGCCATGGTCTCGATCCAAGGAAGATCCTTCAACCTGAATTCTTCGGTGATACGCTTGAGCGCAGCCTAGACAGTCATTGAGTAATTAATATACGGTGACGAGATCCATTGGAAAAGAGTAGTCCTATATTATACCTCATTGTTAATGGTGACCTTTTGCTCGAGGATCAGATCACCGTCCTCGTCGTCAATATCGCTAGCGTCAAGATCTTCAAGAGACACAGGCACTTGTTCCATCAGCTCATCCTCCTGTATGATTTGGAGTTCCTCTTCTGAATGATTGCTATCGTCTGATGACATTGTTTGGTATAAATGTATATTAAACGGACACAGGTTATTCGAGTATGAAAAAAAAAATTGGTTCTTGTCTCGATTCAACAGTCACACTCTGGGTGAAGGAAATTGAAAGCAAGCCACACATCCTCTCTTTTTTGAAGGTAATATTTCTCTTAACCTACGGCCAGAACACACTATCTATGGCTTGGTCAAAGTGGTTGGTGGTGCCAAGACCCATTTGGTGCTGAGACCTTGAGCAGGCGCAGCAACCCGAAATATTCCCAAAAACAGGGTGCTAATACTCACTCTCTTGGGCCCGCCACTACACAAAACGTCGATCAAAACACGCCAGCATGTATTTCACATCAAAATAGCTTTTTAAGAGATCCTTTGGTATGAAACAATAGCGAGTATAAAAATAGGAGTTGGTTCCTCCTCCGTGGCCAGAAGGAGGACATTTTGCATGTTGTTTTTTGGACACAGCCACAAGGTGCCACAACTAATCTATAAAAGATCAGCAAGCTCCAACATTCTTTTCTCGGCTACTTCTCTTCTGTTCTTCTCTTCTTCGTATAATGCATTTTATAAGGGAAGCTTTTCGACGAAAGGTGAATAAATACGTCTTATTTGCACCACTACAAAGAAAATATTCATCAATCATGTTATTGACAGCCCCTGGAAAAAACGTCGCTGGTCTGGGTCCGCGGAATAACAGCAGTGGGGCTCACTTGTATCTTCGCTGCGTATTTCCTTTACTTGTGTATTCAGGTTTGTGTTTATCATCTGATTCTAAAAGGGAACAGCCCTCTAAACACCACTGTGTATACAGCTGTATGAGGATCAGCCACTGATCAAACTATTGGCACAAAACATAACGGATACTTACGTGTCACCTGATGTGGAGATGTGCAGTGCCAACTCCAATCTGCGATTATGGTATTGCGATATTGTTGCTATGAAGTAAGTCTTTCGGAGTGACGCCTGCTCTATTCAAGTAACCAACAGAACGACTCATTCTTTGTAGCTGGACTTCTCGACGCGTCCCAAATTGCACGGGACTAATCCAAAAGGGTGCTTATAGTCCCACCATGTATTGTCAGATATTTCAGTCGAACGGGTCCATTGCCTTTGGATTAAATGCTGACACGCCTGATACGCCAGGAAAGGATGTTGTGCGGCGAGTGGACTTTTATTGGCAGATCGACAATTTGACAGCTTCTGTCTCGCAAACTCTCTCAGTGCCCGCCATCTCTGTACAGTTATATGCGCCACAATTCAATCCTTGGTACACCAATGATGTGCCAGGGTGGATTCCTCGCCAATTTCAAGCCTACCGAGACATCACTATGGGCGTAACGAAAGCCACTGCGGTAAGCAGGCTTTCATACATAACGATGATCAGCATTCACTTACTGACGTCCGTTGTTATGTGATTAGATCCAACGGCATTCTACCAACCTGATCTTTACTCCAAGCACTTACAAGGCGATTAGACCGTCTGATTTTGGAGCGCTTTTTGGGCTGGTGAGCATGAATGTGACAATTTAAACTGAATTCAAATAGGCAGTGAGTAATGAAAAAATCAAATCAGGCTGCGCGATATGTCGACATACCTACCATATCGACTGATAGTATCATATGGCCACTGCATTTCAACCCCAACTTTTCGAACGGAGTAAGTTCAAAAGAATCGGTCTGTTTAACGTATGGTATTATGGAATTAAACATTCAAAAAATCTACAGATGATGACTGGCCATTTTTCTATCCAGCTAGGAAGTGGTACCATGAATGTTCAGGTAAAATAATATATCCAGACTACGCTCAGGCGGAATGAATACTGACTTTATCGTGACAACAATCCTCAAAAACAGCAAGAACAGCGACAAAATACCATTCTATCACTACTTGCGTTGACGGGTGGTGCATTTGGATTGCTGAATATCATATACGTAATGTTATTCGGTATGACAAGATTAGCGCCATGGGGTGTGGTGCATTATTTTTCCTTTTTTTTCGACCCTCCGCCATCCTATTCTCCTATGGAGTCAGACAAGAAAGCGTTATTACAACAAGAGATTGTGTCCATCAAATCTGAGTATTACAACGTCGAGCTAGAACGAGCGACGTCGACCGGCGAGTCCAGGCATTGGGCGGAGAAAACGGAGGAAATAGAACACCCTTTACCTAGAACACCTGTAACAGATGTGTCAACGATGATGAGCGACGAACAGTCGGTTACAGGAACCTCACCGATGGATCTAGAAGCTCGTGTACAGGAGCTTGAACTTATTCTCGCCAATTACTTCTTAGATACTAAACATTTGGATCGCATGCGACGGAAGTCTAACCGGAGACCCTCACAACGACACACTTTTACAGGCTCTATTTCCAGTTAGAGTGCATCTTTATTATTCCCTTTACTCATACCAGTACTATTCAACTTGCATCAACTGTAAATTAAATTCGAGATCCGTAATAAAAAATCGCTTTGTATATTATTTCTTCGATGGGGAAGTCTGGAGAAAATAAAGGGGGGGGGTTTATTTTATCATGAAATGATAGGCTTTAAAAAATAATAATGGTACTATAATGTAGGGTTAAAAAATGAATGCCGGTTTGATGATGCTTGTTAGTCTTCTTGGACTTTGCCAGTTGATGGGTCTTCCTCAGCTTCAATGTCGCCTACGCCATTAGCCAAGTCCACTTCGTGTTGCCAGTCAACTGTCGTACACAGGTACAACAACTGAATAGAGGCATTGATAGCAAAACCTACGATCATGCCTATCCACAAGCCCTGGATACCAAAGTCGAAACCAAAGGCTAATATGAAACTGAGTGGGAAAATCAGGCAATAGTATGTTGACAGCGTCAAATATGTGCTGATCTGTGGTCTATTCATGCCACGTAGAATACCAGATGCAACAGTCGAAATTGACTCAAACATTTGGCAGAGTCCCACAAGGGGAAGTACAGCTACCAAGACCTCCGCCAAATCCGATTGAGAGGTAAAGAGGGCAGCCAATCTAGGGGCGGCCAACTTATAGAACACCGACATACCAGCGCCGAAAAAGATCGATAGCAAGACAGCAGAGTTGGCTGCGTATTTAGCATACCTTGTGTCTGCGCATTCCAGCCAATGGTCAATACGGTTGGCGCCAGAAACAGATATTCCAAACGGCAGGATAAAAGTGGTTGAAGCGATGGTCATCATGATAGACTGAGAGGCAAGGTCTACCACACCGATGTAGGATGCAGCCAGAGTCAAAATTTCAAAAGCCCACCATTCGGAGCATACCATGAAGATACCGACAAAGGCATGGATGAAGAACGTCGAACAATCTGAAAAAGCTTGTCTTGACCAACCTCCCCAGGCTTCCTTTCCTTGCACAAACACGATGAACAAGACCATGGAGATGAACAACAGCCAATAGGTGATGGAGATGGCCACAGAAGCACCAATAAGACCGAGATCTCGTTGGAATATCAAAACATAGTTCAAAATAGCATTGATAGGAGAAACCACCATCAAAACCTTGGTAGGGACGCTGACAATACCCTGAGTTTGACAAAACTTCTTCAAAGCCTCAAAGCAAAAGTATGCAGGCGCACCAATTAAAAGATATCGTATGTATAGTCCTAGGCAAAAAGAATTCATGTCAGTACCAAAGTACTGAATGATGATGTGGGTAGATGGGTGAAAAACCTCTATGAGCGCTTACCAGCAAGGTGTGTGATTTCATCACTTTGACCTAGGAAGGTCAAAAGCGAAGTTGCGTGCCACCAAACGAAAGAAACGGGTATAAATAGACCAGCGAGGGACATGAGGGTTTTTTGAAGTTGAACGCCAAGGTACGTCAGGTCTTCATCTTCAAACTCTTCTTTGTTCACATCCATAGCAGTAACTATGCCAACCGCCAACGACCAGCCGGTGACGCCTGCAAACATTGACCCTAGCGCATAGGCTGCCAACTCTGTAGTGCCCTTGTCAAAGCAACGGGTATAAGACTGAGTGCAACAATGACACGAGGCGGATGAACATGACCTACCAAATGGCCTAGACAGACGATGGGTGCAATCTGAAGAGAGACTTGTAAAAAGTATGCAACGACCGTCGGACCTGAGCTACCTATCAGCCAGAGAAGCTCGCGCAGCACAATCCATACTGGATGTCGCTTGTCCAGGGTGCTCGCGTATTGCCCAGCCAAAAGTGGTGTTTGCTCCATTTTGAATAAATGAGCTGTAAGAAGAAATCACCAGATGCGTTTCAAGAAAAGGAGAGCATTCGATTTCGGATGTCATAGGTTTAAATTGGACAGGGACATACATGTCCCTTGATTTCAATACAAGGGATACAAAGGGCCAACAGTACGTGTTCTTTTTTTATTTCGTGAGTATAGGTGATTAGAACCAACCAGCTGCCACATCAGACCTTCGCCTCAAAACTTCTCTTATTTGTGCCACATCGAGTCTCTCCATGGACAGAGCGTTGCAAATGTCCGCAACATCCTCTTCCTGATCGCCGCTGGATATTGCGTTTATGAAGAAGGTGCATGTCAGACGCGGATCAGAGACCGAGGATTGACTGGTATTAGCAGTAGTACTGCTAGGTAATGTAAGTAAGATAAGTGCCTCTTTCAATCTGCCAAAGAAAAAAAAGTTCGAGTGAGTGGCACTATCTTGCTAACATGGAATTTCATGGGGTCAAAAGTCTACCTTTTTGTAAAGTTTTCTGGCTTTTTCACCCACGCCTTGGCAATTTGCCATATGCCAATTGTAGCATCGAGTTGCAACTGATATCCTCCTTGCCGTGAAAATTGGTGAGCAACAACAATGTTCTTCCAGAACCAGTCATCTAGATCCAATAGTATATTTCGGAGCACGGAGTGAAATAGTGATGAAGGGAGCGCTGACGCCAAGTAGGTAAGATTTCTTTTCAAATCAGCCACAGGTCGGTATAGTTCTGCTGATATTTCGGATGGCGAGGCATCAGAAAATGGCATTGACCAGTTCCGGCTGAAAGCAATTTTGTTAGGTTTCTCCCATATGTCACAGGAGGAAGATGTAGCTTACCTCTTTGCATAGGATCGAGCTCCGACACTCCAATCTTTAGCAACCATTTTGACAACCGTCTTTTGTATCTTCGCACAGAGGGTATCGTAAAGTTCGTCGGCCACTTCAGAAAAGATAGTTCCATCTTCGTAATTAGCTGGGTCAGGAAGTGCACTCATTGGAGTGTTCAGTTCAGCCAACGCTTGCGCTTTGGCTGCTTTATGATTCAAGTCACTCCACATCTCCAGAAAGAACTGAATATAGACAACGGTATAGACAAATCAGCTTGCTTGCTCTCTATTCATGTTTTCCAACGTCGAATTGAAGCCAAAGAAAAACTTACATCATCTTCTCCCCATTCAAGGATGCGATCGTGAACGGTTATGGCACTTGCCCACCATCGGCAGAGTCTCTGTAAGCCACCCGTCGTTCCTGACTTTTCCGTGGACGTCATTACCCCTGTTACAGCATCTGGTAAGGCTCCTGGAACTGGTACTGAGCGAATGAGACTCAATGCTTCGAACGAGTCAACAGCTGAAGCTATCCTTCGATGGTACGATTCCAGGAGATCGATCTGAATTTCCATTAGAAACCGCAATCGCTGCTCAAATAGTGGTAACAAGCGATAGGATTCTGAAATTGAAACGGACATGTTAACAATGACCAGAAGAGAGTCATACCACGCACTCAGGTTGCTCAGCTCTGCATACCTGTAATGCCTTCCACCAGACTCAATATGCGAGATGCAGATTTGGTGGCTAGAACAGCATCTTTATCCTCCTGGTAATTGTCTTCCTCGTCGTCATGCATGTATTCCGCTCCTCTATTATCATCTTCGTCACCCGTGAAGTCCCAAGCCCTGCGATCGTGAACAATTTCATCAAAGCGTGCGACAGCAACTGTAGAAGAAATAAGTCTTGGTCAACGGCAAAATAGAGATTAAACGAAGGTTCCAGACTTGTACTTACATTCTTTTTCCATTTTGAGCCAGGCATCAAACCATTCAGGGTTCCCTACTATGACCTGAGCAAGACCTAAATTAAACTCTGAGCCCCTCGGTGCAGTGTATGCAAAACGATCTCGCAAAGTCTGATCAAAGGACAACGTTTCATGGATGGTATGGCTGAGAAGAGCTGGTTGCTGTAAGATCTGCGGTATGGATTTTTGCAATTTCCGCTGAAGGTCTTTAAGAATGCCTGTGATGAAGTCCGTCTTTGCAGAGTTTCGTAGTGAAGGTGAGTTGAATTTGTCAATGATTGGTTGTACCACTCCTATGATAAAAGGTAGATGCTGTGATATTGTTTGTATAGTGTGGTTCAGATACCATTCGGGCTATTGAAGAAGGTTGTCAGTAACCCATATGTTTTTTTTTTCTCAGGTGCAGTCACCGACGATATTACCTTATCCAATCGGTTGGTTGGCCGAGAGCCCTCAAAGTGGAATCGAAAGCGCAAGGAAAGAGCGCTAAGCATGATTTGAATAGGTACAAGCGCATGGTACGAATCTTCATCAACGACCTCATCAGACTCATCCAATCCAGTCAGTCTAGATTTATACGTTAATCAAAGTATTATGCATAGAATCACGTAACAACGATTTCAACTTACGGTAACTGAAGCAGCAAGAGATCGGAAAACGCTTGTTCAAAGTGCTTAACATATTCCTTGGTCTGAATGTTGTACGGTGGCTTTAATGGTACTGGCCATTGGAGAGCTTTTAGCGTGTCTTCAAATTTCCTGAAATTGGGATATTCGATAAATAAGGATGTCCAACAGCTTATACATATTCAAGCGAATACTAACTTGGACAGTATATCCTTGAGCTCCTCCCATAGCGTTGTTTGCCGTTTTGTCATATAGTTCGTTAATTCAGCATTGCATCCGGGCGGGCTGGACGACTTTGTTACTTTGATCAATTTTGCGAGTTGGCTATAAGGCTTAAGAGCAGCCTGTGGATCATCTTTCACTAAAGATTTTGCACGAGAACTTGATATGTAGTCGGTTAGCACATGTGCACATACCGTCGTGAGCTACACGAAATCCAACATTACCTCAGCTCGTCGACTATAATCAACACTTTAACATACTGACGTGTGTTATCCAATCTCGTTAGTTTTGTCTCCAGGTCCACCAGGTTACTCACAATCTCAGCTTGTTTGTGGGTATCCTTTTGTTCTGGCGAGTGCTGAGCGCAAAACTCTTGCAATGAAGTTTCGTCGTAGGTCTGTTTAGCTTGCAAGTTCTTTAGTTTATCAACAGCCTGCTGAGTGCGTTGCAGTGTAGTCGCAATAGTGGTGCGTGTTCTGTCTGTTGTTTGATTAAGCTATTATGCAGTAGTGGATGAATGAGTCAGTCAGCCTGGATCTATCAAAGCGATGCTAAAACTACCTCTTGTAATAGTATTTGGTGCTTTGCCTGTCGTTCTTGAAGCTGGGTATCTAAAAGTTCAAGAGTGGTAGCTTCACCATTCAGCGGAATGCGCTGGTTTAGGGCAATGACGGTTGCATCCGTGATGTCCGTCATAAGAGAGGGCAGTCAATGAGGCGATTACAGTCACTGGCGAACCTGACCCGGACTTGCAAAATCGTCAACGCTTGAACGACACAAACTCAGCAACCAACCCACCAAGCGCTATGTTTTCTGGTATGAAATTTTTTTATTTCTTAACTACGTTTTGAAGTTTGCCATGACTACACTGCAAACTTACTACTTCCACCTATAATCTGACCGAGAATCATGGTCTTGGATTCGATCAATGTATTTTGTATGGTTTTTATTTTCATTTTATCAATATAAGATGGAATGATTTTCTGCCAAAAGGTAGAGACCACCGCATATCTAACGTCTTTCGTCCTGCTACCTTATGTTCGAAGAACAAGTTTGAGCAGTGGTACTCGTCGTTATCTAAGGGTCCCTTCCCTCCAGCATATTACTCTCTTGTGCCTTAGTAGTAACAGATTCTCATTTCCGAGGATAGAACGCTACCAATTAAGCACAATTTGATAGTTGGGAGCACATTATGTGCACTAACTTTTGCAAAGAGCTCATGGTTGAAAATTTTTGCCAAATATTTATAGACAAACGAGGCAGTCACAAGCCCTAGAATTGAACATCCGCGTTTGCCCACCAATGACAAAATCTCAAGTGGTAAGAAAAATCTAGGCAGAGGTGGAAAAATGATGAAAAAAAAAAAAAAGATGTTGGCTTCATGAAATTAGCGCTATTTAGAAGACTTCCACCATTGTAAAAAGGGAATGGTCTTGCTCCAATCTCACTGCTTCAACGCAGGCAGCTTTCACCCAATTTGGAGCCTTTGTGCTACATTATGAAGAAATTATAGATTGCGTTCGCCGCCCCTTTTCCATCGCCACCGTCTCTTCCTTCCACTCCTTTACTTTCGTGACATCCATGGTCAAGCGTGCGTTGATTCCGGGATTATTTCCCTCGTCCTCTGATCCAGCGCCTGGAACCACAGAGAAGTCAAGCACCACGAGTGATCCATCCCCAACCACCGCTGCCAGCACTTCATCCACCACATCTGTTCCAGTTACAACCTTACCACCATCAACATCGTCTGTAAAACCTTCCTCATCCTCCGTCCCTCCCACCTCCACAAAACCTACTTCAACCCTCACATCTTCCTCTGTCCCAACCATCGCTCCTTCCACATCTGTTGTTTTAACTACAGGTGGATCTTCAACCAGCCTCACAACTGCGACACCAACAGCAACGGCTAGCCCAGATACGGGTGACCAATCGTTTCCAACCGGGATGGTCGCTGGTGTATGTGCAGTGATATTCGTAGTAGCAGTGTCGTTAGCAGGATTTGTATTCTACACGCGCTGGAAGAAACGTAAACAGGAGAAAGCATGGGCTATGCAAGAATTATTCAATGGCACATCGGATGATCCTAGTATTCTCGCTTCTGACCCTATTTACCGTGACGGAGAGGCCGATAATATGCCTTTGCCTAAAAACTGGAACGATCCATACTCTCAACCCTATAGCCCCCGGCAACCACAACAGCAGTACATGTTTTATCAACAAACTGGTGCACCACAAAGTCCATTCCCTAACAGAGCACCAGGTCCTCAACCATCGTATCATTATTAAATACCACCACTCTACCTATTGTCATATAAAGCCCAACTGTTTACATGCCGTACGTTTTTTATCTTGCGAATTTCAGAGTGTGGTAATGGAGTCATTCTATGCAGGATGGAAAAAAAAAAAAAAAACTGCAATGCCAGACGACGAGGTTGACTTGAAGGAAAACACCTTGTCCAGCCTAAGACAATCCAGTTGGCTGTGGTTTCCTGGAAACTGCAGGATATAGACAAATATGGCCAAGTAATTCAAACCGTGTGCGGTGCGATTGATTCAATGATTGGGAGCTTAATTTTCCTAGATACTTGTCACACAGCATTCTCTCGGGTACACACTGCCCACCAACATCTGGTTTTTTTGTTCCCTATTTCCTCTGGGTACTCTTATTTCTGTATGCATAGAAATGCTACCATTAGACGAGTATGAAAACGTCATCCTCTAGTAGGTGGAAACGGTCAAAGACGAGAGTGAATGACCAGCAAAGGTATAAGACCAAAGAAAATATGTACAGTGATTTGAAAAAAGATAACACATAAAAAAATGGGGGAACCGAAGCAAATGAAGAAGTACTTTTTTTTTTTTGGGAAGGGGGATAGTTAAAATAAAAGAATGGCTGTGGAGAGAGACGTGATTTAATCGCGGGCAACGTAGCCTCTGACCCAATCTTGCACAGCCTGGCTATCACGCTTCAACCACTCAGCATTCACCTTGGCAGCTTCGATGGCCTGTTGAAGAGGACGAGCATACTCCTTGGTATCCTTGTTGGCAAAGAAAGCTTCGATTTCTTCAATTCTGCGGTCATCAACGAATCCATCCACAGAGGACTTGACGGCAATACCAAACAGAGAGAGAGATTTGGAGAACTTGGTATGAAGCAAGTCATAGTTGTTGCTGAAGAACTCCCACAAGTGGTTACGAGCGTCAGGGTTAGATCCCAAAGTGCGGAACACATACACACTGTCTTGACCACGGACTTGCTTTTCGTCCAAGCTCATGGCGAGGTATCGGTTGATCAAAGCTTCACTCTTGGCATTACCAAGCGTAGCAAGAGCAGCCAGACGCTGATCAGAAGTCAAAGTCTCGTTCTCATAGATTTTCAGGATTTCCTCCCAGACTTGGGTCTCTTCAGTTTCGTCGTTGGCGTTCTTGAGAACAATGTTATAAACCGGTCCGCGCAAGTTAGGATGAAGGGCCTCGTTGTCACCCTTGACGAAACGCCAGAAACGATCTCTAGCTTCATCCACAATGCCTTGATCGCCGCTGCGACCAGCATTGGACAAGACGAGAACACGAAGCATGTTGGTAAGATAGTCATCGGTAGGCTTGAATTCCCAGCCCAATTTGTGGGCAATAGGGCTGAAAAGGTTGCGACGAAGCAAGTTGAGACCATCCTTGACCTCGCTGGGCTGTTCGTACCAGACGCTGAGGATGTTGCTCAAGTGAGTGCTAATTTGTGACCACACGCTGGAAGTAGTAAAAATCGACATTCAGTATATCAGTTTTGTTTGCCTACACCATGGACGGCCCTCTATGGCTTTTTCTACTTACAAGTACTCGGTTTCATTCTGGAATGCCTGAGCAAGTTCCAAGAAGGCGCTTGTGGTTTGCTCACCACTGACGCAAAGACTGCCAGCATCAGCAACCAAACCAACTCGGTCGGCAGTGTTGCTCAAAAGACCATTGTTGGGCTTGCGGACTTCATCGGCAAGACGCTTGATGACATCGATAGGGTATTGAACTCGGTAAACACCGCTTTGACCAGCATTGAGCTTGAAAGAATGGGAGCCGACAGCGAAACGTTGGGACTTGTCGGTAAGAGTGTACGACTCAACCTTATCGGGAGTCAAGACACCAAGCGGGACCCACCAATTAGTGCTATTTGAACATTAAGGTTAGTCATGAGACAAAACGGTCCTTTCTAATTTTTCAGTACTAACGTGTCTTCGACCGACTTAAGGTCGCCTGTTGAGAGGTAGCGAGCTTGTGTAACTTGGATGTTTGAATCGTCAACAGTATCCACTCGGAGGACTGGGTACTAGAGTGAAAGGTTAAGTCAGTAAACCCCACCCACAAAGCCTGATTTCCACAGAGAATCACTTACGCCAACATTCTTGGTCCACAATTGCATGAACTTGGACACATCGACACCAGCCACTTCGCTGAGCGCAGCCCACAAATCGCCAGTGGAAGCATTGCCGAACTTATGACGATGAAGATAGCGGCGAACACCAGCAAGGAAAACGTCAACACCAAGCCATGAGCTAAGCATGCGAATGACACTAGCTCCTTTGTAGTATGAAATGGCATCGAAAATCTGATGAATTTCAGCAGGGTCGTTCACAGCAACCTCGATAGGGTGAGATGATCGGAGAGCATCCAAGCTGAGAGCACGGGGCATATCCTCATTAACAAAGGAGGTCCATACATCCCAGTCAGGGAAGACATGGTCGACGGCCAACCAACCTACCCAGGTGGCAAAACCTTCATTCAACCAAAGATGGTCCCACCATTCCTACAATAACTCCACTATTTAGAAAGGACAGAACTTTTTGTTTGCAGTATCAGCGACTGCTTACCATGGTGACCAAATTACCGAACCACTGATGAGCCAATTCGTGGCAAACAGTGTAGGCAGTTTGCTTCTTGGCAGCCAAAGAGGAAGCCTTTTCATCGAAGAGCAACGCAACTGTGCGATAAGTGACCAAACCTTAATGATTCAAGGAAGCGATGTTAGAAATGGATAGCGCAAATTCGGAGTACAACGTTGGTTGGTAAACCTTACCCCAATTCTCCATAGCACCAGCTTCGAAATCAGGAATAGCCACCATGTCCATCTTGGGAAGAGGATAAGGCTCACCGAATACGGCGGCGAAGTATTCCAAGGCCTTGGTGCAGACATTGAGAGCGTGGCGGCCCTGTTCAGTAGAGCCAGGAAGGGTGTAGACTCGAACTTTGACGGATTCACCGTTGTGTTCTCCTGTGGTGTGAGCCTCAATATACTCAAAAGGACCGACAACAAAAGCAAGCAAGTACGTGCTCATCATGGGAGTAGTGGCGTATTTGACTTCCTTAAGAGAGGTAGATGTGGCAACATCCTTTCCGGTCTGGCTGCCTTCATGCTTTCCAACATTAGGTCCCTTGCCTGACTCTTGGAAGGGCTTTTCTGAAATGACGTTCATGTTGGACAAAGCAGTCAACTCTGAGGGCACAACAAGAGTGACATCGAAAGTGGCCTTGAGGGAGGGCTATGAGAGAAGAAAAAACCCCACTTTGTCAATTCGCAAGCCATTATTCATGCAAAATCGTTATCGCGCCATACCTCATCCCAACAGGGGAATGCACGTCTGGCATCTGTGGCCTCAAATTGAGTCGTGGCGAGATATCTACAATGGATGGCGCAATGATAAGCATCCTCTCCAACAGCTGAAAGCTTTACCTGCAAGAACACGTCCACGCTTGGCCCTAACACCATGGGAGAGTGTCACTTACTTTGTTTCACCAGAAGCATCCTTGTAGGAGCTACGATAGAAGCCAGCCATCTGATCGTTCAGAGTGCCTTCGAACAGAATATCCAACACGGTCTCGGATTTAGCAGGGACAGACTCAGCAAAGGTCAAGGTGACGATATGCTTTTGCTCGTCATAACTGATATCAGTTGCTTCTTGGCTATGGAAGGGAGAAGAATGAGTTACACCATCAAGCAGATGGATGTTGTCCAAGACATGGTTATTACCTTGATTGTGTCTTGAGAGCAGAAGATTGCAACTTGGCGGAGGTCAGCTTGAGTTCATGGGAGTTCAGTGTGATGATCTTGGTGTCCTCGTTCACGTCCAACCTAATGACCAAAAGATTGCTTTGATCAATGTCCTAGTCACCATGATCTAAACGATGGCCACAGCACTTACTTGACAATGACTCTACCGTCAAAGTGGAAGGAGGTCAGATTGGGTCTCAATGACAGATCATAGTGGACTGGTCTAACGTTGGTAGGTAGGACTTGACGCGAGGTGGCCATATTCTTCAGATACAATTGAACGAGGTAAGCAAAGAAGATGCAAACAATCCAAAGCAACTTCATTCTCGTGTTCTGGGGGGGATTTTATATTCAGATAGATTTTTTTTCTCACCTTTTTGCAGTTCAGAGAAAAGAGAGGATTTCAGTAATGCCTGCCTTTTTCAGCACAAGTCGCCAAAAGCAGCCGCCCCGCTTCTTCGGAGTGTCTCCTTTCTTTTGAAAATTTCTTCCCCGTTGAATCGGCCACCCTCATTTTCCCCTCCCGCTTCCTGACAAATTGTTAATGCTCGAGCCCTTGGTATAATTTATTATTACATTATACGGTAAGTTCATGATACAAAATAGAATGGGGTGGGCACAAGCTACACTAAGTGACGACGTTTAAGATGGGACCGTTCCATAGCCTACTGGGGCTTGTCTACCAGGTCTTCCCAGTCTTCTCTCGTCTCTTTCCTTGACCAACACGTAGAAAGCGTGGACGTGACCGGGAATGTATCTGGAAATAAAAACCGCACGTTATTACTTTCAGCTGGGAATACACGCACTGCAGCCGTTTAATGAACTTACCCGAGAATGGTCAAAATACTGTAGTATCATTTCAGGAAAATATCGCTTAATACGAGGGCGGTAACATACTCAATCGATAGAGGCATGATCAACTTACACGTTAATCCAGAAATCAGGTCCACAGCCTCTCATCAAGAAGACACCGAGAGGTGGAAGAAGTAGGATGATTACAATAAGACAGCAGTCGCCAACCATGTTTTGATAAGTGAGTAAGTAAAAAGAGTAAGTCTTGGCTTCCCTGGCTTTTCCAATTAGTTTTATATACAGTCGTGTTATGATTTGAGGTACCTATTACATCACATCTATTCTATTTTAGGAAATGGATGGCTTACGGCTCGAATCACGGCGCTTTCATCTTGGCACGTTGACGAGTAAGCAAGTAGTGCTACAACGTTCAAGTCATAGATAGAACCATACAACATTGTATAGAACCAGCTTGTTGGTTCTCTTCTAGACGGCAGTTGCCCGTGCTTTCAAGCTGGGTGAAGTTACGTCATCAATAGTTGAACAAATATCCCATAAAAATTTGAGTAGACGACGAACGAACAACTCAGTCTGTTGCTCGAGGCAGCCAAAATGATCGCTGATCTCATAGCAGAAGGGAAGATTACCGAATTATTTAGCATGCTAGCCATATAGGATGACATATCTACTATTTGCGGTATGATTATTTTAACCATGAGTCAATACAGCAGTAAATGTGATTTAACTCGTTAGCAACATAAAACAAATGACATGATACTATGACACCATCAACAGTGTCTGGCCTCTCAGCGATGCCGCTCTGGACTGTTGCAAAAGCTTAACGAGGTGGCTAAATGCTGAGCCGTTGATGGGATAAGATAGCAAGTTATGGATGCTTTGTAGATCAGAAAATAGACGAGAACGCACTCAAAGAATGATCCAAGGTACCACGATGGCTGGTATTTTGTAGTGAGGCTCGTTTTTTTTTTTGCCAACTGGAATCTTGCAGCCTGGATTGAGGTTGACCCAAAGTCGTTTTCTTTTAGCAGTCACAGGCCGGTCTATCCTTCAGGCTTGAAATCGCCTGAGCCAATCCATCTCACAGATCCAGCCTAGCTTTTGGAATGGAGAACGCAGAAACTGAGGAGCAGGCAAACAATGTACCGGAACATACTTCGGATACAGAAATGCCTAATGCCCCAACCGCAGATGAGACGGTCGATAAGAACAATCAGTCTGATCGCACAGCCAAGCCAGTAGACAATGGCCCAACTGACCACGTAAAGAAGGCTCCAGAATCAATAGTTTCGGCACCAGGATCATGGCAGATTCCTCCGGGCGCGTTGGCAGCCAGCAATAATACATCAACTCCAGTGAATCCTGTCTCATACCACCCACCAACTGCCTCGTCCAAGGCAGCCGAAAAAATAGAAAAAGTAGAACAACGCATACGCGACGATCAATATGACTTGGACGCATGGACGATCCTCATTAACGAGATTCAGAACAATGGCGACATTAATGCTATTCGGGATGTCTATGAGCGCGTACTCAAAGTTTTCCCCACCTCGGTAGGTCTTATTTGTTGAATGCGGCCTTTATTCTTATATAGGGTATAAAACTTATGGGGGAGGGAAATGGGTATTGCTTGGGTATGAAGTTCTATACACGATCTCTTTACATCTCAGTGTTGGTGGCCCGCCTATTGAACTTGGGAGGTGCGCAAATGAAGCTCTTCACGGCATGTTCTGATATGAACAAACTAGGGTAGTGTCTGCAAAAAAGCTGTGTGACCCAATACCTATTTCTCCTCCCGTCGAATGCACAATCAAAAAGACCACACGATTTCTCATCCATTTTTCTCTCCTTTACGTTTGATTATGATGATGCACTTTCTATATAAAGGCTAGACACTGGTTGGGATACTTGGAGCTTGAACTGAAGCATGCGAACTTTACTGAAGTTGAGAACATTTTCACTCGTTGCCTCAAGACTGTTCTCTCCGTCGATCTATGGAAATTCTATCTGAATTATATTCGTCGTATCAACAACACGGAGGATGGAAAACTAGAATCCGATACAAGGACCGTCATCGAGAAAGCCTATGATTACGTATTAGTAAATGTAGGAATTGACAAGGATTCTGGTGCTATTTGGAGCGACTATATCTTCTTTCTTAAAAATGCAGAGGTAAATTGAAGTCAGGTGGAGAGGTGTCAGTTCAGGCTGATCTCATTAATGCATTTTCTCTATAGACTAGCAATACCTGGGAAGAGCAGAGGAAGATGGATAGCATGCGTCGAGTGTACCAGCGAGCGGTGGCGATCCCTTTGAACAACGTTGAACATCTGTGGAAGGAGTACGATCAGTGGGAGAATGGTCTTAATCGATTGACAGTAGGTATATGAATGTCAGGCATACATGTTGCAATGACATTCTGACATTTCAACTTTTGTAGGCCAAAAACTTTTTGAGAGAGAAATCATCAGCTTATATGACCGCTCGTACTGCACTTCACGAGATGAAAGCATTTGCAGATACTATCAACAGATCCGTGGTCGCCAAACCCACCGAATGGACGGAATCGGAAATTCAGCAACTGGACGCTTGGAAGCAATATATTGCCTGGGAGACTGGCAATCCTCTTCAATTGGAAGACAACAGTCAAGTTTCTGAAAGAGTCGTATATGCCTATCAGCAAGCCTTAATATACCAGAGATTCTACCCTGAGATATGGTACGAATTTTCCAACTACTACATAGAGACAGAAAAGCCTGATCGAGCAATGGCCGTCCTTACGAGTGGCATGGAAGTCCTGCCATCAAGGTGAGTGATGTTTTCTCTCTCCCGACAAATAGTCTACCACAAGATGGTCTAATGTTTTCGATTCACAGCTTGCTTCTTCACTTCGCCTATGTTCAATTGTGCGAAACACAAAAGAAGGTGCCGGAGGCTCGCCAGGCTTTAGATGCTCTCTTGGAAAATCTTGAACAAAAAATAGAAGTAATTGAGAAAGCAGCCAGCGAAGAAATAGAAGAGCTTGATCGAGCCGCCGCTGAAGAACGTTCCGGAATGGATCTTGGAGATGACATTGATGGAGAACTTCGTGAACGACTTCGTACTAAAGAGAAGCAGGTCGAGAAAGAGAAGAACAAGATCAAGGACGACAAAAACTCAAAAGTCGGTGTACTGGCTAGAACATGTTCTCAGGTTTGGATCATATACATGCAGTTTATGAGGAGATCAGAGGTATGTCTGCGAAAAGAAAATCATTGAATTGGTTTGTCTGTGATTTGCTGCATCATTCTATTCAGTCCTAATGTTTCATGTGTATCTCCTTCAATAGGGTATCAAAAGTGCCCGTAGCATCTTTAGCAAAGCACGTAAATTTGCACACGTCACTTACCATGTCTTCGTGGCATCCGGTATGTTTTGCGCATTCAAGCAGGGTAATATGGCTCTTCGTCCATTTTCATCTAATTGTTGTTCCCTTTAGCTCTGATGGAGTACTATAATAGTAAAGAACCCATTGTTGCTGGTAAAATTTTCGAACTTGGTCTCAAGTCATTTGGTGACGATGCCGACTTCGTGGAGCAATATCTGGATTTCTTAATCCAGTTGAATGACGATAATAGTAAGTTCTGGCATCCCATAAGTGCTTTTTCTAGATGTGTTGTTGACCCGCAACTCGTTATTAGACACTAGAGCCTTGTTTGAACGAGCACTCGCCGTTATGCCGAATGAAAAAGCAGGGTCAATATGGCGAAAGTTTGCAACGTATGAGAGCAAATATGGCGATATGACGGGCATAGAGAGAGTTGAAAAGCGATGGAGAGATGCATTCCCAGGCGGTAAGTGATTGGCATATATGGGCCCGCAGTAAGCCAAGAAACAATAACTAAAACTTATCATTTGATAATACAGAATCCAAGCTGAGCATCTTCGTGGAAAGAAACAGCTATCTAAACATTGAGGCCATAAAGGATTTGGAATTGGGTGGACAAGGTATGGGCAGCAAGATGAAAATGAATATTACATAGGCTGAAAACTTACTTACATACTTGCTTGTTTTCTCTCAGCCCGTGAAGGTAAGGCGGCACCGCCGATCCAAGTGCCAACTACCACGATTCAGGATCAAAATCCTGTTGTGTCTGACAAGCGAGGAGGAGGAAAGGATCGCAAAGGCAACAGATCACTGTTGGACGCATATCACCCCGAACGATATCCCCGCCCCGACTTCAACCTTTGGCAAGCTCACACTCCATCGGCTGATGCGGTAACCGCACCCCCAGTTTCAGCCGCTGCTCAAGCCATTAAGCCACCCTCCGGACCAGCAGCTAGTGCCTCGGCACCTCTATCAAATCAGCCTCCTGCGGCTGGCGCGCTGTCGCAAATGGAATTGGATCCACCTGTTAACCAGTCGAGATGGAAACAAGGAGCATTGCCTGAAGCCGTAGCATACTTTTTATCTCAGCTTCCACCTCCTGAGGCATTTGAAGGTAAGTTGTTTCCGGGAGAAACGGTGGATAACTCAAACTCATGACGTTGATCCATACAATCTACAGGTCCTATCATTAGTGCATCCAGCTTCATGGACATTATGTTGACCACCGTCATCCCTCCTCCACCACGTGTTACTATTGATGATCGCCCGATACGACAAAGTCCACCACCTCCAGCTGGCCCAAGTGGTTCCTTCAGGGTAAGTAAATAAAAATGTGATGTGTGCATCACTGCAACATCATCCTTATTGTTCTTTCTCCAATCCTCTCTAGGGCGGCGGCGGCATGGGACGAGGCGGCGGCAGAGGTCGACGACCCCGCGATGAGTTTGATGATAATAACCCACCGCATATGAGAGGTGAGTACATGGACCTACAGCCATAATCATATAACGCGTCTTCTAATTGAATCCACATCATTTTTTCTTAGGTATGGGTCCGAATCGGCCACCAGAATATGATCTGTTCCGTGCTCGACAAGCAAAGAGACGTCGAGACGATCAATATTAGATAGCATACGTAGCTCTATTGCAACTGTATAAATGTAGTGAAGGACGGATGATGGAGGCTATCAATAGTCTTAAACTGATGAAATTTGGCAAAAATAAAAAAATGGCACTCAATGCGGTGGCTGATGTGACGGCTTCAACCGTGAAATTTGAATTTACCCCCGCCTGTCCATACATTCTGTTCGAGACCCACACTTCAAGCGTACCATGGCCGATTCTGACACCACTGCAAAGGTCACCGATGTCTCAGAACAGACAAAGGATCAACAGCGTAAGCTATTGCTGCTTCTTATCCACCAAGGACGTTGCCTGATTATAACCATTATGCACAGCTACACTTGATGAGATCACCGTGAAGATCAGTTCTTTGGCCACCGACGCCAATGAAAGCAACGGTAACTACGCGAACAACAAATTGCTTATGATCCACTGAATGCATTGAATATTAACGTCGTATGTCCCGATTTCGTCACCTGCCCCAGCCAAGCCTGACGATGTCGCTGCGGATCAGAAAACTGAGCAAGGTTAGCAGTTCATGACTTGTAGACATGGCACAAATCGCACTGAATCATCTGTAATAACCTCTTTTTGACCTTGCAGCGAAGGAGGAACCGGAAGAAAAGAAGGAACCCGTAGAGAAGAAGGATGCTGAAGAGGCGCCAAAGGAAGAAGCCGAAAGTCAGGAAGTCGACGACAATAACTTAATCCAGTCTACTCACGTCGTTCAAGTTAAGCTCGCTGATCAGCAAGCTGATCCTAACTCTCCTCTGTTTTCTGCCAAAACCTTCGAGGAACTCGGATTGTATGTAGCTGGCGGTGATCGATTTTCGCGATTAGTACTAACCGTGATGACCATTTTCACTCCAGGGCACCTGAGCTTTTGAAAGGTCTCTACGATATGAAGTTCACCAAGCCATCTAAAATTCAAGAAAGAGCTTTACCGCTTCTACTTTCATCACCGTATGTAGTACTAATTCAATGATTTTTGGTAGAGACGAGACGAGACTTCTAACCCGTCTGTAATTTTAGACCACAAAATATGATTGCCCAATCTCAGAGCGGAACCGGCAAAACTGCTGCATTTGTTTTGACAATGCTTAGCAGAGTTGATATAAGCTCACCAGCTACACAAGTAATTACCGTGATAATGGGGACAAAATGAAATACCGGCTGTAATCTAATTTTCGATATTATAGGCTATTTGTTTGGCGCCCAATAGAGAGCTGGTTCGCCAAATCTTGGATGTCGTCACGCAGATGGCAAAATATACACAGATCACTACAGCCGCTGCTGTAAAGGAAGGCATTGCTAAGAGGCAAAAAGTGAATGCCCAGATTATTGTCGGAACTCCCGGTACTGTCATGGATCTTATCCAAAAGCGCCAAATTGAGACTCGCTCTGTGAAAATATTTGTTTTGGATGAAGCCGATAATATGATTGACCAGCAAGGTTTGGGAGATCAGAGCATTCGTATCAAAAAGTAAGAATGACCGCAACATTGTAGAGATATTTAAATGGTGAAGCTTTCATTCTTGGCTAAACAGCATTCATTCGTCTAACCTCTAGTGCCATGCCAAGAGACTGTCAAATTGTTCTCTTCTCGGCCACATTTGCCGATATCGTAAGACATTTCGCCGTTCGATTCGCTCCCAAAGCCAACGAAATATCACTCAAGAGAGAGGAACTTAGTGTGGATGGCATTAAGCAACTTTATATGGACTGCAAGAACGAACAACATAAATATGAGGTTCTCTGCAACCTTTATGATTTATTAACCATCGGACAAAGTATCATTTTCTGTCGCGTAGGTGTCACCCAGTTCGAATGCTACAATCTTGTTGTACCTCCATTCATTCTGATTTTATTGTTTACAACAGACTCGTGCCACTGCCGATGAGATCGCCAGACGTATGACTGCTGAAGGACACTCAGTGGTGTCATTGCACGGAAAACTTGAACCAGCTGAGCGTGATAACGTCATGGACAAATTCCGAAATGGCGAAAGCAAAGTTCTCATCACCACCAACGTTATTGCAAGAGGTATCGATATTCTCCAAGTCACCCTCGTCATCAATTATGACATACCTACCGACTCCAATGGTAGACCGGATCCAGAAACATACTTGCATCGTATTGGTAGAACTGGTAGATTTGGACGCTCCGGCGTCAGTATCAATTTCGTTCACGATAGAAGAAGCTTTGAGGAAATGCATGCCATAGAAACGCATTTCGGAAGAGCAATTCAACGCGTTCCTACAGACGATTGGGAAGAAGTAGAGAAACTGCTCAAGAAATGCCTTTAAACGTTTTGAAAATGAGCAGCAAGATGGTCTTATATAATAAAATAAAAAATATTTCTTTACTCAAAAGGTCAAACCAACCGTTGAGTGCCTGAACCTGTCCATCACCGAGTACATGACCTATTCTCCATGCCACTCATGTATCAAATCATTTCAAAAAGGGGGTCGGCAGTAATATTATTTTACGGCAGCAACAATGAACCAAACGGAAAAAATTAGGGTTGTACTTGCTTTTCACAGCATTGTTTAAGCAGCGGAGTCTGTAACCCAGCAGCAAGCGTAACTTTTCCTCATTATCAGAATGGACGATTCCAGCAGACATTGGTCCAAAGATTCAGGTGCCAACACGCCGGATTCGCAGCTTTCAGACCAGGAAGTTGATCAAATGCCGATAAGCGCTGAAGAAAGGTTGGTGGAAAAGGTCACTCGGGTTGTGCAGCCCGAATCTTCCCAAGACCCAGAAGACGATTCCACCACACATGGCTCCAGTGTTATCGAAACCCCAGGACCAGGTGCGTGCTTTGACATGGCAAATGTATCATTCTTCAAGCATACTTATTCCCTATATTTTTTTCTCAAAAGAAATACTGGACGACTGGCCCGAAGATACGGAGGTAGGGTCTCGGCTTGTTCATATTTGCCCCGCCAACCACCAAAAAATATGGCTGTTTAGAGATGCTGACCGCGAGCTTATTCTTGGTATTACTTAATAGGAACTGGACCTCATTCATCTTCGAATATCAGATTTATCCATATTACCATTTTCGCGTTTCAAAAACCTAAAGGTATACATCACTCTCAGGCTGTAAATCCACATGGCTTGGACTAATAGGCAAATGTTTGTTGTGTCGTGTCATTGTCCTACAGAGAATTTGCTTGCGCCAAAACTTGATCATCGACATCACTGGATTTGATAGCTTGACGGGATTGAATGAGCTAGACTTGTATGATAACAAGATATCTCATATTCGTGGTCTTGATGCTTTGACTGAACTAAGGTACTGTTTTTGACTGACGAGCCTAACCAAAATTAAGCATTGGTCCACACACCGTCTGATATACTTTTCTTTACTATTAGTTCCTTGGATTTATCATTTAACAAGATCAAGCATGCATCACACTTGAGTCACTTGACAAAGTTAACCGAACTCTTCCTTGTGAGCAACAAGATTTCGTCAGTGGACGGTTTGCAAGATCTGACGCAGCTGACTTATCTCGAGTTGGGAGCCAATCGGTTCAGGGTAAGCTACCATTGAACGTAATATTTTCGTCGTACAAATGGGCTGACGGCACGTTGGTCATAGGCCATTGAGCATTTCGATACATTTGTAAATTTGGAACAGCTCTGGTTAGGAAAGAACAAGATTACTAAATTGGAGGTTGGTGTGCAAAAGAATCTTTGGAACAGCACTCCACTCCCGGAAATCATATTGATAACATTTTATTGCAGAACCTGGGATCATTGAAAAATCTCCGCCTCCTCAGCCTGCAGAGCAATCGAATAGCCAAGCTAGAGGGTCTTGAAGAGCTACATAATCTTCAAGAGCTGTATGTCAGTCATAATCTGATTGAGAAGATCGAGGGGTTGGAGAACAACGTGAGTAAATTTGAGATCGTGTGATCTGCAAAAGTGATTGGCTAACTAACTGTTTTTTGTTATGTTAATTGTTTTAGACCAAGTTACGCACGTTGGATGTAGCGTCAAATCGAATTACCAAACTCGAAAACATTTCTCATCTCACGTTCTTAGAAGAGTTTTGGGTATGTACTCGAGCGCCACCGTTATTGGATGAACCGACCGCTTCAAAATTATCATCCCATTTCACTAATGCCGTCATTTTATGAAACCATGCACAGGCTAACAGTAATTTACTGCCATCTGAAACATTTATCGACCTCGAGAATCAGCTTAAAGACAAGGCTCATTTGGAAACCGTTTATTTGGAAGGCAATCCCATGCAGAAGGACAATCGTCCCACTTACCGTAACAAAATCCGGCTGGCGCTGCCCCAAATCAAACAAATCGATGCAACGTAAGTGAAAGCCGAATATCCATTTGTCTACAGTACAGACTTCCGAGAAAACTAACACAACTGTAACAGATATGTAACGATGGGCTAGAAGAAACAAGCGAGCGCGAACGTGAGCCAAAGACGATCGCACATGTTGAAAAGTCGTTGCTTGCCAGCCAATGAAAATGTTTCAGAAATCGGAAACCATGGAATTTCCAAGCTGACTTCTAGTGTTCAACGTGAAAAAGTTCATTGTTAATAAACCCTATCTGCCGCGTTTATGATGAATAGAGTTCTCAGTGCTTTGGAATACATTTGAAACATACATGATGAGATAGACATGTGTTGGGTATAAAAGGGTGAACATCATTTGTCCAATTGGACCCTTATCTGCAAACGCACTTTACATTTGCAAATCCCTGCCATGGATTTCGTTACTATCCCGATTCACAGCTACACTTATATCTTTGCCGTTGGCATGATATTAGCTTTCATGGATGGTAAGCATATCGCTTGGACACTTTGTGCTACTGCCATAACTGACCTTTTTTTTTATTTTTTTTTATACAAACAGCTTTCGGCATCGGTGCAAATGATGTTGCCAATTCTTTTGCTTCTTCTGTTGGATCAAAGACATTGACACTTGTCCAAGCCTGCTGTATAGCCGTCTTTACTGAATTTCTGGGAGCCTTCCTTATGGGATCAAGCACTGCTGATACCATTCGCGGTAACATCATATCTTTGGAGTTATTTGCTAATCAGCCAGGCACACTTATGCTTGCCATGCTGTGCGCCATCACTGGCGCTGCTTCATGGGTTCTCTTCGCTTGCCGTATGGGATGGCCTGTGTCCACTACCCACAGTGTCGTTGGTGCCATGATTGGCGTTGGTGTTGCTGGCTTCGGCTTTGGAGCCGTTGATTGGGGTAAGTAGTGTGAAACATCACTTGATATGCTTCTATTGCAGAATTGATAATCTAAAGCAATGTCTTTTTGCACCAATAGGTTGGAGTGGCGTTGGCTCTATCATTGCCTCGTGGGTCATTTCACCCATCTGCGCAGGTATCGTCACAGCCATCATCCTTTTCATTACCCAGCAACTGGTGCTCAAAAGCGACAACTCCTTCAAACGGGGTCTCATTGCTTTACCCTTCTACTTCTTTGTCACTCTCGCCATCAATGTATTTTACATTGTCTACAAAGGTTCCCCTGGCCTCAACTTATCCAAGCTCCCGCTCGGATCTGTCTTTGGTATCACCTTTGGCATCAGCGGGGGAATTTTCCTCTTTTGCTGGTTTTTCCTCAAGCCGTTCCTCAAGCGCCGTCTCGGCGATGGCGAGCCCCTCAAGTGGTATCACGTCTTCTTCATTCCTCTTGTTTCCAAGCGCGAAAAGGCTGAAGTGGAAGCACCATCTATTGAGGCTCCTACCGAGCATGGTCCTGATTCCATTCAAGAAGCTCCTAATGAAAAGACTGACGAAAGCCAGGAAGATTATGTCGCAACAGAAGAAGAGAATGCTACTGACAATGCTGATTCCAAGGACAGCCGCCCTAAGCAACTCTTGAAAAAGGGCTTGGATAGGTTCAAGGCAAAGATGAAGAAAGGAATAGAAGACGACACTCATGACGAAAAGTTGCAACAAATCCATGACAATGCTCAAAAGTATGAAAACCGCACTGAGAGACTATTCTCCGTTTTACAAGTTATGACCGCTTGCTTTGCCTCCTTTGCTCACGGAAGTAACGATGTCGCCAACGCTGTCGGACCGGTAAGTTATATTATAAAACCATTAACACCATAATTTCCCAAGATGTTTGTTTCTTACTGTATATCATTAGATCTCAACCATCTACAACATCTGGAGTACCGGTACTGTCGAATCCACCAAGGCCGCCGTGCCATGGTGGATACTCCTTTACGGAGGTATTGGTATCGATGTTGGTCTTGTCCTCTACGGATACCGTACCATGCGTACCCTTGGCCATAAAATTACATATTTGTCACCTTCCAGAGGTTTTGCTGTTGAGCTGGCCACCGCTTTTACCGTCCTTACCTGTTCTAAACTTGGCCTTCCTGTTTCCACCACCCATTGTGTCACTGGCGCAACTGCCGCTGTTGGCTTGATGAACAAGAATGGCTGGAAAACTCTGAATTGGAGAACTCTTGGACTTGTCTTCTCCAGTTGGATCATCACCCTCCCTATCGCTGGTCTCTTATCTGGTTTACTGTTTGCTTTTGTTGGCAACTCTCCCGTCATCATCCACTAAAATTTTTGATCGCTCGAAAATTAGATTCGTTACAAATAACGTTATGTACAAATAGCCATCCACCATTTTATCACAATATATGCATATTTAATATCCCATCATTTATTGGCCTCCATCATTTGGATGATAATTTGTTCTACACATGCGAGGTCAGAGTCTTTTGATAATCGATGGTCTCCATCCTCAATAATTTGCACTGTGGCAGTAGGAATTTTTTTGGCGAAAGATACGACGTTATCCAATTTGCTATCTGCGTCATTACGTCCATGAACAAACGTGACTGGACAAGGAACCAATATCTCATCATCGAGCATCAGGCATTCTCTGGAATCCAGCAACATCTTCACTGGGATTTCGTAGTGTCCACTGGCATGGTATTGAGTCGGTCGTTTCCATAAGTAGGTGGGGTCTTTTACAGGAACTTCATTGTTCAGCCAGTCTTCAGTAAAATTGATGCCGGCGCCAATGCCTACGATACCTAATAGGCGGTCCTTGATGCTTGCCGACCCGCGATTCGCAACTAGTAGCGATATCCAGGCACCCATGCTTGCGCCAACAAGAAGAAGTTTGCCGCTTGAAATTTGGTCCAGAATATCAAGTGAATCTTCATACCATAGTTTGACAGAAGGGCAGCTTGCATCAGCCGCTGTTGATTCACCTTGGGAGGCGTGATCCCATGTCAAGAAGGAATAGCCTTGCTTCATACTCAAGGAGAGGAGAAACTCAGACTTTAGCGATTGGAAAGCCAATGACCGAAATCCTGGAATGAAGCATATTGTTGGAGCCTGTGCAGCGATGGGCTGCAGATAGTATCGAATGGTGCTTCCATTCCTGGTGTGCAAGGCTTTTAAGCAACTTGGCACGCGAGCGAAAGTGGTCATCAAGCTCAAATTTTTGTTAGCCGTTTTGGCAGCTTTCTGAAATCATGAAACAGTCGGGATTTTATAGCCTCTACTTTAACCATTTTTCATGACAAGGAAGATCGAACGTAGACTTTCGATTACAGATAGCCGAATATTATCAATAGCGCAATGGGTGTCACATCCATTTAATCATACTGCGAGAAAGAATTCGAACTGGCGCCTCCGATTATGCTTTACATAATCTATAACAAAGTAGCGTATTCATCGGCCCTTCGATGAAGAATGAATTATAGTTCAATTAGAAAACCAAACAATATCATCACATCTCATGTAATATTTATAGGATCATACCAATAGAACAGGGGGATTGAAAACGGTCAGCTACATCCAGTTGAGTTATTATGCAGTAGTTGAACATGTCAGACCTCTGTTAAGACGGTTAACAAAGGAAACAACTTTGGCCAACAGGAGCGCAACCACATATGAGAGAGGTCGTTTACACACCGTTAAGAAGAGCGTTAAGCAGTGATCATTGGATGAAACGCGGTTGTCCATTCTGGCTGAGAGGCAAAACATGTGACCGCCAATCTCAAGACACTTGGGTCACCCGTTTTGCAGCCCGCACTACCAGCTACCTTACACACTCACATTCAGACATGGCAGCGGTTAGAGCATTGAACGACGATGAAGTCTTCAACGAAATGAAGAAGATGGTTTGTATATGCTTTAAATGTCTATCAAAAACACCTGGCAAACATGCTAATAATTACATTCTTGCATTCTCTTCATGCTCTATGTAAATGACAGGTCTCTTTCATCAAGCAAGAAGCGCTTGAGAAGGCTAGAGAGATCAAAGTCAAGGTTTGTTTATCCCTACTTGTCTTTTTATTATGCTTTCAAATCCAGTGAATAACACGTATACTGACATGTCCTGCTACTAAAGGCTGATGAGGAATTCAACATTGAGAAGGTATGTGGTGAACTTCTTCAACCCGTGAACCTACCTAGACTTCGTTACTAAATGGATTTAATAGGCAAAAATTGTTCGCCAAGAGTCTCTTAACATTGAGGCCACGTTTGAAAGAAAGATCAAGCAAGCTGAAGTCCAGAAGCGAATGTATGCCTCTCATCTCCTTTATCTGCCCATCTTGGATAACGCTGACCATTCATGTTTAACAGTGCTCAGTCGAATCAAATCAACAAATCACGTCTCCGTGTCCTTCAAGCTCGACAGCAGATGCTTGATGAGCTTTTTGATGAAGCTCGCTCAAAGTTGACCAGCGTATCAAAGGACAGCAGCAAATACCCCGCCCTCTTGAAGGATTTAGTGCTACAGGTACTTTTGTGGTGTTATTAGCTGTAGGCTATTGCCATGTAGACCCACTAACCAATATATCGACTTTAGGGCTTCTATTCGCTGATGGAAACCAACATCAAGGTTCAATGTCGTAAGGAAGACGTTTCTTTGGTAGAGAAGGCTATCGCCGAAGCTGTCACCGCTTACGAAGAGAGTATGGGAGACAAGATCAACGCTACTATCGATGAGGAAAACATTCCTTCCTCAAATGCTGGCGGTGTTATTCTTTCTGGTTTGAACGGCAAGATAAAGGTCAACAACACTTTGGAAGCTCGCCTAAACATTTTGGAAGACGGAGTAAGTTCAGACAAGTTTTGACTATCAACCAACATTATCCGTGTACTCACCTTGAATGTCTACCTCTACAGATGCTTCCTCAAATGCGAGTGCTTTTGTTTGGCCACTCTCCTTCCCGCAAGTTCTTCAATTAATTGATCATTTTTTGTTTTGCTTTACCATTACAGTAGAAGTGAGACGTTGCTCAAAACCCCCCCCATTTCAATAAATTAGCTGTCACAAAGACATTGTAGCCTACCTGCTTGTTCTCTCATGTCCACTTCCCATCGGGCAAGAAAGCCTGCTGTTGCAGGAAGAGACGACTCTGAAGACGATCCATACAACGAATCATTCATCCTCTTTGGTACTGAATTTCCAGAACCCACGGAAAAGCAACGACGACAGGGAATAGAAGATCCGGGTAAATTCCAGCCTGTATGGAATCAGGAAGTCACCGATGAGAAGGGTCGCCGACGTTTCCATGGCGCCTTTACAGGTGGCTTTTCAGCAGGTTATTACAACACAGTCGGTTCTAAAGAAGGTAATGTACCTTGCAACTGGTCATTGGGGTTGCGTAGTTATCACTCACACCATGTAAAGGCTGGCAGCCGTCGACGTTTATTTCGTCCCGCAGCACTCGACAAGAACAGAAAGGAGCCCGACCAGAAGATTTTATGGATGAGGAAGACCTGGAAGTATGTTTCTTTACACTATGGATGTATACCCCATTGTCATTGTCGTCACTAACTAGCGCGAGTGTGTTGCAGGAAATTGCTAATGCACGTAAATTGGTGGCTACCGAAGAATTCGATCTGCTGGGTGGAACTGAACGTGAGCTATCGAGAAAGCGGGAAATGGATCAGCTGGCAGAGAAAGAAGGTGGTATCCTTGGAGCACAAGCTTTTCAAGACTTTGTCGTTCCTTCAAAAGATCCCATCGGTGTCAAATTACTGCGAAAGATGGGTTGGCGACCTGGTCAAGGCGTAGGAGCAAGAATCAGTGCAGCAAAGCGACGAAAACTAGTAATGGAGGAATCCGATCAGAGCGATGAAGAACTGGATGCTGACGTTACGTTTGCCCCCCGCGATTCTGCCATCATTGTTTTTGCTCAAAAACGTGATACCTTTGGACTAGGTTTTGACCCTTACAAAAATGTACCTGACATTGCTAATGTCAAGCGTGCACGCGCAGAAAGAGCAAACAACGAGTCTAGTGGAAAAGATTCCGGTTACAACAAAGTCGGGTTCGGCGTTGGCGTCTTGGATGATGATGGCGACGACGACGATGTGTACGATAATGCCTCGAACAATTATACTACGGAGTTATATGATACTGGATTTGACGAAGAGGAACATATCACGATCGGAAGAGGTCTGAAAAAAGCTTCTCATACCTCGCAGGCGAGAAGACACAAGGAGAGTCGCCATAGCTCGAAGCGTGTTGGATTTGATGGTCGTGTCCCGATCTCAGGATTCGAGCACGGAGCGAACGATGTATTACAGGAAAAATGGTATGCATATATGCTTGCAACTTTTCACGCCAATTCGTCTAAATTAACTTGTTTCCTATCCCAGGTTTCCACCACCCCAAGTTCCAGCTAATTTTAAGCCAGTTCATGTATTTAGCGAGCCAGGGCCAAAGCCTGAGAAAAAAGACATCGCTGTGGAAATGGTAGGTCACCAAAATCGGCCAGACTTGTCGTTTGAAGAACGAGGAAGTCTCCTGGGAGAAAAACCCATCGAGCCCCGATCAGTTTTCGACTACGTTTCTTCAAGATCAAAGGATAGGCTCGACAACTTGTTGTCCGGCATTACCGCAAGCGTGTCCAACGAAGATAGAAGTCGATTAAATAACATACCGAAGGTTGACAAGAAGGATGCCATGAATGCCCTTCGAGGATTTTTACCCTTTGGCGAAAATATCAAGAAGCAAGCACGATATCGCACATACTTGGAAGGCCAAGCTGGATTATTGAATGACGATGGGTCCCCTGTTGTCTCCATGGACATACCAGAAGGACTGACATACGACGAAGCCCACAAAGAATTGGACGAGTTTGTAAAGGCTGCTCGCATTTTTCGTCCCATCAGTGCCATGATGAGCAGTCGCTTTACCAGTGCCAGCCCTGCGAATGCCACACAAATACAGGGCAGCGAAGGTGGCTTGAGGACTGAATCAGAATGGAAAAAGGAAAAAGATGAACGCGAAAAGAGGGAACAGCAGCAAAAGGAACATGCACCAAAAACAGAAGTAAGTGAAAGTACAATTTTTAAACAAAACATAGTTTTCATACTATGCTGACTATCTGTTTATTTCTATGTAGTCTCAAGAAGCTCAAGCAGCTGCTATGAAGATGTTTGGAAAACTTACGCGGACCACCAAACTATTTTACCCTTCACGCCTAGTGTGCAAGAGATTCAACGTAAAGAACCCTCATCCTGATCATCAAGGTGATGAAGCCTCCAGCCGACGAACACAAGCTGGTGGGAAACAACCCTTAAGCAAAGAATCCGTCAAATCCATAATGAACAATAATACCCTTGACGACTTTACCACCGATATCGCCAATGATCCTCTTATGCAAACAGTCATACCAAAACCATCCGAACGTGCGCAACAAGAAGCGCCAGCTGCTCAAACTACAGATATTGCGAATGCGGTTGTCAGTGCCACCAATAATGCTCAGGAAGTGAAGGAGGAACCTCCACTGGATTATGAACGACCGTCCATGGATATATTCAAAGCTATCTTCGAAGACAGTGATGATGATGAGGACGAAGAGGAAGGTCTTGGTGAGATTGAACCTACTTCCATGGCTGTTGATCAGCCTCGGGATGCCAATATAACGAGGACCAAAAGCGATGAAGATGATGATATGATCGGGCCAACCTTACCGCCACCACCTGAAGAAGAGGCAAAGCCAGTCTTTCGACCTATGTTTAAGAAGCGAAGCCGACAGAAGGATGACAGCGGCTCGTCAAGACCAGTACATGCCGGGCCCATGTCGTTCATCAGTACCGAAGAGCACATAGTTGAACCGTTTAACCCAAGTAGCTCAGAACGCAAGAGCCGGGAACATAAAAGGTCGAGACACGATGACTCTGATCAACACTCCGACGAACGCAAGCGATCTTCAAGTCGGCATCACAGGAAGGACTCAAAGAAGAAGAAAAGAAAAAGCGATCGGGAGCGCAGTCGCAGCAGAGAAGGACGACAACATAAAAAGAGTAAAAAACGACGACGGTCCGATGATGAGATAGACCCAGATGAGATTGCTGAAAGACTGGTGTATGATGATAGTTTATGGGTTGAAAAACCAAGCGCCAAACCTATGGGCGAATCTCACAGTAGTAGAGCACGACCAAAGGCATACGACATGTGGTAATATCAAGAATAAAATCGTCTATTACGTTTTTTTGCATTCCATCAAAAATAAAAGAGGGTATAGAGAATTCTTACAATTTCAAAAGCTGAATGCCTCTTAATCTAGCTACCCTTTGTAGTAGTTTATCTGCATCGTCTTTGTCATCTTTTAGTCGATCACTGAGTTCGTTATCACGCAAGCCCAATAACATATGAAGCTGAATGATGGTGGGAGAGGGTCTAACATCCAAAGCCGATAAGACGTTGACCAGGTATTCTATATCTACACGAAGTTGCTGAGATCCTTGAGGCGACAAAGCACGGATGTCGACAGAGATGTGATCTATGAGTGACTGCATGGTGCCATGACATATGGCGAGAGTCCACTTTTGCAAAATGACTTCAGCCAGTAAATCTTCCTGAGGTGAAATCGGCCTCTCAGATACACCTGGTAAAGGCGATGGCGATGCCGTAATGTGCTCGGAGTAAATTGACGCATCCATATCTTCTGCTGTGTTCACGCCATTATCGAATTCTACATTGACTTGATCCGCCGTTTCGTCTTGGGAGGATGTGTCTTGATCCACTGGCTGGTCTTTCTGAATATGAGGAAGTTTATCAATCATGAACGCCAGAGCTTCATCGTCAGCGTATACTTCAAATTGCTGAGGAAGAACGAGTAATTGTTCTCCAACTCTGGTGATGTATTCGCTAGGAGCCTGACTGAACTGAGGTAGCTCTATACCATCTGCAGCTCGAGCCTCGTAACCATCTTCTTCAGCATCGGCGGTCCAAACATCGTTCATCTCAGCCATTTTGTTAAAGTTGTCCGTGACAGGATTAAGCACCACGTCGAAAACAATCGTCTGACACGCCAAGGCAAAGGCTGTGATCGCTTGATGGGCAGCAGACAGGAAGCGAATTTGTGTCGTTGCTTGTTCAGATTCCTCTTCGGTTATCATGGAAATGCTGGACATTAGTCGGTGAAGTTCGAAACTGTTCAAAGCAGATGACCTCAACAACGACACTGAGGCCCTTGGATACCGCGGGTTATGGTGTTCTGCCATGAGTGCTTGCTTAAAGGATGCACTTTCTCGTCGAATGAGTTTACCTGGTGCAGAATCAAAACTAGCACTAGATCGCTTATGCTCTCGGGACTGAGGCCCACCAGAGAATGGTCCAGTGGATGGCGGTCGAGTCGACTTGGGTGAAACCAAGTCTGAGCTTTTATCATCGTGCTCCTTGTCCTCTACAATGTCTCTGACCGTTTCCAGGCTATGTTGCACATGTCCTTCAAATGAGCTAAGGTCTTGGCTCATGGTTTTACAAATGGCCAAAAGTCGTAATCCATTTTGAAATCGTGACCAGTCGCCTTGGTCCTGGATAGCTGCAAGGTCATCATCATCATCCGAGAGAGAGCTGTCGTTTACAGGCTCGATCCGTTTATCAGATTCCTCTTGATTTAGCTTACTTATCATGGCCAACAGTTGATTTGTCAGAAACACAAAGTAGTCATTCAAATCCTTCAGCAGTCCAGCCGCTGCAAAGCCGTGGGTCAATTTGAGACAGACATCAATCGCTTCTCGCGCAAGGTCGAAGGCATCGGATGACTTGAATGACAGGATCTGGGAGATGTCAAGACCTCCTCGTTTTGCTTCCAACTTGTGTACAAGGACAGTTGCTTTTGCCTCCAACTGCTTTTTTTGAATTTCGCCAAATTGAGACTGTATCTGCAAGAAAGGGTCGTAAAATACATAAGACCATCCTTCTTGCTCACTATTTGTGGAAGTTCTAAGCGCCAAAGGGAGCGACATCATCTGCTGACTCTTGCGTCGTGCTGAAATTGAACCAGATCTACGGTGGCCAGAAGGCGAATCATTTTCAGCTGCTGCCACTACGGATTTCGAAAATAGCCGTTCAAGTGATAGACCAAAACCTTCTGTCACTTGAAACAAGTTGGCCATATGAGCAAGACTGTTGTTGCCGTAATACGTTTGTACTTTCGAAATGCGCTCGCCAAACGAAGGTGAGAGATTTAAAAAGAGATATTGGACAAAAGCTTGCATGGCTTCCCGAGGATCAGGGAACACACTCCTACACCAGTTATACTCCTCGCTGATGAGGATGAAGGATTCTTTGAAAAAGTTGGAAAGGAATTCTTCAAACGTGACCTTTGCATTTTCAGATTCCTCAACCAAATTAGCAGACTCCCAGAGTCGTACGATGGGTTTTTGGCAGTATTCGAAATAGGCGTCAAGGTAAGCTTCGGGCAAAGCGATTTGAGCGCAGACATTGTACAGGTTGTGACAAGTGACGGCGTCATGTTCCTTCAACGCGAGATCCAACTGCGGCCGTATAGCATTTTTAAGTTCTTCTTGCAACTGATTCAACAAACTTTTCCTCTTCTCAAAGTCTGGTGTATTCTGAAAAACGCTAATGCTCTTCTGCGCACTAGCCAACTGAGCAGCTGCCTTTGTAAACTCCCCTGTCTCAATGGTTGCTCTAGTCTCCTGTTCAAGATTACTCCAGTTCTCTGTCTCTCGTAGCGCAGTTCTACATTGTTCCATGCGCGTCTTGACCAAATCGAGCTGTCGAAGTCTTTGGATCGCACTTCGGTTGCCATTCTTGTCATCGTTCATGTCGCGACGGACCGCTTCAATACCAGATTTGATGGACGTCACCTGGTTCTTCATAAGCTGCATGTCGTATAAAATAAGAGGTATGCTCTGTATAACTTCGTCTGTGGTTTGTGAGACTTGCTGTGAGATTTGAGACCCAAGAAGTTGAAGGCGAGTGACCATGACATTGGTTTGTTCTTCAGTATGAGCTGAACTGGTCAGCGGATGGTCTTTGTCCTTTGCCACCGACTTGATGGTGTGGTTAATCCAGCTTTTGACATCGAAGTCAGGCTTTGAAAACGAGCCCACGTCCGGGATCTCTGAATTAGTGGACAAATCGGCCATAGCCCTTCTTGTCGTCGTGCAACCTCGCTGCTTTGACTGAATGATCTGTCAAACTCCGCCATTGGGACCTGATCGTCTAACCGTCAAAGCAAAAGATATACAGATTGCATTCGTATTCTTTATTATTAGCTGATAGACAGAATCATATAGATAACGAACAAGGTACGGACGATGGTGCCAATCTCAATGAAGAGTAATTGATATATAAACCGGCGAAGTGGGTCTTAGAGACGGTAGTAATTTTACACGGAGAAGTAAAATTGAGCATTGAAACTTTAGTAGGGCAGCTGAAATTTAGGGCCGGTGACATCATCATTCAAACCGAGTGGCAAGTTCGCTGGGCTGCCCTTTTAGGGTATGGCCATCGTAGGCATAGTGAACTTCCTCTTTTCCCATAGCCGATTATGAAGTATTGTATCGTCCAACTGCATCATCCACCCATCATCCATCTGACTCATCCATCCGTTATAGAACAGAAATCTGCGCCTTCTCCGGCTTCAAGATCTATCCTGCCAAGGGTAAGATCTATGTTCGCACTGACAACAGGTAAGAAACTTCGACATTGGACATTTTGAACTTTCAATGGAAACTTATATACTTTTTTTTAATTTTGCAGAGTACGTAGACATTCTTTTGGTTTTGACACGACATTGAGAGAAAAGCATCAGCATTGCCATCGAATTACATACTAACTACTCCATTCTCATTCAGTCCTTCCGTTTCGTCAACGGCAAGTGCGAGTCTTACTTCAAGCAACGTTTGAACCCTCGCAAGATTGACTGGACCGTTGTCTACCGTCGTATGCACAAGAAGGGCATCACGGAAGAGATCGCCAAGAAGCGTACCCGTCGCACTGTCAAGCACGACCGTGCCGTCGTTGGTGCTTCCTGGGATGCTATCCGTGCCAAGCGCGCTCAGAAGCCTGAGGTCCGTGCCGCTGCACGCCAGGCTGCTGTTGCCAAGAGCAAGGAGGCAAAGAAGGCCAAGGCTGCCACCAAGGCATCCGTAAGTAGCATCATCCAGCCTATCTGACTACAGTCACCTTGACTGACTTTTTCCCTTTACCACAGAACCCCCAACAGCCCAAGGTCAGCAAGCAACAAGCTAAGGGTTTCGCCCCTAAGGCTGCCGCCACCTCCCGCTAAATTACGTTCAACCATGCCGGTCCAATGCTGGTCGATTTCAATCTAATTCTTCGGTGGAATAAAATCAATTGAAGATTACTGTCTCTACTAGATTTATGGATGCATGTGTGTGGTAGAAATTTTTGGGAACACCGACTTGAATGACATGTATCGACTACTATGGGAACCGGAAAATGTGAAAGAATGAGCTGGAGGAGAGTGATTAGTGTGTTCCCAACCCTGAGCTCTTGAGTAACGTTTGGTAGGCACACCATGTTCTTTGTTATATGCTGTTGCATTAGTTTGTACAATGCCCCCTGCCTCAGGCACATTTCCATTCATATCTTTTGTGCGATTGTATGGGACGTCAAAATTAAAATTTAAAAGAAATGAAAAGGTATGTACAAGGTATCAAATTTACAAAGAGTTTCTGTGTACAGGCTAATCTGAATTAGTGGTACTGCGGCTATGGATTGAAGGAGAAGTAGTTCTAAACGGCCCACTGTATGATTTGCCAAACAATAACTTGCCCTTTCGATAAATCTCTGTTGCCGCGATCATGGTTTGCGTCTCGCTAGGTTGGGTCTGAGGACTTGGTAGTACAGGGGACGGTGGGTTATCGTCTGCTTTTTTACTAGAGGGAAGATGGTTTAGCATGAGAGGTCAAAGATATACAATGGGTTGTATGGATGCAAACATACCTGCGAGACCATGTAGAGAACAACGTTTGTTTCTTTCGGCGCGTCGATCCTTCTTGATCAGCAGTATCCGAAGTTGCGTTGATTAAATCCATGTCGTTAACACTCATATCATCCTGGTTATCATAACCGTCAGAAGACACGGAAGCAATGCTAATAGAGCTGCTTGTGCTTGGTTTTTGCTGTTCAGTGGCATTGGCAGCAGCAATGGCCCTTTGATAGATTGGTTCGTTGATAAGCGAAGTTGAGGATGCTGTAGTGCGTGGAGCTCGAGGGTGCCGACGTATTTTGAGCTTATCTCTAATCAATTGACCGCTGTGCTTGAGGGCAGCCCGAAGGAAATCTGTAGGGGTATGATGCATGAGTATTCTCGCAAGGCGAATTCAGATGGGTCAACTAGCAAGACATGTTCTTACCCTTTTTGACGGCATTCATCAACTCATACCAACTCCACGTTCGATTGCGATACTCAAGAGTTGGCTGAGAAAACACAAACTCATACAAGTCTTCAATATTCTTCTCCTTGGGTCCCTATGGTACACAAAAGATAGTGAATAAGAATCAACACAGCGCATATATCCATGCCTGCCAATGTTAGATATTTTTACCTGATAACTGAGACAATGCTTAGCTCCCGGCACCTTGATGTAGATAAAGGTTCTATTGTTAGACGCTCTCTCTTTCATAACGGACAGATCGTCGGCGTTAGGAACGCTATTGGACGAGACATTTTTCGAATGCTTTTTGCCATGAGAACGTTTGCTTGTTTGGGTAGTAGAAGAAAAGTTGCTTCGTAGATAATCTTCAGAGCGCTTCGGCCGTAGTGTTTCCGATCTAAACGTATCAAGGTGGGTGTCAGACGATACAACATCGCTACTCGTTGATAAGGATGTAGTGTCTTTGCCAGCACTACGAAGATCGCCAAAAGAAGACGTCGCCATTAAACTGTTAGCTTCAGACGTACGACTCGAAACCACACTACTGGTCACATTTGGAGCAGAAGAACTGGAGGATATCGGAATGGCAGCTGTTGCTCCTTTCCGCTTTTCAACAGGGAACACATAAGTAGCCAACAGTTTTCCAAACTCATGCGTCATCTGGAATTTGAGTGGGAAGAGGTTGATCTCCAAGTGCTGAACGACAGGAATGCCTCCAACGGGAGGAAGATCCATGAGGTAACCTCGCAGCATCTTTTGTTTTGAGAAATCCACTTGCTTTCGATTTTCAAGGTAAGGCGAAATGATCTCGGCAAAAGTGGGGTTAGGCAGACGATTGATGCATTGAATCATATCCAACTCCAAGGTATTAGAGCTAGAGTGGTCTTCCTTGTTGAGCCAGACGTAGTGAGCATTGCTTAAGGTCCATTCGCAAAGTGTACGCTCTGATTCAATGATCATCTCCCAAATGATCGTTTGTGAGGAGAAGCTGACTTTCAGCTTGGTTTGAGCGGCTTCCATGCTATCCTGTTTGCCGCTTGGATTTTTTTTGATAGCCTCCATCACCAGATACAACTCTTCCTTGAAGTGCTGCAATCTTCCCTGAATCATTCTGTAATCCTGTAGTTGCTGTTCTCGCAAATCCGGAAGGTTGAGGCGATACTGCTCTTGCGTTGTAGCAAGTTGGCGAACGTTGTTTTGTAGATAGACAATGGTTTCCGTTGTATTGGAGAGATTGGCCATATCTGCTGTCAGGATGATTTCTTTCAGGCGTTCAAGTCGTTCTTTACGAGCTGGCTCACTGTACAAAACAAGATCCATGACCACATCTACAATGGCATTGTATTGTTTTGAATTTGCTGTCAATTTCAGACTAGGAAAGCTGACTGTCATGGAGTCGCATCGTTCTTGCAGTGGATGGAAGCGATTAAAATCATCTTGGCTGGTCTTCAAGCGCAACGGGTTGAACGTGTCATACTGCATGGTCGCAGCAGCTCTTTCGGCTACTCTTTGGAACTTGTCAGACCGTTTGGTGTAATTAATGAGCATCTCCAGTGGTATCCAGGTTAACCAGTGCTCGTTTCCACGAGCGCCATAATGGTTGTCAAACAGAAGATCCACTGTATCAAAATGTTCCTTTTTGGCCACGAAAAATTGTATGTTATCCACACTGAAGATCGTTCGACTTTTGACAATGGCCGTGTCTTGGTCATCTCCACTGCAATCATAAAGATGGAAACCTTTGATTTGAGTGCGCTCAGTCGACACCAGCACAACAGAATCAGGGTTTCGATCCGATTGTAAGCTGATCTGCGGGTTGAGTAACTCAACAATATAGCTGCTCCTCATCTCGTAACCACTTGGCACACCTCTGAACTGATAATCAGGATCATTGATGTTGGCTTCCGAATCATCATCGTCCTGCCTGCTACCAGGGGTGGCTGTATCATCGGATACAGTCGGCGGGACGGACGAGTTGGGTTTCTGGTCAGCCAACAATTTTTCGATAATATCATTCGCCATTTCCATGTCCAAGACTTGATCCAATTGTGAGCCCATAGGCGATTTTGCTTGTAACTTGATCTTCGATTCGATATCGTTGGTCAAGTCGCGCAAAAACTTGACAGCTCGCATCGACATATAATAGGAATGCGCTCGATTCTGGCCATGAACATCCAATAGCCGATAGACTAAATTTCGCACAGAGTTATTCCAAATGATTTGCGGATTATGAACGATACACCGTTGCTTAAAGTAACCCATGAGCGTTTCCCATTTATCTGTAGGATCATTTTCAAGTAGAGAATGCTTGGTTGCCGCAGCATTGGATTGCGTTCGTGGTAGGTCAGGCATATTTTGAGTGAGTACAGATTTAAGGTAACGTTGTAAGAGACTCTTTTTCTCAAAGAGAACTGTTGTCTTCTCCACGATGTTTTGCGACTAATCATTTGTTCAATATTAGCATCGCATAGGATGACCCAACAGCACATTATACAATCTACTGACCTCATTCAACAGCTCAGTTTCGAAAGGCAGCTTTTGAAGTCTTCTCTCAACGTCGTCCAACCTCTCTTGATGAGAGTGTATTTGTTCATCAATGGCCTGCATGCGCTGTCTCAGCAAGTTGACTTGAATAGCACGTGTGTCTTTGAAAAAATGGGTCAGCCAAAGTGTACAATTTAATAACGCATAAAACAGTTCCGGGTCAACTCACCCCTAGCAGAGCCAAGTATGCAATCATGTGTTCCATGTAAATAGTGGAAGCGTTCAGCGTCATCTCGATTGGTTTGCTTAAAGTAGCCAATGTTTGGAGAAAACATCATGGGGAAGACACTGATAGCTGGCCGGAAGTCAGGCGTACGAAGATCAAGTTCCACATAATCATCAAGATCCACCCAGTCTTGTGGCATACTGTCCGAGAAATTAAAAGAGTCCTCAAAATCAGAGTTACTACTTTCAAACGTTTGGCTGGATTCCGAGTTGACAGTTGATGTCTCATCAACAACAAAAGAGGGTAACCCTGAACTCCTGCCGAAGTCAAGGTCATCGTTCGGGTCAATATCAGGGTACGTGGCTTGCACTACTCTGAGATCTAGGTCAGATAGTTGAAGTTGGGCTTCGTGTAGTAGCCAGTGGGGTTTGATACGCTCTCGTCCAAATTCTCGGCTTTCCACCTTGGTAGTGATTCGTCTCTGGTGCAAATCGAATTTGAAACTGCTTACAGACGCCTTCATACCAACGGTCTGACCAGTACCATTAATGCTGTACAAGGATTGTTCGTCTTTCTCAAACCAGCCTATGAAAAGGTTGTCGGTGACAATCTTGTATTTGACGGTGCTCAAATGCTTTCCAAATTTCTTAGTCGCCCGAGTGTCTGCCCTGGGAAAGAGAGACCCAGTGCGAATAGGTAGACCCATACCGCCTCCAAATAACCGGAACCATTGCAAAAAGTGGTCCACAAACCCTGGGCTGAGATGCAACGCATTGACAGCATCAGTGGATCGATTGATATTGGTATTCTGGACAAGGCTGACTGAAAAGTGTATAAAGTGTGAACGGAATCCGGTAAACGCATCATAGTTCTGTAAAACGCAAAATAATAGCGAAGATAAATTGGAAACATAAGTAACACCATTGTCAAAGTTCATCAACATGTGAGGATACTGACCTCAGCGCCCTCTGGCTGTTTGGCAACATTGGCAGGAGTACAGAATTTGATTCGATAATGCGGTATGAAATCCAACGATCGACATTCGCCTTTTCCTTCGCACTTTGGACAGTTTGATTCACAACGTCGTTCATATTTACAACCAAGACCCCATCTAACACCACCTGATAACTTGAGACCTATCTTCTGCAGATGCTTTCGTTCAAAGTAATTTTTAGCCGGAACCGGGGTGCTGTTCGTGCGTCGCATATTCTCAGTAGGCCAAGGAGATCGAATGTCAGGAGACGAGGTACTTAAGACGGTGGGTGAGTCAGGAGTTTTGAATTTGCGTGCTTCGCTTTGTGCCGGTGGTGGGGAAGCCATCGCTACACTGGCTGTTTCCGACCGATGACGACTTTTGATGGTATCCGCGGATATTGGCAAGATATGCTTCACAACATATGTACCATTGACAAGATCAGGAACAGCCAGCATGTAGTCTTGACTCAATACCTGCATAAATTCGCCTTGAGGATTATCGTAACCCAAGAGCCATTGCACTTCCTTGCTCCATACTTTGACAAATCCAGCACCTTTTCCAATAAGATTGTATGGGTCTCGTGTTCCTTTCAAGCACACAGCTAGGTCTCCATTGAAGCGAATGCGGGTCTTTGTATGGATGATGTGACGGATTTTATCCCAGAACCCCAATTTTGCAGACGGATCAACCGGAGGACGAGTAAAATACTCGAATACACGAGAGACATCTTGAATAGATGGTTGTACAGACTGAGACCAAGCCATGCGAGTAGGATTACTAACCAAGCAACGAATTTCAACGATGGAGTAGAACTTGGGTGGAGATGAGGTACGAGGAATCTTCATATTATAGTTTGTACCATTCTGAAGATCAACCAATACGACATCAACGAGTCTTGTTGCCAGTTTTGATCCGAGTTCATCTCCAAAAACATAGTCACCAGACAAAGACCAAGCTTGTGGCCAGGTATTAACATCTTTCTTCGTACTCGGTGGTACGTACAGGAGGGGAAGCGGGTAATCTCTGAGTTGGATCCATGTTTCATCAGCAAACCAGTTCAAATGGAAAGGTGCGAGCATGGAGAACTGCGTGTCGAGAGGAACACCATTACCGATATTCTGAATGAACAAACGAGTTTGATCCAGAGGAAACGTTGGTATAGATACAGTAAGGTCTAAGTTACGCATAGCGCCAAACAGAAGAGATGTATGTCGAGGTGCTGGAACCATGGAGATATCGAACAGATCAGCAAGGTACTTTGAAGTAAATTCTAGCGTTCTCTGGCCGAAATCATAAACAATTTTGTGACGATGCTGACGCCGACTGTCACAAAGTGCTTCCAGACCCTGCTGTTCTTCCTTTTGCGCCGCGTGAATGCTCCTGACCCAGACCTTGGCATTGTGTTCCTGCAACCGACTCCAGGCAACATTGACAGATATGTTGGAGGATGAAGATCCCCGTCGAAATGAGGCTTCGTCATGGTCTGGCCTTGGTGTGCTTCTAAAAGTCAGTGGGGTCTCTGATCCTTTCAAAAAGCCATCTCGAACCTGTTCACCGTCCAACGCTCTACGGCCGTTTTCATCGTCTTGCTTCTGCTGTTGCCGTTGAGATTCCATGGACTGGGCTTTTGCCATAAATGCATCTTCGTTTGCCAATCTCGTCTTTTGCTGAATGGTTCCAGTCTTATAGATAAGACGAAGATCAGCTTCAAATGGATTGTCTTCAAGGGTGAAGGTAAATATTTCAAATCGAAGCTGGATGGTGGGCATTTCAACAGGGTTGTTCTTGGGCATTGGGCCATTCCAGTCAAAATATTTATCAGAAAACAAACGCCCATTAAGCAACCTCAACGACTTGGAAGCGCTGATGGCATTGTCGATAATGTTGGCAACAACGTATCCAAATGGAATGATGATATGTACTCCGGATGATGAAATAATAACCGTACGATTCTGTGAACGATTCATGGCTTTGCTTCGAGTTTCACGAATGATCTTGAGATCATCGATGCCAATAAGTTCATCCCAAGAGGAAGTGTTACTAGGTGCAATACCAAATAACTTAATCGAGCGCACTTGCAGTTCTTGACGGGATGAAGACATGGGTAAATTGAAATGCAATTCTTTGGTTCGTAGAAACAAGTCCAAGTTGCCGGGAAATAAGCAGCGTACGTCGACATGATGTAAAGCAACCGAGCATTTCTCAACGTCCACCTTGAACCTCTTTGGAGACGATGCTATTTCTTCCTTTGCCTTGGGGGCGATATTTTTCAGTGCCAGAATAGCAAGCAGCGTAGCATAGTGGTTTTGCAGAGTATAATAAACAAGTACGCGACCAAACGAGACAGAAGATTTGGAGATCAAGGTCAATCCAGTTTCATCCGACTTCATGCGAAGGATAGACCGAGAATCAACTTGTAATAAATGAACAAAGCATTCTCGTTCACCACCAAGACCGGACAGATAAAACATTTGACCGTTGCTGAGACCCACACATGGCGATAGTCCACTTCCAGTCAAGAAAACGTCGACCGCGCCTAACAGAGTCTGATTACTCGGTAGCTCCAAGATGCTTTCAGCCAGGGACCGATCGACATTCGCTTTACTCGTCTTGTAATTAATAGAGAGCGACTCAATATAAAGTGCAAGGCCAAGGCAGGTATCTTTTTCCGGTGCATTGTCGACATAGCCTTCAGGCACCTTGCGCTTTCCTCGAATGCCTTCATCCAAGCCAACCACGCCAGCACATAAATTATGTATGGCTAAAGTCATATTGACGTTTCGTAAATAAGGTTGATATGCGCTATCGGTCTTCTCAGATGTAGCCGGTTTAGGTTGTCGGAAACCACCCTTGGTTATCCCCATCGTGCTGGTCATGGCTTGCTGCAAAATAACCAGTTGCTTCCTGTTGGCATATTCTGACCACAGGTTGATGCTAGGTTTATCAATGGATAAACATAATTCTATGATGGGTTGGTCGATGATCAGTTGCATATGCGGTGATTGACGTTTTCTCTGTGTGATTATAGACGCTGTCAAGGATGCTCGCGCGCTGATATTGATTTCGTCAATGTACAGTAGGGTATTATCCAGCGTGGGAGGTTGTTCTGACTTTGTTGTGGTTTCGAAAGGAAATGCCGAACTACATTCTAACAGTCGAACACTGGCAAAAACATCAAACATCCAATGTCTAGCTGACGTATGGGATGATGGAGATTTAGAGTATGATCTCCAGCTTTTTCGCAACAGCTTCTGCCATCGACTTGCCGGTGTTGTTTTTTCGAAGGTGGGTGAGAGCGGAGGACTGGTTGAATGCAAGAAATTGTCGGGCGTATGAGTAGGTGACCCAAGAGGAGATAATAATGGAGGTGATGCTGGGCCTTCCGATGATTGTATATAGTTGCCTCTAAACGTGACGAGAACGTCGCGCAGATCAAACCCTGTATAGTGTGGCATGGCAGGTTCGTCGAAACTCTCCAACTTTGAGAAATGGTAGACGTAGAAGGTTGGGTTACCGATGGAGACCGACAACATGAATCTCGGCACCCTTTGGATATGCCAAGTTGTAGGGGGGGTAGTAGATGCCTTGCGAGGTTGCTTCGGCTGTGTCAACATACCGACGATGTTTTGATAAGAGGACAATTTGACCATATCCAAGGTTAAACTCGGCGAGATTACATTCACTGAACCTGTCACGAACTGCATATTTGGATCCTCCATTGCTGGGTCAAGGTCGCCGGCAAAAGTGTCAACAATCTGAGCCGTCAGGGCCTGCTTTTTGCTAATGAGAACAGGCTCGGTCGCTTTGAGCGAAGTATCTATTCCCGAAAGCGCAAGGATAACAGAGGATTGTATTTCAGGAGCAGGCGTCATGGAAAGGATAGCGACCTGCATAGATTTTGTTGAGAAGTTCGCGGAATGAGGGAACTCTCGAATATCAAGATCTTGATGACATAGATCTCTAACGCATGAAAGGGACATTGCCTGGAGAGAGAGGTTGAGCTTCTCATGAATTTCTTCATCTGAATCTGACGTTATGCGCTTTATAACTTCGATGTTGGCCATGGACATGGTCAATTCCTTGAACAATAACAACGAACTTCGCTTCTGATCCGGCTGAATGGCGGGTTCGGCAGAGGCTGTTCGATTATGCGTATAAATTGCTCCAGACCGATGCAAACCACCCAATGCGCTATTCCGTTTACTCTGTTGACCCGACGTTGGTTCATTCAACACAGCTGGACTCTCTGTTACTGAGGATTGATATAAAGATAATAACTGATCAGCATCGATGTCCATGGACCCAACTCTGACGTCTACAGAGACACTTTTGAGTGTTGTACAGGCAGCTGACAGATGGCAGGATAAGGCAAAATAAGAGCGGGCTGGTAAGGAAACGGCCGTTACAATATTTGTCTCCACATTATCTGAATGAGGTATGACCTCCATTGGCCCAAGAGTTGCGTTGATCTGAAAAAACTTATCCTTCCACAAATGATTTGCCTTCTTAAATGAATGTTGTTGATGCTTGGCGTTGAGCAAGAATTCTTGCATCAAGATAGATGCATCATTAAGCTGGTCCCGCATATCCATAGGAGTAGGTGTCGCTTTTCGTTCGACATCTGCAAACAGCATGGACGAAAGGGTAGCGTTTTCCAATCGATAAGACGCTACATTTTTGACAACCACTTTCACAACCCCGAATCGCACATCCGCATATTGAGTTAACCCGGATATGATCATCTGCGCTGGGACGGCGGAAGTGATCCGGATAACCCATTTGACAATGGATAACGAGTACCACCAAGGTATTCGAGTGAGCGATTCGCCGACCGAAGCCAGACTCCCTCCCCGACGCTTCTGCTGCTCTCGGAGTTCCTTTTGAATTTGAGCCTGCTTACGCAGCAGGGCCAAGTCGTGCACTACGATGGTGACATCCTGTATATGTAATGTGAAAAAAGCAAGTTGTTGCTCGGTATCATCACGAGATTGAAAGAATCGATGTCGTAGTCGTAGCTTGATTTTACCAATGTTGAAAGTTACCGTCCTTGCACTGGCATTTTGTGGTAGTTTTGCTCGAAGGTGGTACTTGATTCCGCTTATTGAAAGAAAGCCAAGATGGCCGTATTCAAAATTATATTTTAATGAGAGAAAGAAATCAACCAGGTATCGCGCTATGATCAGCGCGATACAGGCAATGGCAAGTTGAGACAGCCAGTTTGCCATTGAGCTGCTTCGAACCAAGATACGTTTTGCCAGCCAAATCGGCACTGGAAAAATTTCATTACCATGATACCAGGCGCGGAGCTTAATGAGTGTGTTGGGCGACCAAAAGCAGAAGTTAAGCATGATTGTCTTTGCTTCTGTGAGCGAAGGTGTCCACGATAGCATCCCTTTTAAACAACAAAAACCTGTGGCTGCAACACTGGTTTCATCACTGCAACAAGTCCTTTTTCCCATTGTTAACTAGCCTGCCATGAGCCATTTACACATAGTGCTCAATGAGAGTATTTATCAGCCCTTTTGTAAAATGTGTTCGCTGTAAGTTCATTGACTGACCACAGTAGCATTGTCTTTCTCTTCAACGCTTTGCGAACCCTGCATCGTTTTAAATTACGCGCACTGCGAGCGAGCCCTTGAGCGTGACTGCCAAAGTGTTCAAGCAGAGAAAGAAAAATGTTTGAATTTTTGGCTGAACCCTCAGTTTGAATAACGCAGCAGAGGAGCGAATGCTCAAGACAGTCCGTCGAATTTGTTCATTGTCACCCATATCTCGCCTACACGTCAATCGCTATCTAATGTCAGAAACAAAATACAAAGATTGGAGTCATGAACAATTGGTTCAACGCATTCTCTCCCTAGAATCTAGCAGCAGTCCGGTCAAGTCGTCCACCGCAGATCAAGCCAATGCACCGTCGTCAAAGAAGTCACAAAGAAAATCACGGCCGTTTGATATGTCCAAATACTCACAGCGATCCGTCGCTTTCAAAGTAGCCTATTTCGGCTGGCCATACTCGGGATTTGCTGCTCAAGGAAACGAAAAAGACGTACCTACTGTGGAAGGCGCTGTGTTTAAGGCCCTCATGACAGCTAAACTGATAGAGAGTCCAGAAAAATGCAATTATTCCCGATGTGGTCGTACGGACAAAGGAGTCAGTGGACTTGGTCAAGTCATTGGATTGAATGTTCGAAGTAATCAACCAAAGGAAGGGGATAGCACGGATTATCAGGAGATCCCTTACATCGACACGTTGAACCGCATCCTTCCCAAGGATATAAGGGTAGTGGCCTGGAGTGCAGCACCTCAAGACTTCAATGCTCGATTTGATTGTGTCTCGCGCACTTACAAGTACTTTTTCGTCAAAGGAGATTTAGACCTCGATGGTATGCGAAAAGCCGCTTCCTACTTAATTGGAGCCCATGATTTCCGCAACTTCTGCAAACTTGACCCCTCCAAAAACATTCAAAACTATGAACGAACCGTCCTCTCTGTCGACATTCGCCCAGTGCAAGATATCACGCAATCGCCCAGTATGCAAATGTACGAACTGGAATTGAAAGGAACGGCGTTTTTGTGGCACCAAGTTCGATGTATGATGTCGGTTTTGTTCCTTGCTGGACAAGGATTAGAGGATCCAGAGGTCGTTCGAGATCTATTGGATGTGCAAAAGATACCCTCCCGACCTGAATACATTATGGCCAGCGACTTACCGCTTGTCTTGTACGACTGTGAATTTAAGGGTCTGGATTGGCAGTATGCAAGTGACGGTCATACCACGGCTGGTGTGGCGAGCCCATTCAAATTATGGAAGCACTTGCATGAACAGTGGTATGAGTATATGACCAAAGCCATGATGTATCAAACACTCTTGCGAGATGTGGATACCATACCTTTCCAAACCTCAACCGTCGGTACGCTCCGGAGTCAAGGAATCTCCAGATTGCCTGCAGCTGATATTGTTCTTGGAGGTGGACGGGAGCACAAGATGGCCAACTATGTCAAGGTGCTGGACATGCAGCGCTGCGATTCCGACGAAGTGAAGAAGGAAAAGTACCGCAACAAAAAGCAAAAGACGAAATAGACCTTCTTTTTTTTTTAGAAAAGCGTAGTGTAATTTTTGGTCAATAGAGTTGTCGATATACATGACAAACAGGCGTGGATGAATTACGGTGTAATCTACGATTTTGTTTAATTGATGATCAAATTATAAAAAAGTGGACGGAGGTCTCCAAAGGGACAGATTGCGATAATATACAATTGAGTGAGAAGAAACAAAGGGTTGGGTATGATGAAGTTTAAATAAACAAGCAAATGGTGGCAAGCACAGTGAAAGCATAGAATGAAGATGGAATGGATAATGACGGCAAAGCGCCACTGAGCACCAACAATGAGGTATTCAGACCCATTCTATTGCAAGTTGGGTTATTGATATCGAATACTACGTTGGTGCCATTTTGAGACGCCGTTCCTGTTTGCCAGTATCCATATTGCGACGTGGCAATGTCTCCCGATGGGCAATTGAACTGCATGAACGGAGGACAACTCTGAACCACTCGATAGCACAAATCAACGCAAGGGAGTAATTCAGTCCATTGGTTCGGTGAGTAGGTGGAATCTATCCACGGGTTGCGAGACTGGTTGAAAGGCACTTCATGAAGAGCCTGAGATGGGCCGTCGTTCATGTCATTTTCTTGGTTGAAAGGGCTAGGCGTGGTACAGCGAGGAATCAAAACCGAGCACATCCAATTTTTATAATCATTGTAGCAGTCAGTACAATTGCGAACAAGAGAATATTGCGTCGTGTCGCAGTTGAACTGTGATAGTGCAGTGGCGAAGGGTTGAAACACCTGAACCGCATTTTGATCATAACTCTGGGTTAAGTTCCAAATATCCGCTCCGGGGTCGTTAGGATTAGTAGCTACGCTGTAGGCTACTTGATCGCAGAAAGAGAGACCATAGATCAATCTACAGTTGAGCTCTAAAGTGAAGTAAAGATAGGATGGTTTGATTAAACAACCGAACTATACTGCTCTCTCGCCTTTGAATTGGCTTGCCCATACATACCTGATTTAGTACTGAATGAAATAGGCGGACCGTATGCAGCGGGAAGATTATTTGAACGAGGTTGCATTAAGTAAGCCGTGTATCGGGTAGCTGGCGATAGTCCAGACACATAAGCTTGCTGTCGGGTAGCGTTGAAAGGACCTCGTGCGGTCATGGTATAGTTGACAGGATGAGATTGCACAAATTTCTGCGCGGCACAAATGGAATAAGCCAGCTCTTGTGGTGGGTTGGTGGTGATTAAGACAGTGAAATTAGGTGCCTGGCTCCCTTGATAAGAGCTGGTGAGGAAAAGCGCATTATTATTATCCGAATCGTCCAATGTCATATAAGCTATCGAATCGTCCGAGCTCGGAATCAAGAGTTCGTGCATAGGGGCTGGACACAGACAGATTAGCTTCGGTGAAAAAAAAAATGAGGATGAACACTGTGTGATAAGACATACCAATGGTTGAAGTGCCAATTTGGTAGGTCCAATTGCCAGTCCATCCATTGGCAAGAGCGGGAGCGGAAACACCAACCCACAGTTGAGTGGTTGGAGATAAAGTTGAATTCCAGGATGTAAATCCAGAATAAGTGGTATTGAGGGGAGACGTTTCTGGTACATTGGGTCCTGGCAGAGAGTTGGTAGAAGTAGTGGACACAAACACCTGCAAAGGAGGGACAAATCCTTCATAGCTGGAAGGTGGCTGTGGCTGCGAGCAAACAGTGACGGTAAGATAGATGGCGGCAATGCTGCCAGCACGAGGCAACAAACGTCGAGCATGCAAAGCTACTGAGGCTGTAGGTAAAACTGAAGCTGAGGACGCTATTGAGGTTGATGCATGTGGAGTGGCAGCTGTAGTTATGAATGGTATAGCAACAGTAGGTTGTTGAACCTGAGAGTTTGAATCAAAAAAGTAGTGCTGAATGCCGCCGGATGGAAGGACATTGTTCACGATTTGAGAGTTATTTAAGGCTACTGTGACAGAATTCTGCGCGGATGTGATGCATGGGAAAAAAAGTAGAAAGGGCAACCCAAGCAATAACATGGGCTGCATGATCGTCAGTGGTCGGTTGCGTGAGGAAGGCAGTGAAAAAAATCCCAAAAGGCAGGCAAACTCAAGCCAGTCTATGGACAATTTGATTGGCTGCGGATAATTCGGGTCCGACGCACGCAGTTGGTGAAATCAAATGTCAGCCAATCTGTGTTGTTTTCACCTAGCTTCTCTTCTTTACCACTCACCCCCACTCTTGTCATCTCAACTTACTTGCAATGGCTACTACTACTTTCTCTCTCGCTCAACTTGCTGAACACAGCCAGAAGAAGGACATTTATGTCGCTATTCACAACAAGGTCTACAATGTGACCAGCTTCATTGAAGAAGTAAGTCGTGGCATTCTCGTTCTGTTGCTTGTCATCTTGCCTATACACAATTTTTAAACCGAATACTCGTTTTTAATAGCACCCTGGAGGTAGGCTTGATTGATCTTGTGTGCAGTTAAACCGTATCGCGCTTCTTTGCAGTTATTGACCGAGAGCATCCCACTCCTTTTTTGTTTTTACCCCACCCCTTTTAATGCTATAGGTGAAGAGGTTCTTCTCGATGAAGCCGGTAAGTTATAGTCTCGACCTTTCTTTGTTTCCTTTGGCTTTATATGCCTTTCTACGCCATTTCTTTCTTCTATTGTGTGCGGAAAACGAAACAATAAGGATTAACTAAACCCAAATTCTCCTTTCTAGGCAAGGACGCTACCGAGGCTTTCGAGGACATTGGCCACTCTGATGAAGCCCGTGAAATTCTTGAGAAGTACTATGTTGCTGAATTGGACGAAGCCGTAAGTTGAATGAAATGTACCTGTCTCGATATTTAGTTCCTGCGACTTATCTACCCCACCTTTTTTTCCAAAAAAACAAAAAAACAAAAAAAGTCCAAGAAGGACGTTAAGAAGACTCCCATCGCTCGTGCTCCTGCTGCTTCCGAATCTTCTTCCACCGGCTCGTAAGTTCGATGCAAATACGTTTGACTTTCCGTTAGCAGAATTGTAAACATTAATGTTTTCTTCTTTCCTTGCTTACAGTGCTTTGCGTGTCGTCATTCCAATCTTGGCTGTTCTTGGTTATCTTGCCTACAAGTACACCAGTGCTCAACGTGCTTAGAGCCAAAAATCCTTACTACTTATATAGATAGAAAACCATGATATCAGCGTGTTTGTATCCAATTAACAAGAAATTTTGTACCTGCTCGTTTCTTCAATTTATGCGTATGTTTATTTGGCGTGTGTCTTTGTGGGGTCAGACAACGGTCGGGCGGTCCGTGACTCCGCACGTACGTAGAAAATTTATCCGTCTTGACATGGTCCAATCTTGTTAAGGCCTATGACATGTTCTATTGACTCCAAAGAAAGACCAAGCCATTATGAAGGTGATGAGGCTGTGATGATAATGAGGCTAGGTTGGGTTTTCTGCAGTAAATTTTTTTATTTTGGAAATTTTATCCAGATATTGGACGCCGAGCAATTGTACAGAGTAAGGAAAGCTAACAATGTGACCTTTGCAATAGCCTTGCCAATGCGGTATTGCCGGATGGCATTTCTGTTCTTTCTGTGGCAATATCAATATTGTATAATCAGTTTGGTGCCATAAAAGGTGATTGAAAAGCAAGGTGAGCAGAAACTGCGTCAATGGGAAGAAATGCGAATTTATTCAAAAATATGGGGTATCAAGGGAAAAGTAGATGGTTTTCGCTTGTATACACTGTTGGTATTAAAGATATAGAAATGTGCATCAATTTCATCAGCAATTACAAAAGTAAAATTGTCAGACAATGATTTGTGCTATGGACGGAAGGAATAAAAGTTTCAGTAAATTAAATAAATACATGTGTACTGTAGGTTTTTCGTCTTGAACAATAGAAAGGATATAATGCTTATTACATTTTTTTTTTTATTCGAAATGTATATTTGTAAATAAGCAATCGTCAATCACAGTAGAGCGAACACTCAAGATAACTTGACGGTAAATCATTTTTTCCGTGTAAAAGCATTTAAAAAGAGACGATACCCGCCTGCACCGCAGGATTGCACAAGATAAAAATAAAGGAACCAAAAGAACAAATGCCAGCAGCCCTTGTTTCAAATAAATAATGGGATTTAATATATAAACTTGGAGAAGTAAAATATCTTTCTTCATGAGAAGGATCAAAGCTTCTAGCAGTGGCTTTACCATATCGTTGACCATAAGCTCGCGAGTTCTTACAGATTCTTTGTTGAAGCCATCCTGTTGATGGTAACCAACATATTGAATGCCCATTTTCGGAACGTAAAACGTGACTCTTTAAGCCCATCCTTAATAAAGTGGAATTTCTGTCGGCCACTTCCAATTTTTCCATTCAAAGGAACTCTCACTTGGCAGTTGTCCCATCTAGATCTTCTTAGCCCCTTTTCACCATTAGTTTCTCTTGTCTGTACCAAGCAAGATGACGGCGGCAGCATTACCACCATCAGAACTATCGGATCGACTGTACATCCTAGGCCATCAAGTGTTCTTCCTTCTAAGCGGCCTGTGTCAGACACTTGGTGCTCAATGGTTGTTTTATTCAGGTGCTGCAAGTGAGTACAGCCTTTTGTAAAATTGCCAGCGTATGCTATAGATCAAAAATAACATTGCCCAACTAAAGCTGGAAGCAGCTACTTTACTCAGGTTGCTCAGTATTTTGGTATGATCTGGGTAGGTCTATTGCTACCTATCATGAATTCAAGGAAACAAGTCTATACCAAGCTACCTACCAAGTCAGAGGATGATTCCATCGAGGTATGTTCTTAAGAGATGGATGGTCCTTTTTGCATGGTTATGCAGTCGACTGATTTGGAGAACCTTAGGGTCATGGTATGACGATTATAGCGACAGCCGATATCACTGAAAATGGGATGGAGGATGATCCAGAGCACAAATCCAAATCATCACAAGAAGGTCCTATTCATCATAAATCTATCTTCAAGCTTGCCATCGTAGAGGTGGTTGCCAACTTTACCGTCAGTGTTGGATTTTATCTTGTTGGAAGTGGGGTAAGATTCTTTTGTTCTTGCATGAAGGGTGTCAGCACTAAGCTAAGCCAAGATCCAAAACATAAACTCATGTCTCTTTTAAGATGTATCAAGTTATTTATAGCAGCGTTGTGATTTGGTGTGCCATCCTCAGTTACTTTACTATGGGAAGAACATTGACGCCAACACAATGGGTGGCTATCATGGGCACAAGTGTTGGATTGGCCATTAGTGCTATGGGTAACACTTCTCAGGGGGATGGTAAGTTCATTGAGTGGTGGTCAGCTATGGAAACAGTTATCTAAATTTATGCCGGAAACTTTTTCCTCTGATAGCTACATCTGCTCCGCTCTTAATTTTTGGCATGATCGTTACTCTGAGTGGCACATTCTTCTATTGTAAGTTTAATTAGAGTAGAAAAAGCTGTGATCTCTTCACTAACAGAGTATCATGGCATCGTTTTAGCGTGCGTCTACGTTTTTTCCGATCACATTCTTTCTCAGCAAGTTCCTGGACCCTCTCCCATTCGAGTGTGTTCCTATGTTGGAGCGTACTGTACCGTGCTTTCCGTCATCTGGATCATGGTTTACACCGTACCTCGATTCGATGAACTCATCCATGTTCATCCCGACGTTTCCATGCAATCTGTCGCTGGCATGTACGCGCTTCTTATTCTCGCTAGCGCCACGCATGCCTGGAATTATTATGAGTTAATCGGGCGAACAGGCAACGTAAGTCAATGTGGGGGGGGGATACGACCGGTAGTATTGGAAGCTCAATGTTTAATCTGTTTTGCCCATTTTTAGGTTGCCACCGGCATTCTACAGGGTCTAAGAGCCATTCTAGTGTTCGGATTGAGCCACTTTTGGTACTGCAGCAGCGATTCCGCTCAATGTTTTACAGTTTGGAAAGGATGGGGAAGCGTGATGGTGGTTGGCTGTGTGCTGATGTTTACACTAGGTGGTAGAGGCCAAAAGGGAGGTTCTCACTAGAAGGAAGTGTTCCGATAAGACCCATTTGTCAACTGTACATAATAAAAAAGTATTCATTCTTAGGGCATTCGCTGAACTGACTTGCCTAACCAACCCGATGGGAATACAACCCTCATCAGATAGGCTGACGGGTGAAGCTTGAAGAACCGAGCGTAGAGATAGGGAATCAAGTTCCATTAAATGAAATGCCCAAAATGGCAAGTTTTCAGATAAGCAAGCCAAAATGCAATAAATTTCTATCGCTCATTAGGGAACCCTTTATCTTTTAAGCTATGCTATGGTAAGCCATTCAGCTGACAATCTGCCAAGTAATTCTTTGACTGGTTTTTCATATATAAATTGAATGTAAATGTGGGGTACAATGGAGACAACAGCAAGTGGAAGAATTCATAGAGCTGATGAACTATGGGTACTCTCTATTATTCGTAGATACTGTTTGCTAAGGGCAAATGACGCCAGCTTGTAAAACACAAGCTGAACGCCGGTCAAATTCGACGGAAGTGTGGCGAAGGGTCCCTTAAGGAGAAACAGTATCTGTGTGTAAAAAAAAGACCCGACGGGATGTCATTGGGAGAAATTACCAGGCTGGGAACGTGGGCTCTGATAGAGTTGTGGGATACAGAGAACACCGCTTGCCACGACCCCATGCGGCCTCGTGACCATGGCCACGACGTTGGAATGGACGGCGTCCAAATCTCTAGGTAGATTGATGTGGCAAGCTGAGACCTAACGTTATAATGGCTTCTGTATGATTTTGATCAAAGACACATCATCATCATTATGATGGTTATCGATTAGCCAATCGCTGTTTTTATTTCTTTCCGGAGTGAATCAAGTCCCGAATTGTCACCGCACTTTTTTGGGCTCCCGGTACCTGAGCGTCAGGGTGACAGAAAGATGGTCTCTCTTGGCGAACAAGGCGAGAAGGCAGGCCGCGGGGAGAGTGGGATCAAAGGGCTGATAGGGGCAGATGGAAAGGCCATGGTACGATAGGCAACGCTATCAGACAAAAAAACCTTACCCCACATCCACCGCACCGTGATACAAACCCTGTTTTAACATACCGGCGCCATCGAACCAAAGGCATAGCGGCTATCTGGCGGCCCACGCACGCCATTTTCTTCCTTTTTTTTATTTTATTTTACTTTATTCCCTGCTTTTTTTTAAAAGTGGTTGGGTTTCCCACCCCAGAAGCTGTCTCCAGCGTGACATTTTAGAATTATTCCGTCATGAATTAGGCAAGAAGCACACGCCCATTTCCTCTTGTGCAAGTGGAGAAAACTCGAAACTGCCTTTACGGGGAAATAAGGAGAAGCCTCGTCCCGCATTTTCCATTCGATGTTTTTCTGGAGAGAAAGACCAAAAAAAATTTTTTTTTTATCGGCCAGTAGCATATCAGAGCAGTGGTGTATGATGATAAAATCGGGGGGATTTGGCAAAGAAATTAGTTTCCGATTGACAGCGCGGAATCTCCATTTTAAAGCAACAGCGTACGATTGGGCGGCGATCGCAAAAGTCAGTGTATAAAATAATAATAGTGACCCATATCTGAACGGTATCTCCGGGTCCACGTGTGGAGAGGTGAAGAAAATGAGCTTACCAAGCCTCTCCCCCCACGCACAGGGACAACCCTCGGAGGTTCACGTGCTGGCTGTCAGGCTCAGCTATCTTTCCATTGTCCTTGTCAAAATTTTTCCCTATCGATCAAAGAAATTTCTTTACTCAGACTGTAATTTTTTTTTTTTTTATATAAGTTGGCTTCTCTCCAAACCCTTTGTTTCAATTCATTACATATTATCTCTTTTATTTCCCTCATGGCCTACCAAGCAGCTTCTGGCTTATTGAGCCTCGCTCAAAATACACCCATCCCTAAACGCTCTATTCCTGCCGTCGATAAGGCTAACATGCCTAGACCTTACAAATGCACAATGTGCCCAAAGAGCTTTTATCGTCTTGAACATCAAACTCGTCATATTCGCACCCACACCGGCGAGAAACCCCATCCATGCACTTTCCCTGGATGTGAGAAGCGTTTTTCTCGATCCGATGAGTTGACCCGCCACGCTCGTATCCATACCGCCAATGGATCCAAGAAGAGAAAGCAAACCGCCATGCGATCTGTTAGTAACAAGCGACCTACTCCTAACAACTCGCTGCCTCCTAGCCCAGCTTTGTCCAGCTGTTCATTTGAACACAACTCGGATTCTGACAGTGACTATTTGCGCACTCCAGATACTTCACCGGTGCTTTCTCACCGTACTATGTTGACACCTCCTCGCAAGTTGAGCATTCTTGAATGCAGGTCGTCTGAACCCATGTATGCTCGCCCTCATTCCCATGGTGAGCCTCGTCTGACCGATATCCTTGAAAACCCTGCCACGTCTCGTGTGCTCCCCCCTCTCTCTATATCAACCTCTGCTTTTGCTGTCCCTGCTTCCATTGAAAAGCCTACACATGCATTGCCCTCCATTCATTCCCTACTTTCTTTCAACTAGACTTTTATCACCACCACTCCATCATTTTGTAGTACCTTGCATTCAAAGCATTATGTATATTGAACACTTTTTCCCTTAAAAATTTAATATGTCCTCCCTCCCCTCTATTGGTTTTTCCCCCTCCCCCATCTGTATACAACTCCTCCGTTATCATTTTGTAAATATAGAGATGATTAATTGAACCTTTAACATGTGTGATTGAAATTCATATGCTTATTTGTGAGGGGATTTTTTTTGAATGCCGGCCGGCCAACGCAAAACGTGGGGTGGGAATCAGCTCACCCACGCGGGCGATGATGAAACTTTGTTTCGGGTCAAGACGGGATAAATTTTTTTTTTTTGAAAGAAGTCGAGCTGAGCGAAAAAAATAGACCCTTATCCGATCAGCAATGATAAAGTCTTAGTCCACTGAAACAAAACATCGATGGAACCTAACCCCGCCATCAATGGCCTTTATTACCATTCTCTCGTTCGTTAATGAATTGAGCAGCAAATAACACGGCGGCCAACGTTTCTTCTCCGCTGGGCACAATCTGATTTTCCGGCAATAGGAAGCCATATTGACCCACATCACGCAATTCAGCAGCAAATGAGTATTTGACATTGGCCACAGCGTAAGTCCAATCCAATGATCCTCCAGAAGCCTAAGTGGGGGTTCAGTCAATCGCGTGCATGGTTCTGGACCTTTTTTTTTTTTTTTTCTTACCTGGTAGATAATTTTACAAACGGGTCCCGCAGCAAACGAAGTACCATGTACCGCCTTAAGAGCGCGCGTTGCTCCTAACGACAATTCAGTTAGATCTTCTTCGTCCTTGGGTCTTTCGTTACAGTCTGATCCAAAAGGCGACATCCCTGTCGCAAAATACCCACAATTGGGGGAGGGGTGCTTAATTTAGCATGTGACAACGCCATAATACAAATTATGAAATTTTGGGCTTACATAGTTGTGAATAGGAATGAAAGTCAATATACATCATAGCGTGCTGTCTTGACGCAACAAAATCTGCCATGAGTTTGGTTTCAACTGCAGCAAATGCGGCAGGTCCCATGTACGCTTCTGAACAGGGGTTGGGCGATGATCCGCCTCGATTCCATTCATATCCCTAGCCCCCATGGGTTATTTAAAACATGCAGGTAGGGCCATTTTTTTCACTCAGGAGGCGGCTTACCCAATTACGATTCAGATCGATGCCTGTGCAGAAGGGAAACGACGTCGGTTGTCGATTTTTACGCCACTGCAGTGGAGTGGAGAAGGTCGGTTACACGTGATACTTAGCGATTAGAACGTTTCCCACTGCCCAATTTCATGAATAATTACCATTCTGTCCCTTGTGTGCGAGTAAATATAACCGTCCACATTCATGACGGGAATCAAAGTCCAGCTGAAGGTATCCACTAACTTGGTAATATGCTTATCTTGGCCATATTTAGAACACAGTGTATCAATGAAATACGTGATGGTCGCCTATCATGAGAGTGTGAGCGATCGGTTATCCTCTATTTTAATTTTTTTCAATATACCCTTTGCCAAACTCACCACCGATATCCACTCCCGCGCATGTTGTCCGCCATGCATGATAAGCTCCATCTCCTTTTTCTTCTTCCCATTGGTGCTGTTCGATGGTGTAATGAAATAATCCTTAATCTTCATCCATAGCTTGGTGGGTTCTCTTGCCTTTTTGCTCTTGATGGTGATCCCCCAGATATCGCGGCCTTCATAAGTTTTGCCAATGGAAAACAATTGCACAAGGTCAGGGTAGGTATCCGATATATTTTTCAAGAACGTGATGATTTCATCATATGTGTGATAATGAGCATGATAGTTGGCTGTGGTGTCATTGCCTACGCCAGCTGCGGAAATTTTCTGTTGTTGATCAATCAACGATTGGATATTGGAAATAAATACCCTGTGTTCAGCCGAAGCTGGCAAGTTTTGTAGGAAAATGTCTTGGTCATGTTGATTCAAACGAACGTGTAAACAGTTGTCGGCGCTTGGATGTTTCCACAAGTCCCATCCATTGGACTAAGAGAGATTGAATTCAGCAACGGGACATAGATAGGGGCTTTTATTTTATCTGGTGGTGCCTCGTCCGTCCATTCTCACCTCAATCCAATCAAGCGTATTTTGCATATCCACAGTGTTGTTGATGCACGCTTCCATGACCTTTTCATCATCATAACGAACTATGTCTGAACTGCTGGTAGGGAGCGGTGGAACTTGGCTTTGCATAACCGAATAGTCCGCAGACTGTTGCTGATGCAACGAAGCAGCATGAACAGTGGTCAATGAGAGCAATGCAGCCCATGGAATCAACTTCATGTTAAGTGAAATGAAAGAGTGATGTCGTTGGTTGGAAGACTTTATGCCCACGCACTGGCATAATAGTGGGGCAAATTGGAATAATCTGAAAAATTTCCCGTGAATTCGGACTCACTCCAGCTCAAAGACACTCTGGCCCGCCAAGCCCTAAATCTCCATCAGAGCCGGACCGATTGAACCTTTTTTAAAAAAATAATTTTGCAATCCCATACATAAAATAACTTTGTTCTTTCCATGGAATGTCTGTTCTGAATCGTATCGAGAGTCTGCTCGAACTCTGCCAAAATGCCTCGATTGTGCTGCAGCAAAAAGCCGCTACCGTAAAGGATTCTCAGCAACTCGGCATTATATTGATGGCAGGCAGGGACTTGCGAGCAGGCATTAAAGACTTGGTCAAAATTCAAGACACATTTGATGAATCAGTCGGTCGACCTCGGGTTGAAGACGTAGCCTCGGCCGAAGACACCATGGAGCGAACGAGAAAGTATCTTCACCATGCTATGAAAGGTACCACTGTCCCCCTCCCTGTTTCACGGTGATATATTGGCTTGACCTCACTCGTTTCTACAGTTTCGGCAGACGACTATATACCATCCCCACCTTTATCGCTATCTTCACTCGCTGCCAAGTCTCACCCGCTGGAGATCCCTTCATCCCCGTCCACACACCGTCCGATCAACGCAGTAGACAACCTTAAGAGTGAGGAGGATGTTGAAGAGTTCGTCGACGCTGTAGAAGACATGCCAACTCCGATGAGCCCTGCACAGACCACACAACTTGAAGACAACCTTCAAGGACTCAGTATTGAAGAGCCTGTACCCCTCAAGCGATCTAATAGCAATTTCAGTCTGTTTTCACTACCGCCTAATGCAACGTGGGATCCTTCATCTGACGACACTGCCAATACTGATCCATTGGCCAAATCACTCACTGTAAGTGCCCATACGTTATTGATGTTTGGAATGACTAAACTTAGCTGTTGGACAGATCGAGGACTACTTTCCCGTGCCAACTCGTACGCTTTCAACTAGCCCAAAAACGTTTGCGTCGGCGTCAACACCTTTGCCGTTGTACAACTCTATCAGTTTTTTGAATGACGATAATGAGACAAACGCCCGGCGCAGTGACGTATTTGCTTCCGATGTTGTGGTTAGCCACCCGCTTCGAATCGGTGTCGGATATGGCAGTTATGTCTGCTACAGCTGTACCGTCTACAGCACCAAGGTAAGAGGAGGCAGTGCAAGGAGAATAAATGCTTTTGTGCTGACCAGAACTTTCTGTGACTAGGGTGCTTCCATCACTGCCAGGAAACGGTACTCTGATTTCGTACAACTGCGCGAGAGCCTTGTCGTCCATTATCCTCGGTTAAAGAACAATTTGCCCAAATTACCGCCCAAGAAGGTCGTTGGCAAGTTCACCCCAGCATTCATTGAAAAGCGCCGTCGGGAACTCGAATACTTTCTCAAATACGTTTCCTTGCACCCCACACTGGGTTCTAGCATGGAGGTCAAACGCTGGCTCACCCAATAATACTGTGTACATTATGCTATGCCATTTTTCCGTTTCATACTATTTACCCCCTTGGATGTCTATTCGTCTTAACATCAACAGAATGGTCAGACTGTACTGTAAGCACACATAATACTGTCTTTATCACTTCTCCCTCTGGAGGAGTCCCACTCCACATTTAATACATTCCAAAGTTATTTAATATGTAAATCGGTTTGAGGGAAATGAAAACGAAAGTACAATGTATACAAAATAAGTAGGCTATAAGTTACTCTGCTTCATCGACCTTAAGCTCGCCGCTCTGCACGCTTTGACTCAGTTTTCTAGCTGCAGAGGGTCTTCTCTTGCGTTGGCTGGCCAATTTATGATTACGCACCACTGAAACTGGCACAGATGCATTGTGCACTAGGAAAGAACTGATCGACCCCATAATGAAGCTGTGGTAGAAAAAGCGTCAGCGAGATCGGGGATCCAAACAAATAACCGAACGGTACGTACCCTTTGAGAGGACCTCGGCCGCGTGATCCACAGATAACCATGGTCAAATCTAAGTCGTCAATCTAGAGAACATGATGAATAAAGTAATGCTCATCTTTTTACGAAGCAAACCCTCCCACTTGAGCATAGGGACGTTCAAGTCTTACCATATTCAGCAGCGTATCCTTAATCTTGCCATAGACGACATGGGTAGTTATCCTGATATTATACAATAGCATCTTTTCAATGGTATCTTTGGCCTTGGAAGTGGATTGTTTTGATGCCTTTTCGAGCTGCAGATAGAGATAAGTCGGTGTGCGGGGACAGCTAGCCATGCAAAAATAAAACTTACTTCTTTACGAACATCTTCATCGCTACCAAACTCTTCTTCCTTATTAACGACAGTCAATATATGGAGTTCGTCATTGTTTCTAAGCATAGTACCCATAGCCCACTCCATGGCATGATAACTTTCGTCGCTGAAATCGCACATAATCAAGTAGGTGCGGACTCGACGTTGTGGTCCCGGTAAAATCTCAGCCATGCTGGCTTTATCGACATAGCCATATCGAATAGTAGTGATAATGCGGTCGTCTGAGCGAACGATCTCTGGCTTTTGGCAAACAAGCACGTCGGGTCGATATTTATCAGCTGCATTGATCTTTTTATTCTCATCCGTAGGCTTCTCGTAGTCAATGTGTCGATTTCTCTCGGTGATAGCCATCAGTTCTTTATCCGCCTTGTCAAGGTTGGCGTCGTTGGCTGCGTCATACTCAAGGTCATCTTCATGTGGCACTTCATCTTCGTCTTCGTCTGTTTCGGAATCAAACTGGTTGGGGTCTGGCTTTTCCACAATCACCGCTTCCTCTACCTGTCGGTCTTCTTCTGTATCGACATTGAGGTCATCGTCTTCGGGGCGAATGTCATGCTCCGACGAAGACTGCTCTGTAACAATGGCTGGTATGGCCTGGGACATGGTAAAAAAGCTATAATTTCACGAATGAGGTTTGGCGAGCGAAAATAATAATAACAATTTTAGGCGTGGTACTGGCAGTTTCGTATTCCTGGAAATTTTCCTGGAGAATAACCCACCGCCAATGATTTGAAACATTTCAAGTATATCTCCCAGCGCTTGACTGCAGTCCAGCGACCTCATAGCCTACCCAGCTCAACATAACAGCCATCAAAATCCCAACGACTTCATTGACATAAAAACTTACAAAAGAAAAAAATGGTACTATTATACGAATCACAATCTGAAGCACATCATCTCTGAAAAGAATACAATATATTGAGGGTTGAATTGTTTAATACTTTACAAGTGCGTCTTTAGTATCGGTTGAAAGTGCCAGCGGAGAGATAGGTTTGCTTCTTCTCCTCGCCTTTCTTGCGATAAATGCTCTGAATAGCCGAAGATTTTTGTTGCTTATTCCGCGCTTCTAATTCCTCCTTGACTTTGTTGACTACTGCTGCCGTTGCTGAAGAGGGTGCCAAGTTGATCTTTTTTGCCGGTGGTAATTCAATGGTAGTGTCCTTCGCTTTGCGCTTAGTTGAACCGTTCTCTACACCATTGGCTTTCTTTTCTGCCTTCTTGGCCTTTCGTTCCGCCTTGGCTTGAGCCTTCTTTTCCTCCATAGCAAGCTTCATTGCCTCGATCTCCTTTTTATCTGTAGGATTAATCGTGATGACATTTTCTGCGGTATAAGTCGTTCCGCACTAATCAGAAAGCGCATACCCATAGGTTAGTAAATCGCTCATCTACAGCCCTTGTCACGCATACCACCATTACTTACGGTTAGACAGTCGGATCCTGGGACTTCCTTGAGAGCCTGCTCAGAAAAGACGCAGCCACAGGTCTCCAAATACACAAATCGGTGCTTGCCATTCATTTCCTTCATCGATACGGGACAAATGTACCGACTGGTAGACTCCTGCTCTAAGCTTCCCACTGTGCTTCTTTCATTGCTGTCCCGGCTTTCGTCGAACGATGGGTTTTCCGTCAAGTTGAGTTTGGTTATATCTTTCATGGAAGTGACATGAGCACATATCTTGTCTCCATCGCCATATGCCGTCTTGTCGAGCAGGTATTCTAGGATAGAGTCCTGATTGTACAGTTTACCTAATCTACATGCCGCTATGGGTGCTGTAAGAGGGTTCTACAGAAGGAGGAAAAAGTAAATCAGTTAGCTAGAGGTTAATGGGTTGGGTTCCATGTCTCTGAGTTGGTTACCTTTGACAATGCACAAAAGAACCAAACAGCTCGTCTTTCAATGTCAGGGTTCTGAACAGCCGCCTTCTTCTTCTCCTTGACAAGTTCGATACGTTTTGGAATGGAGCCTCCGTCGTTTCCCATTTGAATAAAGTAAGAAAGGTGCTGTGCCTTTGGTGAACAGGATTGGTTCCTTCAAATTTTCAATATCCGCAAACCACGTCACACATGAAAGAGCATCTTTTCCCAAAATTGTATCCCCTTGCGGCTGAGACATTAGATCTACTGTATTCTCGTTCAAACATGTCGGCCATGGACCTTGATCTCCCGTTAGAAGACGTCATCAAGAAGTCAAAGAATAAGGGTAAAGTCGTCGAGAAGTCCAGTGGACGCAAGACAGCACAACACTCGAAACATGCCATCCCCGTGGCAAAACAGTTAACTCAACGAGGTGGCAAGATCGGCAAATCCTATACTCAGGGAAAAGGTGTAGCAAAGAAGAATGGCCCACCCCCTAAACCGAAAGCTGGACTTTTCTCTTCTGCAGCCAGCAAACGCGGTGGACTATCCACTGTATGTACAATGACTGCATGCTCACTTACCTGGATGAATTAATAACGGAACACTCTTCTTATTCTAGGCTGCACTCCGTAGTCATTTACAAAAACCTCAACGTATCAGCAAGCAACAACCAATAGATCCAGCTTCCATTGTCATTACGAAGAAAGTTACCCCGAAAGCCCCAGCTCAACCTCAACCTCCCCGGGCCAAAGCACCAACCGCTTTCCGCAAGGCAACACCACCCGCTCACGAACCCACCAATACTATTCGCGGCCGCAGTGGTGTTGTCAACCCCGGTTTGTCAATTCGTGGTGAATCTGGCCCAACCGTTGTATTGGTTCGAAATTTGGACCCTGGGGCCAATGCAGACGATGTTAGAGTAAGGGCCAGAATGATCATATGATACGTGGAGTCAATGACATGGAGCTAATTTTTTTTTTTTTGGTGTTTATTAGATGGCCTTCCTTAGTTTTGGTGAGGTGCTTAATTGCGAACTCGCTGTCGATCGTTCAGGTCGCTCTCTTGGCGAGGCAGAAGTTGAATTCGCGCATAAGAGCGCCGCTGTTCAAGCTGTACAGCAACTTGATGGCGAGCTTGCAGATGGTAGGTGATGTTTATAGTCGATGGTTCAAATTGTGTGACGAGACTCATTGGATGTTTAGGCCGAGTCTTGCGATTGAGTTTGAGAGATAAGGTGACTTCTTCGAAGCCTGCGCGTGGATTGTTTGAGCAGAGCGTTCGATCTATGATCGCACCCGTCAAATCGGAAAGGTAACGTGTCTTGATCTTTGCAATCATGCCGGTAGAGTGCATGTATTTAACATTCTCTGTACGCAGACTTTACTCTGATCGTCTTCAACCTACAAGGTCCTCTGTCTTCGATAGGCGTTAACCTGACAACCTCCACACTACACTTGTCATTCGATATCCAACAACTTCTTTTTTGTCTTCTTCCCATTCTTTATTTTTTTTTTCTTTTTCGGTTTATGTAATAAGAGTGTTCGTTTTGTCTTTCCTCATATCGTTTCCGCCTCACTTGGTTTCGCTTTTCTGTATCTTCCAAGGTCGGCTGTGTTGCAGCGTCCTCTAGGCGTTGACATCTTTCGTCAGTTGAGATAAGGGACTTTCCCAAGTAATAGGTTTGGACAAGTGTTTCCTACCCCTCTGACAGAAAGAACTGCAAACTTTTTTTATATGGTCAAACAACACAAAAAGACATGTATGACATGCAAACTAGTCAAAACAAATTATGTAGTTTTCCTTTTTTTTTTTTTTCTTTTTTTTTTTCCTCCATTGAGAGTGAAAAGAACTAGCCACTGTATACGATGGTTATAATAAATAAGGCTCCGATCATCAAGAACAATCTAGCCATGAAAGCATCTTGTTGAGCTCGAGCGTGAGGAGACATACGAGTATGGTTCTAGCAAGGTGACAATAGGTATGAGCATTCATTGCATTGAACAAAACAACAACTAGAAACAACCTACAATGGTAACGCCAAACAATCCAGGAAAGACGCCAAATCCAGCCGAGATAGCAAAGTTACCAGTGCTATAGGTGGCTCCTCGCATTGGAGCTCCAAAGAATGAAGAATTTGGATCACGCAACGGAGCCGGCCGTTGCCCAGGTGGACGTGTTGGTATCGTTGGGTCCTCTCTGTATCAAATGGTTAAAAATTGAATGACCATTGGGCGGCGACTCATGGTGGTACTGACCTTGGATCCTTTTGCTCCCGTCCACGACCATAGACAGGCACTACTTTATCCTTTCCACAACCGGCTTTGCACACTGGACAAGTTGGATTTCGCGAGGTCTGGTGAAGCCATTGAGCAAGGCAAGACCAACTGCGGAAAGACATGAGGTCATTATATAGGTGCGGGTCACGGTGATAGATACCCCATTACTTACCAGAATAAATGGCCACAGACAGTGACCACAGGGTGTGTGGCGGTATCAAAGCTATTGACAGAAGACAGATTAGTTTAGCGGAGATGGGCTGATTGCATGCTCAGACGAACGGAATGCACTTACCATATGTTACATTCATAGAAGCCTCCACCGACGCTGAGGTCAGTCGATGGACGTCTTTTGACATCCTCTGCATTGGCCGATGGTTCATCCGGCATGGTTACCGCGGGCGTATGTCGCCGCCGTAGCTGAGATGTGTCATATGAGAATGGGGTCTTGTCTTGGTCCAAGTCAGTACTAGTATCAGTTGCAGTGAGTTCCGGTTGCACATCCTGGGGTGTCGATGTCGACGCTTCCTCCCGAGGTTCGTCCATCTTGTAAACTTGACTTTCAAAAGAGGGATTGAAAAAAGAGTTCAGCAAGGTAAAACCAAAAATATCAAAAAAAGGATATTGCACTGTGACCCCATTCAATAAAAACCCATCCACATTTATAAAATATATAAAAATTGAAAAGAGAAACGAAGCGAGACAACTAAAATGTACAGATACTCGGGTATTTCTAATAGTAACGTCCGTTGTCTTGACGGTTGTTGTTGTAAGAGTCGTAGGCATTGTTGTTATTATACCGATGGCCCTCGTACGTACTAGAAGTTTCGTCTTTGTATGCGTATGGCGAATAGGTATCGCCACCTCGGTTGGATCCAGCCACAGTTGATGAATTGGTCGACATATCTTCCAACTTGATGCCCGACTTTCGTCTCATACGACGTTCACGCTCCTCTTCGCTATTACTAGGTGCGCAAATCAATGTAATGGCGTTGGTCAAAGCCAACACTTCAAATGCCAATGCTGCAAATACCACAAGATACAAGGTAGAAAAGTTGGAGTGTACAAATTGGTTAAGGACCGTAGCACACGGCACTGCCGTAAGTCCTTTGCCAGCATCGCACGTATCGCTAACCGCTGGTTTATCACTCGCTGTAGTAAGTCCGCAACAGTTGAACTGCCATGAAAGAACATTCAGTGTTCTCGCTCGCTTTATCCAGTGCGTTGAAAGCAAGTACTCACCTCGTTCTGAATAGCAAGCCTATCTGCATTGCTGGAGGAAGACCAGAGTGTGTTGATGTAACTGGAGTAATTGGCTCCCTTCTGGTACACAAGGACGCCAACCACCACTTGCAAGATAAGGGCGACGGCCACAATGACCATGTAGACATAAATAACGCATCGGCGTCGTGAATAAGCACTGATCAGACCAAGGATGGAAGTCACTAATATAATGATGGCAAGCACGATGATCACTATCAAAAGGTAATAAATTTTAGCTTCAGTCGGACGCTCAAATCGCCCAAAAAACACCTCCTTTTGCTACGTACATTGGAAAATATTGTCAGGTATAATGATGGCTCCATGAAATCGATTGGTATAGCCAAGTAAGCCAAATATTAAGAAGGAAAGTCCAAGTGCTGCGAACAGTGAATTGGTGGTGACCATATAGATCTTGCTCAGTCTGTACAGGGGTAAAGTCAGGTCATCAGGTCATGGTGCAGGAAGGGATGAACAAGAACACATACCTAGTACAGCAACTAGTCGACATTGCGGTATAGAGCTGGATGTGAAGGTGGAGTAGAGAATCGGAATGAGTGGAATGATGAGAGGCTAAACGTTGTGACTAGTGAGCGACCAAAAAAAAAAAAAAAGAAGGGAAGAGAGTTAGAAACTGACTTAGGGTGTGTGTGACGACCGCGCTGTGTTTTTTAAATTGGACTTTATGGTCGGCCAGGCTTGCCAATATCTTTCTTTACTCTCTATGAAGAAAGCTGGCAGTACGTTATGGAAAATGCATAGGATTGAATGAATATCTTTTGCCTCAGCTTTAACATCGTCTGGTGTCCATTCACAGCTCCATAGGAGCCGTTGGCTTGTACTGCATCAAGTGCGCTTTTTTGTAACCCCGATATTCAACTTAATTCTGGTCATGGTGGGCAGTCAGGAACCCAGGTTACAATCCAATCTTTGACAATGGTCTTTGTATAGTATAGACAAGGCGTGAAACGATGTTCAAATTCGTGTTGAAAGTACATATTCGCTCAAAAACTGGCTTGGGCTAATCCAGTCAGTGTAAAACAATATTCCTGGGCTGGTGAATTATTCATGGGAAAAACAATCTCGCGTACGCCAGCCAAATAATGATTTAATCCATACAGTACATTGTGCTTGATTGGCACCATTTCTGGGTCAATAATTCCCTCCATTGCCTTCATAGTCGAAATCATCACACGACATCACACGACATCCTCCTGTTGTTACTACAAGCTCAAAATGTATGGTGTATTGGAATTTTTTCTTTTAATATATCTAAACAAAAGCACGCATAGGGAAGTAGCTTCCTATTACATGAAAAAATGGACGCAAATCAGTTGAAATATTACACTCCAGTTGGATCACAAACATGAAAACGTACCATCATCAGGACCCTTAAAATCGGTAGAAACTTCCCACTTCTTGGTGGCATTCCAGTTAGGAGTAGGAGGTAACTTGCCTTGGCTGTACAAGCTGGTGGAGCCAAGAACCTCGGTGAGGGACTTGGTCTCGGTGACAGTAGCTGGGGTGACGGGTTGGCTGTCGGCTCCAGCAGCAGGAAGACTGCCATAAATGAAAACAGTGAGAATCCAACAAAGCACACCATTCCACTGACCAAACGTCTGCTTACCTTGGCTCAACGCCAGCACCGGCCAAAAGACCAGCAACATCTTGCTGGGTATATACAGCTAAGCGGGGGAAGTTTCGTCTAGTATCGCGCTGGAAATAGTAGTTGCCGGAAAGCTTGGAGGCATCAGACTTGGGATAAACGTATTTCTCGGGTCTTGAGCTAAATGCGAGATGAAAGAGAAGTCGGTGTCAATGTTGTAATTCGCTGACTGGTTATTCTGATGGCTAATCGTTACCAACCCTGTTGCAGGTGTTCTGAATACACCAACAGCGGGCATACCGTCAGTGCTCTTAGGATTCTGTAAAAAAAAAAAAATAGCAAAATAAAGAAGAATGAGAATGGTGAATATTTTCTGAATGGACGGTGGTGGACTATTCATCTAGTGTCTGCATACCACTGAAAAGAGCTTCTTGACCCAAGCCCAGTGTTTGGTGTTGTAAGACATTCTGAAAGAGTGCTATTGAAAAAACGAAAAAAGATCCAATGAACAGTTAGTATCTAGACATCACATAATGCAGCTGCATTCACAATGCTGTTGGCGCCATGGTCTGGTTGCGCATACACACACACCTTGCTGTTAAGAACTGGACACGATGAAAATTGCAATGTCAAACAATATCAAGCCTACTCACAAAACAAAATCGGCTGACGTCACACATATCGAGCTACCCACTCGATTTTTTGGCCCTGCTTCGTCTCGCCGACCAATTTCTCTGAGAGTCAAACTTGGGGAAACTAGCGCTAGAGTTCAGCATCGCCTTCCCCATCTCGAATGTCTTTGTCCGCCCGCAGTTATGACAGTTACGGACAACAAAGCTCTCGAAGCTTTGGAAAGAAGACCTCGGTAGTAAACTTGGAAAAGTCCATACGAGAGCAAAAGATACTACTATCGGCGCTGCTGGACTCGACTGGCACCGCCCCTGTAGCCGCAGACAACGATATAGAGTCACTGAAGCGAAGAATAGCAACTGTTGACAAGCAGATACACGGTGCTGATTCACGGTTAAATGCTTCTAAACCAGAATTGCTTCTTAGCCGATACTCGTCAAGAATGCGGCAATTATCCGATTTAGCGGATCATCAACGGTCCATGCGAAAAGAGATCGATTTTACACTAAATACCACCATCAAGGATCTTGAAAAGCAACTTTTGCGAGAAACCGAGAAGCTCAATGAAAAAGAGCAAGAACTTGCAAGAATACGAGACTCGAAATCTTCGGGCTCCACAAATACTTCTTTGTACAACCCATCCATGACTGAAGCGGATAGAATACGTAGTAAAGCTCAAGCCATGATTGCGGCTCGCCTGAACAAAACAAGCTATGTTGAATCATCGGGTGCTGAGTCGAAGAAGGTGGAATTGGCCATAGAGGAACGAGACCGTCAGCTTCAACGAGAAGTAGCCAAGATCGACGATTTGCGAAATGATTTGCGCAGAGCACTCGATGCATCGATCGAAGCATCTGATCTTGAACGAAATGAGAAGCATCTCAAGGAGCAGCGGATGTTTGAGGATGGGTTGTTTGTTTCCGAAGAGCTTAGTGATTTTATCGATTCGTTACGCCGAGATCGCGCAAAAAAGGCGGGTGAACAACGCGGCATTAGTAGATATGGTCCACCTCCAGCCACCCCTCCGCTCCCAAGACAATATTCACCGGCCCCACCTCCCTTGCCTGCGCCCAAGGCGATGCGTACACCTTCATCGAGATCAGCGGCACCACCGCCCATTCCAACGTCGTTACGGCCTGAAACTCCACGCTCCGCAGAAGCCATCAAGGCAGAAGCTCACAGGCGTATTGGCGAGAAGCGTATGTCGCTACAAACCTTCCAGCCTATGACTCCGCCAGCTGACACCGATCAAGGATCTCAGCTTGAAGATGTGCAATACAAACAGCAACTCCTTGAAGCTGAAAAAGCTGCCCAAGCTAAACTTCGCGAGGCTGAAAGACAAGCACAGATTCGACTGGCTGAGTTCAATAAGCGAAAGGAGGAAGCAGAAACATCTAGATTGGCAGCGGAAGAAGAAGAACGCCGGCTGAAACAAGAAGCGGAAAGGAAGGCTCTTGAGGAAGAGCAAGAGCGACTTGAGCGTGAAAGAGTAGAACTGGAGAAGAAGAAAAAGGCAGAAGAAGAACAACGCCTCGTTCAAGAAGAACTTGAAAAGGAACGACAGCGAATTGAGCAAGAAAAGCAAAAATTGGAACGTGAAGAGAAAGAAGCACTTGAACGCCAGAAGAAAATGGAAGAGGAAACTCGAGCTGCTGAGAAAGCTAAAGAAGAGGAAGCAGAGCGATTACGACGAGCGCAAGAAGAACTTGAGCGGGTCAAGGCGGCGGAAGAAGCCCGACGACGGGAACTTGAAGCTGCTGAAAGAGAACGACAGCGCTTGGAAGCCGAGAACGCAGCCGCCGAAAAAAGACGTCAAGAAGCAGAAGAACTGGATCGACAACGCAAAGCAGCAGCTGAAGAAGAGGAACGACAAAAACTGGCGGCTGCTGAACAAGAAAAGAAACAACAGATGATGGAACAGGCCAAGGAGGAGGGTATCTGGTCAACCGATCTTAACCGCGAAGAACGACGAACTCGAAATTCCACTGACTTCAGTCAAGCCAAACACTTCCCCACGTCTTTCTCTTTTGATAGCAGACCATCACCCCTTGCAAAAGAAACATCGGACGATGATTCCGAATCCGAATATGCAACTGAATCGGAGTCTGAGGTGCCAGACACTAATACCACCGCTGGCACGGCTGGGTTTGGCACTGACTTGGACGATGAAGTGGATTTCAGGACCAGTGAGTTTCATTGTTTTGTGGTATAACAAGTATGGGTTATTCCTTCTTTACTGATTATCTTTAATACCGTCACTCTTTTTTTTTTTTCATTCGACCCATTTCCATTCCCTTTCCACCCCGTTCGATGCTCTTCAAATCAGTCTATCGAGTCAAGGCATTATACGACTATCTCGGTACTCGACCCGATGACTTGTCATTTACAGAAGATGAAATCGTCAAAGCACACCCTTCCAAAGATACTGATAGCGATTGGTGGTATGGTACATCGCTGAAGACGAATAACTGCGGCTTCTTTCCACGTACCTATTGTGAGGTTGTCGAGAAAGGTAAAAAAAAAATGAAAACCGAGTTTAACAGTCACATGGAAAGACATCATTCATCCAACATTCTCTCCTTGTCTTTCAATTCCATCCATGTATTACAGCTTTTAAAGTCAAAACACTCTACGAGTTCAAAGGCGTCCGGGATGACGACTTGTCCTTCGAAGGAGGCCAAACTGTCACATGTCAACCTTTCCAGGATCAGGACAGCGAGTGGTGGTTTGGTACATCCGATGCTACCAACGAGGCCGGTTACTTTCCTCGCACGTATGTAGAGGTCATTGAAAAGAAACAAGGTAAAAAAAACCAGAGAAAGAAAAAAAACCAGAGACCCGGTTGGAATCTGCAGTTTCCATTGTTTCATTGAGCTCACAAATTGTCCGTGTATACAGATTCCCCTGATCGAAGAAAAGACAGTGTGCCAGATATCATTGTACACCAACCCAAACCACAACATAATATACCCATGCTCGATAACCGATCATTATCACCGCCTATCACCATGTCCTCATCTCGCTCGACGCCTACCAACAAAACGGCTGGACGGTCCGCTCCTTCATCCCCAGTGATACACAGTGCTTCACCAAATCTCCGAATCGGTCGCAGGAGGGCGGCTAGTAATGCCAGTGTCATTGTTAGCGGGCCTATCAGTGCACCGACATCTGTGCGATCCGGTAGCCCTATTATCGTCCGACCTGATTCTCCAAACGTACTTAATACATGGGCCAATACCATGGATGAAAAGGAACTGCTCAACGTTAGTCCTGAGGAACGTAAGCGACAGGAGGCTATTTACGAGCTTATCGTTACGGAGAGAACTTATCTGCGAGATCTCCAGCTTATTGTGAATGTAAGTGGTGAACAGTTTGTTAACGTAAGATGGGTGTAGTATTAATTTATTAACATGAAACGGCTTGCCTTTGTGAAACCCATCTAGGTATTTTACGCCTCGTCCAGCCAGTATATTTCACCGGATGCTCAGAATATTATCTTTTCAAATGTAGAGGACTTGCTGCTATGTAATACGGGAATTCTTAGCGATCTTGAGGATCGTGAACGTGAAGGGGCCAACTTCGTTAGTGCGGTTGGCGATATTTTCTTGACCCACGTAAGTAGAAGGGACGGGAAAAAGTCATTATATGCACTACCTTCTGTGAACTGACGTGTCCATTACCCTCTCCAGGCTGAAAATCTCAAATGCTATCAAACGTATTGTAGAAATCAGTCGGCCGCCAGCCGCTTTTTACAGAAAAAACGGGATGAAGACAAGGTGTTTGCCGCTTTCTTAAAGGTAAAAGTATCTCACTCTGCCTTTGACCCATACCATTTGATTCTCACCCGTTCATCTCCTACTTCACATGTTAGTCATGTCAGAGTCGTCCAGAGTGTCGCTCTTTAGATCTTTCCAGTTTTCTACTGGAGCCCATGCAACGTATCACCCGATATCCACTTCTCTTACGGCAGGTTAGTTGAAGAGTGACATGTCAAATTAACCGCCCAAGTAAAACCTTAAACTAATCACGTGCCTCTCTTTCCTATTCTCTCCAGATATTGCACTCTACGCCAAAGTACCATCATGACTACAGCATGGTTGCCGATGCCATTGAGAAAGCTGAAGAAGTTCTTAAGGATGTCAACGAAGCAGCCCGCAAGCATGAAAACAAGCAAAAACTTTCAGAATTAAGCCGATTGGTGGACCTAGAAGGCTTAGAGGTAAGAATCCAATTCCACATGCTTTGTGGGGTCAGATTGCCTGCCCCCCTTGAGAATTTTCTGGTTTTTGGTCTCCACAGCGTCACTCACCCCCCATCCCCCCATTGTAGTCCATCGAAAGGGCTGGCCGTGAATTCATGATGGAAGGGCCGTTGTACAAGGCCAAAAGTGGACGAAAGCTTCACGCCTGTCTCTTTAACGATATGCTCATTCTGGCGCAACCCATAAGAGGATTGAGCCCACAAGGTTATCTGTACACGTTGTACAAAGAACCAATGCCGACTGACCGCATTCATGTACGAGGCTCAGCCAAACTGGGTGCAGGTATGTGATAGCCGTTGCATTGCATTTCGATTGAAGTGGATGGTACTGACGGTTTTCGTTTCAGATGATACTGGGTTCCAGATTGTGTATGGGGATTTAGTCATCTCGGTGAAAGCAGCGACTGTCAGTATGAAAAAACAGTGGATGACCCGCATTTCTCAGGCCAGCTCCGTTCTATCTAGACGTTAGAACACCCGTATTCTTCCTACTATTGTAAACAATAAACCGCCCCAAATGTTTCCCCACATTCAAGCGTCCCGGGCAAGTGGATAACCTGTATATCCGGGCATCATATGAACTGTGTGGGAGAGAGATTCAGGCTGCGGAGATTGGGTGGGGTGGGTCTTGTGGCGCCCCCAGATTGTCGGAATGCCAATGAACTTTAGTTCTACTTAGTTGCAACCTAGAGAGAGAAAGAAAGAGAGAAAAGCAAAGGGGATAAGAAAGAACAATGGGAAATAGTTAACATAATTGACAGACAATGGAAACCCTAGCTAGTTCAACCTGGCTTCTCTATAAAGTAGGCAGCCCGCGGGACGACTTCGATATTTGGCAGTGGGCCGAGCCAAGCTAAGGGTCTCATTTCGCCCCAAAAACTCATCCCAAGCGGTGCCTGAAGATGATCTCTAAAAAAGTCACGGGTAAGCAATGCGATTGGATGTGAGTGATGGTATGGATGACCGCTTCGTTTCAATTATTTTTTTTAATAGACGCACATTGCATCGTAGAACGGGATTGCTTGTTCCTCCCTTCTCTTCTTTTTAAATCCCATCATGTCCGATCAAGTCGATACTACTTCTCGAGTCGATCCCATCCACCCGGTTCCTTCTAGACTACTCGATTCAGCCCAATGCCCTACTCCCTTTGTCAGTTCCTTTGACCAATACAAGGCTATGTGGAAGGAGTCTGTCGAGCAACCTGATAAGTTCTTTGGCAACGTAAGTTTTTTTTTTTCTTTTTAATTATTTTATTCCCTCTTCCCGGCCAAGAAGCTAACTTGGGGATTTTTGGGGACTCCAGCTCGCCAACGAACTCCTTACTTGGTCTAAGCCATTTGAGACAGTCCGTCACGGTTCCTTTGAAAGCGGTGATGTCGCTTGGTTTTTGGAGGGTGAATTGAACGCCTGTTATAACTGTGTCGACCGTCATGCACTGAAGAACCCTAACAAGGTGAGTTTATTTACCATTGTATTAGTGTGACCCAGATGGCCCTTGAATTTTTTCGAAGGGGGGGGTAAACATCCATCCATATCATTGACACTTCTTGCTAGGTCGCCATTATCCACGAAGGAGATGAGCCAGATTACGTCAGAAAGATCACCTATGGTGAACTTTTGCAAGAAGTATGCAAGCTTGCCAATGTGCTCAAGGCTCAGGGCGTGAAGAAAGGTGATAACGTTGCCATTTATATGCCTATGATTCCTGAAGCCATGATTGCCCTTTTGGCGTGTGCTCGTATTGGTGCCCCCCATTCTGTCATCTTTGCTGGATTCTCAGCTGAATCCCTTCGCGATCGTGTGGTTGATGCATCTGCTAAAGTGGTCATTACCGCAGATGAAGGTCGTCGTGGTGGTAAGAACATTGCTACCAAGCGTATTGTGGACGACGCCCTTGCTCAGTGCTCCACTGTCAGCAGTGTCTTGGTCTACCGCCGCACTGGCTCAGAGATCCCCTGGACTGCTGGCCGTGATTTGTGGTGGCATGAGGAGATGGACAAGGCTAGAGCTTACTGTGCTCCTGAGCGTATGAACGCAGAAGATCCCTTGTTCTTGCTCTATACTTCTGGTTCCACTGGTACCCCCAAGGGTGTTCTCCACACCACCGGTGGTTACCTTTTGGGAGCTGCCGCTACTGTCAAGTATATCTTTGATTACCATGAAGATGATATTTTCGCCTGTATGGCTGATATTGGTTGGGTCACTGGTCACTCTTACATCGTTTATGGTCCTCTTACTTTGGGTGCTACCACCGTTCTTTTCGAATCCACTCCCACATACCCTACCCCTGCTCGTTTCTGGGAGTTGATTGCCAAACACAAGATCACTCAATTCTACACTGCTCCTACAGCTATCCGAGCATTGCGTCGATTGGGTGATAAGTGGGTGGATGGCCACGACTTGTCTAGCCTTCGTGTGATTGGTTCCGTCGGTGAGCCCATTAACCCCGAAGCTTGGGATTGGTATAACGAAAAGGTGGGCAAGGGCCGATGCGCCGTTGTCGATACCTACTGGCAAACCGAGACTGGTTCCATTATCATCACTCCCCTTCCTGGTGCCATTGCTACCAAACCCGGTTCCGCCACTTTCCCCTTCTTCGGTATCAACCCCGTCTTGCTCGACCCCAACACTGGCAAGGAAATCGAGGGTAATGGTGTCACTGGTGTCTTGGCTGTCAAGCAGCCCTGGCCCTCTATGGCCCGTACCGTGTACAACAACCACAGCCGTTTCCTTGAGACTTACCTCAAGCCATACCCTGGCTACTACTTCACAGGTGATGGTGCTTCCCGTGATATCGATGGTTACTACTGGGTTCGTGGCCGTGTTGATGGTAAGTAACGTTTGGTTAAGGATGGTGGTGGTGGAAAATTAAACTAAAACCATTTGTGTAAAATTTTTTAGACGTTATCAATGTTTCCGGCCATCGTCTTTCTACCTCTGAAATTGAGTCTGCTTTGGTTCTTCACCACTCTGTTGCCGAAGCTGCCGTCATTGGTGGCCATGATGACTTGACTGGTCAATGCATCCACGCTTTCGTTACTCTCAAGCCTAATGTCGAGGAAGCTGAAGGTCTTGAAAAGGAGTTGACTTTGCAAGTTCGCAAGATCATTGGTCCTTTCGCCACTCCCAAGCGTATCTACCTTGTCAGTGACCACCCCAAGACTCGCTCTGGCAAGATCATGAGACGTATTCTCAGAAAGATTGTCAACAGTGAGCATCATGAGCTCGGCGACACCTCCACTCTTGCTGATCCTTCGTAAGTGTAATGAGCTAGCTGCTGCATTTATTACAGTCCTTTTTCTAACCTATTTCCTTCTACCTTTACAGTATCATCCCCTCTTTGATCACCAAGGTTCACGGTTGAACATAATCATCTACATCCCCACACATTAATTTTTTACTGCTCTTCGTTCGCCCTATCTTTAAAAGTTGTGTGTTTCACATAAAAAAAATGCAATTGTACTATCAAAAATTTTGAGACCAGGGTTTACCAAATGGAATACCAATAAAACTTTTACAAGTAAAAACAAGCAAAAGAAGATGTCCAAAGTACATGTAGAAAGCTATCATGTGACACATTCGTTACAACTTCCCGTGGGTTTGCCGTCGATGGTCCGGAAGGCAGTCCGAACTGGCTTTAAGTCGAAGAGTTAAACAACCTCGAGTTCCGCTCCTTCTCACGGTTCATCAATTAAATTTTATAACATGCATCCACAGCACCCTGTCATTATAGACTGTGATCCTGCAAGTCCCTTTCATTATGATACAACAGTACCATAACAGAAACCCCATCGCTGACCGTTTTCCGACCTGTAGGGCATTGATGATGTTCTAGCTTTGATCTTGGCTTTAAGGTCGCCTGAGTTAAACGTACTGGCTATCACCTTGACGCGCGGAAACACCACGCTTCAAAATGTGAAGCGCAATGCGGTCACCACCCTTGATGTCATAGCCGCCCAGTATCGCCATGATTCAACAGAGGGTTACCAAGGTCACAAGCAGTCGCCCGTGCTCGCGGTCGGTAAGTCAAACCTTTTCTTTTTTGGGTAGCGATGCAGAACAATTTCCAACCATGGCGAATGGCAATTAGGCCGTGAGACTCCTCTAGAGAGCGATCAAGTATTTGCTACAGAATTTCATGGCGAAGACGGACTAGGTGATATTTATGCAAAGGGCCTACATGTCGCACCCACCGACTGGGAAAGCCAACTTTTACATACCGCTGAAACCGAAGGAGCCAAAGATATACCTTTTCAAACCACACCGAGAGACTCGGCTGACGAAATAATTCATCAACTTGCTAAGGCTGAACCCTTGTCTGTGACCATCATTGCCATTGGACCACTGACCAATTTGGCTTTGGCTATTCAGCGAGACCCAAAGACATTTTCTCGCGCCAAAAGCGTCGTCATCCTTGGCGGGTACGTGCTATTACCATGATTGAGACCCAACCTGATCAGCTCTCTCTGACTCTGCTTTTTCAGTGCGCTTGTTGCAGGAAATGTCACACCTTATGGCGAGTTCAACTTTGTAGCGGATGCCCTTGCGGCTGATTTGGTCATGAGCACCAGCAAAGGATTTAATCGAGAAGACAACTCACTTCGAGCCAATCTGATCTCCCAAGGCGAGGTGGCGCCAATGCATATTGTCGTACTACCCATTGATCGTAAGTTTATGTTTATGGATGTCTACTCTGACCCCACACTCACGCATTTTGAACACTTAGCGGCTGAATGTGGGTGTATCGACGACAAGGATTACCAGAAATACATTTTACCCCTCCGCGGTCAAGGTCCGCTCAATACCTTTATTAACAGCTTTCTGATCCATGCCTTCAAAAGCATCCAGGAATTGTACAATATGGATTACATTGCTGCGTAAGTGTATGGAGACGGCCGGTCCAAGTAAATCGTGACATGCTAACGTGTGATCTCTTTTGTTATTTCCCTTCAGATACGATGCTTTTGCAGTGCTTCTATTCCTTGACATCGTCAATGGCGATGTGGAAAAGTATTGGACATGGAAATGGTATGATATGAGAGTGGAGACAGCTGGTAAATATACAAAAGGCATGAGTTGTATTGATCCTCGTGCCTGGGAAACGCCGGGAGGTGTTTGGAACGATGAGCCCAACGTTGTGCAAGTGATCACTCAAGGGAATGGACATCACTTCAATCACGGGTTCTTTGAGCGTGTATTCAACATTGCCTGGACCAAAAACTAAACAGTATTGTTCACGACAACCTTACCTTGTAATAAAAAGGAGCAGAAACTCGAATGCATGACTGCGTTTTCTTGTCAGCCAAGCCACTAGCGAGCGGAGCATCTGAAATTTTGAAGTGATTGCCCTACCTTTTTTTTTTGTTCACATAGACTTCGAGATCATGGTTAAAAAGGTCATTGATTCTCGTATTCATACGCTCATTAAAAACGGTGTGCAGAACAAGCATCGTTCTTTCTTTGTCATTGTTGGTGACAAGGGAAAGGATCAGGTTAGCAAAGCGAACGATCACCATTTGTAACCAACCCGAGACCGCTAACCCATTTCTCGAACAGGTTGTCAATCTCCATTGGCTCCTTTCACAAGCACAAGTTACTGCTAGACCTTCTGTGTTATGGTGTTACAAGAAGGAACTAGGATTCACAACGTACGTACACTAAACCTTCGCACCCTTCCGACCCAATCTAATTAACCTTTCTTTACCAGTCATCGGAAAAAGAGAGAGGCAAAGATTAAGAAGGATATCAAGAGAGGCATTAGAGAAGCCAACAATGAGGATCCTTTCGAGCTCTTTGTTACCGTCACCGATATCCGATATACCTACTACAAGGAAACACAAAAGATTTTGGGTAACACCTACGGCATGTGTATTCTCCAGGATTTCGAAGCCATCACTCCCAACACACTCGCTAGAACTATTGAGACAGTCGAAGGAGGTGGTGTGGTTGTCTTGCTTCTCAAGACCATGAGCTCTCTCAAGCAATTGTACACAATGACGATGGTGAGTGTATTTCAGCTTTCACACATGCCAATGGCAAGCCGTCCACTAACTCTATGTTCTCTTTTTTTCTCCAGGACGTCCATTCTAGATACCGAACAGAAGCTCATGACGACGTGACAGCTCGATTCAACGAACGATTCATCTTGTCTTTGGGTAACTGCGAAAACTGCTTGGTGGTGGACGACGAGTTGAATGTGTTGCCTATTTCCATGGGCAAGAGCGTCAAGCCTGCACCTTTGAAAACTCCAGAGGAGAGCATCACACCTGAGCAGATTGAACTCAAGGAACTTAAGGAATCTTTGGCTGATACTGAGCCCATTGGTTCCCTCATCAAACCCGCCAAAACCTTGGACCAAGCCAAGGCTTTACTCACCTTCATTGAAGCCATTTCCGAAAAGTCATTAAGAAGCACTGTCACTTTGACGGCTTCCAGAGGTAGAGGTAAATCAGCAGCTCTGGGTATTGCTATCTCTGCTGCAGTGGCCTATGGTTACTCCAATATTTTCGTCACCTCACCAAGTCCCGAAAACTTGAAGACTCTTTTTGAATTCATCTTCAAGGGTTTTGATGCCCTCAACTATGAAGAACATTTGGATTACGACATTGTTCAATCCACCAACCCTGCATTCAACAAGGCCATTGTCCGAGTTAACATCTTTAGACAACACCGTCAGACCATTCAAGTATGTATTTTTTGTTTTTGTTTTGCGTGGTCATTCATCTCGCAGACCGGCACACAACCACAGAGTCATTCATGCCTAACCTCTCCTTTCATTTATAGTACATTCAACCTCAAGATGCTCATGTTTTGGGTCAGGCTGAATTGGTCGTCATTGATGAAGCTGCTGCTATTCCATTGCCTCTTGTTAAGAAGCTTTTGGGTCCTTATCTTGTGTTCATGGCTTCCACTATCAATGGTTATGAAGGTACCGGTCGATCCCTCTCCCTCAAGCTTATTCAGCAACTGCGCGAACAATCTCGTGGATTTATCGGAAGGGCCGAAGGTCCGTTGAAGGATGCTTCTGGAGAGGATATTGTTGTGGGTCGTGATTTGAAATCCAAGAAAGATTCCGCCACGTCAGATATTAATGGTGCTGCTGTGGGTGGACGTAGTTTACGCGAAATCAAGCTCGAGGAGCCCATTCGTTATGGCGTCAATGATCCTATCGAAAAATGGCTCAATAAGTTGCTCTGCTTGGATGCTACCATTGTGTCCAAGAACATTCAAGGCTGCCCTCATCCTTCTGAATGTGAACTTTTCTACGTCAACCGCGATACCTTGTTCTCCTACCACCCTGTCAGTGAAACGTTTTTGCAGCGCATGATGGCATTATACGTCGCCAGTCACTACAAGAACTCTCCCAATGACTTGCAGCTTATGAGTGATGCACCTGCCCATCACCTGTTTGTGCTTTTGCCTCCCATTCGTGAAGGAGACTCTGGTCTTCCTGATCCATTGGTGGTGATTCAAGTCTGCTTGGAAGGTGAAATCTCCAAGCAATCTGTCATCAACAGTCTGTCAAGAGGTCAACGTGCTGGAGGAGATCTTATTCCATGGCTCGTCTCACAACAATTCCAAGATGATGATTTCGCTACCCTTTCTGGTGCTCGTGTTGTCCGTATCGCCACTCACCCTGATTACGCCAAGATGGGTTATGGTCATCGTGCCCTTGAGCAACTCAAGTCATTCTACCAAGGTGAAATCACCAGCTTGGATGAAAATGCCATGGATGAGGATAATGAAGAGGTTCACCGTGTTGATGATGATGAATTGGAGGAGGCTGACCTTTTGACCGACGATGTCCGTATTCGTGATCCTCGTAAGATGCCACCTCTTCTCATGCGATTGTCAGAAAAGAAGCCCACTCGCCTCCATTACCTTGGTGTCTCTTACGGATTGACTCAACAACTTCACCGATTCTGGAAAAAATCTGGGTTTGTTCCCCTCTACCTTCGTCAAACCGCTAATGAGTTGACGGGTGAGCATACCTGCGTGATGCTCAACACCCTCAACTCATCTGATTTGATCAATCAAACCAGCGAAGATTGGTTGGATGCGTTTGCTCGCGACTTCAAGAAGCGATTCATCAACCTCCTTTCCTACCAATTCCGTACCTTCCCGTCTGTTACGGGCCTCAGCCTTTTGGAGGCAGCCAGTGCTGGTACCAACAAGAGCAATAACAACACCCAAGGATTAACCAAGGATTTGTTGAACCTGTACTTTAATGCATACGATCTCAAGCGTTTGGAATCATACTCAAACAACATGTTGGACTACCATGTCATCATGGACATGCTCCCCACCATCAGCGAACTCTTGTTCAAGGATCAAATGGCTGGCCATGTCAAGTTGTCGGGAGTTCAAAATTCGATTTTGTTGGCTCTTGGCCTGCAACGCAAGAGCGTGGATGATTTAGAAACGGAGTTGGGCTTACCTAGTAGTCAAATTTTGGCGCTGTTCATCAAGGCGGTCCGTAAAATCAGTGCTTATTTCAAGGAAGTGCAATCCAGGGCCATTGAAGCCGAAACCGGATTACCCGCCAAGCGACCACGCGAGGAGGACGATGAGGAAGGTAAACGAGATATTCAAGATGTGGATTCCTGGAAACCCGTCAAGGAGGATCTCGATGAAGATTTAGAGGAAGCTGGACAACAAGCTATTGCGGGGCTCAAAGACAAACAAAGAGATCTCATAAACTCGTTGGATCTGAAGAAATATGCTATCGGTGGCACAGATCAAGATTGGCAAGCCGCTGAAGATCAGATCAAAGCCAGCCAAAACGACACCAAAGTTCGATCCGTCGTGTCTGTCGTCAACCAGAACAGTTCCAAGAAGAACCCACGACGGAAAACAGAATCGGCTGCAGAGATGGCTGCCAAAGAGGCCAATCGTAAAGTTGGCAAGAACAAAATGTCAAAGAAGACAAGACGAGGATAATTGATAACCCACGCCACTACCAACCACTCCGAATGCATGTTTAAAAAAAATCTTTTCTCTTTTTTTTTTTTCCAAACCCATTTCTCCCCCCACTCAAAATCCTCTTTTTCAATCGAAGTCGAGGAAACCACTCCATCCAATTAGGGTTTTGCAAAATAAACACAATACTTTTTGAAATATTACTTTTTTTTTATTTTAAAGTATCGGGGGAAAATGATTGTGGGCTATAGAAATAGGGCAAGTTATTACTATGACATTTGCTTTGGGTAGTACAATTAAGGAACCGCTATAGGGTTTAATAGATGAAATGAGGAGGAGGTTATGGGTGATGGCTTTAGACGCGACGGTTCAAGCTAGGGTTGGGGAGAACAAAGTAGGAAGAGTCTCTGGTCAAAAGACCGCAGAGAGCATTGTACCAAGCAATGATAGCAGTAATGACTCCGAAAGCACCACCAGCCTTAGTCACAGTGAGAGAGCCTTGGAACTTTCCGGCGGTCAAAAGGACAAAGGTGATGAACAAGAAGAAGAAGAGAGAGACGAGACCCATGTTGCTACGGTGGGAGGCAATAAGCATAATGAGGGTGAAAAGGGTCCATCCAAGAAGATAGATGCCAAGGGACTGGTCAAGGACACCAGCGGCGGCAGTAGAGTAGGCGTCAAGAATACCGAAGCCAGGAATGAAAATGGCACCGAATGACATCCAGAAACCACCATAACTGGCGAAAGCAGTAGCACCAAACGTGTTACCGGTAGCGAACTCCCACATACCAGCGAGCAACTATTAGGAAGGACATAATTATTAGTGTCACAATTTCGTACACATGTTTGTAAAGTGAGGACGTGGTTGATGTCTGGGATTGGTTAAAGCCTGTCCCCGCATAGAGCCAGGCAATATTTTTCCCATAGGTGCTGCATTCTACGTCCGCTCCAAAAAAAAAAAAATCTTTTTTCCAAATTTTGAGCTGTCTTACCTGAGTGAGTCCACCGTAGAAGATGGCAAGACCGACAACCACTTCGGAAGGACCGTCAGCTGGAAGACCAGCACCAGCGTTATGCAAGGAAAGCACAAAGGTGGTCAAGGCGAACGCGGAAAGACCCAAAGGTCCGGGGTTGGCAATGACTCGTTGGGCAGGAGCAGCTGTGGCAGCAGACAACTGACCGTTGTTGGGATGAGAGTAGGCAACTTCTTCCTTCTCAACAGTATCAATGGGAGTAGCGTCAACAGGCATTATGTAAGGATGGGGTAAAAGTAAAAAGACAACGAAGTCCCATGTGTCTCAAGCAGGTTCTTTTTATATTGCTAGCTAACCATGAAGACCTGGGTTTGGGCTTTGAAATCGGACCTTTAGTCAGGATTTGCCGCGGTTGGTCAAGGTCCATATTTCTTCTCAAAAAAATTTGTGTGGCACATTTGGGGGGATGGGGGGACACCTCAGGCTGAGTCCTAATTTGTAGGTGGGGTGTGTGACATTGGGTTCTCACTGATCATCGCTAAGCCAACACGTCCTCGGTTTTTAAGTATACATCGTTTCATAATAATAGAAACGACTGGTCATTCTGGATACCCATCGTTTGAAAAGGTAGACACGGTTTCATTGTCACGCCCTACCATCGTTTTTAAGACTCAGGAACTCATGATCACCTTGCTGGCGGCTAAATTCATTGTTCCGTACACCACTTTATTGAAATTCTCATGTTTTCCAACACTTGCGGAGGGCATCCATACCTTGCGGACTAGGGTGGTACGACACGCTGAAGTGGGTGGGTGGGCGGCTCGCCATATACGGTATTAGGACAAAATAGCCAGCAATGATTTCCCCATACGATGTCAGTACCACCCCCACTGTGCGCCAAACATCGTTATTGACAAGTATTTTTTTTTGTACAGCCAGCATCATTTCTTTTAAGAAAAATGAAAAAAAGTATTACTCCAAACCGAAATAAAACACACAGTCTGTCGATCCTCCTATGTCATTCTGTCATGTCATCGCTATGAGCAAAACAGACTCTCAAACTTCTTCGATCCAGATGTTGTTACGCTAAGCCTTCGGACGACCCGTTCCTGTAAACATGCGGCTCATTTTGAGTTGTACCCGCCACTTGATGTGTACGATGCCAAGTGTTGTTGTCATGCCATACCCACTATGTTGACCTACGGTCTTGACCGAAGGCGTGTAGGCAGCCGATGGTGGATAAAGATACCTGGAATATCGAACCACAAATTACGTTGGGCCCATATATTTTCACACAGGGTTTCACATCAGCATAATGGGGTGCCATTGGTGAAATAGGCTAGGGAGGGAGGGAAGGTTGTGAAAAAAGGTTTATTAGGGTGGGGTATTTGAGTTCATTATATTTAGCCTTCTTCGGTTTGAATACCCTTCATTTTATCTTATCTCGTGGGGAGGTTGATGACTAGGTACCGTCCTTCGAGGCTAGTCGTTGTTACTCATATTATCAAAAGGCTTATGCTTTCACAAGCTGGCTGGCTAATTATAGCCCTAATATGCACACTTATAGAACTAAAATCCTCCAACACACTCATAGAATGACAGATACACACGTGAAGAGGCCATTAGGAATGGATGGATTTACCAGCGACATACAGTACAATAGAAGTAGAAAATTTTACACGGGGTTGCTATGCACAGACTACGAAAGGTGTTGCTGCTTTTCAGCGGCAGAGTTGATGGCTTGTACAGCTGCCTGCATGCGAGTTTGCACATATTCCAAAGCAACGGTGGAGACACACATCTCCAAACTATCCTCCAATTTATGCTGTACCCAAAAGTTATCTTCGTCTGGGATTTGAAGCCAAGACATGGGTATGAGTTGCGAGTAGCTTGAAAAGTTCAACTGGTGTTTGGGGTCTGAGAGCAATATGACAAACTGCATATAAGGAAGTGGAAACGTGCTTGTGTGCTGCACTGCTTGGATGGCCAAGTAAACCGGACAGATCTTGACGGGATGGGCACCCGAGGCAGGATTATAACCTGTTCGCACTTCAGGTGCCTTTGTGTGTGTCTTGACCAAATATTCGATATTGGCCTACAAAAGACAGGTTAGACCAAAAAAGCAAATGGATGGGTGGGTAGTCTTGCCCTTCATTACCTTGCATAATTTCTGTGCCTGTACCACGTCGTCACAGAAATTCATATCCCAAGCTCCATATTCGCCATCGCGTTGCCCGGTGGATCGACCTTTCCGTATAACCACATCGCCGCCGTCTGTCTGCTCCATCATTTTGGAAAATGACTGGAACACAAGAGGCTCCAAGCCAACGTATCCTGCAATGTCATGTGAAATCCATATTTCCACCACTTCATGTTCGCTGATGGGCGGCGCCACGTTGTCCAGGATCGTCGTGAGTGAAGCGGTTGTTAACGTCTTTAAGCTGTTACCTGTCGGCAGGAAAGAGACGATTCAGCGCGCGTGGACAGTGCAAAGTACCAAATCGCATTTCATACTCACCAAGCTTCGCCACGTTATTACTGCTGATAAACGCCTGCCATCCACTAACCCGTTCCTGTAGTGCTTTGGCTGTGTCTGGATTTGAAGTTGCTTGATTGATATGATCGCTAGTGGTTTTGACCACCTCATTCGCTTGATTCCAGATAGAAGTGCCCCACTGTCTCCAGGAATCAGAAATAATTGGGGCTGATTCCTTCTGGCTGTTATCCGTTTCGCTTGCCTCATAGGTATTGGTAGTGTTGGTGATTTCGTCTAAAAACGACATGATGTCGCTTGCATTGGCTGCCGACTGGCCGTTGGTGCCTTCAGCGTCTGCATTAGTCTCTTCATCGTTGGGCAGATCTAACGTTTTGAGAAATTGCTCAGCTTCAGATAAGGATGAGTTAGGCTCAGCGGTATCAGTCATAAGTAGCTCAGGTGGGAGGGGGTAAGGGCTTTTTGCGTTCGGTCAACAGCCATGAATGGGCTGAGAGCGGATATTGAAAACACAAGCATACAGTCGACACACCACTAAAATAAAATATCATAGATACAACTTTGTAATGATGAAACGGGTACAGAAGATGTAAAACAATTTAGGGGTTGGATTGAACGAGCAAAGGGTATATCTTTTTGTTTTCTGGGTGTCAACCGCCGTGATGTTAGCACACTATCAGGTTATTTCTTAGGGATGTGAGACATATAAACTGTACCTAGCTCAGCAACATGGGCTCTCAGAATCAGCAAGTTGCTGTATTGGGTATCCTACATGATATTGGTAAGAACGGCTGATGTGGAGTTGGTTTCGTCCCTGGATTCAGTCAATATCATGCACTTACAAGCTGTGCTCTCTGTGCCTTCTTGAAAGCCTCCAGGTCCGCCGCCGTGGCAGCATTGGCCATCAAATGCGCATGGGTCTTGGCAATATCGTCGATTTTTTGAGCATAAACTCTAAACTGTTGTACAGGATAACCATAGGTACGGTCAGTTCATGGTACGTTAAATCGACTGTCTCCAGAGTAAATTATCACTGTAAACTGCCAACTCACCTGATCAGTGGACAGCTGTAACTGCTGCACGGCGACCAACAGCTGCTGCTGTGAGTACTTGTACCTGTCTACAACATATGTACTTGCCACACTGCTAGCAAGCCCTAGCCCAATTATAATTCCTAGCAACCTACAACGTGACGGTCACTCAAGGCAGCTTAAGGTACCGGAGGCTATGTTTGAAAGCTCTTACCCTGCTCTTAAACCACCTGTTCTATGGCTGAAAGTAGAGCTCGTTGAGTATGCTCGATAGACTGGGCCGACCGTTTGAGTTCGACATCTCACTAAAAGCGACATTCGGGAATGAAGCAATGTTGCATAGAAAGTACTCGCTCGACGTGTAACATTGCCTTCCCATCACGTGTGTATCTCCAGATCTTCGGTTTCCACTAAGAACGATATAACGAACAAGGCGACTGTTCTTGAAGGCTAATGGCATCACACATAATAAAGAACATCGTGTGAAAAGGTATTAAGCGCATCTTCATTAATGATATAAAATTATTTTTCTAGAATGAGAGATAAAGCGTGCCAATATATACAAAACATGTTTACAGCGGGGGGTACATGGGGTTTCTCACAGGACTATCGACCACCTTCAACATTAAACCTTCGAATCGAGAACCATTTGTTATAGTCCAGGCGGGCCAGGAACAGATCCAAATGCACTGGCGGGCCGTCAAAGCCTTCGCTATTGCCATGGGACATGCCTACGCGAGACAATGACTTGAAGAACTCGGCGGTCTCGACAGCGAATTTCTATTCGATGTTGTGTTAATGAAGATGTCCCCGTTATTGCCACCACCGCCCATCCCAATTCATTTTCTTTTACCTTTTCCATGGCTAATACGTCATCTACCCATGCAAGCGGATCTTGTTCTTTTCCAAATCCATGCGTCCATTTAGCAACGATTTCATCCGCTGTTTGTGCTCGTTGTCGACTACTCCAATCCCCCTTATCTCCAACATCTTTAATCAATTGGCAATATTCAAGGCATATTTGAAGTATCGCACTCATCCTTTCCGAAGAGCTGGACGACTCGAGCAGACAACCACGGAACAGTCGAGTCAAGTATACTTTGTGAGCTTTCTGAATCTGTTCAAAATCAAGCGCCTCTACAGAGCTTGAATGCGTATCCCCTTCCACACTTTCCATGGCATCGTCGTGACCCGCTACACGCTTTTCTAAAGAAGGCCGTATACTGTCGATAAATGAGGTGTAGCTGGGGTTGATGATATCGTTCTGTCGTGTGGGAATGGGTTGAATACGTGACTAATGGCATGACGTTATGAAGAGAATAATAGTCCTACCTGTACATGACACCATAAAGCATCGATCCAAAACAGCATCTTCGATCGAACTCGCCAAACAAGTCGTTCACGTTGCTTCATGCTGGCCACCGACCACGGCCCATCCTGATGTTCGTCCATACCATCCCGTCGACGTGTTGAACCGGACGACCATCCCCCTCGAAGGACAATCCAGAGTGAATTAAGCTTGCTCTGGACTTTCTTCAAACTAATCAGAAACTCCCACATGGCATCGTAGTGATTCATGTCGGCGGCTGTGAGGAATAGATTCAAGGGCCATCGGTAGTGGTATTTAAGAGAACAGGGAGAGCCGTTCAATAGGAAGAAGGAGAACAGTTGGTCCTGCGACGCTTCCAATTGCTTTGTAACACGCAACGAATATCGAGCGAGCTCAGGGGAATCTTCACACAAGCATCCAAACTGAGCTTTATGGAGCAAAGCATCCAATTGTCGTCGTCCATACCGATGTCGTCGGTCCGTGTTGGAATCAGACGTGGCAAGTTGGTCGCACTCGTCAATCAGGTTTCTTGCGAAATCACCTTGGCCAAGCAAATAGAAATCTTTAAACGACTCCAGGTACCGTAAGATGTCATGATCACCGACCAGGACTTGATGAAACATCCATTCTGCAGTGGCACGGCGAATGGTTGAGACAGCCTTTTGTAGTCGAAGAATATTGATGTTAGACGCAGCGTAACTCTCACTACCGGTGTTGCTCAATTGAAGCAAAAGTTGCAAATGCTGTTCTACCATTTCCTTTGGTAGCATGTTGGAATAGCTTGCTGAATTATCTCGTACTGTCTTGACGATCTCTCCCACAAATAAAATGGATTCCGCCAATTCGAGCGGTACATGGGATGGTATAAAACTTTTCTCAAGGCAATGATCAAACTGTCCACTGGATCCAGCAGGTTCCTGTTCGCCGGTCGATGAAGGAATAGCCGGTGACATGGACGCATTGGAAGATGGGGGTCGTTTAGCGATGAAAAATTCTTGGTATGGATCAAACAGGTGACCATACACCATCCATGATATGATCTGCTTGTACATGACGACATGAAGATGGTGGAGAACTTGATTGGCGATATCTCGAAGTTCCGCTACTCCCGTATGTGATTTCTGTATGATAAGACCTAGTAGCCGGCACCCATGCCAGCTCGCTGGATCCTCTGCAATCTCGCTCAGCAATTTTGTCAGCGCCGGTAATATGATAGTCCATTTCGCAAACGCTGCGGCAATATGAATGATAGGAACTGCTCCATTGAGATGATCCTGCTTTCCAAGGATCCGTTGCTCGCAGTTGACGATGGTGTCGCGGTATTCTCGAAGAACATCGTTCAGAGCGACAGCCAGGGCTTGTATATAAGAGCCGTGCGGTGTGTCCGCGGCTATATGGGAAGACGTCACGGAATTGCGAATCCCTCGTACGAATTCGTCAATTTTAGCATACTGCCAGCCCAAATTGGCCAGTCGATTGAGGGCTGAGCGTTCTGCATCGTGAAGCAACGGGAAATCAGAAGCAATGGCAAATGTGTTAGGAGCCTGAGGTGCCGGTGGTGACGGCAAAAAGACGTCGCCCGGGTATCCTGATAACACTAGCAGTAATTCATGCAGCATTAAAGGCTGTATAGTAGGGTTGTGTGAGCGGCTGTGGGTCTAGAGAATAGGCCAAGTACTGGTGTCGGGGAAGAAAAAAAAATGGGCAGCAAAGGAGTGTGGTTGAAAGGCGCGTCCTGAACCGTGTCGCTTAAAAGGGTCACGTGCCTGGAATCTCATTCCATTGACCTTTCTTGTAAACCTATAGTATACTTGCACCTTCACGATCAAAGGTACCCAACACACAACTATCATTTATGCCTTGCCACTAACTTTGAATAATGCGTCTGTTTGAGGATTTTCTTGACTCAAATACTTTTGGTCAAAAATATATGTGTGAGCGCTACAACACCTCATATTCCAGTCTATTCACAAATACATGTGTGGTAACCGTGATGAGAAAGACATATTGGCGACACAGGAGTCGGCTGAAAACCAGGCTTTACGATAAATGACTCTGTAGGAGCAATAACCATGTGTGAAACAAGGCACATGCTGTTAGAAGCAAGAGGTGTAACATGGAGAGCTATATCATCCTTGCGGCTGTCAGCTTACGTTAGGTCCGACATAGAATGGCCTGCAGGAATTGAAAAGCCACCATCATAACTCCTCTAGAGCGCGATTATGGTGGTTTCTATCTGAACTTTCTGTCATAGCGTCAGTGTCGAGATCTGCATACAGCTAAAAGATATACCAACTCGGAGGCGATGTTCACCCCTGGATTCACTGCACATCCCATAACACTCCTACTGCTAAAGCTTCATAATGACAACACCATGATAGACAAAGACGCTAGTTATTATTAGGAAAGGTGCAATCCTTTTTATTCCAACTAATAACAAGGAGCTCCAGTATACCTTAAGACAATAATGTGAGAATAAAAAACATTATAGCTGGGGGGGGCGTCTCTTTCTCATCGTTGCATAAGACGTCCACACTCTCCGCCATTGACCAAACCATTTTGTCATAGTCTAATGCAGCTAATCACCCCTTTTTCTTACTGATCCTTCATGGACTTGCCAACCAGTTCTGGTAGACAATCGGACTGCGCATGTGCATGGGCAGCTTTGAAGGCATCCAGTTTCTCCAAATTATCCAAAACACGAATGATATTTGGATACGCGTTCATATCCACCTTGTACCTGAATCCATTGTAGGCCATTGGCACAAGACAGCAGTCTGCAAAGGTAACCTGGTCTCCTACACAATAAGATCCAGCTGTCTTTGCCAGATGTTTTTCGAGGGCTGTTGGAGTAAAATAAGCATCCAGTCGGATCAGCATACCTCAATTTTCTTATCCTTACCATCAAAGCCATTGGTCAGCCAGTAATTTGCCCATTCCGTACGCTTGTCAGCATCATTTGATACATAGAAAGTCACTTTTGTGTTCTGCAAAGGTTGCATATCACAGGCAATTTCACTAAGGATGGAACGAGTCTTTGACCAATGCATGCATGCGGAGTTAGTTCTCTTCACATGTAAGTGCCTTTCGCATTTGATGATGATAAAACGTTACTTACAACGGCTCTTTGCACTAGATCCTTGGGCAACAAGGGGTTTTCTACCATAATCGGAGCACGTCATTACTTTCCGCTAGCCCTCCAAATGAAGGATATGCAACATACCTGGATAGGCTTCTTCGAGATACTCTAAAATGGCCGTACTCTGTACCAACACTGTACCGTCTGGAAGTACCAGCACGGGGACCTGCTTGAAGGAGTTGAGAGCCATGTGGGCTTCTGTTTTTTGTTCGCCTTTCACGAGATTAATGGGTTTATACTCGTACTTGATGCCCTTCCAAGCTAATGCGATACGGACGCGCCACGTAGCCGATGAGCGAAAGTAACCATACAATACAAATTTCTAGAATGCGGTTATGGGTTTTTGCAGGTATGTCAAGACACTGTCAGTTGCTTAAGTTACCTGGTCAGACGTCGCCATAATTTCTGTGGAGTAGAAAGTTGAACCGTAAAACTTTCCCACAATGTTTGAACTGCGCAGAAATAATCTCCCAACCCGCCCAATAAAAAGGTGAGTTTTTCCACTCAAAACGGATTATATTTGTTTACTGGCTTTCTCCACAAGAACATTTACAACAACATGGTATGCTTATATATTGGGACATAGAGGTGGGCAAAAATTTTGAGGTGGGAAGGAGCTACTGTGAAGCATACAGGGGCATAAATGATATGTGGAAACCAAATGTAAAATGATAGACTAAGAAAAAAATATACAAAAAAAAAATATTGAACAAAATGGAAACTAGTATAGACAAAAAATGACAGGCCTTGCTTGGTTTATGCTAGACCGCCTACAGCTCGAGAGTAAGTGGACGACATGGAGTTTTGCCTCTCAGTTTCTCGATGAACCTCCCATTCTTGCTCGATTTCGGAGTCGGCTTCTGTCAGGGCGGAACCTAGCACCATACGAACCTGCTCAGCAAGGTATCGTCTTGCAGGTTTGGAGTAAGTCCATTGTTCATCTTGGGACTTCAGACTGCGAGTGCTTTGAGCGCGAGCAAGGAATGGCATGGCACAAGGGGTTTGTGGCACGGGTTCGTCAGCCGCCGGCCCATTTCCATTTTGGTCGGGCAGCAATGGGTAGTGCGAGGTTGGTTTCTCCGAAAAGTACTCGCCAGGTTCGTTCTTCAATAGACCGTTCCATTCTGGCGTGATAGGACTGATAGGCTTGTGATGAGGTAACTGGAAATCATCCTCGTCGTTGTGTATAAACTGAGCTCCAGGGTTCGCTGGCGTCATGGGCGGTGACTCTGAAGCTGACGTTTCATTGTCACTGCTGTGCGACAGAGATGACATGGTGAGTCTGCGGCTTCTGACCGTATCGCTTTGCCATGATTCGGGCAGTAAAGCGGAAATTCTTTTGCGCGCTCCCGACAAGGTCGATGACTTCTCTGAAGTAAACGATCCTTGCATTGAGCTGACCGAAGTATCGGAGCGGAGATTGTTGGATGACAAAGATCTTTTACTGCTATCGATGCGATGAGGCGAACTAAGGTTGAGTGATGCATATTGTCGATCGCCGTCTTTCTTTCTACTTTGGTTAGACACAAAGGGAATGGTGTCGTTTTCAGGGATAGCGTTCATCGGTTCTATAGAGGTGGGACTTTGGATGAGTTCGAGAGAGTGTGCGGAGCCAGACGAATGAAACTGGTGAAAAGAAGGGCTGGAATGTTTTCTAAATGACATGCTGGACTGTGGTCTTGCCGGTAAATTTCTTTGTGGCGAAGGTGATACACCTTGCAAACTAAGGGATGGACTCTCTCCCGCAGCCGTTGACTCGTACGGTTTGCTTGCGAAGCCGAGCTCGTTATCGATAACAGACGTCGGTGATGTGAGTATCTGCATGGATTGGCGTCGATTTGCTTCATCCGGTGACTTGTTGATAGACTCGTTCAAGTAAGTGTTGGAAGTATTCAATGACAGGCGATGGGACTTATTTTTGCTCCCACTACCTAGAAGACGTCGAAGTCTTCCAGGTTGAGCTTGTGAATTCATAAGGGCGATAAGAGAAAGAGAAGAAGATGGAAGGTCAGCTAGAAAAAAAAAACCACTCTGGTTGTTTGCAAGAAGAATGACGCTGTGACCATTGCCATTCCTGTCAAATGGGCTGTTACAAACTCAATCGCGTCAAAACCCAAAAATGTGTATCCGATGACGAGCTTTAGCGTTATCCTTGGCACGCTTTTAACTACTCGCTTTGTAAAGGAAATGACATATCTTCTTGACTCTCGAGAAAGATGCTTTTGACAGACTGCGTCCTTTCGCAGCGCAATGTTATTCTCAGTGAAACAAGCACCGTATGGGGTCTTGAAAAACAAAAATCTATTTCCATAACTTGTTTACCTTTCGCCAACCGGACACACCCCAAAAATAGTTTTGTACGCCCTTTATCGAAAGGAATACGCTTCGACGATGTAATGGGCTTGCCAATCTGTTATACCAGAAATTAGGTAATGCCAGGAACACCGACGGCTCGTTTTTCAGAAAAAAAATTGGGGTTGGGCTCGAATGCCTTATTGCATTTTCAGCATGAGCAGGTATTTCAGCTTTGTCAAGTGCATGCCATTGTATCAAAGATGAACATCTTTCCATTTGTAGTGACATGCATCCGATACTCGCTATTGCCTCGCTTCGCCTCGCAGTTTCACCAGGTTGCCACTCCACCACAAAATCAAGCCTTGCTGCTAAGAACAAGATTGCGGGCAAAACAAACCCAAAAGGCGTAAAATGAAAAAAAAAAAAAAAAAAGTTGTTTGCCTTCTAAAACCATCTCTTCGGATGTGGCAACCCGGACTCTCAAAACTTATCGGTCGGTTGGTTACTGATAAGCAACGTGGGGTGAACAAGGCATCCGTCAGGGTTTGGGTTGCGAAGGTCACCAGACCAGGACACCACTATCTGACTTGTGTTTAAGGTATTCCTCGGGTGCAAATATGGCCAATCCGTGGACTACTGTTCGCTATGCATTGAACAGATTACCCGGGACATGCATTTAAAAATAAAGTGTATTTCTACCCACAAACAAGTGTTGGGTGCTTGTACTGTGGAGGTAAACTGCTTAAATGTACGCGGAGTGCTCGTATGTTTTGACGAAGTGTGACTTCGTCTGAGAATTCTCCAAGGTGCAGCAAGGCAATTTGAGAACCACGCTTTTGTAAATATTTTCGAACCATTGAAGCTAACATTGGACGAAATGGCTGATAAAAAGGACGATTTTGATTTCCCGGACATTGAGCTAGAAGAAAAGGATCTGAAGCCTGAAGAATATACTTGTAATGCAACACAAGCCTTCGACGCTGTTTTCCAATGTTATAGTACGTACCATTGATGAATGAACGAAACCATTGATTCTCAATCCGAAACTAACATTCCCATCTCTTTTTCTTCCTTAAAGCTCTCGGAGAACAAGCAATAAACTATTACCGGTACGGCGAAAAGAAGGATTGCAGCGGAAAATGGGATTACTTTAAACTTTGTATATCAACAAAGACGAAGTCGCCTTTACATGCCAAGGTAAGGTGGTACGAATTAGTGCCAGGTTGTTTATTTCACTATGATACTTAAGCTTGGCCATCCAGAAACTATTGGATGAACACAAAGCGAAAACAGAAGAGGAAAAGAAAACTGTAAGGAGTTCAGAGGATGTGTGGACTTTAAAAGCGTAGGTATCTATAACCATGGAACAAAAGAGGGTTTTATATGATGGATAGCTAACTTCTGAAATTTATAGGATACCAGATGAACATACTTCTACTACAACGCAGTAATTAGGCATATAGAGAGGTGGCTTTTTGTATTATACTGTATAATTTGCCTAGAGCGCACTACATAATAGAGAGTTCTTTTTTCGAAAAAATGGGGGCTGTCGTGAGCAGCATTTTTACAGTTCATCCAGGCGCTCAGTGTCGCCGCCGCTGTTACTGCTATTACTGTAAAGTCGCTTGAGCATTAATTGATCCTTTCGTTGACGTTCTCTTTCTGCTTCCTCGGCACCACCGGTCTTTTTCAACTTTTTGGAATCCACAAACGATGTCAACTCATGTTCGAATTCATCAATGCGATTGTCCAGTTCTCGCTGTCTCATCTTTTCCGCTTGATTCAGTGCCCGCAGACGACGACTTGAATCCACATCGATCAGGCTGACTTCCTTCATGACACTACTCATTCCTTCGAATCCTTCCGGAACAGGCGCTACATTGAATTCTCGCTTGGTGGGACCAGCAGATGCTTGAATGTCATTGATCTTTTGAAGTTGTCTGAACACTTCCATTAATGTCGCATGGTCTTCCTCCAAATCAACAACAAGGGACTCTTGGTCTTTGATAAATTGCTGTTCCTTCAATATGGTTTGCAGCTCCTCTTCCCAAGTCTTCTTCCATACCGGTTTCGCCGATGTAATGAGCTTGGAAAGTTCCTTAATTTCCTTATCAAGAGCGTCCGCTTCTTCTGAACAATGGGTAAGTTGCGCTTTGGATGGCCGGCATCTGCGCTGGGTAACATCGAGCTTAATTTCGTCCACAACGTCTTGAAGCTCTTCCAAACGACTAGTAATAGCAGAAGAGGACACATGCAACTGTTCCTTGACTTGATCCTGCGATCGTCGGCTTGGTCCATCGGTGACGACAATAGGTTGAATGGCTTCTCGCTCCTTGACAGCGCTCTTCAATTTCTCCAGCATATCGCGAGACTCGGTTTGGAATTCACCATGCATCTGTCTTACAACTGCTAAATCTCTCTTGAGCTGATGAAGGTTTTGTTGTTCCGTCTTGATTTCATTGATGAGTTTGATATCAATGACATGGCTTGGTGATGTTGCCGGCTTGCTAGGGTCGCTGGATGGTTGTTGACGTGACATGATTTCTCGTGATTCCATGGCTATTTGCGCCTCCGTCATTTGTTGACGGAAGCCTTCCAGCGTATCAACAATGACGCTACGGAACTGGGCCATATCGGTATTGACAGCCTCGAACCCGTTCACAATCTGTGACTGAAGATCTACAATGCGGCTGTCTTCAGCAGCTATACCATGAAATGAAAGTCAGGGATGCTTATTTTTTCTGCTTCATGGGTTCCAAAATTTGTAACATACCATCCAAGTTCAGCGTTAACAGCGACTTGTTCTGAACTTCAGAAACATCCTCCAGTTGATAGGATACGTTAGCTGCAGAGTCACGGATATAGATGTGTGGAAAGTTTAGTTGTCCAGACGTATAATTAAATTTATCCATGAATAGCAACTGTAGGGCTGGAATAGTCAGTTCTCCGTCGTACGTCACTTTCTTTACTTCCTTCCCGACTTGCAAAAAAAGCAAGATCGCGGATTTTGGTTCTAAATATTAAATGAGCATGAAACAAAGGGGAAATGTCAGATAAGCGTTTGGCCACAACCTGTATAACCGCAAGGTCTTACCACTAGGAACTTCCTCCACGGCGTTAACATTTTCATTGGTTTGCTCCACCACTTCTGGATCAGCACTGGGTGGTGCCTCCATTCGACTTTCTTGTGTTGAGCTCTCCATGGGCGATGATACCTCTGGCGCTACAGAAACATCTGGCTCTTCCGATATAGCATTCATCTGTTCCTTTGCAAACGTTGGGGAATCTTTTGGTGGTGGAAACTGACTTTTTCTTCTTCTGACGATAGATCGGGACCGAAGACTGGATTTACTATCAAGCTGTTTTCGTATTACGCCAGCTTCACTCGACCCATTTTCGTATTCAAAAGAACCATTGTCCTGCCCTGGAACAGCCAAACTAGGGGTTGGGTTTGGCACTGGCATATTGATAAGTCCTAAGCCAGAACCTGGAGCTGGTCCCATAGGCACAGCTAGTGGTGGTTGCCACTGATCCAATCGCGGGACTGATGACTGTCGCGGAGGGAGCGGTGGTGGGGGTGGCGGTGAAGGAGGGAGGAAATGGGTTTGCGAATGTTGTTGTATTTCCTGAGAAAATCCAGGTGTTGTTGGTGCGGGAGGTTCGTTGGCTTCGGAGGGTCGGTAAGATTGCGTCGACATAGGTCCGTCGCCTTCGGTTCTCCTAGGTGACGCCGGGCCGCCACGTCTAGAGCCACTTGATTGACGCGAGAGAGGGCCTCTTTCACGAAACAGAGCTTGTTTGCTTCTCAACCCATGAAGAAGATGTACAATGATATCTCGGATGCTTGGCAAATGCTGCTCCAACACCGAGGTAGACGGTTCCTCCCGCAAGGCACGGTTGACACAGTCATACAGGTCGATGGGAACATTTCGAAGATCGCTGATAAAATCAAAGTAGCGGTTAAAAATGCATTGAAGTTTTCACCATGTTTACTACGTACGCACATACCTCATGTTTATTCCTTCGGCTTCGAAGGCGTCACTGGCGTTTTGAAACTGTCCTCGAAGTGAACCGTATATTTCATGGATATGATGGGCTCCAGCTCTACCTTGCGACCACATGGTCAAAGTCTCCAGAAGATTCTTGGTGGTTCTTAGCAGCTGAGTAACTGTTTGTTCGATTTCGCCAGTCTGTGTAAAACATGAAGAGTCAGTGATAACTAGAGCATTACATTGGAATGTTGACTCAGGAGGCACAATGGTACCTGATTCCCGGTTTCGCTAACTCTACGTTGAGCGTTCGAGTTGAATTGCTGCGACCCATTGGGGGTGAAGCTATCGTATAAGGGTGTTGGAGGGCCCATGTTGGAGAAATGGCAGGCAGAAGAACAAGGCTACCTTGCGACGTTTACCCGCCTCTTTTCGAATCACGCTGGGTTTTTCGCTTGCGCCACTTCAGCTTTTGGTAAGACACCCCTACGAGCACTGACACTTCCACTTGACGTACAGATTGCTATCAAGACGATATCATTCTTTTTGCTACTGAGACGCTTCCTTGTTGCAAGCGGATGGTCGTCGATACTAATAGTTTCATAGGCCATCCTTTGAACTCCCATGACGGGGATTAGACACACGCTCATGTAGCTGAAGATAAATACCAATATTTGTTTGATTGAATGTTAACCTGGAAATTTTATGATAGAGCATAGGTTGTTCAGTTCCACACAGTATTAAGTTGCTGTCGACCAGTGAAGATACAGTTGGTCTCGCTCAAATGATATAATATATACATATTGGATCGAGCATTGGCCATAGTAATTTTTTTTACCAACAGTTAGTATATGTCATATTACATTATCTTTCCCTCACCTACGCTACGCATACATGGCCTATAAACTTTTGATTTCATTATGCATCGTAGTTACGAAATGGGATATGATATATAGCGGTGCGATGAGGATTTTAGCCATGTGTGTCTTATGTCAGGCTGGCTCTGATAAGTGAAAAAAAACGATGGATGTAAACAGATGCGTCTCGCCCGATATACTGCTCACTATCTGTAACAATAACTCTAGCAAAATTAATCTTCGATTCAATCCATGATTATGAGTGCATGGTTTATTTTCATGGTCAACCGACAAACTCCCCCATTGATTTCTGTCATTTTTGAACAATACAATTGCCACCAAAAAATAAAGCCACGTGATTTCAAAGGCCCTCAAAACAAATTTGCGACAGGCAAGTACGGTACAAAACTACAGTTTCAATTAACAGATCACTTTAGCAATCATGAAGCTCGTTAGGTAAACTTTCTATTTGATTCATACCCTGTTCTACTGTTTGGTAGCTGTTGACGACAAAACTGATTACGACGTGGGTTTCGCACGTTCGATAATCTCATCTTGCTTACTACGACGCGCATCAATCGCATTATGAGCATGGCTAGATCGCAAGATTGGAAGCAGCGACTTGTCTATACTTGCTTTGACAGTCGTCAAGATTCGAACGACATTTGATCATAACCATTAGCGTTAGCACCATATGCGTTCTGTGCTTCGGAACGTCAATTCAACAATCAACCAAAATTCGCACAGCACATTCACGCATGCACTTCTTACCGCGAAACCTCTGATCCATACCACTGATGAACTAACAAACACCTTGTTATAGATTTTTGATGAAACTCAATAATGAGACTGTGACGATAGAGTTGAAAAATGGAACTGTCGTCCACGGTACCGTAGCAGGTATGACAGACTCGCTTTTCTTTCCTTCATACCATCGTATGCCCAACTCATTCCTTCTGTTAGGTGTTGATATGAGCATGAACACTCACTTGAAGCCAGTCAAGATGACCGTTAAGAATAAGGACCCAGTCAACTTGGAATCATTGAGCATCAGAGGCAACAACATCCGCCACTTCATCTTGCCAGACAGTTTGCCACTAGATACCCTCTTGATCGACGACTCACCTAAATCAAAGGGAAAGAAGAAGGAAGCAGGTTAGTGACGATCATGTAGGGAACTTAAGCTGACCCGTATCATTTTCTAATGCATTTTTTTTTTTGCTGTTTTCAGCTGCTCCTGGTGGCCGTGGCCGTGGTCGTGGAATGCGTGGAGGACGTGGTGGTGGTGGCGGTAGAGGTGGCCGTGGACGTGGTGGTCGCTAAATTACACAAAACGAGTGATTCTTTTTTCGCCCTTGTATAATAAAAAAAAAATCCCACAGCTTGCAAATAGCAAGCTGATATAAATGGACATTATCCGTTGATTCGCCTTCAGATTGAATAGACAATATGGTTTGACAGTATGCGGTATTCAACCTAACATACAGGAACAGGGATGCCAAAATATTTTACTATAGATGAAGATGATATATGTAATGTTCCTATTCTACTTGAATCATGCTGCTGCTCATAACAACTCCTGGACATATTCGGTAGATAGGTTTGCCATTCGTCGAGCAGTGACCACCGGTGATGCCTTGGTATATCACATAATACCAGCCCGCTTCGATATCCTCTGGAAGTGTCCATGCGGCCGCGACTCGACCGCCATGCTCATGCCAATCGCTCCACTGGGCATAGCTGACGTTTCGGTACAAGACGTTTTTAGCTTCGTGATCGAAAATATCTACTGTTACAGAGCCAATATGGGCACGCTCGTCAGGTGAGACTTACCATCACCCATTTATGTCAGAAAGTGTTCAATGGAGCAACTGGTCTTTTCTCATGCTTGACTTACCTGTGTATGCAATGGCCATTTCAGATCCTGAAGCTTGCGTTGTGGCATTTTGCGGTGATTTGACCACAATATGATCTATTCAGTCAATTGAATGAAGAAAAACGAAGTTTTCACGTATATAGAACAAGCAATGAAAGTGTTAATATTTGACATCATTAATTGTGCAGCAAGGAAATTCGGTCGGGAGAAATGGTTAACCGAGCCTCATTGTCAGTCCCACAATATAGATTGATAATTACCGGCAAGGCAAGTGGCGAACAGACTGGCTAAAACGGTGGATAGAACAAAACGCATTATGGACACGGATCCACATTTGGTAAAATGGACTCAACTTATATATGGATGGTCTCTGGGAATGCTAGTTGAAGTTTGGGCTGCTCGTTGTTGCTTGTGTTTGTCAAAACGTTGGTTTTAGCAGGCTTTAAAGTATGATGCGACAATGGCTATATTAAAAAATGCAAAATTTTACCCGGCGGAATTTTGCCTGGACGACGGCTTTATACAGCAGTAGCAGCAGTATGGTTCATGAGTTCTTTGCACGGTTGACCGATACACCAGGGGTCAAGGAATAGCGTATAGTGTGCCTTCTGCGTTCTCTAGGACATACGACGACATGAACAACAGGCGTTTGTCCAATTACGAGCCAATGATAGTAAATAAAAATGACTGAAAGGTGTCAACTGCGCGAACGTCTGCACCATGCCTGTTGCTACAGGACAGCCATGTTACCTTATCTGTTGAATTTGTTGCTCTACTACTGTCAATGTACGATCACCTACGACCACATAGTGAAAACGTCACAAATAGGGACTAGGAGCTTTGGCATTGCAAACACAACAAACGTAGGACTCCATTACACACAAACAGAGAAAGAAAGCGATCCAAAAAAAAAAAAAACAAGTAAACTCTTATTTCGGGAATTCAAACATGAAAATGCATACTATGAATTAATATTGTTGCGCACAAGTGCTGGTGGGATGATGAGACTTAGAAAGAAAGGGAGGAGAAGTGGGGAAACAAGGTATAGAGTAACATAGCATCATATGTAATGAAGGTTGATGGGGATGGGTTGGCTAAGCTTAATTTGCCGCAATATGCTTGGTTTCATTATTTGTCCGTGAATTGCGGTGGCCTTGTACGCGCTCGTGACGACGAAGAGCATCCATTCTTGTAAATTTCTTACCGCAATGGGAGCAGTAACAGAATGGTCTATTTTTCAAGTGAATGGTCTGATGTCGGCTTAGATCGTAACTTCGACGGAACGTTTGACCACAAATTCGACTGGTTGAGGGATCAACAATCTCCTGACACAAGAAATCTCCACTATAATCAGGATTGCCGGCACGACGCTGATGATGACCGCCTTTGTCGCTACGCGTTGCTCGCTTCTGTGACACATGTCGCGAAAGTGACATGGTGGGCGATGTGACAGTGGACGAAGACGTCGATTCGCTGCCTGATGTGGAAGGGGTGGGTGGCCCGATTTTTCTATTGGAAGAGAACGAATTGATGGGCGCAAGGAGTGGGGATACCGTTTGATCTGTTTCTTCTGTTAAAGAAGTAATGCCTGGCAAAGTTATCGTAAATGGTCGTACGTTGGATGTTGCTGGAAATTTGGTGGTCGAGGGTCTCGGTATTCGCTGTTGGTCCTCTTCTTGGCCGTTCTCCTGATTCCATCTGAACCCACCGTTGTGCTGAAAATGATGGTGAGGCTTATCTTGGCTAGTTGGACATCCTGACAATGGTGAAACGACGGTTTCCGAATCAGGTGAGCATTGCTGTGACGGCAAAGAGTTTCTACTCCTTGCCAAACTTTGATCCGTAGCCATGACCTTCAGCTTTTTCCGTGTAGGCTCTAAATCGACACCCGAGTCTTTACGAGAGGCAAGTCGATCCGCTTCTTCGTTCATGGACTCTGGTCGGATACCACGCTTAGCACAAGCAGTCATATCGATGGAGTAGTACTTCTTTGACGTTTGCAGTAATGATGGCTCACTATCTCGTCGTACACCCCATCGCACTACAGTTGGTTTGATGACGGGTATATTGCTAGTATCTGCTATCGAGTGTCGACGTTCGGCTGAAATTGGAGGAGACGCACTGAACTGTGTTATTCGATGATCGACGATGGAATGACGACGTTCCGACGACAAAGGCTGTGTTGGACCAACCGAAGAAAGCATGGCTGGAGAAGGCAATGTTGGATGCTTTAATTCGTGGTGTGGCAAGTCGTCGCATCGTACTGAGGATGATTTCGGTAGAGTGGGCATAGGTGAACTCGATTTATATTCATCATCTGTCAGGTATGAATGGTTTTTTGAAAGTGAGATTTGAGTGTTAGGCAAGGTTCCATTTTGTCACACAACACGGGTCATAATCTAATTAAATTAACAAGGGCATGAAACTTACGTGGAGAATACCTTGGAGCGGAGCTGCTATGATACCGCTGTGCAGCGGATGGTTGGTTATGAAGCTGCTTAGGACATAGCTTGATTTCCAACCGTTCGTTTTCTCTTAAATTTTGGAGAGCGTCTTTTAAAGTCTCATCATCGCATAAGACTTCCATACCAGCGTTATCTCTCGAGTTGTTGTATGTGATGTAGTAATCTTCAATATTTAGCATATCCTGACAAGGAGAGAGAACGGGGGATTTGAGGGCATTAAATTTATAGGATACTACAATGACACTTTTTTCCTTGAAAAAAGTGGTGGCGAAATCAATGGGGGGTAATTATTACCTTTGATACTTCTGAAATCTTCTGCTCAAACTCTTTAAAGAAAGGATAGCGGTCTTGATACACGACCATATGAACCGGAAAACTGAGTGAGTCGTTCTGAATACGAACCCTGCAACGTAACGCACAGTCGTTAGTAAATGATACCGAACTAGTCAGGTTGTGTGTCTGTGGTGTACCTGAAGCGAAACACAGTTTTGAAGATCATCTGGTGCGGAGCGGTGTGGGTAGGAGCTTGGGTTATATTAAAGAATGGTGAGGAGGGATGGGGCTATGTTACTGCGTTTTAATGGATGAATGGGGTTTTCGCTGGTATGGGCTATGAAGGAAAGGCTGGGATAACTTGATGTTCAAAACGAAGGAAAGGGTAGCTTGAAAGCTGAAATCAGCTACTATGAGACGTTAAAAGGGAATGTGAAGGTAGGAGTTTGTTATTATTTTGGAGTTCAAGGGACAGCAGGGAAAGGGGAAGGGAACCACCCGGTACAGGTAAAGGAAAGGGGAGGGAAGAGGGAACAAACCACTGAGGCGTCAGCCGCTGCCATCCGATTTCTTTAAAGTGGCAACCCACTAGCTTCTCACTTGTTTGGGATGCATGGACCAGTTGCAAAGTCAACTGAATGAATGTGACATTAACGACAATGTCATCTAGGTGGCTTCTAGCCCAAATGGCTAATCATGCCGAACTACACAATTACAATTTCTCCTTTGATATCATCATCATCAAAGAAGTTTAAACCTGACGCCACTTACCTTTCGATGCTGTTTGTACCAAATAACAACCATGTATCCCTTTTTATTCTCTTCATCTGGGTTATTGCACAGTCTTTTAGTTAAGCTAAAACTCAGATTTCTGTGCGGAAGATCTGCCCATTACCGGTATTATTACAATGAAACAGCCTAAATAATATTTTTACTTTTTTTTTTTCTATTGAGAGCTATATACAATCCTACTTAAAACAACTCCTCGTGTGATCGACGGGCTCGCTGTCCCACTTCTTTCAAAATACCACATCCCCAACGGACGGTTTCTTGTTCATCTTCAGTTTGTCCTAAATCCGCTTTACGAACAAAGTGATGGAGGAAGAATAGAATTCCCTGTGATACTGCTGGCAATTGTACAACCTTCAGATAAATGCTGACAAGAGATTGTGCGTCTCGCCTATCCGCTCCTCCTTGACTCTGAGAGTTGATTATGAGATTGGAGAGGAATAATTGCAAGAACAAACGTGCAGATTGTCCAACTGTGGAGAAATTGATAGACTTGAGGATTGAAAGAGTGAGCGCATTTTCGCTAACCAAAAAGGCGTAAAACTTTGCCGTATTTACAATCCTGCGTAGAGATATCTTTTCCGTTTCAGATGGTGATGCTTCAACGTTGCGTGACCGTTCCAGTCCTCCTACATCTGGTTCGCCACACTCTCGCAAAAAGTCCCACAGGCAGTATTGAAGCGTGACTTTGAAAGAGTGATCATGTCCGCAAAGTCGATTGGCTACAAGTGCATAATATGGATTGTAATGCTTTTCCTAATGGTAGTAAACAGCCGATTAAAGGACGTTCCAATGGCTCTTACACATTTACAAATTTTAACGTTGCTTACATTACCACTGCACTGAAGCAGCACTCTCGCAATTTCACGCTGTTGCACTTCTGTGAGCGTAAGCTTCATCAAGCGTTCGTAGGCATCAACGTAATCCTATTCATGATATAAAGCAAAATAAAATAAAATTAAAAAACTGCAATACGCATTGGAGTAGGTTAGACTGCTGCATCTTTGCCCGTGTGGGCAAGTCTTACCTCAGAGCTCATGAGGACAATGAAAATGCTTCGACGAATATCAGTATTCATGCCTTGCTTGCGTGCCAATTTCATTAGTGCTTCCTGCAAGGATGCGTCTTTCTTCAAGTCATCAGCAACCTCTTTCGAAGCATATTTTGATTCAGTGCCAACCAAGTTGTCTTTCCAGGATGATCCAACCAACCACCATTTTCCCTTTGTGTCGATATTGTGGATATCCTCTAAGCTAACTCGAAGGGCTTCAGTACTGTGCAGAGACCGCTTCTTTGCCAAGCTGGATAAAAACTTTTTCATCTTCAGAACCATTTCTTTGTCGACAACGTTTCCATGTTGCTGCTTGATCTTGTTGTTCTTGATATTGGCAATTGTCTCAAGCATGAATTTGTATCGAGACCTAGCAAGGCGCAAACGGGTTAAGCGGCTTTCTTTTGGTGACGACTACACAATCTATATCGATGACTTACGACATTGTCTTAGTGTCACGCTTCTCAGTTGCAGATTGAATGGCATTAATAATATCCTTGAGAGAGGTTGGGTCATCAGCACGAAGCTGTGCTCCCGATGCTAAAAAAAGAATGAATAGGCGGTTAATCTATTACACTTATACTTAATAATTTTCAACTTGGAAAAGATCACTTACTTCTCATGATCTTCAAAAGTAATTCGATGTTGATCTCATCCATGTCATCAATCAGAACATTAATAAGATCATACATCAAAATGCACGAAATAACTTGAAAATTGTACAACTCCAAAACAAGGGTCAACAAATTTTTAGCTTCTTTGGAGCCGGGTAAACCAGAATCATCTTCGGCGGCATTGGGATCTTTCGCCGCATCCTTGAGCGTCTTGTGGTTTTTCTCGAATGACTCGATAAGAGTTTGAACGAAATGGGCAGCTGCAAAATGTACATGTTTAAAACTGACTGCATACATGCATAAAAAGCCCCTTTTAAACACTACTCACCAAAATCTACACCAATCAGTCTATACAGACTGCCTACCACTACCGCATATAAAATGACAAAGGAGTCCAACAAGTTCGCTTTCTGAGATATAGAAATTAAAATCAACTCTGTGAGTGTGGACGTAACATCTAAAATGAGAGTGTTCAGTTAGTACTTGTTTTTTTTTTCCACTGACAGCTCATGTTAACTTACCGTGTCGCGGGTAATTTGAGTAGCATTTCTCGATTTCCATTAATATGCTTTCCAGGTTGCTTTCACTCAGCTTGTTCAGCAATCCTTGCAGAGCACGTTGCAATCTGATTTGCTGTTCAGATTTCGTTGTGGCAGTTCCTCGCAGATGTGGCGGTACGTATTTACCCGCGGTTGCAGTCTGCGCTTTTGCACCAGTTTCCTGCTCGCTTTGTGTGTTCTTTGGTATTTCGCTGCGTCCATCAATCGATGTGATCTCAGCAGCATCGCTTTCACCTTCCTCATTCGAATCAGAGGGCTCTTCACCGTCTGGCATTTCCAAGAACTCGTCATCGCTGTCAAACTTGTCATGTTCGTCAGATTCATCATTGACATCGCTATCTTCCAGGTCTTCGTCATCGTCATCCAGTAAGTCGACATCTTCGTCGTCTTCGTCATCGTCGCTTTCATCTTCGCTATTAAATCCGTTCTCTAAATCATCCAGGTACCCATTAACATCTCCGTCTTCGTCGTCAGAATAATCTTCGCTATTTTCATCTTCGTCTTCGCTACCATCATCGCTGTCCTCATTTTCAGCTTTAGTTGCTTTCTTGGAGACTGATATACCGGCGCCTTTTCGAGGTGCTTCATACTGTGGTTCGTCGAGGCCGTCTAAAATATCCATCAGACCATCTTCTTCGAAAGCACTGCCGAGTTTGACAACGCCTTCCTTGGACTTCTTCTTTTTCTTGTCCAAACCCAATTTCTTTTCATACATGGCAATGGCCAGATCGTCCTCTTGTACCGCTGTATCGCTTGTATCTGTGCCCCCAGGGTAACTTGAAATAAGATTGTCTGACTCAATTAAAGAATAGAACAGTGGGTTGGAGGCGGACAGTTTCTTTAATGAATTGGATTCGCCCTCCTTTCTCTTCTTGGAAGGCTTTTTCGTCTCCTCCTTTTGCTCTTCAATTGGGCGCTTCAAATTAGATCCATTTCCGTTGACCGCCTTCTTGTTCACCTGTGAGTTTGCTTGCTTTGGTGCAGTAAATGAATGGTCCGGTCGCATGGCTTTTGGAACAGGCATCTTTTTTATCTTCTTGTCTGCTCTCTTCTGCTTACGCAGGTCCTTTCGTGCTTTCACCTTGTTTTCAAAGTGCTCGCTGAATTTTCGGGTATCTTTTTCTAATTGGAAGAAGAGTTATTTCGAGATCGAAGCTGCATTGTCTTGATGGCAGCACATAGACTTACCGTCAGCCTCCACTTGGGCTTTCAGCTCAAGAGGGAGATTCGTGGTGCTGGTTTTGATTCTTTGGCCATTGCCATCGAATTTTCTGCCACCACGACCACCACGACCGCCGCCTCGCCCACGACCACGGCCGCCGCGACCTCGCATATTACCACCGCGCTGCTGTTGCTGCTTCATTCAGGGATTGCTTTGTCGCTTGCTGAAGAAAAGTTGCTGCTGTGGTAAAAAAGTAATTTCTTTCTCGCAAAAAATTGTGACGGCTAAATCGACTTCATTTGAGCAGTCGCCTCAATGCGACTCTCTCTTGGTACCGCTGTTTCTTTGGCTCAATGGCTGGCGACATTCCAAAGAAAGGCAAGCTAACATTCAAAGGTGATAAGGATCACAAGTTAGTATTACGAAACAAAACCTGTGATGATTGTTGTAAGTCATGAAGAATAACCAATCTTCTTCAGGAGAAAGAAGAAGAGAAAGGCTGATAGCGAAGATCGAGAACATCAAGAGCGATCGTCAGCAGAAGGTAATTTCATCACAATTAAAGTGATATGAAGCAAGTATGTTAACCTTCTAAAACTTTATTGAATTGTAGGCTGGGTATTATGCGATCAGCTAGACGACCTTATAGGACCACTCTTCATAACACATCCATCCGAGCCGCCAATATGCTTTACAGTGAATGATTTGGAACAACTGGTGCCATACCCTATTCCGGACTTATATGAAGAAGGAAGCCCAGCTCCAACCATCACCAATCAAGTTTTTATTGGTGCTCGTGTTGTTGGCTCATCCACCTCGTTCACTTTGAAATCTTCACTTGGCAAATACTTTAGTGCTGACAAATTTGGTGTGGTATCCATTGACCGCGAGGCCGTGAGCATGATCGAAGAATGGAAACCAACCTTTGTAGAAGGCGGTGTAGCATTTCAGAATGCCTATGACAAATTTTTGATGGTGGACGAGATTGCTGGTGGAGGTAAGTAGCACATTTGCTTAGCTCATGTCAAAGTCTCGTTCACTTACATGTTCGTACAGGTTACAAAGTACGTGCAGATGCCGATAGTATAGGGTTCTGCGAGACATTTCGTGTCTATTGCCAAGCAAGGTTTAAGCGTAAAGTGAAGACGTCAAAGAAAGAAGTGGTCGATGCAACCGGAATTGAACTCGATAACATGTACGTATGATCACTGGAAAGAGCTGTACCTCACAAGTTTCATGTTTGACTCTTTATTTTTAATCGTCATCTAATCACCAATATCGTTTTACAGAAAGAAATTCCAATCCTGGGGAGGTAACCGTTCTCGAACTGATCAAGACATGCGAGAAATCAAAAGAGCCAAAAAGGAAGGAAACTTGTCAGAGACATTGTTGGATCGTCGAAGTAAAATGAAGGCGGATCGATATTGCAAATAAGTAGTAGATGTGTAGCTTTGCATTAGGGAAAGACATTAGCGACAAAGTTGCAGACGCTACGATACTTCCTACATGTAATTGGGATATCCATCCCTTGTTTTATTTTTATTCATTGTTTTACCATCAAAATCCGTTTGTTTGTACAGGAAAATTTAAGCTGATCATATCTGTCATGTTTTTTGGTATTTTCTTTGATGATGTGTATTTCTTCTTCACCTTGGGTAAATCATTTGTCAACGCGAACTCATGTAATGCTGCTGCCGTTTGCTCCAACACGTAACCGAACAAATTCTGATCTATGTATTAGCAATGTATTTGATGCAACAGGTGAAAACGACATTGAGACATATATTACCATTTCATTCTTCTCCCTTGTAAAATTACTGAGAACCCAGTTTGGAATCGTTGTTCCTTGTGCCGGTCTCCCTATGCCTAGCCGAAATCTTAAGGTTCATGTCAGCTAAAATGTGACCCAAGATTGAAAGTGAAAATGATCCACAGACGTACCTAACATAATCTGTTGTTTCGAGTTCCCGGCATATACTTTCAATACCTTTATGACCGGTAAGACTTTTAAGAGTTCCTCCTATTTGTATTGAAAGACATCCAGGTAGAGTATTAAGGTCGTCTGCGATGACAATCAGTCGCTGTTTAATATCAGCGCCGGTTATTCCATACTGCTGTAAGATTTTCTTCACAGCTGAGCCGACGTCATTCATCATAGTTAGAGGCTTCACTAATAGCACTCGTAAAGAATTCGTTACATTTTGATTGGAAACCATGAGTGTGGTGTCCAGCACATCGGCCTGCAGGTGTGGTAGTCGTTGGAAAACGGGTGCAGCGGTTGACCCATTAGCAAGTTCTAAGGCATTACTTAAGTAGTCGATGAATATATACCCTGCATTATGTCGCGTTTCCTTATATTCGAGGCCGATATTGCCGAGACCGACAATCACATAATTCACTGGTCTAGCGGTCATGTTGAGTTACGTGCCTTGTCAAACTACTGCGGCGTTTAAGCCTAAATTTTTCATTTTAGACTCTGGTTTGAAAAAAGTCGCTGTTCATGTCAGTCATTCCTTCCACCTAAGGAATTTCATGCCACAATGCCCGGAGAGAGGACACTTCTACCTACCAAGAAAAACATATGTGAAGGTTGGTACCCTGCACTATTATAGTTCAACCGAAATTCGCTTGCTAACTAACACTTTACAGCCTGTAGGAAAGCGAAACGGCGCTGCAGTGGCTCCAACCCTTGTGAACGGTAACACTTGCCTAAGATTGTGGGAGGGTAGAATGAATCACTAACATTTGACCATCAACTTCTAGCTGTTCGGGGCTCGGTATAAATTGCGTTCGAGTTAAGCATTTGCAACCAGAAGATCTAGAGTACATTCGACTTGCCGAGCAAGGAAAGCTTCTTGAAAATGTGGAAGATATGTACCAGCAGATAGAGCAGATGGAATCACAAATTCGAGCTTATAATAGAAACATTGAGCCTGGTACGATAGACTCATGGACGACGCCATCACCGGTTAGCATAGCGAATTTGTCAAGTCCCTCGTTCAGTGTAGATGACGAATCATCCATCAGTTTATCACCGCTGTCGCAAAAGCATGATCCACACATAGACTCCAAGCTGAGTCTTTTTGTACGTGCTGCCAATCAGGCAATACAATTCAGCTTCAAGGACGAATTAGATGAAAAGGCGATCGACCTTGAACGTAAGCCGACGAACGATATACCTGAGTGGACGCTTTCGCTGAAAAGTACAGGCATGACGATCAATACCACCATCAAGACGTTTGCCGACTTAATGCATCATTTACCGCAGCTCGCTTCGGTAGCCATGAATGGATTCGATATACCAATACCCGCTCAAGTTCAGGAAACCTTCTATAAACTCAGTCTCAAGCGAGGACCGTCGCCAGCATTTGCGCTCCGCAGAGCCATGTTTTTAGCGTCTTCGAAAAGCGTGGAAAGAATGAAGACCATCAAGCTTCTGCAAGATGGTGCTGCGGATTGGGTTGATGAAGAAACGGCTAATGAACTGGCAAAAAATCTTATCAAGGCGTATTTTGATTGCCAACACTATAAAGAGATCTTATTTCATCGCAAGACATTTTACGACATGTTTATCGTCGGGAGAGATGACATTTTATGTGGCCCAATTTACGCCTTTTGCGCTGCTATAACAACCATGCGATGCCGTCATGTTGATTTTGTTATCCCACCTTCCGAACAATTCCCGGCGGGAGAGTACTTTTTCACTAAAGCCAGAGAGGCTTTTGAGGACTCTTTTGACGAAATTTCACTGGAAAATTATTTCACTCTGGTGTGGATCGCTAAATACCAAGTTGGTATTCTTAAACCAGCAACATCACTTCATTATATAGCGATGGCAGAGCGACATTGTAAACTTCTTGCCTCTGACGATGACACCGAAGACAAGGATAGAAAGGCACAAGGGGTTTCAGAAATGCTGCGACGACTACAAGTCGCTCGAAGTAGCATTTTAAGCAGCATTCGATTCTTGGAAAACCGGCGCGGTACACCTTTGGCCAATAACTTGCGACCCGTTAATACAAACATCTGCCTGAACGAAAGATCGTACGCACCAAGAGTTACACTCGACGATAACGTTACGGAGAAACGGGCCATACTTCGTGATCGGTTTGCAGCAATGGTTAGTCACTTCTTGATGCGGAGGTTGCCGTAACTTTATGACTGACTTTTCTTCACCTTGCATAGCTACACCATGCACGTACACTAAGCATTAAGCTAAGATGGGCAGAAATCAATGAGGTGTCTCTATCCCTTATCAGCCAGTACGAACAGCGACTCAACGATTGGTACCTGCACACGCTTCCACCAGAACTGCGACTATCGCTCCCTCTTCTAGATGATACCTTATCGTACGACGCTCTACGTAAAAAGCTGAAGAATGACACTTATGCTGACAGGATGGCGATTGATTTAGCGCTTCAGTTCTACAGCTCGTTTGTGTCCTTACACGAAATGCTATTACCAAAATCAGAGTACGACGTTCAAATGCGAGAAAGTTTTTGGCACTGGGATAATCCAGAAGCTCTTTTTGAGCCGCTGTCGACCAGCGATTCGAACTCTGTAGAAGGAACGCCTCCAAATGAGCATGCCATCCGATCTCATCGAGTGTGCACGAAAGCCGCTAACATCATAGTCGATCTATTGAAATATGAAGTTGAAGAGCTTGGCGTATGTCATGTTCATATGCCCGTGTTGATGCTTGCTTGGGATATCCAACTTCGGAACGCACAACTAGGACAATCTATTGCAGATGACCCACATAGGATTTTAAACAAAAGCCACATCGTGCAGGCACGCCAGAAATTGTTAGATTGTATGAACATCTTCCAACATGGCTATCTACTCAACAGTATTGAGGAAGAGGTCCGCCGCTTCTTTTTCAATATTGGTAACCGGACTCGAATAGCCCTCGCTCGAGAGTCCTTGTAATTCCCCTTCTCACCTATTATACGCATTCTCCCCCCACTCAGGCTGTAAATCTATTTTGACCATTGCAATAATATTAATTTGTAAATATCTATCGTAATCGACGTTTTGTCACAAATGACTTGTTCTGCGGAAAAAAAAAACTTTTCCGTGTAGTGATGCGCCTAACTATGCTTCTTTTATATATGAGCAGTTGTAGAAACAAAAACAAAACAGAAAAATCGGAGGGTAATAAAGAGCAAAGACAGCGATAGAAATGAGAGGAAAAAGAAAGGGAAAAAAATATATCGTATGGTATGGTTATAGACTTGGGAATATGTACAAAGAGGTTGGGCATTTTTGATTCATCTAATGACTAAGCAGCCTTATCATTGCGAGCAATCATGCTCTTCAAAAAGCGCTGTAAAACATGTCTCATTTTTTGAGGGGTAGCCTTGGGCGATAACCGCTGAATCTTGTACTTCAAATAACGCGATACCACGTCTTTGGATGTACTAGGGTGATCCCATTGAGCACGTTGTGGTTCCATGCCCGGTCGACTAGGCAACAAAACCGAAGTAGCAGGCCGACTATAGTAGAAAGAAGGAGACATCCATTGAGCATTAGCGCCCTTTTGATACGAAGCCGAGTACCAGGTGGGCGACATGGACATGCTAGGTAAAATGGTATTGATGGAAGGAGGCTGATAGACTTTTGGAGCCTGCGGTGGAGCCTTATTGTAATGTAATAAAGGCAAAGAAGAGAGCGACGGTAGACTGGCGGACGATATGTTGGGTGATCCTACGCTTTCCAGCACCATATTGGGCTGTCTAGGAGAGCTAGGAGCTGTTGATGATTGATCAAATGTCTCTCCACTTATGACCATGCCGGTTGGAATAATATCTAACGTTACATCATCGGTTTCTTGTAACCAAAGTAGCTTGCTCAAGATGTCGGTCACTGCATGAATGGACGATGTCAATAGGGCATTGATCAAGCGTAATAGCGCGATGGGAGTACCTACCATGTATATGTTCCAAAAATGATTTGTTCTTGAGGAGCTTTTTCTCTTTCATGTGTTGTACAATTCTGCTCCAGTATTTTGTCTTGTGCTTCCAGTATGGCCAGCCAAATTGCATAAGCACCATGATGTTACCAGCCTTTTCGTCCCATCGCATGGCGGCATCAATTGAAGCCATGCCACCCTTTGATTCAGCTTCCATATCCAACCCTACTACAAGATGTTTGATGCAACGTGTGACAAAGCCTTGCTGTGTCATCCTCATCATCCCAAACTCCCTGCCCTGGAATTTCTCTATCGCTCGATGACATTCAACTTCGTCTACTTCAAAGTCTTCCTCTGTCAACCCACGCGAAATTGGGAACACGGAAAGTATTATAGCTACTTCCATTGTTGATTGCTATTAAAGAAACGAAAAAAAAAAAAAAAACGGAATAAATTTTTCCATGCCGGTGAGCGATCAATGGCTATGCCATGTGAAAGACTTACGTGTATGGAGCCAACAAGCAAGTAAATGATGCTGATCGTGTACAGGACTCGAAAAGCGAACATGAAAGGAACCTCATGGACGAGGGAATCTTTGTCACTACCAAGTTTCTCCTTTCTTCTTTGAGCCTCTATACGGTCACACAGTTCTTGGTTGAGCTTGAGCGCGGTCGAGAGATTACCCGATTCGTTTGGCTGCGTAGAAGAAAAGCGGGAGCGCAATCGGAGGAGCGGTGAATAGATGGAATAGAGCCAGGTCAGGTCAGATATTCTGAAGTGCAAAAAGTGGGGCTTTCGATAAACTCGGTATAATTACTTACATTCACCAACGCTAGGTCACTCCGCAACAAGAGTACAGCATTGAACTGAACAAATGAAAGTTGGTATAGTTGCATGCCTAGAAACAGTATGTGTGAGCTCTTTTGGACATTTTTTCAATATAAAAATTCGCATCAACTCATCAGAGTACTTACAGTTGTCCCAATCAATGGTGTCAAGATCTGGCGATATCCCCTTGGCCCACTGGGATGTTTCAGAGAGATGTTGGAAACACAAGGAAGCACTATTGAGTATGAACAAAGCGTCATCTACATCCTTCGATAGCGTGGTGGTGTTATCGTTTGTCTCACGATACTTTTTCAATTGTGGCTGGGTGGCTTCAGAGGTGCTGAGCATGGAAAAACTTGTTTGAGCATCATCTTCTTTGGGGTTCCTCACTCTCTTTCCATTACTGTTGGTAACCATGACATCGTCTTGCCCTTCTGAATCGTTATTGAGTTGTGATACCGGTTTAGTGCGAAGCGCACAGATGGGTATCAAGCAAGCCTTCTCTTCGTTTGCATCGTCACTCGAGCATATATGATGGTAATATTCCATACTAAGCTGAAATAATTTGCCCATGACAGCAGCGCTCTCATATTCCATTATTTGAGCAGCCATTGCTTCCTTGGAAATCGCGGGGCCACCCGAAATCAACAAGTTGTCCCTGTTGCCAGTCAACTCCGAAAGAAATTTTTCTATGGGACAGTCTGCCGGTAGGGGAAACCTGAATTGACATTATTTGATTTCTTCGTTAGTCTATCAAGTTTCTTCCATGCTACTCTCTGCTAAAGAAAATGAAAGTACCGGCACAAATTTAACATCTGGGTGGTGAAATAGGAAAGTCCTTGCCAATCCATTTCATTTGCGAAATAGCTTTGACCTGCTCGTAGTAGCTGCAAAAAGTAGTCTCTTCCCATGACGATGGTCAAAGGCCTATCTTCAGTCCGTATTCTTCTAACATGGCCAGAAACCAGCTCTAACTTGTGTTTGAACAATAGCGGCACAACTTCTCGCACTACAAGGAAAAACAATTCATATAAAAATATTGGTCAAAACATGGGATTTTCGGTTGTCGGTCAAATACCTAGAAACGTCCGTGATTGGTTGGTGTTCATGGCGCCCTCCACAGCTAAATCCATGGCACGAATCTGTGAGCATCCCAAAAGCGGTTTTAATATGACAGTCAAAAATGAACCCTCCTTCTTCAAAGCAGCACTTACCAGATACTCTGCCTCCAATCGGCCAAATCTCTTCATGTAGTACACCATCAGGTAACTGGCGTGGTGTGTCTGATCTCTATTGACATAATACTCTAAACCAGATCGTTCATGGTTAATACCTCAGCCTGTCATATCCACCAAGCATCCCCCAACATACCTATGGCATAGTCAAGCACAGATCGCTGATACAGTGGCGGCAAATGACCGAGTAGGGCTGGTGGGTCGACTATTAGTATGGCTAGTCTATGTTTGTACCCTCGTCATCGAGGGTCACAAGGATAGAAACTAAAAGCAGGGCACTGCTGTCCTTACCTAATGCATGTTCGTTCGATGGGCTATCTTCAGATACATTGACGAGTTCCAGCAGGAATCGAAGAAATGGGCGATTTTGCATGTTTTCGGCATGGCTGGATGGATTACGTAAATATGGAGTAGGGTCAGTCTCAGTAAAAGGCTAGCTGGAAATAGGCTGCCTGCCTATCAACAAACACAACAGAAAAGCGATAATTACAGGCTGATGAATAGCGCGACAGCTTGCTCAATTCTATCCAGTTGAATGTATATCTTCAAGCTCCATAGCTAAGGCGATAATCACCAGGTCAGTCAATAGTTCATCCCAAATTCACGGGTCAAGGTTTCGCCCCCCAAAGTACCTGAAGATCGAAGGCGGATTGAAAGGACCTAGGCGCTTGGTGGATACACTCACTGGCGCTTTCCAGACGGTTGCTATTATATTCTCTCTCAATGCGATCCAATAATCGAGCAAATTCGGTGTCTTGTCTGATATCAGACGATTGTCGTACCGATGATTGAATATAATTGTATGGAGATGAAGGACCAGCATATGACGAGAGTTCAATGGAATCTACCCCTTTTGATAATACCGTAGTTGTCTCCATGTCGTCTTCTGGACACTTTGGTTAACGATGGTCGAGATCTCGAGAGACTTTGTCTAGCTAGCAAAGCGTAGCAAGAGAGGAGGAGAGAGAAAAAAATAGTCGAGTGTAACCCAGATTTGGGAGAAAGGAGTTCGGAGACTCTAAGGCCTCCTCGGATCACATAAGCAGATGGGGATTAAAAAAAATTTAATGTCCTCAAGCTTATGGTTTGCTACCAAAAGTTTTTTTACATTTCCTGAACTCAGTGTTCGGTGTAATGAGCGGCCTGAGGATGTTGACCTCATGGAAAAATTTGGTTCTGTCTATAAAGTGGAGAGAGAATGGTTAGGTAAGCCGATGTTGAAAGGTCATACATCAATCGGGAAACCATAAATGCAATGCGTTGTTATCACATCGATTTTTTCTTTTTTAAAATAAAGGAGATAAAAACTTTTTTAGGGTTTACTCAAAAGGCGGGGAGGAATGAGGAAGCGCTTTTTATTATGTACAGGAAGCGGTGCTCTCATATATGCTAGTTAGTCGTCCAATGAACTGACCAAGACCGACTGTTGGGTTATCTGTTTGTGAATCGTCATCCTGAGGGTTACTACTTAAAGTTCCCAAGACATGAACACCTTTCAAAACGAGGCTATGGGTGATGCTTTTCAAGATCCGCATCGTGAGTACCAGGTTAGACTTGGCAATGCTAGATATCTTTTTGTCCGTGGATGCTTGTAAGCGAGACATAACATCCATGGCAATGATCAAATAGTGAGCATCCACTTTACAAGGGCTAAGGCGGAGAAGAGCCTCGTTGCAACGGGCGATAGCGTCACAGCATATGGAAACAATGGCCAAAGCTCGGTCTGAGTTGCTGAAATGAAGTGGTGTGGCAGCCAAGTCGGCATGTCGTGGATCCCGCATCAATCTACATTGAAAAGCCATCCAAAACAAGTGATAGAGATTGTTGAGCATGAGGACTTGGGGAATTTGACATTCGTCGATGCTGCTCTGCGGTACGTATTGAATGGGTGAAGGTCCAAGTTGGAACTGGGGTGGTAAATCTTTCCACCATAAACACAAGAAATGCTCAAGCTTTTCCACGGAGGATTGCGAAACGGTATCAATGGTACCTCTAAAAAGCGCGTACAGAATATTATCGTTGCTATCTTCAAGATGTCGTACACTAAGTTTGATCAGTCTATCCAGCACCACAAAGGCATTTTTGTGATCATCGTCTTGTAAGTCATGATCGTTCATGGTCGGCTCTCCCAAGTCACAGTCGTCAATGACGCTTATATAGTTGCTGGTAGGTTGAAAGATGGTGTGAAGATTGACTTCCATATACCTGATATAGTAGTATAATCGTCGCCAAGACTCGGCGGTCACTTGCATCTCTTCAGTGTAAGCTTGAGGGTTATTTAAAACATCTAAGTAATCGGGTTTGAGGGCAATGGCCATGCGCCAGGCAGTGCCTATTTGCATCCAAGCTTCGCTTCCATTCAAGGTTGTCAAGTTGTATCGAGCTAAATTCATCATCGTCCATATACTTTCCACCGTTGGTTTTTCATCAAACAGAACGTCTTCTAATGCCGACCGAGCTTTTGATGCAAAATGGAGCTCCAGATTTTTCCGCGCATTTGCAGGAATGCCATCAAGCATAACGTGTTGACAGTGATTGACCATCATATATGCGCACATGGCAGGTACCATCATACAATCACTATGCGTTTCGATATGGTGGTAAAACTGTCTTTCGTGAACCAGAGCATAGCTAAGGTTGTCGCACTCGAAATAAGCTCGAAGAATTTTTTGAGTGATGGCGGAATAGTAGGCTTTCTCTAAGATGGGTCGAATAGATTCTAGGTTAAGTGGGGTATGTTGGCGTCTGGATTGCTTGATAAGTTGCGCTACTATTTCTTCGCCATCTAATCTCTTAAGCGTGACTTGTAGCTGGCCCTCTCGTCGGTCACTATAATACATTGGTTGCCGTGGCACGTCACTTGAGATGGAGAAGTATTTGAGAGACTCGGCGGTGAAGACAAGGATGTCTTCTATTGTCTTTATGCTCGTTTGAAACCGCAACCCTTGACGTTCTCGGCTGATGGTAAGATTCCATTCGGAGGAGTTTGGAGACAACGCTTGCATATGTGAGCAAGGAGTGGATTGTGTGCAATTACAGGAAGATGACCTTGGGTAACGGGACATTTCCGTCTCCGATGAGACCAGCGTATTTGATTGACTGGACGTACCCTCAGAAGTTTCGTCGCCGTCTTCGTCTCTTTCTTCAGACTTTATTGATGGAGTATAATTCTTCGCATCAAAGTGGATATCCATGGATTTTAGTTGGTCCTCGAGATTGTCGCACACATCTTCGAGATCCCAGACTTGAGTTAGTAATCGTCGTTTCTTAGACAGACTAATCGACTTTTTTTGCACAACTTTGGGTTTGGTGGTGATAAGGAATATACAAGAGGTGTTATTCTTAATACATCGCTCACATCGATCCCCAGAAAGAACTACGCATTTCCTTCGATGGGCCCGACAATTTTCACCTTAGATTGGCGCAACATTAAAAAATAATTGAGTGAAGGAAAAAAGAGAAAGAAACAAGTGGGAGGGATAGCTTACATGGCTTATTCCTCCGCCTATCCTCCAAGTTCAGGTCATTATCAGGTTGAATGTTGGTCATAGTAGGCAACCCGATAGAGGAGGGTATCAGCGGGACAAATGGATAGACTGAGGTCACCACCACTGGAAAGCCGTCGGCATTGGAAAAACATTCAGGGTTTGTGCTATAAAATTAAAAAAAAAAAAAAAAGGAAAAAAAAATTATGTGGAAGAAAAAAAAATATTTGAAATCTGAATCCAGTATTTGAGTCTTTGGGTTTTTTGGTAGGAGTCAAAAAGTGCCTTCAAATATATAGGAAAAGAGGAAGATGGCTGAAGCAAACAAAATAAACTCACTGAACAGTTGGCAGCAGAACAAAATAAACTTTGTGGGATACAAACCCTTCCTTCCAAGCGGCTCCTCAGTGCCAATGGCGTCGCTCGAATTTTCTTTGGCTTTCTCTGGACTTCTTTTGATGTGCGCCTTTTAACATGACATCATAAATATATAAGGTGAACAATAGGCTATGGTTCTAAAAGTCCCTTGCACATTTTTTTTAAAAAACTGTCTCATTTTTTAATTGCTTTTGCACTTTTTGTTCAAAATGGCATTCAGGTCGACCACGATCTTGGACCTAAATTTGGACATTCTTCGCCAGATCATCAGAATGTGCGACAAGTTCACTTTGGCTTCGCTCGCACAGACATGTCGCCCTTTCGGTAAGTATGCCACATGGACGGTTGTACTTTAAAAATAAATTTACAAAACCCATTCGAAATGAACCTGTTATTAAATATCGTTTACCTTTTGTACTATTTATCTACTGGATCAGCAAGCTTAATTCATAAAACCATATCTTTTGAAAATGCTGCTTGGTACAATGTAAATTTCAACTACGACCATGCTCCACCTGTCTTTAATCCAAGAGGTACGGAACAGGAACTCAATCAGTCGCTTGTCTGGATCGACAAAATTAAAAGAAAAGTCTGTTCATTATTCTAGGTGGCGTGCTCATCGGCCGTAAATTCTATTTACCATTCATGGCCGCCGAACCCAACTGCTTCGAGCTGGATATCAAGAATTGGATATGGAAACGGCATTCGATCAGCATACAAGGCAATGCTGAAATCAAGGCTTTTGTAACCACTGCCGTTGCTATTGGTCCTTTGATTTACATGTTCGGAGGTAGAGAAGTCCAGTCATTCACTCTTTCTAATACTCTGTACGTATTGGATACGCGGAATTTCCAGTTAAAGCTAATTGACGACGCCAGCGGCACGCCACCACGACCTCGACACGAACATAGTGTCGATGTCATTTACGACCGCTACGTTGCCATATTTGGCGGTTTATGCTATCACTCAGTTGGTTAGTGTCTCTGACGATACCCTTGGGGCTATATCCGGTGCTAACTCGACTTCTTTTAGGTGAGAATGATATGTTCCTCTATGATACTGTCCAAAACGAGTGGCTAGAACCTCATGTTATTGGGTAAGCAGGGTTTTCCTATAATCTGATGTCAACAGAACAACCACATTTATATCTATCTCATTTTCAAAACCAAGTCGGACGCCTCATATTCGATTTGGACATGCGTCCACAGTTATCGATAACTGCATATACGTATTTGGAGGATGTCAGATCGAAAATGAATGTAATCGAATTTATGACGATCTCTACAAATTCGACTTTAACAAGTCCACTTGGTACAAATTTGAACATCCGGAAATGTTCGATGCCCGACGCCATGCCTCAAGGCAGCGGTACGGGACAGATGAAGCTATGGACGTAGATCCTGGCTCACCCATTTCCACTAGTCCTTCCATGGACACGGATTATCTCATATCTACCACTGGAAGCTATCCGCGGGATCGGTTCCAATGTGCTATGATCGCTCTAGGTAACAAGTTAGTCATTTTTGGTGGCCACACACTACGACAGGATGACGACGACAATAACGAGCTGTTTGATTACTCCATCAACCAAGTTGACATATTTGACCCGGAATGGAACCATTGGACGAGCCTTGATGCAACTAGTGAAGCTGGTCCTGTCTATCCAGCTGATATGAGTTATGGTCTATACCCTACTGAAATTGCTCCTAATGGTTCAGCCTCGAAGGTGTTCGTTGTTGGGCAGCAAAAGCTCTTCGATACTCCTAACGGTCAAGTGGATTTTTTGTCCAGTGGAAGCAATGTTTCCATACCCGAACAATTGGACACACCATCAGCAGAGTCATATTTCTCAGTTCCAGTCAACCCGCTGAATAATATGCATACATCCGGTACGCTAGCGACTCCGCAAGCGCTAATGAACGTGGATGGGCAAGCTGAACAGCTGCCTATTCTATCAGAGCCTGGGCGACTGGTTCGATCGCCAGGTAATCTCAAACCCGAAGAAAGGTTGGGAGCCCCCCATATACAACAAAAGCTTAATGAAAAAGATCCACATGTGAAAAGAAGCAACCCACCTATTGACATGTCACCCACCAATAAGAATGATAAAATTAACCCAAGTCGGCGTTTGCGACCACAAGACGAGGGAGAGCAGGATACAGAAGTACACCCTCACCAAGATCCACTTTCCAAGCAAGTCAAAGAGATATTTAAGCAAGAAGTTGATTTAGCTCATCAAGATAGCGATCATCTTCAGGGCAATACAGACAAACATCAATTGGAACTACCCAGTGCTGCTGAATCAGTTCCGGCATCCTCATCACTACATATACCGTCTGCATCAGGACGAAGAGACGCTGATGAACACCATAACAGCAGTGACGAACACAGAGCCTCTTCAGGAAGTGGACATAGTCATCGCACAGGCTCAGGTGGACTGGCACTGACAAGTGGTGATTCAACAGCGTCTGACGGCTGGTATGGCAAAGACACTCGAAAATACTCCCTCGAATCATTTTGTATGTTACTATTACTCAATACTTGAATTTATGTGCAATAATTTAGAAGTAAACCCCACCCCCCCCCAATTGTTTAATCATACTCAGCATTACCAGCAATAGTCAATATTTTGGTACATCATCTTGACCCCTTCAATAATGTATTGAAATATAAAGTAAAAGCATTACAAACCTGCGGTTTGTTATATCGGCCAATAGCCAGACACCCTCAAACAAAAAAAGGACAATTTTCCCATCGTTTTGAAAATTCGGTATTATTAAGAGCTCGAAGTACGTTTGCAATGAAATGGAAGGTCAGAAACAGGGGTATCATGTTTAGAAGGATTCAAGTTTGAATCACACTCCTACGTCGTTGTTGTTGTTCACGAATAACTCTTTCGCAGTTTCTTCGCTTGTACACGCTCTGCAACAAGGCTTTACACTCTTGCTCTCCTCCTTCTATTCCTCTTATCACATCGTCTTCACTTAGAAGGAGAGCGCGGCCGGTCACAAAGGCCTTAGCGAAGGGGTATTTCCAGATCATGCGATAATCAACGCCAACAGCAGGTAGAGCATGCTGTAACCGAGACAACCGCGTTTCCATGTCGTGGGTTCGGATATATTCTACGAGGTCACAAAAAGTCTGCTTCTCGTCATTCATAATATACCGTAGTACAGGCTCGGAAGTAGCATCGTACTTGAAGCAGCCTTGTTTCGCCAGTTGACCGGAGAGTAAACTGTAGCGTGCGGCAAAAATTTGGTCCAAGGGAGTTTGCGAAACGCCACCTGCCAGGCCAGCTGCCAGCCAGGAGAGGGACACCTTGAGCCAGTGGAAAGTAGCATATGAGGAGATGATAGTGTGATAAGATTGTGACTGCAAGTATGCAAATGACAGAATGTGATCATGATCGCCCACCAAGTGTGAGCCGGCCTTATCCCAGCTGGGAAGTTCCAAAGCCCTTTCTTGGGCATAATTATACGTTGAATGAAGTCTATAGCGTTCCTTTTCTTTCTCTGAGAGTTGTTCAGGGGGAGTTGTTGGCATGCTACCAGACGTCCATCCATCAAAGTGGATGGTCATGAATTTTGGGTGCACAGGTAAAATCACCCCTGATCGACGAGTAGCCAAGAGCACCGTGGATGGTTGTTCACGGCACTCGAAGGTGATGACTCCATTGGCGGCGTCGAATTGAGTGGCATACATTTTGACTTGTATGTAGCTGCTCTCATTCCCGAATTCAACCGTGTTGACCATGTTTTGATCACGAATATGATGGAACGTCTGTCGTTCGGCTAGGTTCCGCCATCGCCAAGATACGGCTCGTACGGTAAAGAGATCATGCAGGCTGACGTAGGTCAGAACCTTTCCGCAGAGTTCGGTTGGTAAGACATCCCACATAGCGAATTGCTTTTAAAAAAACATAAGACAAAGTGGACAATACGTGAGAAAAATATTAAAAGCGCTGAAATGGAAAAGACGTGATTTTATTTTTTCTGTTTTCCTCCGCGTGATGTTACAGCCTAGAAGGCATGATTTGCGCCTCACCGGACCGTTGAGCGAAAAAAAAAACGTTCCTTTCATGATCGAGAAGCCAGCCAGTGTTTGATGTCTTTTAACTTTTGTTGCTGCTTTGTCTCGGTACATTAACCCCCTGGTAGTGAGTGATAAGAGAAAGTCATGGATCGTCATTATTATTTTTATACCTTTTTGACTAAGTGTCAACATACATGAGTGTAGTTTTTACGTCACAGCTAGATCCTTCCGAAGGAATGTACATAAAGTCGCATTTAGATGGGGTGAATTCCCCAATTACTCAACTTGAATAATGTTTCCTCCTACTGCCGGCTTATTCCACCTTTCCCTTTTGCTGTCGATTATTTTTCTGATAGTAAGTACGCCAAAACAATGGCTGATCCAGCTTCCGCACGAGGGTAACCAGTTCATTTTTTTCTTGTTCCCGTGGAAAATAGGTCTGGATCATTTGTATAGCCAACGTCGTACACCTCAATCCACCAGCTGTAGGGTACATCTTCTTGGTATTGGCCATCGTCTTTTTCTTAGTATGGGTGTTTTTCCGCTTTGCAGTGCGAACGCCAGTTGGATTGAATGAAGAAATTGCCGCTGAGCAGTCAATGGCAGGCGCACCAGGCTATGCTGGCATGGGCCCGTCAGCTGCCGCAGGAATGGGTCCAGCTGGTCTTGGTGGTCCTGGTCCTATGGGTGGCCTTGGTGCAATGGGCGGTCCTGGCCCAATGGGTGGCCCGATGGGTGGCCCGATGGGTGGTCCTATGGGTGGTCCTGGCCCAATGGGTGGAGCAGGTATGGGCCCAATAGGTGGTGCAGGTATGCCTCCACCACAAGCTTACCCGTACTCTGCTGGTGTAGCAGGACCCCATGCTCCCCCTCCTGGATCTGTTGTTGTATAGAATGATTGATTTATATATGTTTAGCCGAGTGTATACTGTATTATTACTGAGAATTACATTTGTAAGATTATCCTATTGATTCTACAAAGCTTGTAAATCAAAATAAAAGATGGATTATACATATCATAAAGAAATATAGTGTAATGTAGGAATGAATGAGAGAGAGACAGGTATTTTCAAATGGAGAATCAAATCTTCTATGACAAATGGCCGGCTTTTGGTTTCCTGGACCTTTGGGTTTGGCTGAAAAAAAGTTACGATTCTTTCTGAAGTTGAGATAGGATGAACTCGTAACGATGAGGCCAGTGATCGCTGATCATGGTTCGACCAAAGATGAGACTGTTAAGCACTTTCTCGACCTTGTCGATTCGATAAAGCTGAAAACATTTTTCATTGACCGGATGGTCGCGTACCCAATATACTGTGCCTGGCGGGTATAATTTCTCAGCTTGCATTTTAGCTTCCAAGCCAGCGCGAAGTGATACCATCCAGTTGACGGTGTTGGAATCTGGATTTAAGGCACGTCTAATAATTGAAGTCGATAATTCGTTTTCTCCGCCGTCTTGGGTCAACCAAGCTACTACTGTTCGTAAATCTCGAATTGAGCCCAGTGACAGTCTCGTAATCACATCGTAAGAGTACACCATACTATAGATAGTAAAATTATAGTGTTAGCATACTGACGAAAAGAACTTTAAAAATGCTCAGATCGTCACCATGACTACAGCCGCCAAGCTTACCTTGTTATCAATTTGCGTGAACGCTCAGAGAGCTGAATATCCATGCAGCATGGTGACGCCAGACAATATGTCTTAACCGGCCGAAACGGTGGTAAACCGGATTGAAGTGTTGTTGTACAGGATTCAGGTGATGCCAGCATCAAAGTCAGGATGGAGGCAATTGCAGCACCCAAGGAATGACCAACCAGAACCAAGCCTAGTGATAAAACACCGAATAAGATTGTGGATGGAAGATACGCGTCAGATGCATCAGGACTATTTTTTTTCTCAATTGGTATATTCGATTTAAGGATGCTTACCATAGCCTTCGTTTTCAACCAATGCTTGTTTAACGGCTGTCATCAGTATTCCTGATCCTCCATGATAGATTGCTTTTGCAGCGCGGTGCATGCCGCTATGGACCCTATATGTTCGAGGCGTCTGGTCTCCGGGTATCACAAAATCATCGTACTCGCATGTCAGATCAACCGCTAGATCATTTAATGAAAATGTGCCTCTGAACGACAAGATGATGGTTTTGGAGTCATGGTCCTTGATTAAATAGTAGGAAGGTGCATAACTCTTTTCAGTCTTCACCGTATCTTCTTGTGGGTTCGGAAATCCAATGACATTATCCAAAGATGTACTGGTATAATGGGCGAATGTGATGAAATTAGGATTTATATGGCTAGTATCGGTAGGAATGGGCGGTAGTGCAAGTCCAAACATCCTCATGAAGGTACGCCCATATGCGCCCATAGAGAACTTGGAGTACCGCTTAAGGTTATGCAGGACATCTTCAATGTTGTTGTCATTGTCTTCAATAAATGGATAGCATGAAGATCCTCTCCGTCTACTTCCATATTGAGCGCCACCGGGAATATTTTGTTCCACATTGTGAGATACTACGTCGGCGGTGGAAAGCATAGGTGCTGAAGGCTCTATAGTACCTTCAAACACGGTACCATGTTCATCTTCTTCTTTGCCCGTGACCATCATGGTTTCTTTGTCTTCTGGCTCTTGCAAAGGAACGGTTGGATCGGATTGAGACTCGTCTTCAGAGCAAAGCGTTTTACTATCTTCGTCATCCAACCATTGAGTGAACATCGCCAGTTCAGTGCAACTTTCCAGCACTTGCCGATTCCAATGCTCGTCTGTGACTTTCTGTATGGCTGCCCAAGCTGTCAATGCCTTGATGGTACCGACAAGTGTAAAATCTGCGAATTTATCGGGAAGGAGGTGACGATCTTCGTCCTTCACCACCCACTCACGCTTCACGAGCTGAACAAATTCTTCCAAGCAGCGGGCGGTGTCAGTGCTTCCGAACAAGGTGTTCAGAGTTTCGATGGAATCTTTTGCCGTCTCCAATGATGTCGTTACTACCGTAGACGCAACATTCATGGACCCAATACTAACCGCTTCGCCGAAGGAAACGCCTGCTGAAGCAGCGGCCAGCAAGGCGCTGATGGGAGCGTTGCTCCAGGAGATGACTTGCGCGGCCTCCTCATCGCCGCTCTGCGGATTAACAAGCCATGACACTGCGTCGAGGGAGCGTTTTGCAATCAAAAAGCCCATTTTTGTGGAAAGTTTGGCTATGTCGAGACCCACTGTGGTTGACACAGATGCTACGTCCAATCCGAACGAGGTTGTGTCAGCTAGATTAAATGTCTTGTTTGATTTTGGAACGACGAATACTTGATTTTCATCGTCGCTTTTCGTGTCATTGTTTTCTGCCATTGGGATTATCCTGGCTTGCTTTTCCCTTGAACAAAGGTTATATATCTTTTTAGGTGTCAAAGCGCATACATGTGACATTTGTAATATCTCAGCTCCAAATTGGGCGAACCGTGGATCGCCGCTCCCAACACTTTTATCCTGAATGTTTGCTTAACTGTACTGTCTACAACGTTACTCATTCATCGAGTATTTGAGCAGACTTTGTCTATAGAATATGGCATGTTTGCTGGTGTAGAGGCAAACTTGACAGGTGCAGGTCTCCAAAGCATCACATGCAAAATCCGAAGAATCATGAATATCAGCCATTTTTGCACTGGTTGTTGGGGACAAATTATACCAACTTTCGCTGTTGCAGTTAAAACCTAATGAAATGCTGGCCAAAAAAAAGCTCAGCGGCTGGGGGCCTTTACTCCTCGCCCGCTACTTAACTCCCCCAATCATTGGAAATTTCATGCCAAGGGACTTCAACGTTTGAGACTGGCACGCAATCCCAAGGTCATGGTAAGTGAGTCAACCTCCCTAAAACATGTTATTTATTTTTATTTTGTCACAGCATAAAGTTGCAAATCCCGCTTACTCCTTCGCTGCAGACCCTCATGCAGCATCGAAATCGGCATTTGTCAATATGCTCAGGCAATTTTTTTTTTTAGTTTCCTTGGCGATGCTGTGACTACGTGTGGCGCTAGGAGGCGATCCCTGGATTGGATTGGTGAACATCAGCCTCGTCTTACAGAGCTTGCCAAGATAACAAACCGAAAGAAAAATAGACACGGTTGTAACCCATTGGTAAATGTTTCAGGGAGATGATGATTCTAAAGTTCAAGTGACCCTGAACAAAACCTTTATTTTGCTTTGAGTAAATGACGATGACGACTATTAAGTAACAGGAGCTGCAATTTCTGGCTTCTGTTTGACGTTTCTACAGTTTCTAAAAAGCCCAATATTAGAAGATTTGTTACCCAACTTTCCTTTTATAGCAATCATGTACCTCACGTCATGATGAAAAACGGGATCCTGTCATATCCAGGTGACGAAAAGCCAAGGCTGGCTTTGGCGAACAGAAAGGTATATAAGGTGCATAAGAGAGCCAGATCAAAATTTCATTATTCAAAACATCTACTCTCACAAACATGGCTCTCACTTTTAGCGATATCTTCAAATTCATAGCTGCTGTCATCCTCCCACCTCTTGGTATGATCCTCACATGAAACTTTACCGCATGGCTGCTTTGTTACTGACCTTCTTTCATGTTCTTTTAATTAGGTGTGTTCCTCGAGCGCGGTTGCACTCAAGATCTTTGCATCAACATCTTGTTGACCTGTCTTGGATGGATTCCTGGTGTCATCCACGCCTTCTATATTATTCTAAAGTATTAGGATTTCCTTTTGACAACCGACCTCCTTCTCTATCACAGAGAATCTGTATCAACTGTATATTCATATCCACATCATACAACATAATGTAAAAAGATACACTCTTTAATATAAACTTTTTTTGTCAATACCATATACACATCATGGGAGGGGATATTAGAGTGGTGGGTGGGCCAGGGAGATTGAATTTTGGTGGCTTATATGCAGAGAGGATGTTTATTCAACAGAAACTTGAGTAGAAAGACCGTCACATACGTTTGTCCATTCCATTCCCTGCAAACACAACCATGCATCGATTCAAGTCACAGGGCATGAGCACCCGCTTGTTCAAGCGTTCACCATGGGTTGCGCCTAAAGACCGAGTACAGACTTGGAATGTTGTCACTGGTGACAAGGTAACGAGTTTTACCGGCCATTCCCAATCGCATTAAACGTCAATCTGACCACTTTTTTTTTTCCAACCAATGAAGGTCGCCATCATTGCCGGAAAGGATAAAGATACCATTGGCGAGATCAAATCGGTCGATAGAAAGAGAAACCTTGTGGTTGTTGATGGAAAGAAATTGGTACGCATTCGAGCCCAAATACGATGAAAATTCGAGTTACCAGCTCACTGTTTTCCCGTTTGTTTCAATAGGCAAAGAAGCATGTTCCAAAGCAGCCATCCGCCCCTGACGGTATCATGAGACAAGAACAAGCAATGCATATATCCAACGTGATGCTCCTAGACCCTGAAACTCAGTACGTGTCCTCCTCACAATTTTATTTTTGCCAAATTGTAGTATGGCTAATGCGCCATTTTTTTCAGACGAGCCACCAAAATCGATAGACGTAGAGTGGAGAAGGACACCAAGGACGGACGTAAGGTCATGAAATGGACACGCTTTGTTCATGGTACCGACGTTGAAATACCAAAGCCTGGAAAGCGATACGATGATGTGAGATCTGGTAAGTGGAAAAAACCCAGCATGTCACCGACCCACCCGGAACTTAGCGGACAGACGATTTATTATTATCATTTTTTTCTTGTTTCACAGACGAGTTCAAGTCAACGTCTGCCAATGAAGCACTCAAAGTCACTTTTGAGCCAAGCTTAGCATCACCACCTCTTCCCTCTGATTTATTAAAAGAACTTGCAAACCCTTATCGTCGTTTCTAGAGAACCCTTCATTCTGTACAAAACACTACATAGAAAATAAAAAGATATAAAAACAAAAAAAGGAAAAATTTTTCGACGGCACTTATCTTTTGGCAAAGCAAGCGGACGGAATCCGGAATATTGGTTGGGCTGGCTCTATTTAGGGCTATTTATTTTGGACTTGGGGGCCAGTGATCCACTTTACTTCAGCTCTTTCCTCCTTTCCTTCATCATGTCAGACAAAGAAGATGAGAAAGCATTCTTGCCACCCCCGGCTGCTCATCGTGCTGAAAAGAACCACCCTTCTTCCTTGATTGCTATCGTTGTTGCATTTTACTTTGTCATCTCGCTCTCGGTAGTGTTCCTGAACAAGTACATTCTCAGCTCATCTAAATATGAATTCCCTTATCCTCTGTTCGTTACTTGGTTCCAACTTGTCGTCGCTCTGGTCGTCATTTTTATCTGGGCCGAACTTGGAAAATCGTAAGTAGCCAGCCAAATGGTGTCAAAAAGAGAGGGATTTTTTTTGTGTGTTTTATTTTTGGGTCTTCGCTACAATATGCCGCCTCGGTGGAAGTCTCGATGTGGCGATGCTTTTGTGCATTCCACATAACCTTATACCAAAACCCTCCCACCTCGTATGCTGTGTTCTCACCGATGCATTTGTTCTTTAGCTACAAGACCTTCAGTATCATCCCTCCTTATGAATTCGACACTGCTCTCGCAAAGAAGATTGCTCCCTTGACCTTTATCTACGTTATGATGTTGGCCTTGAACAACCTTTGCCTCAAGTATGTTGAGGTTACCTTTTACCAGGTTGCCCGATCCCTCTCTATCAACTTCACCATCTTGTTCACCTATCTCATCCTTGGACAAAAGACGTCTCCATCCGCTCTCTTGGCTTGTTTCATTGTGTTCCTTGGCTTTGCCATTGGTTCTTATGGAGAAATCAACTTTTCATGGGCCGGTATTTTCTATGGTGTCGGTTCGTCTGCCTTTGTTGCCTTGTACGGTATCTACGTTAAGAAAACCTTGAGTGTTGTCGACAACAACCAATGGCGATTGCTTCACTACAACACCACTCTTGCTATTCTTATGCTCGGTCCTCTTGTTCTTTTGTCGGGTGAAGTCAACGAAATCTTAGCGAACGTTGATTTCTTGGACAACGTTAACTTCTGGGCCCTTATGACTCTGACCGGTGTGACTGGATTCGGTATCAACATTGCTATGTTCTTGCAAGTCAAGTACACCTCTGCTCTTACAAACACGATATCCGGTACTGCCAAGAGTTGTGTCCAGACTATGCTAGCTGCCATGATCTTCCAGAATACCATTACTGTTTTGGTAAGTGCCAATGAAAACAATTTTTAATTTGGGATGACAGAAGATTAACTCATGAGTTTTTTTGACTTTTCTAGAACGGTGTTGGTATTCTTCTTGCTCTGTTTGGCTCTGGCTACTATTCTTATGTGCGATACAACGAAATGATGAGCAGATAACTGCCCTCCCCCACATTGTTATTCCCCTCCCTCCCCCCGACCAACCCGCCAAGAGGAGTCGACTCTCCGTTTTATCCAATCAACGCGAAACATTATGAACATTGTAAAAGTACAACAGTTTACAAACATCCATCACTTTTTTTTTCTCCCCCTCCCCATTGTTATCGTAGGGTCAAAGCGACATAGAACCTGTTTTTATACTCAAATACACAATATAAGTTGCATTAAAATGTTAAAAGGACAGAAAGATGGATATAGGGCTCTCGAATCATGAAAGGGATGGATGGACCGAGAAGAGTTGCAAAATTATACATGTTGAAAAAACACTTGTTAGATAGATAGATTGATTTGTACTGACTGTACAATTATAACTCTTTGTTTCGCATAGTCTGAACAAAGATGTTATCGACGTAGGATCGCCAAAACTTTTCGCTTTCTTTGCCTTTTCGAGTCAATCGTCGGGCAAGATCAACCCAGCTGTCTCTGCTAAGATCCTTCATACCGAGATCCTTCTCGGTGGTGTACTCGAGCGCGAATTCAAGATAAGGCATGGGACCTTGCTTTGGCTTCTTGGGCTTTTTCTTGTTGTGAACAGGCTTTTTTCTTTTGAAAGCATCTTCGTCAAGCGTATCATCTGGGCTTTGCTCATCATTGGCTGTAAGATCATCTTCATCTCTCTTTTTAAGCTTTACACTTTCTTCTCCGTCTAGTGGAGTTGGAAGCTTTTTTGGTTGATGCTTATTCCAATAAGTGACATTGGAAAAGTATTGTGAATACCCGTGAAGATCTCCAAATGCAGGTGATTCAATGTCGTCAACGTTGTAATGAACAATTCGGAAGGTGGGAAGATATACGGGTAGCACGGGGGGTGAGATGTTGATGACTACCTGTTCGCTGGCATTGGGTTTGACTCCTCGTCTGTATCGACGGTGTAGGTCTTCTAAATATTTAGGAATGTTCTTAAGAACATTCACATCCTCCTCTTTGCTGTTCAAAAAGTCGTCTGAGTCTTCCTCATCATCCTTCTCGTCCAAGAGAACAAAATGATCCATGTTAACATGGCCATACCAATGACCAACAATAATGTCGCTATACTCTTGTGCGATGCGCGTATATTCTCGGAGACAGCTGCTGTAGTAAGCCTTTGGTCGAGGTGGGACGTGACCGGTGATGTGTACCTTAAGCTTCAACTGACGTGCCAATTCCAACTGTGTATCCAGCCAAACCATATGAACTCTGCCGGGATCACCACGCGTATCACAACCATCCACTGCGGCATTGGAATTGTAGAAATAAAGCGTGTTGAGAGCTAGTACGCGAATTTTTCCAGGAATGACGTCTACTGCGAAATATCCGCCTGACTGGAATGTGTGCAACTGATCATATGGTATAAACGGTCTCCATATGTCCAAAAATCGGCGGATGGTAGGATTTGTTGGCCCACCTTCGTAAAAAATGTTATGTGGATAACAGTCATTGTTACCTAAAGAGAAAAATTTTCCCAGTTAGTGACACCACTACGGTAGCCCATTTTCGTCGCCCTCTGCACTTACCAAAGGAAGGAACAATTGGAACGTAATGTTGGTCAGGACCATCAGCCGGATTGAAACCAAAGGTTTTTTCCATGAGGTCCGCCACTCTTTGATTTAGCTGGTAGATCTCCTTGCGAGTTCGAGGTAAGTTGCTATCGGAGTCGTGTCTGGTTAGGTTGCAAAAGTCAGTTCAAGGAGAAATTGGCCAATGGGACTCAAACTACAACAGCACATGTCCAGTGGCAATTGAAAAAGACAATACCTTGCATTATCACCAGTCCAAATTACAAAGTCAATTTTGTCCTTCCATTCTCTACCTATCCAGTCCAGAGTTGCTTCTAACAATCCAAACGGCGCATCACAGTCGGATTGAGATACACCAAGAGGTCCTGCCAATTCCTTGCCCTTGTCCTTCCTCTTCCGAGGTTTGTCATGACATGCCGAGTCTACCAATCCTCCAATGCGATACCAAGCATCAGGCTATATGAAACGCACAAAACAGTTAAGCTCAGCGATCGAGACACTACCAAAGTTGAAAGGTTGGCTTACATGCATGTCGGTTATATGGAGAAAGTTGCCATGTAATTCGAGACCATTAGGTTGTTGGTAAGTGGGCTCTTGTGGTGAAAGAAAAGTTTGTTGTTGTTGTTGGCAGTTTGCTGTTGGAAGCAACAGCAGAGCCATTGACGTGACGGTCGTTAAGCTCAGTATCTTCATATCGGTCTGTTTAAGTGGTGTGGATCTTTTCTACCTTGCTGCTATGGTTCGCAAGGGACCTATATAGGATGAAATAAACAGAAAATATGCAGAGAGTTGGACCTAGTTCAAGGCTGTGGAACTGAAGGAAAGAAAAAAATTGAAGCTGCTGTTCAACCAAAGAAGAACAAGACGTCACATCGGACTTTCATTTTCCTCCAACTGGGACGTACGTTTCAGTTGTACTGGCCTGCTGCTATGTATTAATTGGTTTGAACAGAAAATTACATGAGACAGGATCGATATTTACATGCCAAACATTCAACAAAAGCCTGAGATCAACACACCACGCTGAACAAGGAATTGTCAGGTGAGGTGGCGAGACAACGATGTTTTAGCCAATGAAGTTCTCCAACGGAAAAATAATAATCAGATGAAACGGATGGCTGCGTTCAATTGTGGTGATCACACAGTCGTTACGATGTAAATTCTGGGAAAGAAACTAATCGAACGCGTCAACTGGTACTTTTACTTTATCTCCGCCATTCAATCCTTCCGTCGGGTTGCAAGTCTTCCACTTGTCCTACACTTTGCACTGACATGAACGCTATTATGCTTCATATTGATATATCAGACACCGATTTGTATAAATCACATAACAAGACATTAATGGTACACGACTGGAATTTTAAGGAATAAAAAAGTACAAGGGGTCATCGATCATGGTTGATCATCCGTTCCTGAACCTCACCATAGAGGTTGAAAAGTATTATTCAGAGCATGATGCGCCGAATGGAAAAATCAGTCGGCGGGATGGCACACTGGTTCAAGCAATAGGTTCATACGAACGGCTCTCTGCGGAAGCTCGTCGATAGGCAAGCTCGCCTGCTTGATCAATTTCATGCTGAGGAGGTCGAATGCCTAAACGCTTTCGCATGGCCGGCGAGTACACGATGAATTGAATTACTACAATACAATCGACCGTCAACTGGAAAGCACCGCAGATGATGAATTGCAGCGGTGAGCCTGTGAAAATGAAATAGAAGAACTTGAAGCCATCGCCCAAGAACTGAAGAATAAAATCAATATAAATGGATACGTTGCATCATGGGCTATTATCCAGTGAAGCTTACCCATGTTCCAAGGATTAACCAGCTAAATCCATGTGTGGAACGAGCCTTGAAATTGGCGATACACTGCGGAACTGGGACAGTGGCCTCTATGCTCAGACTAACGGCTCCCAGAATTTCGATAAACACACTGAATGATCCAAAAATAAGATACAGGATGGCTGTGATGGCCGTGAAACCGGCAAGAAAGATAACGAAATCGATATAGCGGTCCCATGCCCAGAAGCGGTTCCACATGCGACCGATGAAATGGCGTTGCGAGGAAGGAGGAAACAAAACGTCGTCAAAATCAGGGTCATCGACTGAAGAAACATCCGACGAGAACGAGTCGCGCCCAACAGTAGAGTACCGTGTGGATGCACTGGGTATGGGACGATGACGGACCACTAATTCAAGCAAGATAAGCTGAGAGATGATCATCAAGATACTCTGGAATAAAAGTGTGATATCGAAACGTTTGCCAAGCCTAGAAGATAATTGGAAGATGTCAAATTTTGCTGTTGTTTGAGCGCCATATCATGCGAGTGATGGCACGCGAGGGCACAAGCTTTACTTACCAAAAGAAAATTCTCAATATGCTGAAGTGACGAATAAATAGTTAGAAAATGGCACTGGATATTTCCGCTTTCATTCACATTGACTTACCTGGATAGGAGAAGTACAGCGCACGTTATAGAATTGAAACCGGCGCTGGATTTAGTTCGTCGGACGATGAGATACTGATAGCATGAAAGGATGGATTAGCATTGCCATGGCTCATGTTGCTTTCTGGGTTGATGTTGTAAGCTACCTGATCAACATAGCCGACCACCGGGCCAACGACCATGGCAGCAGAAAGAGCTACGTCGAAAAAACTTGACATTGCAACAGACAGTCCAAGCGATGACGGCTAATGAGTTTCTACGGAGGAGCAGAAGAAGAAAGTCTGGGCAATGATGGAAATGCCGATATCTACGCTTAAAGTATTTTTTTTTTTTTTTGCAACACAGACAATTTCGAAACCTGCAACCAAAAAATTGTAATGTAGCATGCATGATAAAGGTGTTGGAGAGAAAAAAAAATATATGTATAAATGTATATCGATATTGGTCTTATGGATTGTTGTATAGTAGCACTATCCTCTATGGTAGCTTTTAAATTACAGGCTTTTCTCAAATATGGGTACTACCAAGTTTATCTGCGAGTTCATCAGCCTCAGCTTCTGCCTCTTCATCTTCCTCTTCCTCTTCTTCTTCTTCCTCATCACTGTCGAGTTCTTCCATATCATCGAGTTCATCTAAAGCATCTTCATGCTCCCATTTCGTGAGGGCACTGATAATATTCTGAATGGAGGAGTCTTCGGCTTCAACTCTGTTTCCGTTCAGTTCCAGACCAGTAAGTTGATCAAGATGTTCTTCAATAGCGAGAGCAAGGACGGAAATACCGTCGTTTTGGATTTCATTGTACTGCAAGTTGATCCATTCCAACTTCTTGTTCTTGCCAAGCTTCAAGGACTCGGACACGGCGAGACCGCCCTTTCGAGAAAGTAGACAATCACCGAGATTGAGATGGGTAAGATGCTCCCAGGTAGGCAAAACCTTGGCCAAAGCAACTGATCCCTTGGCAGTGAAGGTATTGTCCTGAAGATCCAAGTGCTTGAGATTCTTGCATTCAGCGAGACCCTTGACAAGGTTACTGATACCATCAGGGCGAATGCCATTTTGAGGCATTCTGACTTCTACCAAAGTTCCATGAGCAGCAAAGGCATCGGCCAAAGCTTGGCTGGAGCCATCTTCCAAACGGTTGCGGCCACACACGATGGTATGCAAAGATGACGTGCGGTTCTCCTCCTTAGCCTTGTTAGCAGATGCCAAAAGAGCCTTGGCAATCATAGTACCTCCACCAATACCAAGACCATTGTTGTTCAAACGAAGGATTTGCAAGGATCGGTTGTTGGTCAAGAAATCAATCAATGGCTCAGCACCAGCGGGGCCGAAGGCATTGTCAGAGAGGTTCAATTCAATCAGACTCTCCTTGTCTTCCAAAGAATCACAAATAGCCTTGAGAGTAGGTGGAATTTCCTCACGAAGTCTACCAGTAAAGATATCTGAAAGGTTGGCAATCTGCAAATGCATCAAAATGGGGTCATTAGAGGCGTGATGTTTATTTTGACTGTGCCAGCCGGTTCCTGATCGTTGGCGGGTGACCAGGGCATGAAGAGAAGGCTGCCTTTACCTTGATGTTCTTTCGTGATTGCAAAGCGCTAGCCAAAGCCTTGCCAGCCTCAACACCAATGGTGTTACCACTCATTCTGATTTCCTGAAGATCGTCCATCTGGAGGATGGTATCGACAAAGGGCTGCACATCTTCAGCAGTGTTCAGCTTTAAACCCTTGCCTTCGATAGAGAAGACAGTATTGTCTTCTAGAGTGTATTCATTGATAGGAGAGACCATGGATTGCAACCTGTGCTTTACAAAACGAATTCGATCAAAAAAGCGATTTGGCGACAAGAATGGCCTGGATCCGCACACATACGCAAAACTTCTGTATCACGTGTATCCTTCAGCTCGGTTTTTTTCTGTTTCCTAGATCTGATTCATGTTACCCACTTTGACGACGTCACACTGTTCCAGCGCAGCTACAAGTTGGATGCCGGCTGGCAAAGTCGAGCAAATTGTTCTTCTACTGGAGGGTAGGCTTGTTTCGAGTGAAGTCCCAGCTGACGGAACAACTGCCAATACCTAAACCAAACTAAAGACGTGAAACGTCTACTTTACGTTACACGTCAATTTTTGGAAACCATCCATTGAGCATTTCTTTCGATTTTCGAAAATTGCTCTTTCTAATTTACAGCAATTAAGGAACATAAAAAAAAATAATAATCGTGGCATCAACCGTCTTTGAATCCATATACTGGAGCTGATGCCACGCAAAGTAAAAGCTTTATCAAAAGTATTGTCTTTCCTCGTCGTCTTCTTTATAGCTCAAGGTGCAGACAGACTTTTTTGTTGGATGGCTATTGTTATGCGCCGCCCAAGATCCACCTCCAGGTCCAAGTCAAAGCATAAAATGGTAAAAAAAAAATTGCATTGTTTTTTTTCTTTCATTCATTGGTTAAAATATCTTAAATGGGTCATAATTAATAGAAGGTAGATGCATAAGAGTTCATGAAAGGAGAATGCGAGTGACTAGGGGTATTCTAATGTTGAAGAAAAAAAAAATCGCTACCGTAGAAACACCAGCTGTTGGGTAATGGGGAACCAAGAGAAAAAAGGGGGAGGGATGCAAATTACAACGCTGATATGGGACATTATCGGTATGGGTGAACAGGAAGAGAGGGGTATGTATCTCGGGGAGTTGACGTGAAAAAGCAGGCTCTATTTACTAACATTAATGAGCAACGCTTCCAGAAGCGCGGCTATGCAGATAAGCTGAGTAGGATGGATGGATGCCAGTCCTTCCATGGGGGGGGGGCTTAGGCAACCAGCACTTCGACCTGTTGTTCAGGACTACGGAAGACATCGTTGATGGAGCGCCTTCGTTTTACCTTGTTAACCTTTTTACGAAAGGAAGTAGAGGCTCGTTTCACCAAGGTATTACAGCCTAATACGCGCGACAATCTACGAGCACTTTTTTCAAAGTGGCCAATAGGAGTAGCTGCAGTAGGGACTTCAGGATCAGATGATCGACGACGTCGATGAGTTCTATCTGCGACGGGTTCTAGCCCATCTCGCGGTAGAACTGGCATAGATTGACGGTATCTGGATTTTAGTACGTGAGCTGGCTCTTCCCTCTGACTATTGGATCTCAGAGGCAAATCCACAGCTGAGTAAACCAGCGGTCGTGGTGGATATTGGCGGATGATAGGCGGTGGCAAGCGAGTGGTGGTAGCTGACTTTTTAGATAATTGGGTCACGGATGCAGTGAGATGCGATATGGAAATGGTAGTATTGGTTGCGATTTTAGATGGTGGTAGAGGGGGCACGGGCGGAGTGGTCAAGTCATCATCGTTCAGTTCAAATATCTCACGAACATGCTGATGTTGCGGTTTTCGGTATGATCGCCAGGAGTTAAATAATGATCTTACTGTCTCCATGGACTTTTTAGGTCGGATATTTTGGGTTAACGTCGTATCCGCTGTTTGAATACCCTCAGGCTGACTTTTACTGAGCCTTTGGCTATAACGAAAAGGTTCTGATCGGGTTGACCCTGGGCCCACCGTCTTAAATAACTGTAACTTTTGCCGTAAGTATGCTGAAGATCGCCGTAACAATTCTCCAGCCGATTTTCTTCGTCTATTTTCGATGATCGTCCTTGTACCATTTGGCTGAGTCGCATTTGAACTCCTAACGTCACCACTTGAATAGCTTCTGTCTCTGGACCGTATAGAGCGCTGGTCTTGCGATGTTGATTCCATCACTGGGCATACAGGAGGTGAAAAGAATCCTGGTGATATGATACTGGATGAATACAGTTGACTCGTTGATTGCTGACTGGATTGAGCACGCTGAAAGGAGGGGAAGATGGGTTTAATAATTATTTTTTTCAATGAGTTACAAAGTCATTTTCCATTAATGGTATCATCCCACGCGCGATTGACTGTGTTCCAATAAAATTTTGGGAGAAGAAGATGTACCTGCGCTCGTAGCATATCAAGTTGTAACTGAGACCGTCTGTTATCGAATTCCCGTATAAGGTCATCTGCAAACGACTCAGCTATGTTGGTGGGCAGCCGTAGCTGTTGTAATCCATTTCCTGACGATGGGTCGACAGCAGACACAGTGTGCTGTTGGACACCTTTCATTCACACTGAAATGATCGAAAGGGAAAGGGGACAACGAGGGAAGAGAAGAAGAGAAAGAAACGAGACGTTGGATAATGTAAGTAGAAAAAGAAAATAAAAAAATTACACGTCTGATCACCAAATCATCCTTGTGCACCCGCCACAGTTCTAAGCGTCAGCATAATAAAGGGAATGGGTATTTTTGGATCTTCCATTTGCAACAAATTACAACTACTTTCAAACTGGGAATATTATTGCACGCTGGGACAATTCCCAACGAAATGAGTGTGCACAATTTAGTTTTGTGTAGCGCGAAAGACTTGAAAAAAACGTGGAAATTCGATGGATTCGCGCATGCTACTCGCTTTGGCTTCTTGGTCCAACTTGCCGGAAGTGGTCAATGAAGAACTTGTGTCAAGGGAACATGAAAGGACATACAACATGTGGTAATGACTGGACGCTATTTTTTGTAAGCCGCTGTCGCCGCTTCTATATTCTATATTCAACATGGGCTAAGGAAAAAAAAATTATGGGTGTGTAGTAAGATAAAAAAAAAAAAGGGGGGGGAAGGGGAAAGAAAGCAATACAACGTGGGGAAGGAATATGCACGTAGGTATTATAAACCAAAAATCAAACAGGCGGCGGCGAAGCCATCCTAGAATCCAAGTCTTTGTATCGTATCAACGTCACGCTGACCTTCAAGCTGATCAATGTTGGCCCACCACTTGAACAGGAAAGTCTCACAAATTAACTTGAACCAAGGTGTCATTTTGATGTTGGGGTCAACAAACATGGCACGAAGTTCCTCAGGGGTAACATATTTAGTATCACGAACTTCGTTGAGATTCATGTCCATATCCACATCAGCTCTGATGAAGAAAATGTAATCGACTGAGAGAAAAAAATACATGGATTGTTAGCCGAATGGATACGGAATGTAACAATTTTAGGGTGACTTACTCTCATGTTCACCCCACATGCCATCACTTGGTGCAAGATAATGAATTCGAGTCAAGAACTCAAAATCATCAAGAGGGACTTGTTCTGGCTTGATACCAAGTTCATGGTCGAGCTTGCGTTGAGCGGCTGTTCGTGCACCTACGTATACAACCCCACGTTAGCAACCATCGCCTGTCATAGTGTTAACCCATTTTGACTTACCCAGTTGAGCCTCTTCAACCAGTTCGGAAGCTGTATTAAGGGGGTGAGAACAGCAGGTATTGGTCCACATATCGGGGAAGGTGATCTTCTCGCTAGCGCGTTGCTGGAGAAGAAGTCTGTTCTGAGAATCGAACAAGAAAACACTGAAGGCGCGGTGGAGCAAACCGGTGTTGATGTTATCCATAAGATGGCCTTTATTTGAAAGAAAATCTCCAAGATTAGACGTCCGCCTCTAGACCAATGCAGAAAAAGATGGATCATCTATACTTACACGTCTTCTTGCTCTCGGCACCAATGCGCTTGTCATCCTTGTCAATGACAATGCACATTTCTTCCATCAGACGGACTTGCTCCTCATCGTAGTTTTGAAGATCGACGGCCATGTTTACAGAGGAGGGGGGTGAGAGTAAGATGAGAAAAGAAAGCAGCCGAATTTTTTTTAACAACTTTTTTCGACGGTCGGCACCTGAAAAGGAAAATCCCGCTAAGCTATTGATTTGATTTAAACCGTGGACAAATCATAGAGAACATAGTGCGCTGTCAACGCTTAGTTTGGTACAAGTCATTATGCTTATAAGGTTCCACTACGCTTCTATCCTAACAATATGTGGCGATCCTTGTGGCGAAAAAGCGTGACAGCTCTCTCTTTGTCACTTGCTGCTCATCACCAAGAACACCACATTACGAATATTTACAACAGTAGTGTATAGGTGAAATTTATGGCTAGTGATTATGCTTTTGTATATGATCTAGCACAATTATGTATGAATGTGTAGTTTCCTACAGCTGCCTTCTCTCTACAGATGTACGAACAATGCCATAAGATGATGCACAGTCAATGAACCACGAGCTGCACTGTGCATCACGACTATCCATTAATGTGCATTTTATTATGTATGGTACAGACAATTTATATAAACAGTATCTCTTTCATGCATCAACATAACCCAAGACCTCCTCTTCAGGTTCAGTTTCTGGTACGGTTGCTTCCAATTCTGCCTCAGCACCGGCGGTACTTGTCTCACCCTTGGCTTCCGTCTCCATTTTTTCTGGCACCAAATTGTTGAAGTCGACGTCCATGTTCTTCATTTCGTTTTCAAATGTTCTTCCCGTGATGCTCATATAGTGCTCCATATCTTGGAAATAAAAATAAGATGGATGAGTTTTCGATTAGATAGAATGGAAACCTTCCCTTGCCACTTACCAACTGGTTTGATCTTTCGAATCAAGTAATCAGTGACCTTTTTAGGAGCGACTCGTTCTTCCCTCACGAATTTGAGTTTGATTTGCCTTCGATTTCGTTCAGGGAATAATCGAGTAATCATTTCGAAATCCGTTCCCCATTGCGCAAGAGCCTAACAAGTCAAAGCAAAAAGTTAAGTACAGGCAGATCGCGCTCATTTCCCCAAAAGAGCAGTACATACATTGTAGAATTTCTCGGTTTCTTCAGCATTCCATCGCTGGCTCTTACTCTTCTTTCCATACGACTGACTGTTGACGACCCTACTCATCGAGGTTTCTTCAACAATCTCCATGGCCTCGGCAGGAATATCAGTAGCCATAGCTGACCGCTTGATGGCTAGCGATTCAGTATCAAGAACCATTTTACCATTGACGAATTGCAGTTGTGGAGCATAGGAGCTTCATACAAAGAATGGGAAATCAGCATTTGATAAGTGGAAAAATCATATCGCCAGTAAATGTTGAACTCACCTCTCTTCCAATGCTGTGTCCTCTAACGGTTTGCTTTCTTCTTCCTTCTGTCTCTTGATATCAGGCATGACCACGTCAGGAACTGTCTGAGATGTACTAGCCGCTGCATTCTGGTGAGGTGTTTCTTCCCGTTTTCGCTTTTTCAAACGAGTTTCTTCAAATTCTTTGAACATCTTTGACACTATTCCCTTCTTATCATCCTTGATGAAATCGCTCATTGGTCGGTCCAAGAAATCATCCACCATAGGATCGCCTTGGAACTCGTCGAGAGTGACAAGCGGTGGTGGTAGAGGTTTTGGTTTTGGTGTACGTAGAATAGGTATTTTTCGTTTCTTTAAAGGTATGATGGGAACTCGCTTTCGCTTAATGGCCATTCTTGGTTTCCGTACCGTCTTAGCCGCCGCTGAAGCACTGGTTGACGCTTCGGCTACGTCAGCTGTAGCGCGTGGTTTGCGTGAAACAGTTCGCTTAGTGGTTACTGTTTTTTTGGTCGTCATTTTCGCCGTTGCTTTTTCAGCACTGGAGGTTTTGGCCTTGGCGGCAGCTGTAAGCTTTTTAGCCGCTGAAGCAGCGACTTTCGCTTTAGTAACTTTGGCTTTGGTCGTTGAACCAGTGGCTTTCGCTTTAGTGGCTTTAGCTTTAGCTTCAAGGCTCGACGTTGCCTCCACTTGAGCAACAGCAGCAGGTTTTTTCCTTGCATTGATAGGCTTCCATCCATCTACAGATTTGACAGCTCTTGACAGTGGGTCAACTTCTTTCTCCTTGCCCTTGGCGTCTCTGGTTTGTATTTCTCTATTGCGAACAATAGGTAAACGAGTACCAGCTCTTACAGCTCTATTCATGGGATCCGGGGTTGCCGTACTTTTCGATACAGATGATAGCATTTCATTTGGTTCGACCGCTTTGCTTTGGCTGACTGCAACCTTTTGCTTTCCTGCAGCCGCTTTCGCTTTCAGTTTCTCTTTCTCCTTGCCTTTGCTCGCCGACGACATTGGAGTGCCTCTGACTGCCGATTCTTTGGTCTGACTAGCTACCTCATCCGCCTTCCGCTTTCCTAAAGTAGCTGCTGCTCTTGCTTTATCAATCTTGCTTCGAACGCTGGGCTTTGCTGCTGACGAGACGGGCGGCGCAGATGCCACGGTTGGTATGGCCGTTGGCGCTGCTTTGTGAACGGCTGGTGCAACCTTTGGAGCGGACGTGGTCTGGACAGTCGGTATAGGGGTAGCGACAATGCTAGGTGGCCCTGCTGATTCTCGTGCTGAGGATGTTGGAGGTATTATAGGGGTGGTATCTGTAGATGATAGAATAAATAACTCGACGTAGTGATTAAATTGTCGCGCAGTGGGCGGGGTCGATTTACTTACTTTGTGGTTTGGTCACCTTGACAGGTAATTTTGCAATTCTTCCACTGCTGAACTGCTCTTTTTCTTTTCCATTATCTGCTGGTTTTTGTGAACTTGTTGGTTTTACTGCTTCACTGGTTTGTTTCGTGGGATCATTTGACGCACGGTTGATTCTGGGTTTGACCTTGGGTGCAAATCGAGTGTTTCCCTTGTCTAGATGGAGAAGGTAAGTATGTAATTTGTTTGATGGGATATTATGTGGGTAATACTTACTAACACTAAGCGACGTTAATGTCGACATGGTGAATGGTTTAAACGGTCTGAGATTTGTCCAAAGCGGTGTAGCAGATTATAAGAAAGAAAAAAAAAAAAATTCCACCCAGAGGCGACAGGCACAAGTCACATGTCTGCTTCAGCAGTAAGTAGAAATTCCTATGGCAAAACCAACATGGTGGTATGCTCTACGGCCATCCATACTACTAATTCTATTTCAGACCTTATTTCTCCTGACACTTGGTATCGAAATCTCATTCATTTGCAGTCGTGCACTTTTGTTTTGAAAAAAACAGTTACCTTGACCACGATGCTCCTGCAAAGTGTCAAGCAAGTCATATATTCACAGAAAACGCTCCAAACGAAAGTAAAAACCAACTAAACAGCAGATTTGTCTATCCACCAAGAAAAGAATGAAATGAACAAAAAGCAAAGATGAATGAGGGGGAATAAAAGGACAATAAATCTGAAATTTACAAGATGATAAGGGAAGGCGTATGCTGTCATGGCGCGCAATACAAAGGTATTTTTAACCACTATGACTTGGTGGAGATCTGATATTTCCCTTCGCAAATCATTGCCAACGGCAGTCTCGTTTTCGATCCATCTGTCCGTTGTATGACAATCTACAGTGAAATACAATGAGCCCAACGCTTGTTTGCTGTAGTAAAAAAAAAAAAATTCGCGTTTGCTCACCTCAGTTTCGTGTGCAACTAGCATCTTGGCCGTGTACCGCCCTGCATTAACATCTACTACCGTGAAATGATCTCCTTTGTTGAATGTATGATTATGATATTGTAATTTGCCTTGTTGGATATATATGGGGTTGCTATTGAGTGGAGGTGATATTACATTGGAGCCGTTCTGGTAATCAACAGGCTTAGCTTCCGCCAGTGTATGCTCGCCGTTATCAGATTTCCCCTGAAGCCGCTCCGATGTGCCTACAACTGCTGTAGGATGTATGCTACCGCTTTGCGTTGCTGTCATGGGCGATCTCACTGAAGATGCGAACGTGGGCTGTTAGTAAATCCCTATAGTTGATCCATCAGTTGAATGTGAAAATCCATTCGCCTTACTTGCTTCGCGTGTCAACTATAAAATGCATATAGGTTAGTCCAAGTGAACCAAAGCATCACCACCAGACCCCATATAGGACGAAAACTTACACCTAAAGCTTCTAAATCCTCTTCAATAAGTTTTTTTGCCGTCTCTAAATCATCATCAATATCCTTTTTTCCAATGCCAAGCACATTAGGCGCTAATGGAAATCCAAGGGCGGATTGCAGATGTCGAAGTTCCAATGCTTCTGCTTTTTGTACCTTTTTGTGGCGTGCAAGGGCCGCTCGATCAGGTACAGTACCAGTCACTATAAAAAGGTGATCATGCTATCAGCCAACAATGAACCATATCCATTTCGCAAAATGTGAAAGAGCCTTACATGGTGATGATTCACCGAGTTTTGCACGCTCTTCGTCCAATTTCCACCGCTTGTCATTCAGGCCATTGATCATGTCTCGTCGTAAGGCGTTTTTCTTATGCTAAAAGAAGGAACAAATAGAAATACGCATTAGTCAAACCATCTTTCTCAATACTAATCACACTTTTTTGCTGAAAGAATTGGGAACATACGATAAAGTGCACATTAGCTTGATATTCGAAGCCTTCATATTGCCGTCGATAATTCAACTGTTGATATCGACACCATGCAGCTGCAGTGTCCATGCGTTTCCGCTTCTTAGATTCTATTTCCTCCATTAATGAGACCAACTCGGGATGCGTTCCTATGTAACCGGTATTGATAAAGTATGCCATGGGACGGTCGATGCCTGATCGTATAACTTACCATCGGTGATTAAAGTCATTTCTTCCTTCAGCTCGGCCATTTTCTCTTGATACATCCTATGATAAGCCAAAGTAACAAGGTTACTACACATGCAATTCCGCTTTTTATAATACAAAAATGTCAAATTTCAAGTCAGGGCTCCTTACGTCTCTCGTAACCGTGCGAATTCTACTTCGATATGAGTCAAGGCCAAGAGTGCTTCCTTATGACTCTGCTGATATTCATGATCATTTGGTTGTGGAGCTATTACCGAATGACGAGAAAAAAAAACAGGCGTTAGGTTCATGGAAGGAATCCTATATGAAAGTAAGAAAACACATATCCTATGTATGGCACACCACTTACGTTGATCTTCACCTTCTTCGTCTTCTGCACCGGTTGCGACTGAGTTCCGGTCTTCTGGTCCAACAGCCGGTGATGCACCCTCCATAGCATGAGACGGTTCATCGTCTCCAGGCTCAGCTGATTTTTCGATATGTTCGTCGTCTATAATGGCTGTACCGTTGGTAATAGTCGAATCTGGATGTAAAGCCTCTTCCTCTTCTTCCTTGATATTGGCTATGGGGTGGGAGGTATCGTCCAGTTCAGCCACGGCTAGGTCATCTTCTTTTTTATCGTCTGGCACAGCGCTGACCTTGGGTCGTTTTCGCTGAGATCGTCCAGATCCTGAGTCACTATCATTACTTGGGGCGTCATTGTCAGGTTTAGAGACTCTTCCGTTCCTTGGTTTCCTTTCTTCCGGAACTTCTGGTGCCTCTTCTTCATCACGCACTATTTTTCGTTTTCGTGTCCGCCGACCAGTCCTTCGACTTCTTGTTCTTCGCCTTGACGGTTGTGGCCTTTGATGTTCATCTTCTTCTTCGTCATCTTCATCTTGTGATAATTTGTCTTCTTCTTCGACCGGCGGTAGCTTTGGTGATTCGTTTTTGTTATTTACAACATCGCTGGGATTATTTTCAGGGTGTGGATCGGATACGGGTGAAGGCGACCGCGATAAAGGAAAATCGTCAGGTACAGAGCTTAGAGTAGAGGGGGAAGAATTACGCAAAGCATGCTCATCGTCGTCGTCTTTTTCATCGGTTGACAGGACTCCGTTCAAGGACAACATCGCGTCATCCTCATCTTCGTCGTCCACCAATCTTTCGGTAGGTGTCAAAGGGGCATCGCCATCGTCGTCATCCGCAGCGTCCGTGGAAATGGGAGAAGAAGGAGTAGAGCCTAATGACAGCTTTGAACTATTTCGACGCCGGCTACTAGCCAATGCGTCGGTCTGTGACCAGTCCATTGCGGAGAAGGCAGTAGGGAGCTGTGCTAAAGTTGAAGTCAGAACCAGCGCGTTGTTGCGAGACTAGTCAGATGTATTAATTGTGCAAAGTCCAATTTTTTTCAGTTTGCAAGAGAACCCGTACAAGTACACACTGAAGCGGCAGTGCAAGAGCGTTGGGGGAAAGTGCACAATGTAGAGAATAAAAAAAAAAATATGGAGGGTCAAAAATGGAGGGCAAGTGAGAAAAAACCGGTGAAACTCTCATTGGCTGAGGATGTCATCACCCATGAGACTGCTTTTTTTGGGCCCGTCGAGCTTTTTTGAACGCAACAGCTGCGAAGACCGAACCAGCTCAACGCTCTTTACCAAGCGTGATCTTAATTTGAGCTTACATGGTTTATGAATTTGGCATAACCTCAATATTTTGAGCGTTGGCCTTCATGCCAGGCGATGACAAGAACTTGTTCGCAAAGAGGTGCTTTGTTGCATCCATGACTTGCGACTGATTGGATAATATATGGAATATGATGATCACTTTCAGGTACTTCCGAGAAATCCTTCGAGAGGACCAACTAGGACCATCGTCGGGTCCTGAAGACAAACCTACAGCACACACAATGCGAGGAGAAAGATCTGATTCCTTTTTTTTTTTGTTTAATACACGGTTCATTAAAGTTGATTTGCTTTGATATATAAAAAAAGAAAACGATGGGTGCTTGATTGAAATCAATTTGAATGCAATAAACGAAATGAAACAAAAACAATGTCACGTAGAGTATGCCTAAATCTATAGTTATTTTTTACCCTTGGTGGTCTTTTGCTTGTAGGCAATGGTTCTTGCTCGGATACGATGTTTCTTAGGCTTGACCACAGTCTTGTCGTCTTTGGTGGCACGAGTACCCTCAAATGCAGAAGCGCTGAGCTGACTATTGACTTGCTTAGAGTTGGTAATCTTGCGAACTTTGCCACCCTTGACGCCCATTGAACCCTTTGCTCCCTTTGCTCCCTTGGCACCCTTTGCGCCTTTCTTGGCGGAGGGTACGCTTGGCTTGCCACCTTCGGCTACTGATACCTTGCAGCGATCCAATCTGAGTTTACGCTTTCCACCGAGCTTTTTATCTTTGAGTTGCAAAGCCAAATCAACAGAGTTACGATCCTATAAGCCAATAATAAAGTCAGAAAATTGGCCATCTATTTAACAAAAAACCCACATGAATACTAACCGAGAATTGGACATAAGCAATGCCCTTGCCAATGTTGGTTTTGGCGTCACGAACGATGCGAACGTTCTCAATATCACCGCATTCTCCGAAGAATTCCCAAAGCTGTTCCTCCTGGGCATCGAAAGGAAGTCCTCCAACAAAGACTGAGCGTTTTCGGTCATGGTTTCTGGGATTGGCTGCGCTATCAACACGAAGATGCTTGTCGTTAAAAACCTGGGCATTCATCTCCAGTGCCTTCTCCATTGATTCCTTGTCGGCATATACTATGTATGCATTCAAGACATCTCTCTCAGGATGAAGCTTTCCAGAAATGAAAGCTGCCTTACGGGGAAGGAGATCAGAGAAAGCCTACCAAAGGGAACATTAGCAAAGTGTCACATACAAAATGTCCTCATCTATGAAATAAACCTCACCACTGATCGAAATCGAATGGATTCAATTTTGCCATACTCCGAAAACGCCTTCTTAAGCTCTTTGTATTCTTCCTTCTGTATCGTAGACACAGCAAGATTACCGACAAACAGTGTTCGTTCGTTCTTCTCTTTCTCTTCGTCTCGTATCTTGAGTAGTCGCTCCTTCTCTTCTTCAACCTTCTTTTGAGGATCTTCCACTTCAACCTTGGCTTTCTTTGCTTGTTGTCCCTTTTTATCTTCTTGTACCTTTCTCTTCTTCAATTCCTGTATGAGATCAATTCAGGGTTACAACTACTGTTGACACCTCATGAGATGAATAGACGGCTCAAACTGACCTTTTTATCTTTCTTTGTTTGCGTTATAATCTCATTAACACTTTTAGCTGTTTTGACTGCTTCACGGGCTCGTTGGGCAGGATCGACCTTGGCGGCTTTTGCTGATGCAACCGGCAATGGTGTGGTTGCTACTTGACTCGGACCAGCACTATTTTTAAACAAATCGTCGACAGTGGTATCTAATTTCTCGGTCTTGGAGCCGAGAAGCGTTTGTGAAAGCAGACCAGGCGTATAAGTTGTAGCCATGTCGAATGTCTGGTAGTGTCGAAGTGGTGTGCCAACTCGCAAAAAAAAAAAAAAATTGGGAATAGTATTGTTGTGACTGATTATCCATACTGGCGTATGATTGGATCTGCTGTCGATAAAAATTATCTATGATTGGTCCAAAAGCACAAAACCTTGCCATGCGATTGGATGTAACCCGTGGAAGGAAGGTTGCTTTAGATTCTGGGCTTGAAAAGAAATTTCCCTTGGTGTAGATCGAGCATGGTAGCGTTTCGATATCACCAAAACATTGAGATCCACCTCGTTACTCCAGTAACATATAAGACTTTTTTGTACTCAAGAGTAACAGCTCCTCCAATATTCTCACGTAATAATCGCTTTGTTCAGTGCACAGCACCTGTTCTCTCTCTTTCCTTGAGGATCGTTAATATCACGTTTACTCACGATTCCATTCAGGAAAGATGTTTTGTTGTCATGGCTTTTGAAGCACTAACATACGTTATACGGTATGGGGCCCTCACTCCCTGACGAGCAGAGAAAGTATCTACATGTTACAAAACTACAGTGCCTCTCTGGTTTGCATGCATAGGCTCGAAACATGAATATTGCAGTAAAATAATTGCTCAATCGAACATAAATCATGGATAGTCACACGTAGGATCATGAGCTCTTTTGAACAGAACTCTCAGTATCCGCTCCCTGAGGTTAAACTCGAACAATACTTCTTCTCCTCAATTGTAATATGAAGACCCACGTCCGTCTATATTAAACTGGAGTAGGCAAAAACTAAACTTAGACGATCCTTGTCTCCTAACCTCTACTGACAGATTTCTTAGTCTACGTGTTTCTCTTCTGACTTTTACGCTCTACTCTATGACTCTCTCTGTTTCTCCAATTCTGTCCCGAAGTATGGTTTTGTTCTCAACGTACTTTATCTTCCTCTACTACAAGACCTTGGTAAATTTTCTGTGTTTATCTCTATTAACGGCTTCTACACAGCATTGAAACAGCTAGTATGCTAAATTCAATAATAAGCATAAGTGAAAAGCTTCCTTCGCTAGAGTTCACTCTAAATTCTACGAGTAACGTAGAAAAAGGATGACCGCTTATGGATCAGTTGATATACACCGATTTTTGTGCAAACTTTCCGTTCCTTACAGAGCTCAGGGATACGCGTCGTACCGAAGATATTCAACCTGTTTTTCACATCGTCCAATGATAGTAAAGAACTTCATAATTTAAGGCGGCGGTCTATTTCGATGTTTCAAAGGCAAGCTCATGCTAAACGGCCGCTTCGGAAATCATCCTCAAGCTACATACATCAACTCACATGATCCATTTCACGATGGCATGCAATAAATAAGTAATATACTGGTTTGACAAATCAATCAATTGAAGTGACATGCTTTTTATATACCGTTCAAACTGCGAATTTCAGTAAAGGTTGAATATTCTTTTCGCTGCTCTCCAAGATTGATATGGAGAGTATGTTGCGCAGAGGTTATCTGAAAGCTCATCAAGTAATGATTTTTTGAGGTATTCAAAAAGCTTTACCTGCTAATTGCAGTTCTTTGAGGTAAATTGCCCATTTACAGCAACTTTAAAAAGATCTTCTTATTCGGTTGTCGGTCGTTTCTATGAAACTGAAGTATGCTCTGCGTTATATCATAGCCCACTCTGTCATCAATAATGTAACCTTGCAGATCAAAGCCGAAATGGTGAGTTTGCCGGAGGGCGTTGACGGATGATGTATGATGACTGCCAGAGATCAGAACTTTTAGGATGGTAACATAAGTCTGTCGTATATAATGATGAGGATAGTGTATATGCATAAATTTGAAAGCAGGTTTTACATATAAACTGCCCGCCAAAATTCTTTTTTTTTTCCTTCCTTGTCTTTGACTCTCGAGTTTTTCTAATTTCGAAGAAATCACAGCGAGCCTACATCATCGCTTTAAAGCGATATTTGCTACAGAAATCGCAGCCTTACCCGCTTTACCGACCTTCTCGCCCTCGTCAACCCCGCAAGCCCTTTCAATGGCGCCCGCGAAAGATGGCTATCGACCTTTTCCCCCTTGACTACGATCCAATGGACGTTGATAATCCAATTGAGCTTGGGGTGCCTCAATGTCCAGTCATGGGCTATGAGTACTGCAGTGATATGGAACTTTTCCCTCCGTCACCAGTGACTCTTCTCAGAGTCCCTTCGCCAGTTCCTTTGCGTAACTGCGTGTCTTCTGCTTCTGCGCTCAGCTGCATACATGCGGCTGCTGTGCGTGGTCGCTTTTCTTCCAGCCCTTCCCGTGGCCACCGCTCTTCTGCTGCATTTTTCGCTTCGTCGGCTCCGTCCTCTCCTTTTCGTTTGGCTGCCGCTAATGACGGTGCTGACCAGCAGCACCGTTGTCCTGCAATCCCATTGTCGCGGGATAACTCTTCTCTCATGCCTTCTCGCCGTGAGACCATGTCCCCACTAGTGCTAGAGGCCACGCATAACCCAGTAAATGGCTCCACTGCCGAGCTTGCCGGTAGCGTTGAAAAGTACTGCAAATCAATCTTGACACAAAGACAGATACCTTTCACTATCTTCTTTGCCTTGGTAAGCTTGTTTCTCAATTCGAAATTGAAATAGAAATAAGCTGCTAATATGAAAGCACTTATAGGGGAAACACATAAAGCTAGATTCAATCTATAACCGCCATATGTGCCTTTGGCTATTTACTTATTCTTTACAATGTGCGTTTTATAATACATAGCCATAATAAAGTTACAAACATCAGGAGCTTCCTAAGAATAGCATGAGTTAAGTTTAAAAAAACAAATTGTTATACATAGGTTTACAAGAGAAAATCACTTTTACAGGAGGGAGCATTTGTGTGAAATTCCTTGTGTAGATGTGAGGATGCAGATATAGATTCAGTAGGAACAGCGGTGGAGGAAGAAGAAGAGGAGAAAGTTGGTACTTTAGTGTGTACCGTTAGTAAGATACTCATCAATACCGTATATCGTGATGACACCTGTTTCAAAATACCTTGTGCAGATGTGGAGGCAGTAGGAACTGCGGAGGAAGAGGAAGAATAGACTGGTGCTACGGTGTGTACCCTTAGTAATGGATGAAAGGACAAAAAGCAATGGTATCGTCCTTGAAGGTACCTTGAAACGTTGCTAAAGCAGACGTTATTGCGGTTTCAGTAGAAGTTGTCAGTAGTCCTGTTGAACAAGATTTTAGTTGGAGAAGAAACGTCAATGACTTTAATTGAATTAAAATTTGTATCGTACCATCAAACTGACGTGTTTGCCTTTAGTTGACATGTGGGATAGACCTGACGACAGAAGCTTTAGCAATAAAACTAATTCAGCAAGTCTCATACAGCCTGAAGCTTGGTCGGTTTGAACGATGTAAATTCTTACCTTCATCACTTGCTTTTTACTTTTTTTTCTTCGAGGTTTCTTCACCCGGAGAGGGTGACCTCTTCAGGCGTTGGAGATAGAGACATAAACAGTGTATGCCGTGAAGAGAGTCTTTAGAAGTGGAGATACAGAGGACTCTGTATTCCGTAGAGAGACATTAATTTGGTGGGCATGATGCATGGCTAAATTCTACTGTTTAAAATACTAAATGAGAAGTTGTAGTGAAAGAATAAGTTACTAGACCAGCTAGCTTACTGAATAAAATTAAATTGAATAAAGTAATACGAATGGTACATAAACCTCATTTTTAGCTCCCACTTGATTTATCTATGGCCAGCACCTCCTCTCCTCTTGGGACGGCACAAGGTGACCCATGATGGACGTGATTTGTCAGGGCAGACAAATTTCCGTATCATGGCACGTATCTTCATTATCCATTGTTTTAGCATTGAGACCACTCATTATAAACGCCATAACTTGATAACAAGGGAATCGTAAAGGAGTCTTCACTCTATACACGATCGAAGAAGACATGTAAGTTTTTGGCGAACGAGATGGACAGTTATGTTGAATGCTATTCTTTCAGTTACGAAGAATATAGCGATTGAGATATGAAGTTTAGACTTTGCAAAGATCAAAAGTAAGAGGTAAAATAAGAGTATAGTTGTAAAGGAGAAAGCAATCCTACTAGGCGATTGCTACAAAACGCGATTCAATGTTTTTCTCTACGATACCCGTCATTCCAACCGTATCCGCTTGGTCATGTTCACGAATGCTCCTGTTCAGAGAGCTTGTTCTACAAAGCCTGCAATCAATATGGCCATACGAGATCTTCCAGCAAGGCGTGCCCTTTGTACAAACCACCACATAGCAAAGCTCCACCACCAATGAGGCCACTTCCAGGTGTGCCCATAGCAAAAAGCGTAATACCAGATGGTGCACCTGGGGACGAGCCTCCAGCCCCACCAGAGGATACTCCACCAGGGGATGACCATATACGTGATAAATGGATGAAGAACACAAAGTGTACAAATGTGGTTTCAGAAAAATTCTAAACACTCCACCGCTGGAGAAAACGCGGTTGTTGTCACTCATGTCACAAAAACATGTTACCAATCTCGAGGCTAATTCAACTGCATGTTCAGAAAAACGTTGAGAGAAATTCGACTTTACTGAGATCAACCAAACACTCATCCGCTGTCTTTTCTTGATTGTCCAAAATGGATCTCCCACTGGTCAAGACCACCATTACGTGCCGGATGAGCTCATGACAACATACAATACTTTGTTTCGCTGGGTGATAGGCTCTTACGCTATCGCCAGCCCTCAACCAGCACCACAGGTCATTACATATCTCGCTTAGAACTATCTGACAAATTTAAAATATGCATGTCGCCACCCACTGCGAACCTATGAATAAACTTTGGGTAAAGACAGTCAACAACGGTGGCCACAACCTACGAATATCCATGAGGTGCGCCAATTCATAGGAGTAGCTGACTACTACCACCAGTTCATAAAGGATTTCGCCAGCATAGCGGCACCGCTTACCGATTTGACCAGGGGCCAAGGCACAAAGATGAGATCGGTCATTTGGGACGACGGTTGTGAAGCAGCATTCCGAACCCTGAAGCAGAAGCTAATAAGCGCTCCAGTTTTACTTACACCAAATCCGAACCAGCCGTGGCGAATAGAGACGGACGCATCAGATTTCGGAATAGGTGTGGTCCTATCCCAAACTGACTCCTAAAATCGTTGGCAACCAGTGGCTTTCGAGTCCAAGAAGTTGTCGTCAGCCGAAAGGAACTATCCGGCACAGGAGCGTGAGTTGTTGGCGATCTTGCATGCTTTGGTGGCCCAACATGCGCAAGGACATTGAACAATGGTCGAAGCATTGTTTACCTTGCCAAATGGCAGCTGGTCGGGACCGTGCCACGCACAAGGCTCCCATGGTTCCGTTAGACGTACCTCCTGCCTCCAACGTATCAACTCCCAACCAGACACGCCGCTGGAACAACACCAGCAACAGTCAAGCTCGTTCAGTCACAAACCCGCGACCTTTCCGCAGCAGCTCGAGCAACAATCACAACAGCAATCCAAACAACAACCGACATCAGGCGGTCGCCTTGAACGCTTCTTCCTCGCTTGGGCTCGATTGACCGACAGCAAATGGATTCACTCGGTCATCCGCGACGGCTTCAGAATTCATTTCCAAAGCCGTCCCCCATTATCCCGTACACCCATACCTACTGTCCCATACAACGTCGAACAACGCCGCCTATTACGACAAGTGATCGCCGACTTACTCCACAAACGTGCCATAGAACCAGTCCAGGGGTCGGAATATCCCAGCTTCTTCAGCCGAATGTTCCTCTTTCCCAAGAAGAGTGGAGGTTTCCGCTCCGTCTTCAACCTGCGATCTTTGAACCAATTTGTCGAGTGCCCACATTTCAAGATGGAAAATATCCAACAAGTAATCAAACTGATCAATCGGGACGACTTTTTCACCTCAGTGGATCTTTCCGATGCGTTTCTACACATCCTGATACACAAACAGTTTCGGAAGTACCCTCGTTTCCGCTGGGAAGGACACACCTTTCAATTTCGGACCACCCCCTTTGGTCTCTCCGTCGTTCCCTGGCTATTCACTCGTCTCACCAAACCGATTCTTCAATAGGCACGACAACAGGGCATACGGATATCCGCTTACCTGGACGATTGGATTCTGGTCGCCGAATCTCAGGAATTAGCTCAGTCCCAAACCTGAGCGCTAGTGATCCAACTGAGGAATCTTGGATGGATCATCAATACACCCTATTTTACCTGTCCGATCCTGCCAAATGTCTTCCAAGACAGATAGCAGTACCTCGGACTCGAGCTATGCCGGTTCTGATGGGTCGTATGTCCCGTCAGACGGTAATGGCAACGGAGGACGCAGAGTCCCCGCAAAAATATCAAAAACGCAAAAAAAAATTACCGCTCTTCTTGCTTCCCAGGAAGCTCTCACTCAGTACCTTATTGAAAACGACCGCATCAGCCTCTCGGACGACGAGTTTCAGCCTTCACTCAAGTACATTCCCGTCACCGTTGGTCCTATCACAAAACAACGTAAACTGCTCAGCCTGGCCAAACAAAGACAACGTCGAGAAGCTAATCGCTTAGCTGCTCAACCTGTCACTGTCACTTCTACTAACTATCCAATCTCCCATCGCTCACCTATGCGCGAACCCTTCATCACCAGGTCACCCACCCTCTCCTACACGATGGTTTTATTTCGAGAATCGACTCAGGAACGTTCATAATGCCACCGTCTTGATAATTGGGGAGTTTAACACCAGCCAGGTGTGCTCCCAATGTCACGCTCCTATCAAGATGTGTGGTGTGGCAACCCAGCAAGAAGCTGCCATCGTTGGAGTCCACCATTTTGTACGCAGATGTACCAATAATATTTGTCGTATAATCTGGAACCGAGATGTCAACGCTACGAGGAACATGGCTTTTTTGGGTATCAATTGGTCTACCAAGTGGATCGCCCAGATCCTCCTTTCAATGCTTCCGTTCCCCATCCACCAAGTGTGCATGTCAATAACGTCATGCAAGCGGCCACGCTCGCGTAGGATAGAAAACTATAACTAGATTTCTTTTTTTTTTTATGTCCTCTAATCAAAGACTTCGTCAAATGGCACAGAAGAGTAGCTAAGCATATTGCCTTTGATGGACTCTCAATCTGTTTCGTTAAAAAATACGATGAAAATAAAAGACGATATTGTCTATCGCATTACCATTTATAAAAATTCCACAGTATGCGGGGGCTGCAGGGTGAAGCCCATCCTGAAGCTCGATCACTTTGATGACGTCGACGCTGCGCACAAGGTAGGCGGTACCAAATTACCGAAAGTTAGGCATCCATGTATTTGATATATGAACTGCAGGTACTTATTGGCCAGACAATCAAAAAGGCTGGGAGCACTTCAATTAATATTTATGACTCTTGGAAAAACAAGCCGAGAGAACAAATCATCGGTCGGGATGGAAGGGGTCAGCGTAGCAAAAGTGGTTGAAATGGGTAAAATGGAGGGTGGGCAAATACCACTTTTGAAGCAGCCCAAAAAAAAGTCCTCAGCTTAAGCGCTTAGGTGAGTATTTTTCTCTCTTTTCCTTTCTCTCTCTTTCTCTCACTCTTTCCTCTCCTCCTAGCCTTCAAAGCGTTTTTTTAACCCTCCTTTCATTCACCTAAAATCTACTTTGAAGGCTGACAATCTCCTGCACATCACCACGCTGTTACTCAGAAAATAACAGCGCTTCCCCCCTTCCCATCCTTCAGCCAAATTTCATCCGGCCCTTACTCAAACAGGACAATCCTTAACCTCCTTATTCATCTTTTTCCTTTCCTTTCGTCCCCTCCTTTTCTACTGTTGCCCTTCTCATGATCAACCTTGACCCTGAGAGTGTCTCAATTCTTCGCAGCGTGAGTGTCACTTTTGGATCGATGCTACCCCCTTCCTGATGATGCGTTACCTTATCTAACACTTTTTTTTTCCTTTTTATATTCTCTCTGCGTATCACTTTGCTCTTTGCTTTTCTTCGCCCTTTTGTTTTTTTCTCTTTATATATAATTTTCACTTTTGACGAAACGTGTTTCTGTCATAGCCAATGTTGTCTGGAACAAACTTAAGAAAACAGTCGTCTCTTGGAAATATCCAATCTAGCCAGCATGGCCGACAAAGTATGCGGCAGTCAAAAAGCGAACCGTCCACCACATCCCAGCTCTCCGGAGTAGATGCCAAGGCACAGCGTCGATGCACTACTGGATCATTAAAACACACAGCTTCACTTTCTAGAAGCACGAATTCTTCCGGATCTCATCTCAAACAGGTTAATATCTTTATCAGCTGATTGCTTTCCGTGATCATCTTGTTTTTCTTTTACCCCAAGTGTTGCGAATTGTTTGTCCCTAACCAATATGATGTTTTCTAGGAAATCTGGAGACCACCAGGTAACTGCGAAATTCCGGATATTCTTGGTAAAGCTTTCTTGAAGCCTGCCTTGATGCCATCGGAATTGGCCACTACATTGAGAGCGTACAATCCAAGCAAAAATGTATCAAAGGTATAGATAAAAAGAATTTCAAACAGGCGTATTCATGCTGACAAGGCCATTATACTTAAAACCCCCCCCCCATTGTTTGTCTCTCATCTGACCCTATAGCGTCCATGGTACCCTCCTAGCGCTCATGCCACCATTCCAACCCTGGAACCTGTGGTTCGTAAAAATGATTTCGAAGCAAGAATTCGAAAGGCATTACCCAAATTTGCCGTAGCATCAACCGACCCACGTTCATTGTATCAAGGTTTCAGCGAAATTGGAACTGGTGTCAATGGATCCGTTGTACGAGCCACACATCGCAAGCGAAATAATCTGCAACTGGCCATCAAGCGCTGTCGTCTGGACCCTGATCGAGAATACCGTGCAGCCATCTTACGTGAACTTCGCATTATGGCTACTGGACATCAAAATTTGATTCGTCTTCGCGAAGTATCTGTGTGGAAGAACGATGTCTGGATGGCTATGGATCTTATGCGTTGCTCAGTATTTTCCGTACTTTGCCAACGAGGCATACCAGAAGCCTATGTTGTCTATATCACAACTGAAACCCTCAAAGCACTTGCTTTCCTTCACGACAAGGGATTCCTTCATCGTGATGTCAAATGTGAAAACTTGCTACTGGGCTGGAATGGCGAAGTAAAGCTGGCTGACTTTGGTCTTTCCGCCCGTACCAATAAGCGACATCGGGATCGTCTTGGCACAAGCAAATGGATGGCCCCTGAGGTGATTCGTGAGCAATATTATAACGAGAGAATTGACATGTGGTCACTTGGTATCACCATCATTGAAATGATGGATCGAGTTCCTCCTCATTATCTGATCAAGGATGAAGAAGAACTCTTCGATGTTGTTCTTAGTGAACCCTCTCCTACATTCACCTACAGCTATCCCACCATGTACATGCGCGGGTTGGTTGCTTGGCTTCTTGAAGAAGACCCACGAACCAGACCCTCTGCAAGAGATGTTCTCTATGTAAGTTGTTCACAACAGGTTTCGTTGCCTCCCCACTCCTTCTCCTAACTGACATCTCCCCTCTACCCCCCACACAGGAAATCGATGCACATGTCCAAAGTGAATTGCTCCAACGTGCTTCAGCACATCACTTGTCACAATTTTTGTACCAAGTCTTGCCTCAATACTAAACTCAACTCATAAAACCACCCACTGAGTGATCCAAGACATCTCTATATGGCTCCCAATTATTTTTTTTTTCTTATTTTATTTCCCCTTCATGCAGAATTCATACAGAAAAGTAATATTTAAAATAGCATATTTTTTTCTTCTCTACATCTGAGTGTGATGTTGGGCTCCAAGGCTCTTGATTCAACCGTTTACGGCGGTATCATTTCCCTTTTTCTCCTCTTCCACATCTACCTCCCTCTCCCCTTCCCTTCTCATCTCTATGGTAACTTTTCTAAGCATTACTAAGTCATCCTCATGGTCTTTTTGACCTTCAACAATAAATCCCCCCACAAGTTCTAGAAAAACTCCTGGTTTAGTTGAGCATAGGTATAACAAAATTTTAATGTGTGTTAATTGGATCTTAGTAACTTAAAGGAACGGATAGGGGGTTTTTGCAGTAGGTTTAAAGTTGGAAGACTAGTAATGTGTATCTAATGGGTATCTACGTTCAATCTATGGATATTCTATGTTATGAGAGCTAAGTTACAGGTCAAGGTGTAATAATATATAAAAAAAAAAAAAAAAATTGGGGGGCGGCGTAATTATGAGAAATATTGGTTCTATGCGGTTGTAGGTTTAGTTGCGATCCAACAGGTGAAACGAGAAAACCCATGATATTCTTCAAACTCCTCCATGACTTCCTGGGATGCCAAGTCATAATCCTCACCAGAGATACCCCAGTGTGAAATATAGAATGCTTTCATGTTCTTGAGTAGAGCGCGCTGAACCTCCTTATTAATGAATCCAAATTGCTTGAGTTCAGGGTCAGAAGGCCACTCTCCCACTGGCAAGTCGAGCAGACGCGTAGTAAGTTCGGTAAATCCGGCCTTTTCAATTCTTTCTGGCATAGCTTCAGCCAAAGCGAAGTCAACCCCGCCATCATCACATTGCGTCTTAAGGAAACTATCAAATGCTTGTTGAACAGGACCAGGATTATGGTGATACAGGTCTAAGTTGTAATGAAATGAAATGAATTAATGATTACACCCATACAAAAAATAATTCGAGAAATGATGGGCACCCCCACGCGTACCTGGTTCAAAAAGTTCGATAAATCCTCCTGGTTTCAAGGTACGATACATTTCGCTAAATATACACTCCCACTTGTCGGTATTGATGAGTTGACCCATATTTCTTTGGAAGATACTGCAAGAGGAGGTTAACAATTTGAGTTCAGACACCCAGTGTTGGATAAATAGGACCGAAAAACTTACTAATCAATGGAGTTGTCTGGAATGCCCTGCCATGGTTCAGTAATGTCCATGACTCTGCACTCCAAATTCTTGGGAGAGTAGTGAAGTGTTTGCGGTGCTTTCATATCAACGGCAAGCACGCGTGCAGAAGGGTACTGAGCCGCCATTTCCAAACTCCATATTCCACCTCCACAGCCTAGGTCTAAGATTGTAAAGTCACCTTCGACTTGAATGGGAGCCGAAAAATTTCCTTTGCGAGCACTCTTGAGCAAATAATGCTACGATCACGAATATATAAGTTTTTTTGGGAAAACAACCATCTCATTCATGCAATAAAAATAAAAAACTCACCAAACGCTGCAATCTATCATTTTCTTTATATTCGTCCTGCGAAATGGTGGTTTTCAAGCTTTGTTTTCTCTTTGCAAAAAAGTCGCTGACAGACCGTCGACGTTGCTGGGAACCTGTGCTGGAAACGGTGGGTGCATTGGACGTCGACACCGATGAAGACATGGAAGGAGGTGCAGATGTCTCAAGCCAATCGTAATTTGCGCGCGTTGGACTGGCTGGCGTGAAGTGGAGAGATGCCTGCGATTGGGTGCTCACTGAGATGGTTGAACGTCTTCGAACTTTTCTCTTCTCCTTCTTTTCCTTTGTTTTTTCAATGACTTTGCTTGCTTGATTGCCCATGATGTTTACAACAAAGAAAGAAAGTGTAATTAGAAAAATATAGAAAATAAAAAAAATAAAAACCTAAAGTGATTGCGCAGCTGCACAAGAACTAAATGCGGCATTGATAAAATAATCCAAGAGGGCTGGCTTCCATTTTGGAGCCGTTTGATTTGTTCCTCCAATAATGCACTTTATCACTCCGAATCCACGTTGTTCTCCGTGTCGTACTTGTACTCGTCATCCCAGTCTTAAGGAACTGTTCTGTTCATTCCACCTCTTCATGGATCATCTTAGGATGAACACCCCCCACTGATTTTACCAAGCTGTATAGAAATCCTCAAAAGATAGGCTCTATAATGAATTGGTCATCATTTTTAGAATGACCGATCAAATTATCTGGCTTGTAAAAAATGGGTTTTTTTTTTCTGTAACAGCCTTATTTCCACCAATTTGAATTACAGTCTTTCTATAAGCATGACAAAAAGGTGGGTGGCTGCCGGGATTCCGTCCTTGAACGGACTCCGTCTATAATTCTCGCTGGCTAGATTCTAACAATGAGCTGAGAATGCTCGCGTGGCACTGCACTGAAGCATCGCGATATAAAAATAAAAAAAAATAAAAAATGCTACAAGCATAACTCCATTACACTTCACCATGGAGAGAGAATGGAAACACAGGGCTGTGTAAAAAAATCCGTTATCATCATCAATTACTCTGTACAATCAAGATGACGTTACTCATACACAGTTCTCCCAGAGGGCGGGCGGACGTGCGGGACAAGTCCTGCATTATGATGTGGTAAGCGTATACGATGAGTAATTACGTGACGTCAAGGGTACTTCGGAAAAAGTTGAACTTCTTTATGTCCACGCTTAATTTCACGTCTTGGAAAATAAAGCTGCAACTGTTCGTAGATGGAATCGGAAGCTTTTTGGTCATGAACAAGAAGGTGAAGGAAGTCTTTTTTTAGAAATGAACGGAAGATGAGCGCCGAAACAACCAGGACATTGATACATGCTACCTTGCATAACAGCCCACATCTTGTGCTTCTTTTGGCGTCGAATCTGAATGTTCTATCGCCCTGGTGTATACACGTTTTGAACGCTCACATCAACTATTAGCTCACTCTATCGTTAAAACGGACCAAACCAATTGCTTACTCCAGATGACCCAGCAATTGGGATCGAGGTCCGACGGAATTTCCGGCGTTCTGTGTGCGCAAATCTGGGTGAACTTACGTCAAAGTGAACTTTTTATGTCTATGTGAAGAACGGCGGGCGGAGATGAGGAGTATGAAACACAGCGTACCTTTTTACATGAAGTTTGCCGAAAACTGATTTGGCGAATGGTTGCCAACTTCGACATCCTACCCTTCCGTGCAAGTTGATATTAAATACGACGAATTGAAGGTTTCACAATAAACCATGTTTCCGTTTTCAATACCAGTCATTCTACCCACTTGAACGGCACTCGGAAGACTTTTAGCTATACATTTTTTTTATACTTCTTTGGAACTACGATGTATACAATAACTAATTTTTAAAAGGCTGGCTGGGTGCTAAAAAAAAAAAAAGTTGTGGTTCAAATCAGCGTTGAACAATTGCTTGCTCTGCAGAATGGAGCCATGTGAGCGTGTGTGTTATAATAAGAGAAATATTTTAAGGTACAGCCACAAGGTTACGACGAAAGCATTTCAGAGTGATGGATTTTCGTTGTGAGACATTGCCGGAAAACATCTTACTTTGCTTCCATCTGCAGGGTCTTGGTCACAGATTTTGAGTCTCCGTGACACGATCTTGTGAGCGCCAGCTCGAAGCATTTGATGTGGCCAATATTAGGTAATAGGTCCGCCAACTCGCTTATAAGTTGCTCGTGTCGTTCATTACTTTCAGGATGAACGCTCGCTTCAAAAAACAGTGGTCGCCGAATGTGTACGCTCTCCAAGTGCTTGAAACCAGCAAGCGCTCGACCAAGTTCTCTTGCAGTATAATCAACCTTCATAATGAACCCCAAGTGCTGGATGTTGGGTAACAAATTCGAAAGTGCGCATAACGCATCCAAAGACGGTGGCACCATTCCAAACAGGGAGATGCTGACCAAATTATGGCTTGTTACAGATGGTTGAGCCGATACCATCTCGAGAAGTGTCCCGGTGACGTTGTAGGACAGGTACTTCATACTCAGTGACTTGAGACGCTTGGGGGGTCGAAGGATTAATTCTTCAATGGCTTCTTTGTCGATGCTACTGGTGTAAAATGAAAACTCTACTAGTTCTTTGCAATGCGTTGTCAATAGACGAACAGAGTCTTTAGAGATGAGGCGAACAAACCGAATATCGATTGCCTTGAGGTTGCCACATAATGGTAAAAGCATATGAAGCTTTTCCGATAAGATCTGCAACGTGGACGGTATAATTAGAGGATAATTGAACACAGCATCTCAAAAGATTCATGCCTGTATGCGTTGCTTGCACCAACACAAAAACTAACCATGCCAAAAGTTATCCGGTCTAATCTGCATAATACACTTTCTGCAACCACCAGTTCGTCTCGTAGTTCAGCATCACTGACAGGTAAAAACTCGGTTCTAAATTTACAGCTGCTTCCAAAAGTTAGGTATTTCATATTAGGGAACATATCCAGGATTTTAAAAATTTCAGCGTCGATGATCGTCCAATCCAATTCCAGTGTGGTGCACGTCGACATGACGACGCGTGGTTGAATAAGTCGACTTGGCATGATGCGGTTGATAAGGCTGGCCCTGTCGGCATCGCTTTCAATTCCAAACGCTAGTCGCTCAACGTATTTGGCCGAGCGTAAAATGCTTTGCAGACCCGAGAGATTTCGGCAGATATTAAGCACCTTGACATTGGGTAAGAGTGGTAGTAGTTCGCGAACAACGTCAAATCCACCAAGGCCGACACTTCCAGTGGTAAACCACCATACATAATGTCCATGTTTCTTCAATGATTCTCGTAAAAGCTCGAGAATCGCCAATTTTCGTTGGCTGGATAGTTGATCAACAGAGATGATTCGGTATAAGAATGGGAAGCTGTATTGACTGAACAATCGACTTGTCAGTGCGCAATTGAAGAAGAAAGCGTTCCGTCGACGAATATCATGTACGTCTACTGTCAATGGTCGCGGACTGTTGGCTGGTGGTATATCATCCAAGCTTTCAAATATCAACCGAACGATATCTTCACCGATTACGCTGCTCGCCATGAAAAAAAAAAAGACTGACAACCAAAAAGACCAACAAGTTTTGCAAAGACCCTCGCGATCCAGCTTGCAAGCTACCGGCATTTTTATCCTTGTCATAACGGCTCGCTCACGAGTAATCCAAAACAATCTTATGTTTCACTGAATAAATATTCCGGGTGAGTAATTCACTTTGTAAACATCAATGATGACATTCATTATTTTATTATTTTGATAGTAAAAAGCTCAAGGTACTCCTTCACAAAATGGTATAGAACAAGAAATGATATATAACAACCTATACGGAAATGTGAACGTTAGTAAACGGTATGGTAGGGGAATGGTAAGACAGGTTGATAGAACGAGCAACTGATCAGATAGGGGCGAAATATCTGTCTACAATTAGGTATTTCTCTTGGAAAACCACTTCGGAAAGACTAATCTTCAATCATCATAGAGGTCGTCTACTATCAACGTGTGTAAAATAAAAGAGTGTAACATACCTTGTGGAAAAAACCTGTTGTGGACAAGAAGTCTGCTGCAAGCATTAATTTATACTGCTGGAAGAGAAAAAAAAAATTTTTTTTGAGCTTCAGCGCTGTGACTTGTTGCGGCCGAGATTTCTTCAATGTGTCCCGTTCTCTACAACCTCAGCCAGATATACAGCTCAACACTACAAATACAACCCATCTGTAATTTGATAATAGTGTACTTTATTAATAGCATGTTACACCTAGGCACTTTCTACGTAGTTGCCAGGAAAAACGCCTTGAGCACCATTGAAAGTTCCAGTCCACCATTCATCTGGACCTTTTCTGTCTATGACTAGAATCCTATCTCCGGCTGCAAAACTCAAGTCACCATCAGCTTGCGCGTGGTAATCGTACAATGCCGTGACATAGTTGCCCGCTGGTGACGACGGCTTTCGAGGAAGAGGTGGAGGAGGACCTTGAGTGGTATAGTTGGGCGATGCAGCGTAAGATGGCGGCGGCAGAGAACCGTTGGAGCTTTGGGAATACGTTCGAGAAATGCTTGGTGCATTATTGCCCTCCTTCTTCATTGCTGCTCGTTCCTGTAGCGACATTTTGCCGGACGTTCCAGTTGCTTTTTTTTTACAATGAACAAAAGTATTATTTTAAAAGATACCTATATTTGCCGATACATGTTGATCAATCACATACCTCCTCTCCACGATTTACCGCTTTTCTCGAGCAACTCCGTTTGTTCAAGCACCTCACGCGCATTGAAATTTTGCTGCCTTGCCTGGTATCCATCCTGAATGCTGTATTGAACGGTTTCAAAATGTCCGGGGTTTTCTTCGACAACTTGGTGAATACGCTGCCACATGGACAAATAGATCTTGACTTGGAGACTGTAAAACGCTTGAAATATAGGATCGATAAAATGAGATCTCAATTGGAGGAAATACGGTAGCTGTTCCTTCAACATGTCGTTCAAGAAATTGAAGTCCTGGGTAGCTGTTTCCAATTGACTTTCCAGCTGCAGCATCAACGAGTTCTAGTGAGCGAAGCGAGATAGGCTCTATACATTAGCATTGATCCAAACCCACCTTGAATATTTGCTTTTCATCACTGATGCTTTTTTCCGCCTTGCTCTGCAGTTTCGTCAAATTAGATCGAAATCTATCATAGTCTACCATTTTGTGATGTCGTTTGGTAATGGTCTTGACGATTTGTCGCATAATCTCACGCAGATTGACAACTGGCTGTATGACGGTATGGTCCAGATTATCCTACGAATACATTCGAGGCGTTTGTGGATTTCATTAGTAAAATATTACTCCGGCAGGGTTCAACACTTTTTCACCCACGACATGAAAGATAGAGGAGGAGATTCTTACAATTTCTGGTGTAAGCTCATCCTTGCAAGCTTGCATGCAAGCCTCATAATCTTCAGCAGCTTTCGTTGCGCTGTGCGACAGTTGGGTTTGTCTTCGCCTGTTGATTCCATCCTCTGGTTCCGGCACTCCCATGGTAGGTTGATATAAGGGAGTCAAACTCTGAGAGAATATAATTTGGTGTGAAAGCATAGCTGTTTCCATGGCTCACATATTAGTACGAGCCTCACTTTGGTTCTCCGTTGCGTAGTTGAACTGACCTGCAACACCGTCGCGGAACGCCTGTGCGTCTGCCAAGAGAGTATCCGCTTGCTTCTGAACAGTTAAAAACCTCTTTTCGTACTCTTCAAATTCCAAGTCCTTTGTCACTGCAATGTGAGTTATAAAAAAGCAAGCATTAAAGGAGAGTTGGCGGTGGTTTTTTGTGACAAAATGCGGGCTTGGTCGTTTACCTTCGCCTTTGCTTTTGCTCGCCATTACCTGGTGCGGTAACCGCGAGATAGCTTTGCTCATACCCTTCCTAGAACATTGAACATTGTGATTAGTGAAGGATAAAGAGTACGGATCAGGTCAATGGAAGTTGGTTGTACCAGCTCATGTTGAATGTAAAAAGAACAAGGTTCACGGCGCACGCTGGCAGTCACCTACTTTTGTGGACGCGATCCCAATTAAATACGGTTGAGGGCTTTATTACAGTTTAAAAAATAATCCATGTCAATCCACAAACAACTGTGGTAGATGTTCTTTCCATTGATTCTCCCAGCTTTGATTGCGATACTCGTCTTGAACGTTTTTTGCAAGCTCTTGCAACTTGCTGCTATTCTTGACAAAGAGTTCCTAATTTGGTTTGGCCAGGGGATTTCAGTAGAATTCTCAGCTATCATTCTGCCACACCAACCATTCCTTACCTCGAATTCATCAGCAAGCTCGCTACTATTCTTGAACACCATGCCATTCACTCCATGATGAACAAGTTCGTCCAAGCAATCAAATGATACAGCACAAACTGGTAATCCAGATCCGTACATATCAACCACTTTCATAGGCAGGTCCATTCCACTGGTACTTTTATGAAGAGACACTCCTAGATCCGCTGTTCCTAAGAAGAGAGGGTAATCGACAGCCTCCAACCAAGCCGTGATGATGCGGGTTCGTTTCAGTGACAGCTTAGAGATTTTTTCTTCATAGTAGGATTTCAATGGTCCCTTTCCAGTGATGACGAACAATAATCTTGGATAAAGAGAAGTGGGCTGGTCAAGAGCGTTCGTTTCATATTGCAAAATGGCGTCCAGTAAAATCTGGAAGTCTTCATCTTCTGTCCAGGACGTGGAGGATACAATCAATTGAATTCTATCCTCTCTGTATCTTACAGTTCCGTCTTCCTTTTGCGTTATCAAAGTGGACTGGGCGGGCATGGTTCCAATGAATTCGTCTGCGTTTAAGGATTGAGACCTGATGACATCTTCCAGCTTGAGTCTTGTCAGCAGCTATGGAGTTAAAACATCGGGGCAGAGGTCAGTATGAACGATACGGGTCTTTACTGTAATACTAACCAACCAATGACTAACCTCATGTTGGCGTTCTATTGTCAATCTTGAAAAGTGGGTCGGTGGCCGATCTCTGAACGTGATGAGCTTGCCTCTGTGAAAAGATTAGAAGACAGCCAAACATTTGGAAACAATCTTTTCGACTTACTTTACGCCCCAGCTCGTCAGCTCAGCCTTCATTTTGTCGGTGACAGTGAGGTGAGCATAGGCTTTGTGGCCAAACTTTTGCTCGTACCATTTAGCAAATTGAACGACTTTGTGGTCTTTACCAAACTTCATGGCTAGCATTGAGTAGCCAAAGTTGTGCCAGTCAATGATAAGCCATGCATTACGAGTCCAGGAAATGAATTGTGCAATAGCAAGTGTTGGGATGGAGGGTGGGTTCTACCAAGAGTTTCTATCGTTAGTGCAAACAGGTTGCGTCCCTCTAGAGATAAGATTATACTTACTTGCATAAAGATGAAATCGGGGTATTGAGTGACTCCGCCCATGATCCATAGCAGTTGAAGTGCGACGAACAAGGCTTTAAACGGTGCCCATAACAAATACAAGATCTTGGGCTTTCCTTCAGGTACCGACCATGCCTGTCTCAAAGGCCGGATTTTGATCATTCTATTAGTGAGCACGCGTGCAATTGGAGATGTTTCTGTTGGCAGCAAAGCATTGTCAGTCTAGTGGGGGAAGTAAAGACAAACGCCACATTCGACCCTCACCGTTGTATCCTATAAAGTCCACTTGACAGCCTGCATCGACTAGCGATAAGGCATGATACTGCATTCGAGGGGACCTTCCAATGTCGCCCATGACCACGACCTGAACCACGGGCCGTGTCCGAAAGATATGTGCATTGGACTCGAATGCATAGTATTTAGCAATACGGCCAATGAGTACATATACAATGAGGAAGATGAGAGCAAGACCTTCAGGAGACCAGTTGCCTCCTTCACTGAAGGTGAAATTGCCCATTGGGTGAAATGGGTGTTAAGAGAGTTCTTGGGAAATGGAACCCCGATGGCCGGACAAACTTTGAACAGCACCCAGCTTAAATTTCTCACGCACTTTGTGTGCCCTTCTTTCCACCTTTGTTCTCCTTTGCATTATGACAAATATTTCAGACGACGCTATCTTAGAACTAGTGTTCAATCCAGGTATATATCAAATAGATCTCAGTCAACCCCTCTGCTGGAAAGCTAACTGACTTAAACAGAGGCCCAGGGGTTACCGCTAGAAGCCGTATCAGATACCGTAGACACAACGGGTGGTAAGGAGTGTGACGAACCGGCTCACATCGAAAGATTTTTTGGACTAACCCTTTGACTATTAGCTAGAGAAATACCCACAGATATTCTTACACAAGTCCAGGAACTGGAAGCCCAAGGAGTCAAGCTCGCTGAGGAAGAAAAACTCGACGAAGCGTTGGAAAAGCTCACACAAGCCATCACAATATGTGATTATTACGCATCCGTCTACAACAACCGAGCTCAAGTGTATCGACTGAAAAACGATTTAGAAAGCGCAGTGACTGATCTTGAGCAAGCCATGAAACACGGCGTTGGTCAGCCCAAGGTACTAAGACAAGCATATACCCAGAGAGCCATTATCAGGAAGCAACAAGGCAATCTAGAAGGAGCACAAGCTGATTTCGAGCGAGGTAGGTTTGAAGGGGCCGATGTAAATCAGTGGTTTGGTAGGATGGAATATTAACTTGTACTTGGACACCAGGCGCTAAGTTCGGAAACCCAATCGCAAAATCAATTACAGTAAATGAGAACCCATATGCAAAGATGTGCAACCAAATTATGTTAGAGGTGATGGGACGGCAGGTCAACCCTCAAGGTAGTAACCAAGAGACCACACAGGAATGAAGGATAAGCTCTTTTTGGAGATGGCTGTATTATCGATGAGGCTTGAAACAGTATTTGTAATATTGTTCTCAAACCCAACTGATGAAAATAAAACATTTATATCCAGGAAAATGGAAGCAACCAAGGGTATGAGACAGATATGCACAGAAGGAATTTCTATATTACAATATTTATTACTGCAACGATTGCACCATGGCGGCATGATCCTTACAAATATTAAGAAAAATGGATCCATAGCGTTCAAACTTGTCGTCGGTAATGTTGTCTGGATCAATTTGAAGGAACTGGAGCATGTTGGTTGGTAAACGCTGTGCCTGTGTCATTAAGAGATGTTAGCAGTGATAAGAGGAGAATATCGAGTGGGAAACATAGCACATACCATCATTTTTAGTTGTGTGTCCGTGAACACAGTCGATGGACGAGCTAAACGTTGAGATATCACAAGCTAAAGAATCCCCAAAACATGTCAATACGTATACGAAGGCCATTAAAAAGCATTGTCTTCTTTACCTGTCTCCGTTTTTCTTTCATTTCTTGAAGGCATTTGACCTTGATGTCTTTGATTTGCTGACTTTCATTGCTTTGCTGCTGCCTTCCAGCTTGTATGGCTGAGCCACCCGACCAACCCATATCCGACTGATAACGACTTAAATTCACAGTAGTCGCACTTGCTGTAGCTTTTCTTGACGGTCCTCTGTTACTGGGTGCTGCTGTTGGAGGCATGGGGGATAACAAAGAAGGGCTCATTACACTTTCTTGGAAAACCGATTGACCATTGGTGGATGCAGAGGACATGGAAGCAGACGATGCACCTCGCTTTGGTAATCTAGGCATAGAGGAAGTCTTCCCTTGTTTAGTCGCTCGGGCATTGGGTCCTGGTACGCCCGCAGTCGGTTTGCGCTTTGGAGCAGTGGAGGTCTGGTAATAGCAAAGGGCATTAGACTAAATGACTTGGGTAATTAAGACAATATCCACTACCATGAATTACGTTTGCAAAGCTGAAGGGAATGGTTACTCTTGTAGTATTCATGTCGACACCTCGAGCTTCTTTTCCAATCTACGTTCAAGAATTGTCTCATCAGCATGTTAAATGAGCCAGATTTTCCATACACAATGCCTTTCTATTGGTACTGACCTGAAGATAGGCCATGACGAAGCCTTGAGCATTTGTTTCGCATCGCTCAGCGAGGACTTCTTTAAGGATCAAATGCTTAAAAATTCTTTCACAGTCGGTTTTCGATAATGCTTTTCCGGCACCAATACCAGGTACAAGGTCACTAATTCCACGGCTCTGCAGGAATTTGGTGGCGGTGCCTCGAAAGATATCGACCACTTGAATCAACGTCACCTTATTCACTTGAAGCTCTCGTACCAGGGCCAATATCGTCTTTGTCGTCTCGGTGACATCCCGGTACTCAAAGGACAACGTTGCGTTCGCCATACAATTGTCGCAAGTCTTATTACACATTGTAGCATCAAACTTTTCGCCAAAGTAGCCCAACACTTGCTGTCGTCGGCAATCTGTCAGGTTTTCACAAAACTGAATCATCATCCGTAAATTATGGCGTTGTCGCTCCTTCTGTTGCCAGTCACCATCACCGTTGTCGATAAAGTATTCGATCGTCATCTTATCTCTATAAGAATAATATAATCTACACATGGCAACCGAACCGTCACGACCAGCGCGACCTGTTTCTTGGTAGTACCCTTCTAAAGAGGATGGTAGGGAGCAATGAATGACGAATCGAACATCGGCTTTGTCGATACCCATACCGAAGGCAATGGTAGCTACAATGATTTGGACGGATCCATCTTGCCACTCTTGTTGTACTCGATCACGATCTACTGGATCAAGCGCCGCATGATAGTGTTTCGCTCGTAGATTGAACTCTTTTCGAAGCTTCAGAGCGAGGTCTTCGCATTGCTTTCGTGCAGTGCAATAAATAATGCCAGATGCATTTCGATAGCCATTGGTAACGAATTCATGAATACTCTGCGCCATGTTTCGTGGGTTCTTGGGTACGATTTCGTATCTAGCATTGATTGAAATGTCAGGTTACTCTTATAGTCATGGGTTGCTTGTAATTTAATCTATGGAGTGATTTTGGCAATCTTACTTTAGGTTGGCCCTGTTGAAACTCTGCTTGATTACCTTGCATCCTCGCATATTCAAATTGTGTAAGACGTCTTCCTTGACCTTGTCATTGGCCGTTGCGGTTAGTGCCATGAATGGAATGTTTGCATACGTCTGTTTGAGGTTTCCTAGAAGCTTGTAATCGGGGCGAAAATCGTGCCCCCATTGGGAGACACAATGAGCCTCATCAATGACAAATCTCGCCAAGAATTTTCGGTTATGGAGCGATCGCACAGTATTTTGGAATTGGCCAGATTTGCTAAGTAGCTCAGGTGTCACGTAGACTAGTTTGGTTGGAGGAGGGTTCTTGGCCAATTCTGAAAAAGCCCATGATCTTGTCTGTGGTTCCATTGATCCATTGAAGCATACGGCAGCAATACCCTTTTGAAGTAAGTGGGAGACCTGGTCCTTCATCAATGAGAGCAGTGGTGAAACGACAATGGTGACACCTTTTGTCACTCCTTTCGCTATGACGGCAGGTAGCTGATAGCAGAGACTTTTACCGCCACCAGTGGGCATGAGCACAAACACATCATTTCCGCTTAGAGTCGTGTTAATCGCATCAAGTTGATTTGATCGGAACTCCTGAAGTTTGAAGATTTGTGTCAATGCCTTTCGAACCTCGGTAGACCACTCGTACGTTTCCTGTGAATGCGACTGGTATGTCTCTTGCTCTTGACTTGCGGGATACATGTGGGTTCGATGGCTACTTGATGATGAGCTGCTCTGCTGATGAATACTATTCTGCTGGTAGTTACTGGTCTGGTAGCTACTATGGTTAATATTGTTGTCCTGTTGGATTTTAGAACTGGTATATGCACTCTCCACCTCGTCCAACGATTGAATAAACATATCGGTATCAATATCATCTGTATCCCACTCGCTTCTGAGGGTGAGACTCCCTGTTTCGTAATGTGATTCTTGCGTGTCAGTTATTTCAATCCTCTCTTCCGTATTGGTGGTTGGTAGTGACACGATATTCGTTTCAACGATGTCTTTCTTACGCTCTGTGTCATTCGATAGGGTTGAATTTACCGCAGTAAGTGTGCCTTGGTTGGAACTAGCTGGGCTGGGATTCGATAGCTCTTCAATCCTTCCAAGTACTTGGTTTCTGAAAACAATGCAGTCATAAGTATTCGGTGTTTTTTTTGATACCGTTGAAAGACAAGCTACTACCTTCTAGCCGACAAGTTATTTATACGATCTTTGTTCAATTGATCATTTGATTGCAGCATCAATTGCACCAGTTCTTCGTTGATAGAGTTCTTTTCTCGTTCCAATTCCTCCAATTCCACTTTAGGATCCTTTACCGGCTAAAAGTAGTAAAAATATCAGACATTACATATTCTGCACCGAGGGGTCGGCAAACGAGAACGTCTATAAACAGTACATCACTAACCTTCTTGTCAATCCGGTTTACATAGGTTGCCTTTGGCGACTTCCGGACGAATGATGGCGGTGGTTCGTCAAGCATCATGAGTTCATCATTAGTAACATCGAATATTCCAACGTCGAACATGTCGTCTTGAATATTGTTCTACATAGATCAGATTGATTACGGGCTGGAACGTTGAAGTATAATCCCAATTTCTTATGCTTTAGCGGCGAATAACTTACCATTGCATCTGTTTCAATTGGGAACATATCAGCAAAGCTGTCATCGCTGTAGCTACCCTGCTGGTGATGACCAGGTGAAGCTGTTGTGACTGCGGCAGCCACTGTGTAAGAAGATGTATTTGACGATGTGTCTCGATTATGATTTGCAAACGTAGTGTTTTGAAAGTCATCATCGCTATGCGTTCCTGGCAGATAACTGGAGGTATGTTTCTTTATAGGTGACGTCTTCTTCTTGGCTAAGCTTAGCTTTTTGTTCTTTAATGCGGACGTGGTAAGGTCAATGACACCTTCGTCCATATCAGAACGGTCATATGTACGCTTTCGAGCAAGAGGTTGGCTGCCAAAAGGAGACTCCGCGTGTGCTGCCATAGAGGCATTGCTTGCTGATCCTGTTTTCTCTTAGTTAGTTCAATTCACCTGAGCAGTTAAGGTATGCTATGACATGTTGAAGGCACATACCCATTGCAGCAACTCGTTGAAGTGGCTGCCTGTTCTCAATGTTATCTAATGGCTCCCTGTCCACTGCTGATGTGTCCTTCGAGGTGCTTAGTGATGGCGGGTCTGGATCCTTAGACAATGTCCTCGACACTACGGGGGCTGGTTTGAAGGAGGCATAGTGAGATACTGTAGCGCTGGAAGGCTTTTGTATTTCCATCACTAAACGAGGCTGCTCTTCTTTTTCGAACCATGCTAATTGCTGCGCGTAATTATTTTTCATTGGAGCATGTTCGTCAAGTTAATGGTTAATTCGCGTCTTGAATAAGGAAAACGTATAATTTTTGAGCCAAAAAATTCCCCAACGCGTATAGGATTTCTCCGCCATCAATGGACACTACAGAAATACACGTAATTATTTATTTATATATGCTAACAGGCTCTTTTTCTGGGATGAAGAAGTTAGTTCGTTCGTTGAAAGTCGCATTATGCGAGATTAGAAGGAATGTGAAAAGAACATATTGATACAGAAGGGTCAAAATTGGGGGAAATAGTTGTTTAGTGGACATGCTTCAAACGTCCAGTCGTTTACGTAGGTCCTCCAGCTCGGCACGCAAGCGTAGCACTTCTGATCTCTCCTGCTCTAGAGCCTCCATAAACTCGACTCTGATACCGGATACTGCATCTTCTATAAGCTGGTGGATTTTATCGTTGACACCGTCATCAACTGGAGGTGAGGGTTTCCCAGCTGGGAAAATAACAGAAACATCTTGTTGTTCTTGATCCTGATGAGCGGTCATCGACCGAGGTTTGATTCCCAAGCCTTTCACTGGACCATCACCATTCGTTGGAACTGGTGGGACAGGGGGGCGAGCGAGAGGTGGCATAGATGCACGTCCAGCGCGCGAAGGCGGTAATGGTGCGACTATTAATACGGAACGGTGAGATGATTGAATATCGCAAGATCAACCAGATTTATCCCCACATACCTTCAATTTCAGAGGGTGTACGCTGTAGCGGCTCAATCTAGATTGGTAGTAGTGAAAATTAGTAAAAAACGTAACTGAGCAAACAGCTCTATCCACGCGATATACCTTTGAAGGGCTTCTTTGCAGCGGTGGTTTGGCAAGCGCATCCGCTCTCGTTTCACTGGAATCCATCCTTGGCGTGGGTACTGGTCGCGATGGGCGACTAGGATGCATAAAAGACGACCTGTCATGCTGCGGCGATGGAGGAGGAAGGTCAGGGGATCGCATGCTCATTGATACCGGCCTGGGTTTGGTCGGTGAGCGCGAAGTATCTGGAGTGGACACAGGTCTTCGAGGCGGGGGTACGGATGGAAGAACAGGCTTTACAGGAGACTGTGGACTTCCAACAGTGGGTAGTGTGTCTTGGCCCACAGACTGCCTATTTGAGAAGAGAGATTGAGGGCGAGATCCTGGAACAGGTGGTGGTCTGGCAAGCGAAGGCGACGCTAGCGGTTCAGAGGGAGGACTATCGGTTGTTTTCACGGTTGGGGGTCGAGCTCTTCTTGGTCGCAACGGTGGCTCTTCATCAATTTCTTTGACGAAATTGGTAGGGAACAATCCAGTTTCATCGCGTTCGTTTGCACCTCTCCACCAGCCTGCATCGACATTTCTGTCCAAAATGCTAACATATTCTCCCGCTATCAGAGATATTTCATCTATGCAATGAACAAGGGTCAGCTCAGGTGTTACAATATGTCCTTTGTGATCTTTACAACTTGAGGCAGTACGCCATTCACTTTACCATCTCCTGTAGCGGAATAGCTATTAATTACGATAGCTTTTTTTGGCTGAGCGACAGCATCGCCAGCTTCTTCGGGAACGCTGCTTGTGGTATTTGGCGTACTTGGCGTACTGGTGGGTGTGGCTGGCTTTTTTGTTGGGGGATGTGGCAGAGCAACATCTGGCTTAGTGGTGGACGGTGGCCGACTTATTGACTGGCCTCTAGTCAGTGGCTTGAAGTGGATTAGTTATCGAGCTGAAATAAATTGCTTGGGCACGGCTAATATACATACCGGAGGTTGCTGCTCAGTAGCAGAATCAGGCCGTTTGCCTGTTTTCTTCAGCAAGGGAAATCCTCCGGCCATCACAGCTCCAATACCGCCTTGTTTAACGCCGTAAGCAGCCAACCTGAATGCGTCTGTTGAATGAATAGATTGTTAACGCTCTCCACTACCAAGATAGTCTTACACAAATTTACATTGATGCGTACTTTTCGGTTTACTGGTAGCTGCTTGTTCAGATTCTCCTTCTGATGCAGTCTCCTCTTCATTCTTGGATTCAATCACCTTTACGTTCTAGTAAAGAAATTTGCTTCAGTTTGCCGGACGCTCAAATGATCTTGACACGGATAATCGTATTTACCCTTTTCGGGAACAGGCCCTTCTTTCCGTTCAAGTCCCCATGCCACCACTCATCGTCAGACTGGTCGTCAACCGAGACTATACCACCCTTCCAAAGCGACAGTTCTTCGTGACTTGCAGCTTCATAATCCTCCAAAACGGAAGCTAAAACGGTAGATGACCCGGTGTTATTTTTGCCTTGCTCGGGATTAAGCGCCGTATCCGCCTTTGTAAAGAACTGAAGTCGAAAGAACGTGAATTGAAGGTTCAATATATACAACCACGTACGAGTTTACAGCACAGCACAATCCTTACGTTACTGGGAACCCATCCTTTGCTTCCGCCGTCTACTTTTTCGACTTCCCACCATTCGGCGTCGTCACTGTTGGTAATTCTAACTTCCTCGCCTTCAGTGAAGGAAAGTTCGTCTTCTCTTTGCGCCTCGTAACCATGGTGAGCTCTGTAGAGTTCTAGAAGAAAGTCGCATATGGGTTATTTGGGAAAAGCCTGAAGTGACAAATGTTGACAGCCATTTACCTGTCATTTCTAAAAGGTTACTGTAAGAAAGTGTGCTCGAGCTCCCGAATTTTCGAGATTGGCAATCCCTTCGGCTGGAAATTTATAGTTCTGAGACATTGCGTCATTCACCAACACATGAACACATACACAAATTTTACCACAAATCCATTTGATTGAGACAGAGTCGTATCGCTAAAGGTACCTCATTCGTGTAGAAAGATATGCTGCATGTAGTGGAATAGCATGATCCATTGTATCGGCTACCTTAATTTCTGAAATCCGCCAATTCACGGTACCTGAATGTACCGGGTGATATATCCCAGCCAGCACCAAGTCTTAGAATGAAACCGCGAACTTGAGCTTAGTCAGGTTAACAAATTGCTTTAGTTTTTCTGACAGATTGTTTTTTGTAGGCACGACAAAACGAAATATGTGTAGCGCGGCGTTAACAACAAAAGCACTGGTCGGATTAATCACAGCCGAAATTGCCTTTCTTGCAAAAGCTTGACGATAGGTTTACCTGAGAATGGTCGTTATGTAGCGGGTAGCTCACCTGTAAAACTTTATGGCTGAATTACGGGTAGAGACTGGGTGGACGGTACTTTGTGCTCAATTACTGCGGCCTTTTGCAAGCCGTACATGAGCTTTCTCTACACACGCTGCGGCAGATGTCCGCTTCGGTCATACGTAGGACCGGGGTAGCCATGTAACAGTAGCCACGATAGATACCGATTAAGAGGTAGCATTCTCGGTCACTATGCAACATGCCAGTCAGTGCCTTCACATTGTAACATAGGCTTCATATCAGATCTTTTTCTTCGCCGTCTCCAAAAAAGCCCATAACGCGCAATCATTAGGTGACTTCTCCCGACCAAGCTAAGTTGCCATGAAGGCGTCAAAAGCAAACAACCTAAATCATCTGAGGCATCTTTGCTGTAGTCCTATACAGTTGCTCGCATTTTGCTTTCGACACTCAAAAATGCAAAACAAGGGGTAGTCTCCACGACCACTGTGGCGTTCCAACTGCGATCCACTTAGACGTGCCATCTGCTTGCCGAACAATGCTTGCGGTTTTCCATGCTCTATTGCTAGACTTTGGCGGTGCCCGCATATTTAATACCCGAGTTGGCTCGGACTACTCCAGGCCAACACTAGTAACATCATTCTCAACCAGACACTGTCATCAACGTGGGACAGCTGGGGACGTGATCCCACAATGCGTAAATTCATCCCTCTACCACCGCTCGGTTGACAGTACTGCGCTAAAGTACCGGTATCAGTTATATGGCGAACGGCTTATTTATAAGAAGATAATTTTGGGAGTAAAAATATATGGGATATAATGCATTGTTCAAAAAATAGGCCACGCTAAAAAAAATGAGTGTCATTTTTACGCGCATGTTGAAATATTAATGGCTTATTTTTTGGACAAATATTTTTCAGGTCAATTATGTAGTCCGCAGGTCGCAACTTTAAAGTCGAAGGAGACACTCGGTCATTATTTGCGCGCAAACAAACTCCTCTTCCTATAAAAGATCAGATTTCTCATTCAAGCGTAAACTGTTTAATTTGCTAGAAACTTTTGAAGGCCACTGGCGTACATAGGCTACTCTATTTAAATGCTAAATCTATAATGATAAGTTTAACAGGAAGGATGCTACGAAGATATTACCCTTCAAAAATATCGTTTTAATAGATGACCTGCTCAAAGTGTGACGTTATATTGCACCGCGCACCAAAAGAAACCTCATTTTCCCGGCCCACCGAGTGCGAATCCTACACGAGAGCGTCCAATATCAAATATCTAGAGTGTCATGAAAAAAAGAAAATAATAATAATTAGTTACTAATTTCACAGATCTGGTAGCGTTCGAACGCATTAGTCCTACTTACCGTGTAATACTTGCGGAAGAACACATCACCGAAAACCCATGTTGGGACATTTTGGTTGAAGTCTAGAGCAGAAATACCGGATTGGCACATCACCCTCTTGGTATCAATAGGACGCATTATAAAATCTGATGCTTTTAGTCTGAAAACATTTCCGCTGATCTTAAACTGGACCTCGATATCCGAGGTTTTAAGCGAACAGGGTATGGTATAAGTAGAGTCACCAATGGCAACCGCTCCAGGGATCAACTCATGGATGGCCTCTGCGTCTACCACTGGTGCAACGATGAGACTTGTGCCAGTATCCACCACCACCCGTCTGCTGTCTCCAACTCTCTCGTTGTTGATGCCGAATTGTTCCATCTCGATAGTCCAGTAGCCTTTCTCTATTACCGGGCTGTACACCACCTCGCCACCTTGGAGTCGAGATTGATCGATGGCCCCGAAATCGATCTCTCCACCTTTCTCGGTTGCATAGATGGCAAATAACGGTTCGTCCAATAGGTTATTGGCAATCATGTTTTGAATCGGTGTTTGTTCTCCTGATGTACTAATGGAAGAAAATCCTAGACCTAATATTCCATCAAAGGGGGATATCGCAAATTGTTCTGACACAGTCGATGCCATAGCAAATGTTTGATTTCGTAGCTGCATTCCGGAGAGTGTCACTGTATCGTATCCGATTTCTCCTGCAACTGCTCCACTTCCATATTGTATTTGGAAAGAGTCGTCACTGGTGACCAAGGTTTTAGACGAACTGCTAATGAATCGACGATGGTTATGGCATGCAGTTTCCGTTATGCATTCCTCTGCTATTACCCATAAATCTGAACTTCCTGTGTCGAACACAACATTAAATGGCTGTGGAGGCTCGCCGATAGTTATTTCTCCATAATAACCTTTTATATCATTTAGTAAAAATGATGTATACGCTTTACTCGTATTTCTTCCAGTAGCAATGCTTCACTTACCAGTTCCTCCCATGTACGACTTTTGTTTTTGTTTAATGACAGCAAGCTTGTGGAAATGATTGACGTTGTCCGATGATGAGATGCCTGGCGCTTGAACAGCCGGTTGAATCCTTTTCAGAGCTATTTTTCGAAATTGTGATTTTGATCTGGGTCCTAAACGATGGCCAAAGCCATAATCATGATCTATGATAGGAGAAGCATAACTGAGTGATATCGCTGATGTGATACCGAGGGCTAAGAAGAATAAACGCATTTGCTTAGTGTGTAAGAGAAAATAGTAGTTGTTGTAAAGAAAAATATAGCACCAAACCAGATGAAAAAAAATCTACAATGGTAGATGTTATATATTTTGCGCTGTATTGCTAATTACTGTCCCTACCGGTATACAAATTATTATTTGCGGTAAAATTGGACAATTGCAATGTCAACTACCTGTACTTTGATCAATTCATACAGTTCAATAGTCGAAGAGCGAATTAATGACTTGTAATTCATCTTAGCGCAAAAAAAATACTATAATAAAGGTAACAGCAGGAAGAGATGAAAACGTCAAAAAAATAATTTCCCTTGTGCCAGGAATTAACACCGTTGCAAAATATCGAGAATGAGGGGGGAATATATTGTAATCCTTTTTCTTTTTTTTCTACTATTTACAACCATACATGGCATGACTATATAGAACAACTAGATTTCCTTTCCTTTTAACAAAGATGGACTTAGTCAACGACAGTGAATATAGGCGAGGCTTCATGTCGATAAAAGCCAAGTCCAAAGCGATACTCTCCAGGCATTACATCATCTCCTACTACCCATGAGTAATTTCCCTCTGTCAGTGCGACATTGTGATCCACCTCCCGCACATAAGGGTCGGTACCACGAGCGTTGATATCGAGTAAGCCGGCTATCAATCATAACCATTAATGGGATGCTGCTCACGTAAATAAACAAATCCCAAGTGAAAGGAAGCTGCACATTACCTATTGTTCTTGCGGACTTTGCCGCCGCATACCCATATATAGGCCACCTGGTGTATGGTTCTATACGCCTAAAAACACAAAGAAACTTGGGTTAGCGAGGTTGTTAAGAGGTTGATGTCGGCAGATTGCTAGATGGTATAGAGCATCGTTCGCCATCACGGGTAATGCCAAAGCTTGAAACTGACCAGGTGACGGTAACATTAGAGCCTCTCTTGATAGATTGGCCAGATTTGGGAGTCAAGATTGTAAATGGCGGAGCAGCCTCATTCAAATAGGCAGTGGCGAAGGCGAATAGATTGAATACGTATATAAATATGAATGCTGTGGTCTTTAGAGTGGCCATGTTGTGTCAAGGTGCAGCACCGAAAAAAAATTTACTGGTTAACAGGAAAGAAGCGTACAATGATATCTGGCCTCTAAATCCCCAACTTCTTATGTTTCTTTTTTATACATTTTGTGGGCCCTGTGTGGGAAATCACCACTGTTCATGATATGCCACTGACGTGAGTGTCTATGGAATCGATCGTCTGTACTTCCGTTCCTCCGACGACATGCGAACGCCTAGTCGCACTAATGACACCGCAACGATGTCACTTCACGGCTTTTTAAATTTAGTAAATGGGGTCGTGTACAAGGAGTAATTTATGAGTTTGAAAAAAAAAAAAAAAACTTGTTATGTTACAGGTTGCACCTTGTCGCGCGATGCTACATTATGGAAGGGAAGGGGAAAAAAATATCACAGATCTATCATTCATTATCTGATACACCGTATTTGCTGTAATGGAGGGATCAGTTCAGTTTTCTTGGGACACAAATATCGCGCGATCAAATCACAACAAACCTTTTGAGCTCCTGCAATTCTGCTTCTCTCTTTTGCAGGTTGGCTTTCTTCGTGACCTTATTTGGTTGGTAGTAAAGTACAATCAAGTATCGACCAAGGATGTTGAAACCTTGCAAATGGTCACAAGCTGTCTTTGCATCGAAAATGTCCTCATATACCACAAATGCTGTTCCTCTAGTATCGTTCGCCGTTCCACTGCAAATGATAATCATGGTGAGTGATCGTGGGGTTTCGTGGACGTTCAACCGTCAATCCGACGACAAGCTTACATTCGAATCTGGCGAATAGCACCATATTTTCCAAATACATCGTACATCTCTTCTGACGTTATCTTAAAGGGTAGATTTCTACAGCCAATTTGTGAATGTTAGTGTGTGGGGTCCTTAGGGACTTCTCAACAAGTCGACTGTGCGATCATACCTGACAAAGAGGACTCGATTGACTTCGGGAGGTAACCGTACCTATAGGCGTGATCAAAGTCGTTAGACAAAATGGGTTGATGGTTATTATATAATATGCCACTATATCGATTGTTGTACGTACATTTGCGTTTGCGTTGTTGCCTGCCAATGCCATGATTGCGAATTGACTGGATCTCCAAAGATCGTGGCCAGTCTGACTTGCAGAGGAAAAGCAGTTGGAGTCTCTGATGTCATTCACTTGCGCTGAAATTGAATATGCTACTTGAAATAGAAGTGGTACGTGTAAAATGCAGATACATAAAAGTCATATCTGCCCTGCACATAAGCCATATGGATTTTGGATAAGTATATATAACGATCTTTGTTGGTAGTTAGGACTGTCGTTATCTTTCAATTCATCTTTGGGATACTGTTTATTAACAATTATTTTGCGCCAATACAAAAATAAATTAAGATCATGATATCAGAGCAGAGAGCCTGAAAATTTATTCTCGAAATCATTAGTAACTTAAGCATGGCAAGATAAACAGATTCAAACAGATATACTCACAGATAAGATAGGGGGATATAGGTGTTTTTGAAAGGCAATCGTTAGAAAATGAATGAAATGCAAAACATAGAAACTACACATACCCTCCTCCGAAGGATCATTGGTATTCCTGGCCTAACCAGGGTGCCAGCCGCCGCATCGTGTTCGGATGGGCGGGGCGAGTAAGTTCCTTTGAGAGAAAACAGGATTAGTGCTGTGAAATATCTGAACTTCTGATAGGAAGTTAAAACTTACGTGGTGACATTACGGAACAAAAACAAAATGGAAAAAAAAAAAAACGCGGTGGTTTATGACAAAAAAAGAAGGGTTGGCCATCTTTTTTTAACAGATTACGGGAGAACTGCAGCTATGATAATGAGCGTCAAGTTAATTACGATTGTGTATGATTAGATACGTTGAATTAAAACATATATGTATGCCGTACTCACCATCAGAGTGCCAGTCCTCCAAAAAAAATACGAGCAAGGATACGGATTGTGCAATTAACGCCGGATTGTTTTGAGACGTACGCATTTATAGCCTACAGCAGCTATTCTTTAGCATTGCAATCATATTTGATGTTCAAACGTAAAATCACTTACTTTTAGTCATTCCGGAAACCATGAAAGATAC